GCATTTATATCAATAATAATAATATAATTCAACTTTTAACATAAACAAAATTTAAAATGATCATACTTCATATTTTTTGAATAAGTTAATGAGTTTTAGAATGGAAGTCATATTTAAATGCATGGTAGAGTAAAATTTTTATACGTAATTGTGTTTCTACAATTTTAAAGAGAAAAATAAAATTTAAATTGAAATATTAATTTATAAGAGCAATATACTACAAGATTTTATTTATTATTAAATGTTCACTAAAAAAAGTTACTAAACTGAACTTAAAATTTTTCATTTAAGACAAAGACATTGAAAGCGTCACACTTTTTTGTGAAACTACACAAACAAATTGATGACAAAAAAATTATAGAAACAAATCATGAAAATTCAAAAACGTTATAATCTGTCTTCTATAAAAATAATAATAATAATGATATTATCCATGAGTTGTATAACAAAATATACTTAAAGTGATATTTAAGTTGTTAACTAAAAAAAGTGATATGTAAATTATGTAACATATATCTCAAGTGGAACTACAACTCTATAACATAATCAAATAGAAAAACACATTTGAGAGTTTCTCATTTAAATCCAATGTTTTTTAACTCAAAAATTTGGTAAAAAAACATATTTAAAGTATATTATGTTTACATTTGACAAGACGATGTTAAGTTTGCATCACAAAATTAATAACTCAAAATAAGAACAACACTAAGCCAAATAGTGGTTTGAAATCACAAAAAATAGTAGGCTAGAGAGTGGTCTGAAATCTTAATGACTTTATCACGGATGAAGATCAATAACCTTATTTAAGTGTTAGATGTGTAAGTGTTATGAAAAAAAAAACTAATATTTTCATAGAAACTTTTTAAGTGTAATTATACATTAGATTATGCAATTAAAAAAAAAAAAACAAATTGTCTAAAAAATATCAAATATACATTTTTTTACAGATATTAGTCAAATTTTTAACGTTTAGAGTTATCTTCTTCAACTGTTATAATTATAAAAATTTGACTCCTATAAAAATATAATATATTACTAAACCCACGCAACGCGTGGGTCATTTTCTAGTATTCAAAATTCTAGACATACTATTAATTATTGTAAAGTTGGAATATTATAAGGAAAAAGTAAGAGAAATTGACAAAAGATAATAAATAGGATTGCTTGGAGTCGTGGCAATGTTTTTGGTTGCACACTGCTAAAAAGATTAATAACGTCAATTAACAAAACTGCCGCTAACTTTGAATTATAACATCATTTAAAAAAGTGATGCTAAATATTCTTAGCTTCACAAGAAATATGCTAAATTTCTTCAAGAACTAATCAATAATAATATAGAGAGAAAATGTCAATCAGAATAATTAAAGAAAGTGAGAGAAAAAAACAAATAAAATTAAAAGCCTGAATTTTTGGAGTTCTTCGTTTTTTTTTTCTCTGGTGTGAAGCCAATTTTTTTTTTGTTCTCTTTCTTGTTTGGATGATAGCTGGAGGAAAACTTAGAGAATAGTTACATCTACTAGTTAGAAGGGTATTTTGGTCAGAATAATACAATTTGGCTAATTCATGAGAAGTCATTTTGACTTTGCCAAAGTGTGGAAGAAAAACTAAAAAAAGTGTGTATGGTGAATTTTTTTTTTTTTTTTTAAGTAAAACAAACGACGCAACAAGTAAGAAAAAAAATAAGAGTAAACCAAAACAAACCAATTGTACTACAGATCTAAGCTGCATGGAATCGGAAGCGGGTACGTGGAAGTGGAAGCGTTCGGAAGCGCAGAAGCGAATTTTTTAAAAAATATAGGAAGCGGGTACGGATTGGAAGCGTATATATATATATATATTTATCTGTATTTGTAAACAACTATCCAAATACATAATTTAAATATTGTAAAGATAAAAGTAACCCAATATTGCAAAGATACATAATTTTTTTTTGATACAATCTCTCTCTCTTTATTCAGGAAGTACCACACGTACTCAATAGTCAATAGCCTACTACACACTACAGCCACCCTAGGCACTCATTCACCTGCTTTGGAACTCTAAAAAAACATCGACAAAGTAGACAAAACACACTTACACATTGATGGGCCTTCTCACTACCACAGGCCCAAAAACAAAAACGTCCAGCCCATAGACTTCATCTTCTTCTTCTTCGATACACCACGAAGGGTTTGTAAACGCAGACCGCATTAATCAACACATATCCATATTCAAATTAATCATTCGACGCTTCCATTCTCTTTTTGTGCGGTTCCAAATCGGAATCATGCGTTTCCCGTGAGCTTCCAAATTCACCTTTTTGAGAATCGCGATTCCATAGCGCTTCCGAACGATTCCGAGCGCTCCCGCTCCCGCTTCCGCTTCCGAAGCGAGAATCGGAGCTTTCGTCACGCTTCCATGCTGCTTAGCTACAGATCCAATCCGAGCTATACAAAAATTAAAAATAAGTCAAATCAATTTGATTGTGTCCGATTAAACTATAACCAAAAAAAAAAAAGAGTCTCATATAGATATTGGAAGGAAAAAAAAAAAAAAAGACTCATATATATTGGGCTTTATGGTCTTTTATGGGCTGAAGTATCGACTTCATGAGTTTTCGTAATGCGTGCCGTGTCTAACTTTTATTGGTTAATATGGCTAAATTTACGCGTAGAGGATAAAGTCTCTACACTATGTAACATGTACCGGAGAAACAGAAATCTCTTAATTTTGGCGTAATGTTTGGGTTCATGGTATTTCATTTTGGTAAACCATAACATAAATCTAAACTGAACCAACAAAATATCCTTGCAACCAAATGAACAAAAGAATCCAACTACCGATTCATGCATTTGTCAAGTTTTAGAATACTGCATGTTTAACTATATCAGATAAAAAAAAACTATATCAGATCTTATCCATTATTAACTACGTTTAAAGTGTCTAAGGTATGGGAGATGGGCCAAAAGTCCAAGACATAATCACCTATAGTAGTCTTTAGAACTCTCTAGTGTTGTATAGTTTGTAAAGAAAAATATATAATTGTTTTCAAAAGCCTAATGGAAAAAGTGGAATCAGACAGGAAACTATGCTTGCGTTTACAATTCGTTAAATATTTTTTTATTGAACTAATTACTAAATAAAGATTTTTTTTGTGGCTTTTATATATTTTGCCATTTTACTTAATTTTTTTTTTAGATTTGCCACTTTTCAAGATTTAAAAACACAATTTTACACATTATGCTTGGTTTTTTTTGTTCCATTTTTTTTAGGGTTTAGTGTTTATTATTAAGGGGGGTGTATTGGATCAAGAACTTTGGAAGATTTGGTGGAATTTGAATATTTTAGAGTTTTGAGTGATTTGGGAGAGTTATAGGTTGATTTGTTAGATTTTTATTCGTTTTATATTTTGAAAAGAAAAACTGATAAGTGATTTTAGTGAAATTCCGGGTGACTTTGAGATGTTTTTTTAAACAGAAAATGGGAAATCTGCGTTTTAGCCCTTCTGCACATGGACGATTAATTAAGCTGCAAAAATGTTTTTCAAACAAGAATATTCAGAAGAGGTCATACAATCTTTTAAATAAAAGACATTGTTTTTAATCCCTTCTTCATAATGATTGCTGTGATTGTAGTTTTGGCTAAAGATAGTTGACATCATCATAACCCGAGAAAGGATGTGATAACTATGATCCAAGTTCTACGATTAAAAAAATTATATTGCCCATGAGCCATGACTTGGACTTTCTCAAGGGAAAACTTGTAAGATTGGATGAAGAACTGTTAAACTTCTCGGCTATCAAATAGTCTCCTAATGCACGTCTGATTTCTTGAGGTTGATCAATAAGCAAATCGTACAAAAGGCCCAAGTCATCATCATGTATCAGCTCAGAATTCTTAAGCTAAACAATTACTTCAGTCACAGCCCTATCAAAGAGATGACAATACTATATACATTCATAGTAGTTCTATCTAACCTATGCTGATGTAATTCAAGCTTCAAAAAATAGATCAATTAAAGATTATTACACAAATGAATACAAAAACAGAACACAATCAATAGCACCACAAGGTCCACAATAAAGACAACATTGGAAATAATAATTATCTTAAAGCTGATATCAATATTCACAGACACGTATACATATTTATTTAAGGAATACTTCAAGAACAACTATTTTTAGAGAATCGAGATGGTATGATATGATAAAATCTCTTCATTGTTGTTCGTGCTGCTCCAAGACACTACAAATCATTGGTTAGTGAATCATTTACCATATCGTAGGTTTTGCTCCGAAAAGGCGGAATAGAGTTCAGACCCGCCGTAGATGGCGACGAAGATTTTGCCGTCGGGACAGATTCCCAAATAGATCCCATGCTATCAAATCAAAAACGTAATTGATTCGATTGACTCTGGTACCACCTTCACAACGAGAAGATCAAGTCCGCGATTAGAGAGATCAACACTTCTCGTTCTTCGCTAGAGAAACTCCCCACAGAGATGTCGATAGAGACCATCCTTTGCGACACATTTTTTCTTTGAGACTGTTTTTAAGAAAAAAATGAATCATTCAAAGTTCCACCTCAATAGGTGGTATTTTCCCAGTCCTCTTTTTCAATTAAAAAAAGTAAAACAAGTCTCCTAAAATCACTTATAGTAAAAATTTTAAAAAGAATTGTTATGTTTTGAATAACAGTGGATTTGATATGATATTTACAAATTGTTGATTGAATAACAAAAGATTGTGAATTATTTTAAGTGATTTTAGGTAAATTCCAACTTCAATAACATAGGATTTGAGAACAAATTTAAAAATCAACAGTTGAATAACAGGGGATTTTAATAAAAAACCAAAATCATCTAAAATTCTTCATCCAATACACCTCCCTAAGAATGTATTTATAAAAGAAAATCACAAATGTATTGATTTTGAAGTGGCAAATCCAATTTTTTTTAAGAAAGTAACAATTGAAAAGATTTGGTTGACAAAGTGGCATTTTCAACAATAATCCCTTTTTTTTTTCTATTGAGTTAAAAACCAGATAAAGGTCTCAAGATCTAGGGTGTATGATCAATCCTGCAATTAGAAAAAGAGAACACATTAACATTCGAGGACCTGTATGGAATATCGATTATAAAAATCATATGATAATAATCAGAAGCAAACATAAAGATACTCGAGGTTAAAGACGAGGTTGAAAACAGAAGCAAACACAAACACAAAGATTAAAGCCTTATATACATATATATATATATATATATTCAAGAAAACAATGATTAACCAGATACAAAAGTGAATATAATAATAATCTCTCTCAACCAATACATATAATTAGTAATTAATTAGGAAGAAAAGAAAGAATCCATCACCTTAAAATTAAGAGGGAGCTGGTCTGCAAAAGATGGGATGAATGTTTCTTTGCCATGCCTTGCGCTCAGCCTTAGCTTGATACTCCACAAGCTCTCCATGAGGAGACTCCTTTGCCATGAAAGTAATATAACCTTTGATTCCATAGCTCATTTGCACCACGACCCTCACTATATGATCAAGCGTAACCGTCTTATTCTCTACTTGGTTGTATTTGTCAATAGCCACATTGGCCATAATCTCCATGTACTCACGCCCCGTCACGTTTGGCTTGAAGAAGAGGGCATCCAGATCGAGACCGCGTAATCCGTGAGTAAGATGTTTAGGAAACTTATCTTTATCCACCTTGAAACCCTGTAACCCCACACACAAGACCAACAATTTTACACAAGATTCAAGCTTTTTACCAAGATTCAACTTTTACGAATTTTTTAGGGTGAATCGTTCGTTTCAACAAACCTGGCTCTCGTGGTAATGGCGCGCGTATCGACGAAATTCCAATTCCTCTTTATCCTCGGGAGGCTCATCAGGTGACTCGTAGTCTGATCCTTCGAAACTATCGAAACCCCAAACCTGGTCGTCGCTTTCACTGTCTCTCTCCTCTTCCTCGCATCCTTCATCCGGTGAAATCGTTTCGGCCTTGCGTTTTCCACAAGACGAAGAGAGATCCGAGCAAGATGCATCCATCACCTCCGGCTCAATCGTATCGACATCACTGGATTTGGGATCCATTCTTTCCCAAGTAAAACCCTAGAATTCTAAGACTCGGACAAGTTGTTAGCCAAGACGACGATAGGCCCAACTCCTCCTTCTAAACGTGGCTATTTACTATAATGCCCTGGTGTTTCAGTTTTCTTGTCTTTTTAAATATATATAGTCATTAATTTTTTATTTTTTTATTTTAAATTTTAATTTGGACCAGAATTAATAAGTGGATTCTTACAAGCCAACTTTTAAAGACACACGTTTAGTCATATATAGAGAAAATAGTGTAAAATCACGTTTAATTTATTTGATTTGAGATCTCGGCTCGATACATCTTTAAAGTACGTAATTACACTTTTAAGGAAACATAAATCTCGATAAGTAAAATTGTGTAAAATCAAGTTTAATTTATTTGATTTGAAACCTCGTCTGGATGCATCTGACATTCTAAACCTAACCCTAATCCTAGGCAACACTCAGACTATTTACATAAATGCCATTTTATTATTCTTTTAAATTAAAATCCCATTAAAGGTTCTATTCTATGCTTGTGCTTTGAACTTCTGTTCTACACGTGGATAAAAAGAATTCACCTTTCCCATTGACACATTGGACAAACTTTTCTATTTTCAGTTACTAATTAAATTTAAAACTGATGTTTGTGAGTAGAATTGACAAGTGACAACTTTATAATTGATTTTAAAAAACAAATTAAAAGAGAAGTAAAATATTAACCAGAGATATCTCACTTGTCCCATCAAAAAAAGTCGTTTTGTTTTGATGAGAGATCAAAAGCTAAATTTTCGAAGAAATTGATCTGTCTACTGATGAATTGAAAGTGAATTTTACACAAAATTAGAAGCTGTATCCTTTGTTTGAGTCATTGATGGAGTATATTATTAGTAGGCACAATTAACAACATCGAAATTAACCCCACAAACATAGGCTGATAAAACGATCGATCATAGCAAAAAATATCAATTAATATTTTGTAATCAAGTTAATTTTGTAGTTATCCTTCAAAAATGATCGAAAGTAGATTTTACATCATGTTAAAGTTCAAGTTATTCTTTCAATTTCGTGTGGTGATCATATTTTTCTTGTCAATACATGCATCAATTCAATTTTGATTATCAATTGAGGAAGAGATGTTTGATCACGTGATGGAGTGTGAGCTTGTCAATCGTCATCAAGTAATGGAGCCCACAAAAAGATTTTGCTACAGAAAATAATCTTTGAATATACCAATGTTAACATTTTCTAAATAGCCCACAAAAAGAATGTTATTAGAAATAATAATAAACATTTCCGTCTTTAAATACTTAATATTTTTTCATTGCATCATTTGCTTTTTATTTTCTAAATTGATCATTTCAAGTTATTATTTGGATATACGTTGTTACGTTAATCCATGTTCTCACCTTTTTCAACTTGTTAAACTGTTCTCAACTTCTCATCATTTTCAAGTTATAGCTGTACCTGCAGGTGTAAAAAAACTAAATTGTTAGTAATCTATTAGCTAATTAAAACTTAGGAAAGTCAAAACTCGTTGTTCTTTTGGATAAATTTGTGGAGTTGCTATAGTGTAAATTCGCAATTTGATTTGCTTTTAAAACCCTAAGGCTAACTCTTCATACTCAGGCTATTTACAAAAATGCCATTACTGTGTATTGGTACCTTTTTTTTTGGTAGGATGTGTATTAGTACTAATCACACTAATATGTTGGTGCTTTTGTATATTTTCCACTCGTGGATAAAAGAATATATACTAATTTTCATATTTCCATTTGACAAACTTTGATATATATCCTCTTAAGATTTTTAAAAATCACTTGGTACATGGTACTACGATTAGATTAATTGGAGATATAGTTGGTAAAAGTTTGGATCTGTTATAAACCACATGTTGGATGGACTCCATAACCGTGGACCTTATGCATATTCTAGAAGGCCCATGTCCATGTCCTAGAAGGCCCATGCCCATGTTCTTGAAGATTCTCCTTATGACGGCCTATATTGTACTTAGTGGGCTTTTGGGCTTTAGGGTTTACTAGCCCAATGGGGATTTGTCTCCCCTCATCATGTATATATATGTATCGAAATCTCATTCATTAATCAATAGAACAACACAGTTTACAACACGTTATCAGCACGACTTGCTCTTAACGAAAACCCTAAAACCCTAACCCTAAACATCGCCGACACTGTTCATCTCGGTACTGTTCATCGCCGTACTGTTCATCGCCGTACTGTTCATCGCCGTACTGTTCATCGCCGCACTGTTCATCGCGGGTACTGTTCATCGCGGCACTGTTCATCGTGGTACTGTTCATCGTGGTACTGTTTGCGGTTCGTTGCAGCAGCGTGAGTTACCGAGGTCTTTAGCTCCCGGTTCTAGTCCATACAACCCCATAAGGTGAAAGGTAACATCAAAACCCTAAAGCTAAAGAACCAACAATTGAACTTGAAAGTTAAGCAAAGAGAAACCCTAAAACGAATGATGATTGATTAAGTGATTGCTTTGCTTGTATGATTTGATTGCTTGTTTGATCCGATTGCTTGTTTGCTCGATTAGGTTGCTAGAAAAAGTTGATTATCGCTTAAGCTAAACTCGCCTAAGTTGCTAGAGAAGTTTTAATTGTCTAAACCTAAAATCGCAAAACGAAAATACATAAGCTAATAACCGAAACTTTAAAGGTCTAAAAACCTAAAACCTAAAACGAATCTAATCCAAAAAATTCCATAAGTTTAAATCGGCTTGATTGAGATTGTTTAGGTTGTTAGATTGTTTGCTCCTTTGATTGATTACATGCTTAACACCCTAAAACTAAAATTGCATGAACCCTAGAAAACTTAGAAAAGATAATCCTAAAAGAAATCTCAAAACCCTAAAACCTAAAATCCTAAATAAAATAGGAAACCCTAAAATCTAGGAAACCTTAAAATCCTAAATAAAATAGGAAACCCTAGATAATAGAAAATCTTAACAACCCTAAATCCTAAATAGGGAATCTTAAAATCTTCAATAAAATAGGAAACTTTAAAATTCTAATAGAAAGCATGAAAACCTAAATAAAATCCTAAATCCTATTGTACTCTAAATCCTAATTAAATTAGGAAATTCATAAATCCTATTCAAGATAGGAAAACTTTAAGAAATAGAAAATTTCCAAATCCTAATTAAAATAGGAAATCTTAAAATCTAAAATCATAAGTGAAATAGGAAAATTAATCCTAAAGTAAAGAGGAAAGTAAATCCTAAAAAGGAAAAGGAAAAGTTAATCCTAATAAAAAGAGGAAATCTAATCCTAAGCAAAAGAGGAAAGTCAAATTCCTAAGTAAATCGATTCATGGTTCGGTCTCAAATACCGCATGACACTAACGATTACATGATTTTGACTCAAAACTTTTTCTTGTAGATGTTGAATTACAACTTGTACTTTACTGCCCTAAATTTCTTAGGAGATAATTATTTTAAAATGGGCAATGGATACTAAGATTATCCTAAAGTCAAAAGGACTTGGTGAATGTATCTAATAAGGCAAGAATGCCAAGAGAGAAAGATAGATACAAGACAATATTAGACACCATCTTATTGAGAGTCTCATAATCCAGGACTATAAGTTCGTGGATGAGTCTATTGCTAGATGAAAAAAAAAATAAAAATAATGACTTACAGATAAAAACAGTGAGTTACGACCTCATAGATTAACCCCATTACCTAATGCCAATAAGGCCGCAGAGGATAAGAAAGAATCCAAAGAATCTAACCACGTCTAAAGTGATAGACCACACGGCCGTGACCGTGGTGGATGGAAAGGACGTGGTTGTGGCCACTATAACTCATCCGGCCGTGGGAACCACTATAACCGTGGATGTAGACCCAATTCCGGCCGTGGTCGAGGGCGAGGACGATGTGGTATTTCCAAACCACAACACTCGACCAAATGAGTATACCATAGATATGGAATGGGAAACCATTGGGCTAAGATATGTAGGACTTCCAAACATCGTTGTGACCTCTATCAAGAGAGTGTAAAAGGGAAGAATCCTAAAGCCCATTTGGTATATAAAGATGGTGAACATGATCAAGATGATCTAATAGAGTATGAAACTTCTGATTGCATAAAAGAATCAAGTTGATAAATCTTACTTCGACATCAAAACCTCTATGTTTTTCTTTGCATTTTATGTGTTCATTGATTGTTATTTGCTTGAATTTATTTTATATTATTTTATGTTTAGAACATGATTCTTGTCCATATAAGAAATGGCCGAGGACAAGAACATAATTGTGGTGGATAGTGGAGCCACACAAAAGATAAGAGATATTTTCCTAAATCTCATAATGAAAAATGCCAATATTAGCACCATAGCGGGTATAGCTAGTCTTATTGAGGGCCATGGTCATGCCCATATACTTTTATCAAAGGGCACGCATCTTGAAATAAGCGATGCCCTATATTCACCCAGCTCGAAGAGGAGCTTGTCAAGTTTCAAAAATATAAGATTGAATGGTTTCCATATTGAAACAAAGGGTGAAGGGAACAAAGAATTCCTAAATATAATTGAGATCACCCAAGGACATAAGAAAGTCCTAAGAGACTATACCCGCATTATCCACTGGTCTCTACTATGCTAAAATCGATATGATCGAAGCTAATATGGCAATGAACAAAGAGTTCATCGAGAAATTCACTTTATGGCATGACCGGCTTGGCCATCCGGGTCATAGTATGATGCGTAAACTAATAACTAATTCAAAGGGGCACACCCTAAGAGAGAAAAGAGTTATCCCTAAGAATCTCACGTGTGAAGCATGTTCACAAGGGAAACTCATTATAAGGCCATCACCGGCTAAGGTAAATAAAGAGACCTTAAAATTTCTGGAAAGGATACAAGGAGATATATGTATGGTCCTCATTGATGCATCGACAAGATGGTCGCATGTTTGTCTCCTATCTACTAGAAACCAAGTGTTTGCTAGGTTATTGGCCCAGATAATAAGACTGTGAGCCCACTTTCCAGATTTTCCGCTTAAGACTATACGTCTAGACAATGCCGGTGAATTCACGTCCCAAGCGTTTAATGACTACTGTATGTCCATGGGGGTAAGTGTGGAATATCCCGTAGCACATGTACATACACAGAATGGATTAGCGGAATCCTTCATTAAACGAATTCAATTGATAGCTCGACCATTACTCATGAGGTCGAAGCTCCCAGTAGCCGCTTGGGGACACGCTGTTTTACATGCATCAGAACTTATACGCATAAGGCCATCTAGTGAACATAGATATTCACCATCCCAATTACTTATGGGTCATGAGCCAGACATATCCCATCTAAAGACTTTCGGGTGTGCCATATATGTACCGATTGCTCCACCACATAGAAACAAAGATGGGACCTCAAAGGAGGATGGGAATATATGTTGGATTTGATTCTCCCACCATTATTAAGTATCTAGAGCCAACTACGGGTGATCTATTTAAGGCTAGATACGCGGATTGTCATTTGAATGAATCCGAATTTCCTACTATAGGTGGAGAGACGAACAAGCTGGGTAAAGCAATAAAAGAAATATAATAAAATCAAACATCCTTAAATTGGCAAGATCCTCGGACTCTGGCATGAGAATCAGAGGTCCATAAGATTATACATTTGAAAAGCTAGCTAATCAATTGCCAGATTCCTTTGCTGACCCAAAGAAAGTTACAAAAACGTACATACCAGCTTGTAATGCACCAGTACGTATTGATATCCAAAAGGGAATCAATGAAATTGCTACCGAGTCTAACACACGAAAGAAACGTGGTAGACCAATAGGTTCCAAAGATAAAAATCCTCGAAAATCAAAGAAAGGTGCAATAGGAATCCGAGGTTACTAAGGAAACCATCCCAGACATGGAGATAAGGCCGGCCGGCTCTAAGGTACAGGTACCATATAATGTAGTTTGGGACGCCAAGCTGCAAAGTATTAAAGGTCCTGACCATAATAAATCTCAAATCGATTATATCATGTCTGGAACATAATGGAACATATAAGAAATGTCGACATAAGATGATTTTGCATGCAAGGTAGCACTTGAATTTATGAATATAAATGAGGATCAGGAGCCCACGTCTATACTAGAGTGCACTCAAAGACTTGATTGATTAAATGGTACAAGACCATAAAACGTGGAGCTAAGAATCATTAAGAAAAGGAATGAGTTTGGTCCGACCTTAAGGACACCATTCGATGTAAAAACCAGTAGGACACAAATGGGTCTTTGTGAAGAAGAGAAATGAGAATAATGAAATCGTGAGATATAAGGCACGGCTTGTAGCACAAGGATTCTCACAAAGACCGGGGATAGATTATGAAGAAACATACTCCCCTGTGGTGGATGCTAAGACATTTAAATTTTGCTAAGTCTGGCTATATAAAGAAAAAGACTTGATTTGCGGCTAATGGATGTAATGCCTGCATATTTATATAAGTCCACTGGATGATATATATGAGATTACCAGAGGGTATTGAGCTCAAAGATAAAGATAAGAAAGGGTCTCGAGACCAATACTGCATAAGGCTGAACAAATCGCTTTATGGACTGAAACAAAGTGGACGCATGTGGTACAATAGATTAAGCGAGTACCTAGTCAGAGAAGGTTATAAGAATGATCCCATCAGTCCATGTATCTTCATAAAGAAATTTGCAAACGAAGGGTTTGTGATAATAGCAGTATATGTGGATGATTTGAACATCCTTGGAACCTCTGGGGAAATCGCCCAAACAGTCAAATATCTAAAGAAAGAATTCGAGATGAAAGACCTAGGCAAGACAAAATTCTGTTTGGGATTGCAACTTGAGTACGTGAATAATGGAATCCTTGTGCATCAAAAGGCATATACTGAAAAAGTACTCAAGAGATTCAATATGGACCAGGCCCACCCATTGAGCAGCCCAATGGTGGTGAGAAGCCTCGGATTGGATAGTGATCCATTCGGTCCAAAGAAGGATGAGGAAGAAGTTCTCGATCCTGAAGTGCCATACCTTAGTGCCATAGGAGCGTCAATGTACTTGGCTAGCCACACTAGACCAGACATATGTTTTGCCGTGAACCTCCTTTGCCTAAATTTAGTTCATGATCAACCCAAAGGCACTAGAAAGGTTTGAAGGAAGGTTTGGTTAAATTTTAAATTCTATTCTTCCTATGTTTGTTAGTTGGGTTTTATTCTATACTGATCTAACCAAAGAAGGTCTAGTTTGCTTTGGTTTAGTTTGTTTTGCTGATGCAGGTAAAATCAGATTATGGCATGGTCAATAGATAGGAACTACGTGTGGCTTGATCCCTTCCAAGGGTACGTAGGCAGCCTTCTTCAAGGCGCAGCTACTACAACATCAAAGACCATCATATGAGGAGACAACACAGCCTGTATCGCTCAGCTCAAGGACGGCTACATCAAGGGAGATCGGACGAAGCACATTCTAACAAAGTTCTTCTTCACGCATGACTTGCAAAGGGATGGAGAAGTTCGAGTGGTACAAGTTCGATCCAGCGACAACTCAGCCGATCTCTTTACCAAGGCATTACCAACATCGACATTGAGGAAGCTCACGCATCAAATTGGAATGCGGAGACTTAAGGACTTGCAGGGATGACCAAAACAGGGGGAGTAATACGTGCTGTACTCTTTTTCCTTAACCATGGTTTTGTCCCAATGGGTTTTCCTGCTAAGGTTTTAATGAGGCAGCATCCCCAAGCGTATTACTGAGATCCTTTGGCATCTACACGGTTATGTCATCCAAGGGGGAGTGTTATAAACCACATGTTGGATGGACTCCATAACCGTGGACCTTATGCATATTCTAGAAGGCCCATGTCCATGTCCTAGAAGGCCCATGCCCATGTTCTTGAAGATTCTCCTTATGACGGCCTATATTGTACTTAGTGGGCTTTTGGGCTTTAGGGTTTACTAGCCCAATGGGGATTTGTCTCCCCTCATCATGTATATATATGTATCGAAATCTCATTCATTAATCAATAGAACAACACAGTTTACAACAGGATCCATATTGTCAAGACGTTGTTTTTTTCATGCTCTACTTAGACTCAATTATAGAAATGATTAGCTAAAGTCTGGGTCTCTTAACAAGACTTTATTTTTGTTACCGATCACGAACATTTAACATGGTAAAACACATTATGAGAAAACAAAATGGTAAAAGAATTATTAATTTTTTAAAAAGATTCCCAAACAAATTAATTTTCTTTTCTTTTTTATACAAGTTGAAATTTTTAGTGAACACAGACGGAAAATACCTAGACTTTTAATAAAATACCTAAATAAAAGTTTTAATTAATGAAAAACCGAAATTATATTCAACATTGTGGGTTTTGTTTTCTCTCCCAGAAACAAACAAGAAAAAGGAGACATCGATTGTTGTAATTTCCTTTTCTGTCTGCTCACTCTGACTTTCTATTTTACAAGCCAACAAATGCTCAGTCGCCGAGACTCGCCCTGAAACAACCACCTTCCGTTCTAGGGTTCGACGAAAGCTCATCACTTTACTTCGCTGTCAAAGTCTCCGACGTCTCCTCAAACGCTCACTTCACATCCTCAGGTGATCCCAAATTTTTCTCGGTAACACAAAATCCCAGAGGACTCAAAAACCTTGCCTTTTCTTTCTTTCTTTCACCGGCGACTCTCCCTGTGTTTCCCGACTTTTTGTTGTTAAGAGAAAAACAAAGCTAAAATGAAAAACAAAAAAAAATGCAACCTTTTTGAAAACCCATTTTCTGTTTTTCCTTCTTTTGCTTTCTCTTTGTAGATCTTAAGTGTAGCTGGGTTTGTTCTCATGATTACTTGTTTTATTTGCTTATCTAACTATAATAAGTTTCAGAAATGAAAATCCAAACAAAAATGCAACCTTTTTGAAAACCCTTCTTTTGCTTTCTCTTCGTAGATCTTAAGAGTATGTGGGTTTGTTCATATGATTACTTGTTTAATTTTTGCCATTTTCTTATCTAACTATAATAAGTTTCAGAAATGGAAAAAGGCGACTCTTCGTCCATCGGAGCTAAACCCAAGGGGCAAAGACCTCAGCCTCAAGCTCAAGCTGGGAGGAACCAAAACGAGCCACCTGTAGAAGATGCTGGAGGGGTATATATGCAAGACGCTGACTTTTTTGGTTTTTCTTACACATATAAAAAGTATATAAAAATCTCTAGTCCTCATTTTTAATCTGTCTTTTAGGAATTTGGAGATGGTTCCCAGTTGTCTAAAGATTGGAGGACATTTGTAGGGATTGTTTGTGAAGTCATAAAGCAATCCGGTGGTATAAAATTATACTATAGTATATAGAGCAGTTTAAATATTTCTTGTGATTGTAGCTAGCTATTTATATTGTAATTATGATATAATCTATAACTGTTGTTGTGCAGCAACATGCTGGGCGATTGTGTTAACTCGTCTCCTCCAAGCAATCTTCAACATCAATCAAACTCATGTGGCAAACTATAAAACGTTTCTATACGAAGATTTAGTTAGTCACCTCAAACCGGATACAAAGAAAAAGGGAAAGAAAGTAGCATCTTTGGAACTTAATAATATTCAAGCTGCTCTGAATCACATGCGTAAGGAAGGGTTGCTCAAGGTTAAAGCTTCAGGAACTTAATAGTACTTAGATTCAACAATCTTCCATCACAAACTGTTAGTTCATTCTACTTCTCTCACATGAGTTTATATAAAAAAAAATCATAGCATTTAATAATTACCAATGATGTCAATTTCCCAGTTGATGCATCAGCTAGCACACAATCCATAGTTTTTAACGAGGGATAAAAATGCAGATCAATTCATGTAGAGTGACAAAATCTACCTAGGAAAAGAAAGATAGAGAAACTAAACAAGAGATGATTTGAAGATAGTTTCACACCTTTCTTCGGTGGGCAGAGGATTGGGTAAGTATCTGGCAGGAATAGGTTTCATGGCAAGAGCTGGTCTGCAGAGAATGGCATGAGCATTTCTCTGCCACACCTTCCAGTCAGTCTTGGCTTGATACTCAATGAGATCACCTTGAGGAGACTCCTTAGCCATGAACGTCACGTAGGATTTGATTCCAGAGCACATTTTAACCACGGCCCTCACAACATGGTCAAACATGACATCGGTTTGATTGTGTTGGTTGTACTTGCTAAGAGCCAACTTGGCCATATTGTCCATGTACTCACGTCCCGAGATGTTGTGCATAAACTTTTTATCGAAATCGAATGGACGACACCCATGAAAAGATCGATCTGGAACTATTTCACTATCCACCTTGAAACCCTAAACAACAACCACCATTAATTCTTAATTAGCTAACGCACATCTTCCAATCAGCACAAATATCAGAGAGAGATGAAATTAGCATACCCGGCTGTTGTAAAGATGGCACAAATACCGATTCCATTCAAAATCCACATCATCATCACTCTGCTCGGATTCATAGTCTGTTTCATCGAAGCTATCGAATCCCCAAAGTTGGTCGTTTTCGCAGCTGTCTTCATCTTCGTCCTTCTCCTCCTCCTCCTCCTCCTCCTTCTCCTCCTCCTCGTCTTCGCTCAAATCAACAGAATCCGCATCGATCTTGCGTTTTTTCTGAATCGAACCGTTATCTTCACTAGACGCCTCCGTGGATTCCGTCGTCTCGCGCTCGCTGCTTTTTTCTCCGTCAGTCATGTCGCCGTCGCTTAGATTCGTAGCCATTATCGAGAATAAAACCCTAATTTCCTCTCAGAAAAGAAAACGTCTTTGTCTTTTTGGTATCGCGATGGAAATAAATATCTCCGTGGCGAAAATATATGACCTCCAAAAACTTGGTTATTACACTAGTGCCATCGCATTAACACCACTCAACTACTACTCCTTTCTTTTTTTCCTTTTTTTTCCGTTTTGATCAAAAAAATTTAATTTTATGTTCACGATGAGGCTTTATAATTTTTTTTTTTTTAGGCTTTATAATTTTGTGGCAACTATAGTTTGTGAAAAATAAATAAGAGATTTATCTTTTGAAAGTACAGCTGTATATTTATCCTTTCTCTGTCTTCTGATAAGCTGTTTGGAAATGAGGAGAAACATCGAACATGTAATAAAAGTTGATTTGAGATTGGTATCATTTCCTACAAACCATGATAAAAATAATATCAAACATTTCAAAAACATTTCTTACAAACCATGATAAAAATAAATAGTTGAATTTTTACGTTCCAAATTTTCTGAGTACGCATAAAGTAGATGAATCCATATCGATACACTTGGTCAAACATTTTATTTAATATCACATATTGTTGTTGTTATTATTAACACTCCCCAAAAAATCACAAAACCTGACTTAAAGAAATCAAATAAAACAAACCTAATATGATATCACTATGTATTTTTACTCATTTAGGTTATCAAGAAAAGCAAGAAAATAATTGAACATTAAAATCACAAAAATACATATTTTCTATAAAATTTATATTACTTGATTCATGATTTTCGAAGAAGAAAAAAGATCGATAACATGGTGTGGACTGTGGATAGAAAAAAATGAGCAAAAAAGGTAGAGAACCAATGCAACTAAACCGGCGAAAAGCTCCGGTTATCTGATCGCAAAATCTCAGTACTTGCCCGCAAATTGGCAACCATCCCGTGTTTGCGTTTCCTCTTTTTCCCACTTGTGCCACTGCCATCACCGCTTCCAGTTGATGCATCTAGAAGCACACAATTTCAATGTTTTTCTTTTTAACAATTATTGGGGATAACACAACTACTGACAAAATCTACCTAGGAAGAGGGATAAAGAAACTAACTAAACAAGAGATTTGAAGAAAGTTTCTCATACCTTTCTTCTCGTGTTTAGGAGTCGGTGGGCAGAGGATTGGGTAAGTATCTGGCAGGAATAGGTTTCATTTGAAGAGCTGGTCTGCAGAGAATGGCATGAGCATTTCTCTGCCACGCCTTCCACTCAGTCTTGGCTTGATACTCGATGAGATCACCTTGAGGAGACTCCTTAGCCATGAAAGTTATGTAAGATTTGATTCCAGAGCACCTTTTCACCACGGCCCTCACAACATGGTCAAACATGACATTGGTTTGATTGTGTTGGTTGTATTTAGCAAGAGCCAACTTGGCCATATTGTCCATGTACTCACGTCCCGAGATGTTGAGCATAAACTTTTTATCGAAATCTAATGGACGACACCCATTAAAAGATCCTTTTGGAACTATTTCACTATCCACCTTGAAACCCTAAACCATTAATTCTTAATTAGCTAACAGATTCTTCTAACGCACGTATTCGCCAATCAGCACAAATATCAGAGAGAGAGATAATTAAGAGGAAATTAGCATACCCGGCTCTTGTAAACGTGGTACAAATACCGATTCCATTCAAATTCCACATCATCATCACTCTGCTCGGTATCAAAATCTGTATCATCGAAGCTATCGAATCCCCAAACTTGGTCGCTTTCGCAGCGGTCTTCATCTTCGTCCTTCTTCTCCTCCTCCTCTTCTTCTTCGCTTAAAACAACAGAATCCGTATCGATCTTGCGATTTTTCTGAATCGAACCGTTATCCTCACTCGACGCCTCCGTGGATTCCGTCGTCTCGTGCTCGTCAGTCATGTCGCCGTCGCTTGGATTCGTAGCCATTATCGAGAATAAAACCCTAATTTCCTCTCACAGAACGTTTTTGTCCGTCCTTTTGGCATCGCAATGAAAATAAATATCTCCGACGCGAAAATATATGACCCTCCAAATACTTGGTTATTACACTAGTGCCATCGCATTAACGCTACTCAACTACTCATTCTTTTTTTTCTTTTTCTTTTTTCCTTTCCATTTTTTTCGTTTTGGTCAAAAAAGTTTAATAATTTGAAAGTACAACTGTATTTTTCAATTTTTTTTTACTGAAATGGCTCAATAATATTTGTGTGGATTTTGGTCTTTCTTTCATTTCAGAATTATGGTGACTTTTCTTTTAAGAGATCTATGCAACAGCGAAATATTTTATGCCAAGAAATTGGACTGGTAGTTACATATAGTTTGGTTTACACATTTATGATCGTCCACTCTTGAGAGTTAAAGGACAAACTCACAAACATATAAAACTGAAAAAGACATCTAGATTAACCCATAAATGATATATAAACCAACTACTTTGGTTCAGTAGATTACAACAATAATAAGAGGTCTTAGACTATGTACATGGGCGATACTTTTAAAGTATCAGAAGCCCAGAAATTAATTTTTAATGGAGCAAACAATTAAAATGGGACTGATACGTATCAGTTTTTGATACTCAGTATCAAGTGACGTGTCATCTTCTGATTTGTTGCGTTTTGTCGAAAGGAGGAAAAAAAAAATTTATTTTGGAGGTCGAACTCTCCTCTCACGCGATCGGCGGAGGCTAGGTTTCAGATCAGAGCGTGTTCTGGATTGAAAAAGAAGCTATGTTGATGAATCAAGAGAAAATCCAGAAGCTTCAAGGAGAGAATCGGTAACGTGTTTATTGTTGCTCGGTGAGAATGGCGTCATGAATCTCGACACAACAGGTCTTGTTGTTCTTGTGTCTAAAACCACTTATAGACATTGCAGAACATCAAGCTTGTGCTTAACGATGATGAACTGAACTTCAAGCTTCTCCATCCTCCACGTTAGTGTTCTGTTCTTTCATTCGAGACAAAAATAGAGGGACGTCGTGTTATAGCTTGAGAAATACAAGGTTGTTGGTTTAGATTCATAGGATACAAGGTTATTGGTTTAGATTCATAGGATTGGAATCAAGAAATAGATTTGCTTGATTGGGTTTGATAAGAATGGGTTTATGGCTGCAAAGTTTCTGGTTTTTGCTGAGCGCACACAAGGTGTTTGATAAATTGCCAAAGAGAAAAACGGATTGGGTTTATGCAAATTTTAGCTGGCTGATGGATGAGATTCAAATAGTGAGTATGATTTAAGGGGTTGTGGAAGATAAGTAAGACAGTTGGTGTCTTCATAGCTTAAGGTCTATAAGTAAGACAGTTGGTGTCTTCATAGCTTAAGGTCGATAAGTAAGACAGTTGGTGTCTTAAGGTCTTTAATTAGAGTATTTGTGGACTCAATTCATCAATTCCTTCATAAGAAGCTATGTAACCAAAAGAAGAAAAATGTCAAGGAAGTGAATGATATCTCTTGTGATCATTCTCTTTTGTTGTCTTGCAGGTTGAAGTTTTAAAGTTAAATGAAGAAGCTTTAAAGTTAAATGTCAAGAAAGTGAATGATATCTTTTTCTTTTTACCCACTTTTACTTTATATTATGTTATCCGGCAATTGAGAATGGGCATGATGATGATGTTGATGATGATGTGAGATATTGTTTGAAATTGTAGGAGACTACTCTTGGATGAAAAGATGAGAGAAAGACAAGTTGTTGGTGCCGAGAAGTTGATACAGCTCTTGCATCCGTCAGAAGACAGAATGGGCAACTCCATTCATTGCACTGGTTTGGAATCTCATCGATATACACCAAGCATTTTAGCAGCTTCGACTATTCTTAGTTATGTCAAGCACTAAAAACTCTCGTGAGTCATATTCCTTGCTTGTAACACTTAAGTTTTTTTGGTCATACATTGTCATCACTCATAAGGACCCCCTTGTTTGATACTAGAGTCACTCAGATTATTTTCTCAGCTCTATTACTCTTGCTATAGGTTGGAATTTTTATCATAAGAGTACTAACATATGATAAATTACAGTAAAGGGGATTATGATCCTTGTCGATTAGATTATCTCAGCTTGTCGATTACATATAACTCTGTTTCGGTTTGCTCTGTAACTTGATTTATGACTTATAACTTTGTTTTATTTTAGATTTGGTTTTTGGATTTTTAAATTTATTTATCATCATGTTTTTTTTTAAGTTTTTTTTAATTTTATGTTTTATTTTGCATAAGTATATTCTACGTTTTTTTATTGTAATATTATCTTTTGTAATCCTATGTTTTTTTAGATTTATTTTTGATTTTGCATTTTTTTTTTATGATACTTAAACCGGTCTCACCAATGCAAACATATTTAGTAGGAGTATCATAAAAAATCTCAAACAATAAACAAATATTATAAATAATACTAAAAAATTCCTAATGATACTATATGAGTATCACCTATAACCATGCTCTTAAAGCTTTTGAATAATTAAATCCATTACAACAGCATAATAGCTTATAATTTTTACGAGGACAACTCTTTTTTAACTCGGTTTTTAATCATGGCAACAATAGCAGGATCCACACCATATATTTTGTTCAATAGTTTGGGAAATGTTTTATTTTGTTAGCCTGGGAGCGAAGTTGGGTATAAGGCAAAGTGGGATTTTGCTACCATATGTTCAATGCTGGAGTTGACATAATTAAAGCAAAGGTGGATATCTCTCCTGTTGGGATAGTTTTTGACCTCACTCCCGAATTTTGTAGCCTTAAAAAGGTAATTTAGTTGTCAAGATTTATTTCATCAAGTCTTTTCACACACATGTGTATATATTATATACTAAGTTTTACCAAAAAATAAAACCCGGGTATCTACACCGTACGTGGCACGAACATGGTGGAAGGACAGATGGGGAACATAGACCGACATATGCTTATCATTGTCGTAGGTTACGGCTACACGAAAGAGAGAAAACTATTCTTCGTAGATGATATCTCCAATTTCATGCTTATTTACCCGTGTTAGGCTTGGTAGATCATGATTTAGAAACAAGCTGTCAGTTTTTTTGGGATGAATATCATAGTGATATACGTTTTGTTACGTTGGTTATGTTAATCTAGTACTCATATTTTCTTCTACTTTTTTGTTAATTAGATGTTTGGAGTTTCGTAAAACCACAGAATGAATGAGCATGTAAAATGATTAATAACCAGAACCAGCGAGCTCAATGGCATCACTTACCTGCAATTAGAGAAAGAACAAAACAAATATCATTGGCAATTAGATCATCATAAACCATAAAATTCATCACACCTTTTTTATCTGTTTAGGAGTGGGTGGGCAGAGGTTTGGGTAAATATCTCTCTGGAATAGGTTTCATCTCAGGAGCTGGTCTGCAGAGAATGGCATGAGCATTTCTCTGCCACACCTTCCAGTCAGTCTTGGCTTGATACTCAACGAGATCACCTTGCTGAGACTCCCTAGCCATGAAAGTTATGTAGGATTTGACCCCAGTGCTCAATTTCACCACGACCCTCACGACATGGTCAAACACCACATTGGTTTGATTGAGTTGGTTGTACTTATCAAGAGCCAAATTTGCCATATTGTCCATGTACTCACGTCCGGAGATGTTGGGCAGAAACGAACCATTGAAATTGAATGGACGAAACCCTTGGAAAGGCCGATCTGGAATGATTTCACTATCCACCTTGAAACCCTAAACAACAACAACCACCATTAATTCTTAATTAGCTAACAGATTCTAAACATGAAATCGTTTGCGCACATCTTCCAATCAGAGATAAGAGGAAATTAGCATACCCGGCTGTTGTAAACGTGGCACAGATACCGATTCCATTCAAATTCCTCATCATCATCACTCTGCTCGGATTCATAATCTGTTTCATCGAAGCTATCGAATCCCCAAGCTTGGTCGCTTTCGCAGCTGTCTTCTTCTTCGTCCTTCTCCTCCTCGTCTTCGCTTAAATCAACAGAATCCACATCGATCTTGCGTTTTTTCGGAATCGAACCGTTATACTCACTAGACGCCCCTCGTGGATTCCGTCGTCTCGTGCTCGCTGCTTTTTTCCATGTCGGCGTCGCTTGGATTCGTAGCCATTATATAGAGGATAAAACCCTAATTTCCTCTCACAAAACGTTTTTGCATGTCCTTTATTGACATAGCGATTTAGTCCCTATTGGCATAGCGATTATGACCCCTCCAAAAACATGGTTATTACTTATTTTACACTATGGTTGATTTCCATTTTTATCTTACAAACCACGATTAAAAGATTTAAACATCATATATTTATAGGTTCCAATTTTTTTTATTACGCATAAAGTAGAATTTTGAAAGAATTATAAATCATATTAGTAAACATATAATTCTATTTTTTAGGATTTGAATACAAATAGTGACATAACTATATCATACTATTTTTTTTTTGGTCAACCATTGATTTTATGGGTGTCACATATTTTGTTATTATTAACACTCCCAAATAAATCACAAAACCTGACTTAAAAACAAATCGAATAATTTGTTTTATAAATAAATATATATTTTAAGAACTCGTTTTTTTCCTCGCATATTTATAATCGTTTGAAGTGATCAAGAAAAGCGAGAAAAAAACTGAACAACATTAAAATTACAAAAATACACATGTCTCTATAAATATTTAGCCTTGAAATTTGTATTACTTGATTCACGATTTTCGAAGAAGAAAAGGATCGACAACATGGTGGATAGAGAAGATGAGCAAGAAAACGTAGAGAACCAATGCAACTAAACCGGCGATTAAAGCTCCGGTTATCTGATCACAAAATCTTGGTACTTGGCCGCAAATTGGCAACCAACCTGCGTTTGCGTTTCCTCTTTTTCCCACTTGTGCCACTGCTACCGCCGCTGATAAGCTTGACGTCAGCAGCATTGTCACCATCTTGACGATTAATTTAGCATTTACAAATACAAAATGATTAAACACACATATTTATCGAAGATAAGCAGTAAGTCAATAACTAAGAAAATTACAAGTATCATGATTCAAATAATTTTTTTATTTTCCTAAAATGTTTATATCTAAATTGTTATTATCATTATGTTTTTGAATTGTCAACATAGTTAGATCCATTATCTAATTAATAGTAAATTAAAATAAAGTACAGCCAACTGAGTTAATAATTAACATAAGATTGAATCTCGATTCTCCCTTGAATTCGAATTCAATAGCATGAACACTTATAAGCAACTACGAGTTACATGATGATAGGAATGTCTATTTCAGTTAAACCAATGCGTACCGAACCAAAATTAAATTGGTTACGCTCCAGAATGTAATTTTGATACCATTAGGTAAAAAGAAAGAAGTTGAAAGTATAATTAATTACCAAGTCCAACACAACGACGAACTTCCACAATAAACTCTCCTTTGGAAGAAACAGAACGAGAAAGCTATAAACAGTCACAATCGCATTTGCGATCACGAAGTACCTGCCATACATACATGAATGCATAAGTACTTATCATTACAATACATATATATATATATGCTTGTCTAAATCCTAATTAAACACGCAAAATATGAAAAACTTACTTAAACGCAGCCAAATCGCTATACTTAGCTACTAGGGAGATGACAAAGAAGGAAGATCTTTCACGGCTGGTGATCATTGCGATAACCGCTCCTAATGCGGCACAAAATGCCGCAAATCGCAGCACCAACCCACCCAATCTCTGCGTTAACTTCACCATCAGTTTAGTTTTTTTTTTGGATCTCTAGAGAGTTTATAAACTGTAGAATTTAACTATGGAAGGGAAAAGGAGAGAGAGATAATTATGAAAACTAAATCACGAAATATAAACCAAAGTAAAATGAATATGTTATTGATGTGTTGGATGGGTTGGTTGGGTTTTCTTCAACTGTCTCCACCGGTCATGCAATATTTATTTTTTGTTTAAAGATATTTAAAAAGCCAAAGAATAATGAAAACTAAATTTGTAATGAAACCATGGACATTTTTCAAGCTTATATTCTTTAAGTTACTATAGATTAATTCGGTATTATAAGCTTATACAACTCAAATTTCATTTTGGAAAAGGATAATTCCTAATTTGATGACATCATAAAATGAACAAAAAATCTGTTTTGAAGTGTTGTCCTCACTTAGGTGTACCCTCTGGGTTGTTTAGTCTGTAGTTAATGTCTTAATGATTAGCTTTGCTCGTTTTGAGATTCTAGTCTTAAAACTTGCGTGGCTACAGAAACTGTCTCAAAAAGGTTACAAAATTTATGTGTTTGCCTCAACCATTTAGAACTCACTTGACATGATCGTTGTATCTGATGTCATCAATTCTCAGCCAGAAATCTACCTCTTTGCTCCCGTTGATCCTCATTGATGATCTGTTCATTACATTGTTGTGAGTTGTGACAATAGAGAAACTATTGTGTCCCAACTGGTTCTGTTGTTAGCACATGCTGATGGTGTTTCTGCCTTTACGAGTTATGGACCTGCCCATTCTTAAGCGGCGTCCTGTTAGTGAGTCCAGTAGTATGACCAAAGCTTCCTCAACTGCATCAGCTTGTTTGTCTAACTCGTAGCTGCTTAACTGTGGGAGAAGGCTAAGCTCAGATAGGAGTCCAATTGCTGCTGCAGCCGTGCAGGTCCGGTCCCATGATGGTTGTGGTCTGTACGTCAAAGATCAAATGAGGAAGGAGAACACTATTGTGGCAGAGAGAGATTGGACCAGGAACACGAGTAATTTAGAGGTTTGAGACTATTTTTACCGGAGTTTGTGCATTGCTGATGCACCGGTTGCAAGAGATATACAAGGAAGATCTTCATCTCCCCATACTGACTTTGCATGATCCTACAGATGAGTTCATAATTTAAGCATCTTTTCGTTAAGCAAGTTCTTTAGAGAAAGGAAAAAAAAGATGAAATCCATGTACAGTGTGATCAGCCTGTACCTTTAAACGCTTGAGCATTGCAGCAGAATTGTTCCACGTGCCATCAAGCAAAATGAAATGCAGAGTTTTATCCTCATCTGTCTGGGAAATATAGAAAGTGTAGAGTTTGATGTCTATATCCTCCCACAACCTTATCTAATAATTTTTCTGTTTGAAATAAGCAATGAATGAAGAACAGAGAGTGTATAGTCAAAATATTGCAATTTTTACCATGGATGATCCAGGATTCTCTGAAGCCGTAGTACCAAAAGCGTCTTTAACCGAGAAAGTTAATTCCGAGTTGTGGTTGGGATAGAGGCAACGGACTTGATTTTTTCCTGAGCATCCATCAGTACAGAAGACAAATCTTTTAGCAAAATCAATTGAGTGAAATCTATTTAAGATTAAACAAATGCATCTACACTAAGACTAGAAGAATCAACTACCTGCCCGCTTGAATTCATTCCACATGATCTCTTCGTCTTCAGCTAATCCAAAGACGCAGAGTGTAGCTGATTGGACGCCAAATATCTGCCACAATAGCTTCCCTGTGTTGTTCTGGCGTAGGAAATCCTGCCAACAGCTAAACCGCATATCAATACATAGGAACTGACGATTGGAAAAGCCGAGACTGGTTGGTGCAATACTAACCCTAGGATGCATATACAGCCAAAAACGTATACGTTTCCATAAACCACATGGCTTGACATATGAACACATGCAATCCTCCATAGCAAGCCAACACTGCATATTTAGAAAATGTTGCGCCTCTTAGGTATTGAGTTGTTATTCATGGCAAATACAACAATTCAAGAACAGTAAGTAAACGAAGTACCTTCTGGCATAAATAACCCCTGCTTCCGAGCAGCCGACAAGCAATCTGTCGAGCAGAGAAAAACCGGAACTTTTTCTCCGGGTCATCTAATGCTTCATATGTAGCCCTATGCTTCTTATCTTCGTATGCACCAAACGGTCCCTGTGATAGTTGCACAGAAGTATAAGTATCAATAAGCTCACTAACATTTAAGAGCCAAAAGATCAAGTCAATCATATAAACGAGAGGAAGAAACCACTGGCACATCACATAGCACCACATTCGTAAGCATAGGTCAAATCAGGAACGGCGACTCTCTAACTTAGCTTACTACTAGTTTGAACACAAAATTACAAAAACAGATTCATAGTTATCCAATAGAAAGCACTAAACAATCTAAGCATAAACGTAACAAAGGAAACAAGCAAAGCAACGAGGTTTCATTCATCACGATAGTCATCGGCATTTACCTGTAACTTGCCACCATTACCACCAAACTCTATCGGAGAATCCAATTTACACTCCAGAACCTTCAGATCCTCCACAATCTGTTTGACCGCAGCTGGAAGTGGAGACACCGGACCCCATCTCCGCCACTCCTCTACCGAGATGAATCCGTCATCACAACCGTCGAATTCCCTCGGCTGAGAACGAGAATTAGCGGAAGTCATTAGCCGTCTCCGGCCAACTGCTCCGAGATAACGGCTGTGAAACAGTAGAGACGGAGAGAAATCGAGTACGGATGCTCCGGCGATATAACGCATCGTCCTTGCTGTATCGAGCAATATTAATTTTATATTTTACAAGTAATTGAATAATAATGGGCTTAAATGAAACTAAGGCCCAGTAGGCTTATAGCAGTGCCAGTGTGATTGAGAACGTATCCGATATACCTACCTGGTGAATAAGATTTATACAACTTTAAAATAGCGTACTTGGATCGGGCGTCTTGAACAGTAATAATTACTTTCAAAAATGTTGAATTTTCTGAGCTATAAATTGGTTTAGATGGTTCCTAATGAGAATTTGATTTGGATGAAATTTTGACCAAGAATTTCTTTTGACTATATCTTTCTGACACTATAACTAAAACCTAAATTATTACTGTATTTTGTAATTAGCAAGTCCAATTACACAACTAGGAATAATGACAAAAAAATTCGAAAACGAGAAATTTTAATGGGCTTTAGTGAAACTGCGGCCCAATAGGCTTAGAGCTTTTATGTATTTAGATATAAATAATAGGGAATTTAACCAGAATAAATAAATTAAATAATATTAGCTCTCCTCTAACCATATTGTAAAGAAAAAACAAAAAAGATTGATCAAAATCAGTCTTCTTCTTCTATCTCTCATTTTCGATTTTTTTTTTGTTATCTTCTTCTTCTGGATATTATTACGTTTGGGACTCAAGAAGAATCGAATCTTGATTGCTTCTCTCTCTCTCTCTATCTCTATCTCTCTCTACACAACAATGGCTGCTTTCACTTGTACTTCCCGTCCGCCGATTTCAATCCGGTCAGAGATGAGAATCGCTTCCTCGCCGACGGGTTCCTTCTCTACTCGACAGATGTTCTCTGTGTTACCTGAATCCTGCGGATTGAGGACTCGCGTTTCTCTCTCTTCGGTTTCGAAGAATTCTAGGGTTTCCCGATTACGACGAGGCGTTATCTGCGAAGCCCAGGAAACTGCTACAGGGAGTATGTTCTCTCGTCTCTGTAAATCTGTTATTTCTCGATAATGCCTTTGTTTCTGTGAATTCGTATTGCTTAACTCTGATGGGGCTCTCTTTTAGTGTCTATGAATGACTTCCCTGTTGAAAAGTAGTGAACTTGGAAGACAACTATAAAAAGTTTCTTTGTATTCGAACCTCTGTCATATGCACATACTAAGATCTCTAAGTATCTATAGAAAATCAGATGCTTGTTTGTTGGATTTGGATATCTCTCTCTCTCTCTGCATAGACTTATGAAGCATTATGTATGTTAACATTGTTTTGTTATCCCTTCATTCACAATTCTAAACCCATTGATGTTGGTTTTTGCTGTTTGAAACATGCAGTTCCAGTGGTCAACGATTCAACATGGGAGTCTCTGGTTCTCAAGGCTGATGAGCCTGTGTTTGTCGACTTTTGGGCTCCATGGTGTGGACCTTGCAAAATGATTGATCCCATTGTCAACGAATTGGCACAACAGTATGCAGGGAAGTTCAAGTTCTACAAACTTAACACTGATGATTCTCCTTCAACCCCTAGCCAGTATGGTGTTAGAAGCATCCCAACTATCATGATCTTTGTCAAGGGTGAGAAGAAGGATACAATCATCGGTGCAGTGTCTAAATCCATTTTAGCAACCAGCATCGACAAATTCTTGTAATGAAGTCTAGTAGTCATTGTTAAAGGTCTCTCTTTTCTCTGTATCTCTCAAGTCTGAACCTTTTACCTATCTACTCCCCCACTCATCACTGTTCATCTAGACTTGTATAATAATATATGATGTCTCAGATTTTCAGAAATTGAGTTTACGAAAATATTTTATGTGATTTTTACCCATCTCCACGGTTTGAGGAGACCAGGTCATAAGGGATAAAATTATAATCTCTAACTAACAACATTGAATACAACTGCAAAACTGAGATAAGGTCAGACCTTCACACTCACAAACTTACAATACTTTGATCTTTAGAACCTTAAACCTTAAGGATGTTGTTCTATTGTCTTATTGAAAACATTGAACAACATTGCATAACTGAGACAAGGTCAAAGCATTACACACAAACTTACAAAGCCTTGGTGATGATAAAATTAAAGTCTGATCTTTTGAAGCTTAAGGATGTTGTTTATAACCAGAATAAAAGCGACGCCAAGTCGCTTAATCCTCTTCATGTCATCAAGAGAATATATTTCTCACATTTATAACTCTACAGAACCTAAGAAGTAACTCACTCTGTGCACAGATTCTCTCTCTGTTCGAATCTGTTTCTCAGGCTTCTGCTTTGTAAAGTCTTCAAGTAATTCTCCCTTTTCCTAACTTTTTTAACGGAATTTATTGTTTTCTCAGTTTTAAACTTGCTCTTTACGATGATCAAATGTTCATGAAGTTATAGGATTCTTATACGTTGGAGAGTTTAGAGGGTTTGGCAGATAAAGCTTATCAAAACTGACTTACTCTTTTTGTTCAGGAGATTTAAAGTGAAAGTAGCACTGAGCAAGACTATGAAGTGTGACATTAAATCTGAACCAGGGATCACATCACCCAGTGGTTTCCTATCAAATCCAAATGAGTTGACTATTTCCAAAGACAATGATGATGAAGCTGAGATTATGAATCCAGGGATTTTGTGTGCAGTAAGAGCAGGTGAAAAAGTCTCCCTCCTGAAAAGGATAAAAGATTACGTAAAGGTCACTCAACGACTCGTAGACAATCAAGGGAATTCAATACTTCATATTGCTGCTGCTTTGGGCCATATCCATATAGTGGAGTATATAATCTCTAAATTCCCAAATCTTCTACAAGAAGAGAATTTGATGGGTGAGACAGCTCTTCATGTTGCAGCCAGAGCAGGCAATCTCAATATTGTTGAGATTCTTGTTCGATCCATTACAGAGTCTTCTTTGTACGATGAGTTAATTGATTCTAAAATCAAGAACGGAGATACTGCACTACATGCTGCGTTGAAAGGAAAACATGTAGAGGTGGCTTTCTACCATGATGTCACAGAGTCGCATACAAAGTCCAGAAAGATACAAGGATAGTGTCAATACTCTTATGGTGACTGCAACACTCGTAGTAACTGTGACCTTCGCTGCAGGTTTGACATTACCCGGTGGTTACATGAGTTCTGGTCCAGATTTAGGCATGGCTGCATTGGTCAATGAGTTGAATTTTAAGGTATTTCTGCTGTTCAACAACATTGCAATGTGCACTTCTGTGATGACTGGCTCTTATTTGGGCACAACTGGGTGATGCTCTTCTGACAAAGAAAGCTTTTCAACTAGCTTTACCACTTCTGTTAACGGCTATTGTATCAATGATGATGGCATCTGTGGCTGGAATCACTCTTGTGGTGAGCGATCTCCCATGGCTTTCCCATCTTGTATTAGCCATAGATTCAGCCTTCTTGGTAATCTTGATGCTACTTATCATTCCTCCCTGTTCTGTTCTGTTTTGTATCATTGATGATGGATGGTTAGTGTTCTTTTATGAGTGAGTTTGTTTTTAACAGTTTTGTATCTCACGAGTTTGTAATTGTGTTTTTACAAAGTAACCAAAGAGCTCACATGATCCCGACTTTGCTCCTCTCGATTTCAACGGCCCATTCTCTGTTTCACAAATAAGAAACCTAATTTATCTTGAAATGATAAATTGTTACGCACTAGATAATTTTACGTAAAAATAACAAATATGACCGTTACGCACTAAAACTCAAATAATTTAATTTTACGCAAATATGACCGTTGTGAGCCTAATTGAAATCTCCTTATTTTGCAGCCTAATTGAAATCTCCTTTTTCTTAACCTCGTCAGAAAAAAGGAAACAATAGAGAGACTTTCCTTTTTTCAATTGAACAACGTTTGCTTATAAATACTCACTCTTCTTCCTTGTGAAATCAAAATTCTTCATCTTTCATCTTTTTCTCTTTTTTCATACCTCTAGATTCTTCCGCAGCAAAGCTCTGCGATTTTGTTGGTCCGATCTTTCATCTTTCATCGAGACTAAAACTAAAGAAACCATCTTTCATCTTTTTCTTTTTTTAATACCTCTAGTCTCTAGAAACCATCTTCTGGATCGAGACCGTACGTGAAGGAGATGATCCATTCAGAGATTGAAGTGAGCCGAGGATCAATGTAACGATTTCATCCGTAGGATTGGTCGGAGGAAGACATCTCGTTTCGGGAATGATCCCCATCCTCTGATTCCAGGTCGGCTCTACCCTAATTTCACCGTTCTCATGAGATTACGAAGAAAAACAAAGCGGCAATAAAGAAGATTACAGAGACAGGGAGGGTTAGTGAAGGAGAGCACCAAGACGGCGATGGATACGAGACGGTGTTTCCATGGCTGAGATCATGAATACGTCGCCTGAGGATGATCTCTGCGTTTCGTCGATAACACGAGCATCAAGGTACCTCTCTTAATTTCCTTTTTTCTCTCTTAATAAGATTTTTATTTCTGTATTTTAATTAACTAAAAATATTAAATAACAAACTATTTTCAAAACCTAAAATTAAAAACTTTAACTAATTTTTAAAAATAATAATAATGATTTCCACTTATATTCTTTAATTTAACCAAAATTTAAATAAATTTAACACTTAAACATTTAAAAATTATTACTTTTAACTAAAACATGTTAATTTCACTAAAATTTTTTAAACATTAGTTTAAGTATTGAATTTTAAACACGTCGAAAACTAACCGCGCCTAGGCATCCTGTCCTTAGTTGGTCCGTAAGCTTTTGGTGTTCGAAAGTCGGCATAGTTTCACAGGATAGAAATTTAACACTTAAACTTCTTTTTAAAAAATAATAGTGATTTTGACTAAAACTTAAAACAAATTTAATAATTAAACTTTAAGAAAATAACGTTTTTAAACTAAAACCATGTTAATTTCACTAAAAGATTTTAAAATACCTTGTAAATTTTTCCCGCAAAAAAAAATTTTTGGCGGGAAAATTTTTTGGCGGGAAAAATTTTTACGGGAAAATTTTACAAGGTATTTTAAAGGTTGTTACAAGTGTTTTGGCGGGAAAATTGCGAGATCACTTTTTCCGCCAAAAAATATTTTGTATTTTGTGGACCTAATTTTGTTTCAAATAAGGGTAAAATGGTCATTAAAAATTAAAAGAGGGCAAACTTAAAAATAGACTCTCAAAGGGGGTATTTTTGAAAAAGTGTATCGAAAAAGGGGCATTTTTAACAATTTCTCTAAATTTTAAACACGTCGAAAACTAACCGCACCTAGGCATCATGTCCTTTAGTTGGTCCGTAAGCTTTGGTGTTCGAAGTTCAGCATAGTTTCACGTGATATAGATTTAACACCTAAACTCATTTTTAAAAAATAATAGTGACTTTGTCTAAAATGTAAAACAAATTTAACATTTAAACTGGAAGAATTAAGAAAATAACATTTTTAAACTAAAACCATGTTAATTTCACTAAATGTTTTTTTTAAAATTAGTTTAAGTGTTAAATTTTAAACACGTCGAAATCTAAACTGCACCTAGGCATCCTGTCCTTAGTTGGTCCGTAAGCTTTGGTGTTCGAAGTTCGGCATAGTTTCACGTGATAGAGATTTAATTGTAATTTTAAAAAATAATTGTAATTTTGGCATAGTTTCACATAAACTTTTTTAAAAAAATAATTGTAATTTTGACTAAAATTTAAAAACAAATTTAATAATTAAACTTTAAGAAAATAACGTTTTTAAACTAAAACCATGTTAATTTCACTAAAAGTTATTTAAAAATTAGTTTAAATGTTAATTTTAAACACGTCAAAAACTAACCGCGCGTAGGCATCCTGTCCTTAGTTAATCCTAACCTTTGATGTTTGAAGTTCGGTATGTTTTCACGTAATTTAGATTTAACACTTAAACTCATTTTAAAAAAATAAGAGTGATTTTGACTAAAATTTAAAACAAATTTAACATTTAAAATTTAAGAAAATAATATTTTTAAAACTAAAACCATGTTAATTTCACTTTTTTTAAAAAAAAAAATAGTTTAAGTGTTAAATTTTAAACACGTCGAAAACTTACCGTGCTTAGGCATCTTGTCCTTAGTTGGTCTGTAAGCTTTGGTATTCGAAGTTCAACATGTTTTCGACGTGTTTAAAATTTAACATGTAAACTAGTTTTTAAAAATAAATAATGATTTTCACCTAAATTATTTTAAGAGAAATTGTTAAAAATACCCCTTTTTCAATACCCCTTTTCAAAAATGCCCCCTTTGAGAGTCCATTTTTAAGTTTGCCCTCTTTTAATTTTTAATGACCATTTTACCCTTATTTGAAACAAAATTAGGTCCACAAAATACAAAATATTTTTTGGCGGGAAAAGTGATCCCGCAATTTTCCCGCCAAAACACTTGTAAAAACCTTTAAAAAACCTTGTAAAATTTTCCCGTAAAAATTTTTTCCACCAAAAAATTTTCCCGCCAAAAAAATTTTTTTGCGGGAAAAGTGATTCCGCAATTTTTTTTGCGAAATTTTTTTGGCGGAAAAATTTACAAGGTATTTTAAAGGTTTTTTACAATGTATTTACAAGTGTTTTGTAAGGTTTTACAATGTATTTTAAAAGGTTTTACAAGGTACTTTTAAGGTTTTATAAGGTATTTATAACTTGTAAAACCTTATAAAAAACTTGTAAAACCTTATAACTTGTAAAAACCTTATAAAAAAGCTTGTAAAATCTTATAATATCTTATAAATACCTTGTAAATACGTTGTAAAACCTTTTAAAATACATTGTAAAACCTTATAAATACCTTGTAAAAAACCTTTAAAACACCTTGTAAATTTTTGGCGGGAAAAATTTTCCCGCCAAAAATTTAACGCCAAAAAAATTGCAGAATTACTTTTCCCGCAAAAAAAATTTTTTGGCGGGAAAATTTTTTGGCGGGAAAAAATTTTACGGGAAAATTTTACAAGGTATTTTAAAGGTTTTACAAGTGTTTTGGCGGGAAAAATTGGGGGATCACTTTTCCCGCCAAAAAATATTTTGTATTTTGTGGACCTAATTTTGTTATATTTCCTTATATATATTTATAATATCTTTTATTAAAAGAAGGGTAATTTAGTCATTTTGTACATAAAAGGGGTATTTTTAAAAATGGACATCCAAAAGGGGCATTTTTGAAAAGGGGTATTGAAAAAGGGGCATTTTTGTGAGTCTCCCTTATTTTAATTTCACTAAAATTTAAAATAAATTTAACACTTAAACATTTAAAAATTAATGCTTTTAACTAAAATCATGTTAATTTCACTATTTTTATTAAAAAAATTAGTTACAGTGCTGTTCTCACAACTGTTGCTCTCATATGGGCACAACTTGGTGATCTGGTGTTGATCCTCAATGTCTTCAAGTTCGTACTGCCGCTTCTTGGATTATCTCTTATTTCTATGTCTGTCGCATTTCTAGCTGGTATGTTTGTTGTGGTGGGAAACCAGATTTGGCTTCCTTTGTTGCTGGCTGCATCAGGTGTCGTCTTCTTGGGCATGGTTTTCCTGCTGGTAGTTCCGTTTATCTGCCCTTATACTTCAAGTCCACCCCTTTTCAGGTATGTCTTGCGTTACCCATTTTGGCTTCTTATGCTCACTGTGTGGAATGATACAGACGATGACTTGGAATGATATGAAAGTTTTCTGTATTGTTCATCCATACTTGGTCTAGAGCATTATTTCTGATTCTTGATTGTTCATCTTTTTAATCTTCCATGTAAACAAAACTTTGATTCTAGAAAATGCACTTCAATGGATGTATGAATAACAACTTTCTTCAAGTTTCTTACAATGATTGATCAAATCTTGTAACCTTATACAGCCCCGGCTCAATATATTTGAGAGCCTTAGGGCAAAAAATTTTTTTTTGGCCTATTATTATATACAAAGAGAAAATTTACTTAATTTTTAAAAGTTTTGCGGAGTTTTTATAGTAAAAATTGTTATTTTAAAAATTTTGGACCTTTTTATACATTTTTTTATAAATAATTAGGCTTCTTAAAATATAATTCTCATATTAATAATATTTTTAAAAAATATTTGGGCCTTTTTTATATGTAAATTTTTTTATAAAAAAAAAAGCCCCGGGTCGTCGCACCTCCGCTCTAACCATCTGAGCCGGGGCTGACCTTATAGTGTTTTTATGGTCTCTGAGATTGTGTTCTTCTGGTTACTGCTGGTTTCGTTCATTTCTTTTTCTGAGGACTAAATTGTCATAAAACTTAAACTTGTGGGCCATTTCATAATTTCGAATAATTTCTAAAAGTCGCCGCCGTCACTAAACACGATTCATCAAATGCGATACCTTATTCGCGCACACCTTGCGAATAAATGAATCAAACATCCACAAAATCGAATCTTTCTACAATGGAAAAGGGAATTGTAGTAGAACTGATTAGAGGGTCGACCAATTTGACCAAAGTTGTGGAAGATATCGTGAAGCTGGAGAAGAAAACGTTCCCTAAACACGAATCTCTCGCTCAAACTTTCGACGCAGAGCTGCGCAAGAGAAACGCCGGTTTGCTATATGTGGAAGCCGACGGAGAAACAGTGGGCTATGTTATGTATTCTTGGCCATCTTCACTTTCCGCTTCCATCACCAAGCTCGCAGGTATAAACAAACGTCCACCAAGTGTTCGATGAAATTACTCAATGGTAAAATTGACAAGCTTCGTATGAATTTTGCTGAGAAGAAATGGAATTACTTGCAACACTCTACTGAAATCTCTTTTAAACCGTTTCATAAATTAATCTGTTGGATATATATCTGATCAAGGACTAATGATTCTAGTAAATTCGGGAGCTTTCAATTGATATTCTTATAAGACAACAATTGTTTTAGCTTTGTTTTTGCATGCTAAGAGTAATGAAAATAGACAAGAAGTCAAGAACTCGTTTGGAATGTTTCTTATCAGAAAACTAAGAAATGGAATTGCTTGCCACACTCTACTGAAATCTCTTTTAAACGGTTTGATGAATTAACCTGTTGGATATATATATATATCTAGTCGAGGACTAATTATTCTAGTATATTCGGGAGCTTTCAATTGATATTTTTACAAGACAACAATTTTACGTTGTTCTAGCTTTGTTTTTGCATGCTTCACGTTTGGAATGTTTATTATCAGAAAATTTAAGAGCTTAATCATCAGGAGGAATGTATCTCAAGTGTAGTTTTTTTTCTGTTGTTTTGGATTATGTAGTGAAGGAGAATTGGAGGAGACAAGGTCATGGAGAAGCATTGTTGAGAGCGGCTATCGAAAAGTGCAGAAGCAGGAAGGTGCAACGGGTTTCACTTCATGTCGACCCCACGAGAACTTCTGCCGTGACTCTGTACAAAAAACTTGGGTTCCAAGTAGACTGTCTGGTGAAAAGCTACTACTCTACCGATAGAGATGCTTACAGAATGTACCTAGATTTTGATGACTCCATTTAGATTCATTGGATTTGGCTGGTGAATGTCTGAATGATATGCCTTGTACTGTTGTACACACTCATTGATTACTTCTCTACATCAATATATGTCTAGCAACTTCTTCATGATATAGAAATGATGCCCTGATGATATTAGGAATTAGGAAACGGTGTAAGATTACAAATTGTGTAAATATCTTATCATCGATGGTCGAAGAATTAGCTTTTGATAGTGTTTAAAATTGGTTTTACGTATTATATAATGATATTATGTTTAAATGTCAAAAGCGGGGATAGCTCAGTTGGGAGAGCGTCAGACTGAAGATCTGAAGGTCGCGTGTTCGATCCACGCTCACCGCATTTTTTAAAAAATTTTAATCGATTTAAAACGACATCGTGTTGAAGAATTAGGTAAAACGGCATCGTGTTAAATAAAGGCCCATTGAAAAGATCCGCGACACCACCAAACCGCATTCTTTTAAAAATTTTCGATTTAAAACGACATCGTGTTAAAGAAAGGCCCACTATGAAAAGGATCGACGACATAATTCAACAACTCCGTTCTCGCCGGTGTTAACCACTTTGTTATTCCGATCATCGGGTAATTTTCGAAGAGAGAAGGATGTTAGATTCTCTTGATTCCTATCGGGAGGACTCTACTCAGTTATATTTTACTAAGGAGGTTAGTCGTGTCTCAACAGTAACGATTCATGTCCCCAACTCATCAACGATGGAGCAATTAACGAATCATCATTCTAATTTGTAAGTGTCTGCAGATTCAAATTCGATTATTCACTCTATTGGACTTCACTCGAATATATTGTTCTGCTTGATAGTTATGGTACATGTCAAGAAACATAATAATCTATATGAATTTGCATATCAAAAATCTTAATTTCAAGCCAAACCAACAAGCTTCTCGCTAACCTCCCACAGTTTCTTTGCCTTCTCTGCATCACTTGCTTCTTTAGAGAGCTGATTCTCAAACGAAGACGAGTTATTGTTCCAGCTCCAATACACTCCTGACTTTCCAAGACTAGGGTCACTCACAACCTACACAAATCCACCGCCTCAGTATCAATCAAGAATCTGTTATACTTGTTAGAAAGGATTTGCAATGCATACTGACCTGTGCTAGTCTTTTCCCAGCTTCCTCTTCAGATACATAACCTTTGGTGATATACTTTTGAAAAGGCGGAAAAAGAAGCCGGAACAAAGGTATGTGTTCTCTGAACAACCCTGTTGTAGCAATGCAACCAGGGTAAAGAGAGGCAAACGTGACTCCGGTTTCCTCGTGGTAACGTCTGTGAAGCTCCTGCATTGTCAACATATTGCAGACTTTGCTGTCTTTGTAAGCCTTTGCTCCATCAAACTCTCCTCCATCTATCATTGAACTGTTTTGCCCATTCAATCCAGATGCTAAGCCTCTTAGGTCACCAAGGTTTGCCTTTGGCGGAACATTTCCAGCCAAAGTATTTGTGTTTCCTGCAAGAACATAGAAAATAACATTCATTGTTTGAAACTAGCAACTATCTTGGTGGAAATGGACTTGTTATCTGTTATTTACCTGTTATAGATCCTACGATGATCATACGTTTTGATGGATAATCAGATTTTTTCAGGTCATCAAGAAGCAATCTTGAAAGAAGAAAATGTCCGAGATGGTTGGTTCCAACGCTTAGCTCAAAGCCTTCAGCTGTAAAAGATGGTTCTTTAGCAGTTGGTTGGTAAACGGCGGCATTGCAGACAAGAACATCGAGCGGTTGTTCTGTTCTCCTGAAATTGTCAACGAACTGCTTCACGCTTTCAAGCGAAGCAAGATCAAGATGCATCACAGTGTAATCTTCCTTAGACATTCCTACAGATCTCGCTGCTTTCTCGGCCTTGAGAAAGTTCCTACAAGCCATGATCACATGCCATTTCCCTGTGTCTGCTAAAGCTTTGGCTGTAGCTAAACCTAAACCTGACGAAGCTCCGGTGATCACTGCAGTGCCTTTTCTCTCAGTCTTCTTTTGCTCCGGCGATGCCTCGCTTGCCGGCGGCGTGGCTGTAACTGTTTGTGCACGAATACCGGTGGAAAATCGCGGTTTTTGTCTTCTCTGTTCCTGAAACGAAACAGAGTAAAAAACCTCAGGACATTTTCGATATCTTTCTAAGTTTTTTGAGAATTGCACATCGTACAGGGTGATTGATTTTACCTTGATGGTTAAAAGTGTGGAGATCTTGTCGGCCCTAAGATGGTTGGCAAATGAAGAACCAGTTAAAGTCGTCTCCTTTAGAGAAGCATTGAATTTGCCCTGCAAAATCACCATGGCATTGAGGTACAAATTCTTGAGAAGTTTCTCCATTTTTATGGAATAAATCATAAACAGATGACATCATTAGTAACAGTGAAAACATACCTCTTTTTGGATTGAAATGGTTGAAGGAAGAAGAGAATAAGCAGCTTGGAGAGCCATTGTTGTACGGAACTGAAGGTGCTAGAGCGTCAGAGTGTCTTCGAGTTTCGCCGATTTGAGGAGCGACAAAAGATAAGGTAGTATTGGGTTAGTGACACGTGTCTTCCAGGGTAAAGCTTTTTTCCCTTAACCAATCAGATCACTAGTTTCAGATTCTTCTTCTATCCCTCGTTTATTGGGCCTTCAGATGGGCTTTGATTTTATTGTTAACTCTCAACTGATCTGATCGTCGTTGATAAGTGAACTGTAATGAATCTGGACCGTCCAAATGTGTCGAGAATAATTTGGTGGAAGAGAGAATAAGGCGGCAAAACTTAACGGTCAATGGAGAAATTGGAGAGAGAGAACAAAACAAAAAATGAGAAGAAGAAAAAAAAAACACTTTTGGATCACAGCTCTCTTCATCTTCTGCAATTTCTAAAAGTTGCAAAATTCCAATGAAAATTTCCATTTTTGCCTCTCTTTTGTTTTTTTTTCTCTTCTCTTTCTCTTTCCTCTTCCTCCTCCGTCGTCCAGTTTCTAGACCAACTCCTCCTCCTCCTCCAGTGTCTTGTTCCTATGCCTATAACAGGTAACTTTCCCCATCATCTTTTTAACCAATCATATCGATTTGTTCGTGAAATTTGATTTGATTATCATTGATTGCAAATTATGTTTTTTCAAGGTAATTGCATTGCCAAACTTTACATAAAAAAGTAATGAAAAGAAAACATCCTTTAATTGCGCTATTATGTTAGTTTCAACTTCTAGAGACACCTTTTTGTATCCAATTATACCAAAAATTTGACTAAGTGAAAATGGAAATGATGATGAATCTTTGAATTTTTAGAATCGAATTAGAACATGAGTTAATACATATACAATCATTCTTTTCTTTTTTTTTTTGGTGGGATCATATATAATCATTCATTTACCCTCTCTTTTTTTTTTTGGTGAAGTTCATTTACCCTTTTTTATTTTATCATCTTCTTGTCATTTTCTCAATTAACTCAAATTAAGGAGGCAAAAAATTACAAATTTATATAGAACAATCCACAATTCTGTCTAGTTTAGGTAAAACGTGTTAAAATAATCACGAATTGTTTTCTATTATTAAACATTAATAAGCTCTGACCTGTACGCAACCAAATAAAACACTAAAACTTATCTGTGATCAACTTATCTCTGTATAAATCTTCCTTCTCTTTCTTTCTGTCCAATTCTCTACAGAGAAGTCTTAGCATTTTTACCATCCAATTCCAACTTTCATCATTTTTTTTGCAAAATCAATAACTTTTGTGTATTTTTCCCCAGACTAATCTCTGTTTTGATGACTAAATAATTTGGATGTAGGGTAATACCTAAATTCTTTCTTTCCATGCATTTATTTTGGTTTTTGTGACAACAACATTTCACTTAGTTTTTTTCTTTCTCTCGACATCTTTGTTCTCTTAGTTAATCTTCTTTTCTTTGAACATTTGTGTCCATCTCATGAAGTTCAGGAAGCGTAGGCAATTCTTTCCTTCTTGTTCGTCTCATCACCAAGTAATGATCTCTTCGTCATGTTCTTCTTCTCCAAACTCATATCAAATTTGAATTATATCATCGAATTGAGAGTAATCAACAACACCACTTCAATCTTGCATATACATTGTTCTTGTGTATTCCACCCGTTTCTTTAATCATCAATGTACCGTAATTGAGTGTCATTTTGGTTGTAACTTGTAAGTGAATAAAGCTCACGCAAACTCTCTGATCTTCCTAATTGAAAATCATATGTTCTGATAATGTTAAACGCAAACATATGTCTGAAAACGTGTGCAGGTAGAGGAGGATGAAGCGCGGGAAAGGCGAGAAAAAGGCAACAAAGAGCCGCGATGGCAGCGGTCAAGTAGTTCCGCTCACGTAATAGCTCAATTGGCTAAATATATGTTTTAGTGAGTATATATTGCTAGATATCATAGGGTATAATGACACACCATGTAAATATGCATGTGATTAGTTTATTAGATATATATATTTAGATCTATCATCTCATATATGAATATAAATGTTTATTAGTGAACCAGTGGTTACAGCTACGGGTATGGTTGGAACAAGATCATGGATAGGAGGGCTCTTCACACGCTCCAATAGACGTCAAGAAAAGTCAGTCGAATACACTTTGTCTCCTCTTCAGGTTAGCATATATAATCACAAGTTTCATATATCATCATAAATATAATTAAGACATTAGAAATAGTTTGTAACACTTTTGGATTTAAGTTTGTAATACTTTTGGATTTGTAATCACTCATACACATAGGAGGAAAGACTTCAAAGGCTACAAGATCGTATGGTTGTACCTTTCGACGAGACACGCCCGGATCATCAGGTAGGTGAAATTTACTTTATCATTAAGATGTTTAACAGTGAGCAAACAACATGCAGATATATTGTTTTAGCTATAAGAATTCTGTGAAATATATTTCCGCGATTAATGGCAGGAATCACTTAAAGCATTGTGGAATGTCGCGTTTCCGAATGTTAATCTCACGGGTTTAGTAACAGAACAATGGAAAGAAATGGGATGGCAAGGTCCCAATCCATCTACCGATTTCAGGTAAGATTAGATCTATACTAAACTTATTGCAAAAAAGATGTATAAGACATCTTAAGGAAAAAAACATAGTGTTGACTCATGTTTTGTTAAACCTAATGTTTGTAGGGGTTGCGGATTTATCGCTCTAGAGAATTTGCTATTTTCTGCAAGAACTTATCCGGTAAATTACTCATAAAAACGTGTTCATATATATAGTTGTTTTATGGGAACTTCTTTGCTCCACAAAATGTGTTAATACAAATAAAATTGTGAAGGTTTGTTTCCGGAGGCTATTGTTAAAACAAAGAGGCGACCGGGCAAAGTGGGAGTACCCTTTTGCGGTGGCCGGAATCAACATTTCCTTCATGTTGATCCAAATGCTCGATTTACAAAATAATCGTAAGTTTGTTAATCTATTACCATTTTATTCAGGTCATATTTCTTATTATAAGAGGATGTTTTGTATATTATCATTTCGAGATTGATTTCTCATACGATTTCAATTTGCTTTAAATTTGTGTTTTGTTTCTGTGCAGCAAAGCCAAAATGTCTTCCAGGAATGAATTTCCTCAAACTCTTAGAAGGTAAACAATAGGAATATATATATATATATATATTTTTTTGGACAAAACAATAGGAATATATATGTTCTTCTAAACTAAATAAAAATTGATTCCTAAAAGTTAGTAGTGTAGTATTACGATCGCTAAATGATCAAGAATCATATTCCAATAATGAACAGAAGACGAGAAAGCATTCGATGTACTATACTGTATAGCTTTCGCAATGATGGATGCTCAATGGCTTGCAATGCACGCTTCTTACATGGAATTCAATGTATGTCTTCTCAATCAATCTATCTTCTTTCTCTTTTCAATCTTTTTTTGAGAATTAGTTCTTAAGAATTGTGTGTGTGTATTTATCAGGAAGTATTACAGGCGACTCGGAATCAGCTAGAGAGAGAGCTTTCTTTGGATGATATTCATCGGATTCAAGATCTTCCTGCATACAATCTCTTGTTCCAATAGAATTTTTCTTTTTTTTTGTTATTTTCTTAGTTTGATTTCGATTTTTATGTTGTACATTAAACTGAATTTATGAACGAAATGAAAATGATAATCAATGAAATGAAGCAAAAAAAGATTAAAATAGAAAATGAATGATTATGAACATATGTACTGTAATATGATGCATCATTGTTTGGTAATATTGATGATGATGGTGTTGAAATTATGAAATGGTAGTGGACTTTTTGACTTTTTAACTTTTTAACTTTGAAAAATCAACTCTCTTGTCTGTCTCGAATAATGAGTTATGAAATATTTTGTCGGTTCTTTTAATACTTAAGAGTGGTTTATGGTTGATTGATTTTATATGACATAATGCAAATTATGAAATTAATGTACACGTTTTCATTTATTCTGATAAAAGATCTTCAGACCAAACTAATTACTTCGATTGTCCTTGTCGGCATGAAATCCTGCCTGACCGTTTATTTTGATAAAATTCGGTCTGATTTAAGACCTTTTGGTACCTTTATAAAACTAAGATAACGTTCTTACGTGTGCTTTGAAGGTCGTAAAAATGGATATTTTGATCTTATCCATTAAAAACAAAACTAAAGGGACATCACTTTTGAAATCTAACGTCAAGGATAAGATGCTTTATTACCACCACATTTCCAATTCCATGATTCCTATTCAATTCGAATTATCTTTTTAATCTTTTGTTTCTTTTTTACAAGTCACTTCGATAAAATAATGTGATGAAGCCTAGATCAATCCAAAACTCTACACTTTTTTACAATTATCTAGGCAGTGATCTGTTTTCTGTAAGTAACTAAAAAAAAGTTTGGCATGTCTCTATTAAATTTGGTGGAGAAACCAAACAGTACATGAAAGTCTATGAAAGTCAAACTTCCAAATCATTTTTTGTACCCACATATATTTGACATTTTTGTCACAAAAGGTCCCTCCTTTATTCATTTCAACTTGGATGATTTATAGTAAAAAATAAATTTCCGTCTAACAATTATTTTATATTTTTATATAGCTTACATATCTTTAATTAATTAGAATTACATTCGATCATATAAGATTTGTTTCAGGATCAATTTCTTATAAAAAAATGTTGTGATAAAATATCTGACTTTTTTCCTTGGCAAAATGTTGTGATTAAATTTATATTATTTCAATGTGAAAAATGTTAAAGCATATGAGTATGAATTAACATATAAATTAAAAAAAAAAACCTAAAATTGATAATTTAGTCTCACCCATTTTACTTCCGAAAAAGAAAAATTAATTAACAAGACTAGTTCGTTACATTACTATTTCAGTAACGGTACCGAGGCACACTCAAGTTCTCTCTCCACCATGTTTCAACTTATAAGAAACAATCACTCTGTTTTTAACAAGCAACATCAATTACTCTGTTTCAACAAGCAACAAACTCTATGTACGACATATACTCTCAAAGGTTAGAAGACTCAAAACGCTATTCTAAACAAAACACTGCAAAGCGAATCGCTCGATTGCGTTTTACAAAACGCAAGAGGTTCCAGAACAAAGCAAGAATTAGACTATATATGAGGAAACAAGCAAACATCATGGTGTCATCGAACCGAGTTTTAGCCACGATGAGTCATTGACATACTGCAGAAGTAGTTGAAGTCATGATGTTGGACCCTAAGCTGTTTTAGCCAAGAATCTGCAACACTATAAAGCGAAGCCAATCTCTCTTGATCATCGTGGTCCTGCGAAAGCCAAACATCGCCTTGCATCTTGTAAGTAGCCATCCCAAATGGGAGCAGAGTTATATCTTCCCCTTCCCTCCGCACCCTCTCCTTGTCCCCACCATTTTCTTCCGGTTCCATATCTATGATATAACAAAGTATTAAACCCGATGATCACACAGACTTAAAGGATAGTAGATAGAGAGAGAGAGAATCTGCACCTTGGAAAGAAGAGGAAAGAGTGTGATAAGTGAGGAAACAAGTGGATAAGTCTTTAATGGTTCTTCCCATTGGTATATGGTAAATCGGGTACCACGCTACCGACATCCAACTTGCTGGAGAAAGATCAACGCTTCTCAACGACATCAATCCAGGGTATCTTTGAGCCAATTCATTGATCTGGAATCAAATTAAAACACCATTTGTGATGCTTACTCGATTGGATCAGGTGAACAAAACGGATGTCTACATAAGGTTATATTATCTACCTTATCCATCAGAGGAACTCTGGTATAAGGAGCTGATCTCTCAAAGTATTGGAGATAAAGATAACCCAAACGATCATTTGGATGCAAGAGCGTGTTGTTTTCAAGTCCTTCCTCAGAGACACTCTCATCGCTACCTGAATCGCTAAACGGATCTCTACCCTCACATTCCCCATCTTCAGACTCTTCCCTAATCAACCCAACACCAAATATAATCAGATATCTGTGAAGTAACCCATGAGAGCAGTCATTCTTCAAGAAACTCATATATAATACACGCATTCTGCTGAACCAGAAACCACAATCTATTCTAATGATCAACGAAATCATAAGAAAGTAATAAAGATGTCAAAGTATCAATCTTTGCTATAATACAATGAAAAGACAATGGTGGATCAAACAAACCTTAATCGGATCAAGGAGGAATGAGAGGTGAAAATCTGGATGGCAGAAAGATAAGGAACATAGTATTGAACAAGAGATTCTCCATTGGTAATATGAATAGGGACGCTAGCTCCATAAGCGCTCCATTCATCATAACGATCCCACAAATCACTCAACCTGAAAAACTCAACCTTTTCTCTCTCCCATGGATGCCACAATCGATTTAGGGTTCTAATCTCCGCCTGCAAATTCCCAATTAACACCATCAAACCAAAATTGAAACAAATCAAAAAGAGAGAGAGAAAGAAACGTTCACAAACCTTGGGGAGAGATTGGGGTGGCACTAAGGGTGTTATGCAATGAAGGAATCGATCAAGATTCGATTTTTTTGTTGACCCTTTACCATTCACCATGATCGTAATTGAGAAATATTATGAAGGTTTCTTCTTCAATGGAGGAGAAGAAAGAGATGGGCTTTTAGAGAAAGAGGCACGCAAGCGAGTTATTCAGATATCTGAGCTTTGACGTTATGTATGGAGGCTGAATTTAAGGGACAAGCAAAACCAAAACCAAAACCAAAAAAGAAAAGATGGATTCTTTCAAGAAAAAAATGTATGGAGAAAACGATTACAATCGAGAAGACAGACAATGAGTAAGCAAAGATCGAATATTGTTTTCCGTTTTTTTATATATATAATGTGATTCTCTAAGAAAAAATTGAAGCCACGCGTCGAGATTTCTAATCTTGAAGTCAGATCAATCAAGAGAAGGTAAAAGAATAAAAGGTAAAGCCATAAAATGAGGGGAAAAAAAACACAGAAGAACAGAGAAACAATTCAGTAGATTTTCGAATGAAAGGAAAGAGATTTTTCCGGGAAAGTCAAAACTTTTTCTCGGGAAATTTGGTTATGAGATTGAAAAGAAAAGAAAAACGATTGCAGACGATCGTCAAACAAATGGTTTTTGTTTTTTTTTTTTACAATTGTGTCTTCTCTTCTCGATACATTTGGGTTTTTAAGATGATTAAAGAAAAAAAAAAGACAGGTATTTATAAAAGAAAAACAAAATAAAAAATCAGAGAAAAAGTAAATGAAAAAAATAGATAAAATCTTAATTAAGTTTGACCGATTTTCCTCGTCCACCACCTCACCACAGCTCATTGTCTTCTTCACGTGGATTTGTTGTTATATATAAATCCATTCATATCCAAACTTTATGTATGAATTGATCTTATATATATATATATATATATATTTTTTTTTTTCATCGATCTTATAAATTTTGTTAGTTCAATCATTTTATTAGTTATGAGTGATCAAAGTATCGTTTTTACAAATTATTTACATCAATCATATTGTATACGGAATTTAATGATTTGATATCACAAGCTAGCGGATTAAGTAACCTATTTAGCTGCTTTTAATTTGTTATCCAATTTGTAAGGAATGTAGTAAGGATGGATCATTTTAGATTCATTAATATATATATATATATATATCCCTGTTCTAAAAATCCCCGCCTACCCCCGATTACTCACCGCTTAATCGCTAGGCCCACCCTATCCGCCTCGATTAATGACTAATCCCCTAAAAAATCAGTAACCCGATTATTCTCCGCCTAATCCGATTACTTCCCGCCTAATCTTATATACCCCGATTATTTTTTAGATTGCAAGTATAAAAAAACTTTTTATTTTTGTTATTCAATCATTTGAATGGAGAGTTTATGATGTTTTACAATAACTTGTGTTCAAATTTTAATAAAAATCATAAATTTTTACAATATTGGATTAATATATTTTAAAAATATTAAAATAACCCTAAAACTAATCCCCGATTTTAATCCGATTTTCCGATTAATCGCTAGGCCCATGCCGAACGCCCGACTAGCGCCTAGCGATTTTTCAAACAAGGATATATATATATATATATATATATATATATATATATATATATATATATATATATATATATATTCATTATCATATTACTCACGGATAAAACCAAATCCTGCATTTCACCTTTTACCAAAAAAAAAAAAAATCCTGTAACTGGTATGGCTTAAATTATAATATACTATATAGTCTATATGACTATATTGCATTTGGTGAGGTGAGCGAATGTTGACTTACAAGATTATTGGTATTGAATAAAGTTGACACGAAAAAATGATGCAAAGTTATTAACTACTGACCAAATAAATAAATTAGGCGTAATTAAACAGCAGTCAGCAGCAAACACGATCATTATTTTCTACACCCATCAATTTTAAGTTTTTAACGTATTGGAAAGGTCAGTCTAATGGTAGGCTAGTATACGATGCACACGTGTAGTTATTAATTACGTTGAATATTACTCCCTCCGTTTCTTTTTACTTGTCGTTTTAGAGTTAAAATTTTGTTTCATAATTGTTGTCGTTTTAGATTTTCGATGCAAATGTTTTGTGAAAATTCCAGTTTTATCCCTACTGTTTTAATGTTTCGGCCAATGAATTTTTTTATAAAATATATTAATAAAGGGTAAAACAGAAAATTTAATGTTTTTCTTAATTTGTGTGAAAAAACCTTAACGACAACTAAAACGAAACGGAGGGAATACTTACTACTTAGTACTACTATCTAATTAGAGTAAATAGTTTATGGATTGAATATACACTACTCTAGTTCTCTAAATACGAAGCCATGTGGTAGTTCACGTGTAGACCTGCACGTGATATGTTCGTATTCTTGTGGAGTTTGTGGTCGGTCACTTAAAAAATTAAAAGGATCAAACTACACACTTTGTGGGCTTTGTAGATGGGCCATAGAAAAGGCTTTTCATAGACTTTAAAATCTTTTTAGTTTGATAAGCAACATTTAATGCAAAAATGTAACTTAGGAGTTTTGGGATTTTCTAATGTAAACTAAATAAATTAAAGAAATTAGTTACTCCAAAAAACTAAAGAAAGTGTAAACAAATTTTCTAGGAAAGTATATCCCACAATAGAGAGTTAATAGAACTTGTTTGACAAAAAAAAAAAAAAAGAGAGTTAATAGAACTTATGAGTTATTATGACACGAGAATTACGCCAATCATTGAGAAAATGGAATTCGATATTACTAGATAAGCTATCGCTGATAAATGATAATCAAGTAATTATCATGCAGGATATTGATAAGTATTTTACAGGGAAAAAAAAATGGCATGCGATTGCGAGCCAATTCAAGTTTCTCTTCTCATATAATTTGATTGGCATTTTTAGGAAAATAAATTTTCATCAACAAGAAAATGGAGGAGAAGAAGAAATTGTCAGGTCTCACTGCAATTTTTCATCTTCCTCTTGAGAGAGCCTTCTCAGCAGTTTCCATCTCTTCAAGAATCCTCGCCTTCCTCTTCGCCGGAATCGGAGCCGTCGGACCAAAACTCACATAATGACCTGAAACAGCATTCAACGCCGAGTAAATATCCCGGAAAGAAGCTTTTCCGAGAAGAGCTTTCTCTTTCCGGTACTTTGCAACCCAAGAATTCGACGCTTCTCTCAGCTCCGCCACCGCATCGGCCACATTTGGATCTGTCTTCTGCATCGAAAGCGTACTCCTAACTTTACTGATCACTGCCGACGTATCTTTAATGTACTCTTCATCTTCAGCGGCGGAAGCTGGCGCCGGAGCTAGAAACGGAATCGATTGTGTTAGAAGCGTGGATGTTGCCGCTAGGGAGAGGAAATCGCGGCGGAGGAGGTGGTTGCGACGTGGAGGAGGAAGAGGCGGGGATACGGAGGAGGCGATGATGGTCGGTTTATGCGGCGGAGGATTGGGTTTGAGAAGAGTAGCTGTCGCTGAAGCTGAAGCCATTGTCGGAACTCGGGGAAAAGGTGTAAGAGAATGAAAGAGTTTTGTTGAGCGTTAGTAAATCGGGAAAATGAGTTTGTGGGTGTTGGTTTTTTGACACGTGTCCCTTATCTTCTTATCAAGATTGTATGGTTTTTGAGGATGACACATGATGCAGAGCCAAGCAATGGACCTCACTGCCAGGTCAAGATTTTTTTGTTTTGGTTTTTATCTTACTATATTTGTTTATGGGCTTCGACATATGGGCCTTATCTTATATGGGCTTTTACAATTAAAACAAACAAAAACAAAATTTGATTGTTTTTAGATGTTCATGTGTCATCCTCAAAAACCATACAATCTTTGACCTTATCTTCTTTGATTCATGCGAAACAATTCTGATCGAGAGAGAAGAAAGACTCCATGTGATTGATAATAAGCTTTCTAATTAAATCGTCTTTCATTGGCCAAGTGTGAAAAAGGGAAAGAAAAAAAAACGAAAGCTAAGGCCTACGTGGGAACTCCGTGAACGATTTGTCAACAGAACTAAATGGGAAAGAAGCTTTAAACTCCAATCTAATTTTACACATTTATATTCATGATCTACCAACCAACCTGTCCTTTCGTTTTTTTTTATTGTGAAAACTACAAATTCAAAAACAAAACATATTAGTAAGAAATGTTTTGGATATCATGATATTCTCTAAACACATGAATATGATGATTACTCCATACAAGTGATAATAAATTTAAACATGGCCTTTACATTTCTATTTGATTATCTATCAACCATATACTTGGCTCTCATTTTCTTTAATGGAATGTGAATATGTATGAAATTCAGAGACTTTCATTGAACATAAAAATAAATAACGAAGTGGGGATTGTTAGTATGTGGAGAAAAGTTGAACAACTCATCTGTTTTGTAAACTTTGCAAGTGTCCATTTATTTCTCGTCTCTTTTGTCGTCTTGCTTTTTATTAGGACACCACATAAAAGAAGGTTGCCTAATTAAAAAGCTAACCATTTTATTTGTTTGTAAAAGATTAAGCTAACCTTATTCATTTTACCAAAGCAAAGTTGTGCTTTTAAAAAATTAACTATCAACACATCTCAGAAACAGGACATAACCTCATAATTTATTCTAATCTATCGTGAATCGTCTACATATGACTTTAAATTTCATGTTGCTGCAAAATCAAAAATGTATGCAAAGTTATGATTACATTTTTGAATATTTTTTTCATGATATTAATCATAATGCAAAAATCATGAATTACATTTACAAAAGTTGATATTTGGATTTTCATTTTCATCTCCCTATATTTTTTGTAACAAGAAAATAAAAATAGGAAATTTAGGAAAGTATTAAAAATGATTAAATAGCAAAGCAAGTAAGCTTTTGATTTGATCTTTCATGAAAGAAAGCGAAAACCAGAAAGATTCTGTGGGGAAGCTCTCTTTTTTGTTTTCTTTATCTTCTTCTTCTTCTTCTTCTTCTCCTCTCTGCTTATTCGCTTTCTTCAATTAATGAGACCTCACCCATCTCCCTCTACCACTACTACAACTACAACAACTACTCAATCGCTAACTCTCTCCTTTCTCTTTCCATTGTCAGTCATTGTCTGATCCTCCAAAGGTTCATGATCCCCCAAAGGTTCGTTCTTTTCCTCTGATTTGCTCTAATTCCTTACATTTTTGCTTGTTTCTCTCTGTCTTGTACTGTGTTCGAGTTTCGTAGGATCTTTTTTCTGATGATTTTGGTTTGTTCTTTTCTCTCTTTTTTCACTCTGCACTTGTTTGGGTTGCAGAGGAAAGTTATGAGAAACTTTATCAGATCCATCTATCTAAATCGGATTTCTGAAAAGTGAATCGCTTTTCCACTTAAAAGGTCCCACCTTTTTCTTTTGAGGGTTTCATGTATCTATCTGTTTAATAGAATCTCCACTTCATTGTCCAATTCACAAAGAAAGTTAGTTCACGAAATTCCATGTTTTATACATTTACCAGAATCTGGGTTTTCACAATTAGGGTTTCGTTATGCTTGGTTGCAGCATTACTAAATAAAACCCATATTAGATGATGATCTCTTTTGCTTTCAGCTAAAGCTTTGGGGGGTTTTTGCATTATCATTTTTGTTTGTCACTGGAAAATGTTAAAGGTTAAAATTGATCATTAAAGGGAGTAATTTTATTAAAAACTGCAATGAAATGAAATGTATATGTTTAAGTGCAGAATTTTGGTGCAGGGTTTAGGATTAGACTCTTTAAACAATGATTCTTTAAAAATCTCTTCACTGTTAAGAGTTTGTATGGAATCTTGTTTCATTATTTCATCTTGCAATTTGCCCCATAACAATTTTTTTGATTCATGTGCCTATATGGGGAAACCCTCTGTTATTGATTTGTATGTTTTTCCGTTTTCCTGTCTTTTTTTGATTAATTTATTTGCAAAGATTAGTGAAAAGTGAATATACTGTATTACAAAACATGGAGCTATAAGAGTCTTGAGGTTGGTCCAATGCCAAACAATTAGGACAGGCTGTTTAGTAATATCTACATATATTCTATTGCTAAAGATCACATGCTGGGTTTTCTTCTTTCTGACTTGTTTGCGTCTGCTTTTCTTTTTTCGAACTTTGCATTAAACTAATCACTAATTCATTTTTCTGCAATGTTTTCAGCTCACGGTCCATGCATCATCATTGACCAAGATTCGAAGAAAAGGTTTTGCCCACAAAGAGTATTTTATACAGAAAAAAGAAACTTGTGTGAAAGCTCTTTGATTTGACCAAATAAGTTGCTAAAGCCTTACATTGGGGGATCTGGTTTTGGTACAACAACAGAAGTCTTTTGTCTTCTTTTTCTCTATCTCTCTGCGATCAGATCCATAGTGTATGCTTGCATTGACCAATGGGAGGTTGTATCTCTAAGAATTCGTGGAGCAATGAAGAGCCTATGCATCGCCCGTGTCTCGGGATGGGATGTTGTGGGAGCAAAATGGGGAAGAGAGGTTTTTCAGACCGCATCGTTTCGCTTCATAACTTAGTTTCTATACCGAATCGGATCATCGGTAACGGAAAGAGCAGGAGTTCTTGCATTTTCACTCAACAGGGACGCAAGGGTATTAATCAGGACGCAATGATTGTGTGGGAAGTGAGTTTCTTCTTCTTATTCTTCCTCAATGATGTTTATTAGAGCTTTGTGTGCCCCCAATAAACTGGATTTGCTATTGTTTTTTCGTAGGATTTTATGTCGAAAGATGTTACCTTTTGCGGTGTGTTTGATGGACATGGTCCCCATGGTCATCTTGTTGCTCGTAAAGTGAGGGATTCATTGCCTGTAAAGTTGCTGTCTCTCCTGAATTCCATTAAGTCGAAGCAAAATGGATCCACAGGAACTCGTACAAGCAAATCCGATAGCCTTGAAGCTGAGAAGGAAGAATCTACTGAGGAGCATAAATTAAATTTCTTATGGGAGGAAGCTTTCTTGAAATCATTCAATGCTATGGATAAGGAACTGCGATCCCATCCTAATCTAGAATGCTTCTGCAGTGGCTGCACGGCTGTTACAATCATTAAGCAGGTAATCATGACAACAAAAGATCTCTTCTGTTTTTTTTTGGGTTCAAAATCGATTTTCCATTGTGTTCCAAGTATCTATCGGTTTTGATGTGTCTTGATTGTTTCAGGGGTCAAATCTATTCATGGGAAACATTGGGGATTCTCGGGCGATACTTGGATCCAAAGACAGCAACGATTCGATGGTTGCAGTTCAGCTAACAGTTGACTTAAAGCCTGACTTACCAAGTATTATGCTTTAACAACATTTGGTGATATTTGCTCTAATCTCTATTTTTATTTTGATTTTGTCTAACTTCTTAGATATTATTATTTGTAGGGGAAGCTGAGAGGATCAAACAGTGTAAAGGTAGGGTCTTTGCACTGCAAGACGAACCAGAGGTGTCACGAGTTTGGCTACCATTTGATAATGCTCCTGGATTAGCTATGGCTAGAGCTTTCGGTGATTTCTGTCTGAAAGACTACGGTGTGATTTCGATACCAGAGTTCTCTCACCGTGTTCTTACAGATAGAGATCAGTTCATTGTCTTGGCCTCAGATGGAGTAATGAATTGAACTCTTAAAGTGTCTTCTAAGCATTATCAAAATGAATTTCTTTTACTGATGATTCCAACCTTTGTTTTGATAGGTCTGGGATGTGCTAAGCAACGAAGAAGTGGTTGAAGTTGTAGCATCAGCTACAAGCCGGGCATCAGCAGCTAGACTCGTGGTGGATTCAGCTGTACGCGAATGGAAACTTAAGTACCCGACTTCGAAGATGGATGATTGTGCAGTTGTGTGTTTGTTTCTAGACGGCAGAATGGACTCAGAGTCATCGGATAACGAAGAACAATGCTTCTCTTCGGCAACAAACGCAGTAGAATCAGACGAAAGCCAGGGAGCAGAACCGTGTCTTCAGAGAAACGTCACAGTCAGATCATTATCAACGGATCAAGAAAACAACAGTTACGGTAATGTGATTGCAGAGACTGATAATGCAGAGAAGGAGAAAACGACGGTAGGAGAACAGAACTGGTCAGGACTAGAAGGTGTTACTCGAGTGAACTCTCTTGTTCAACTTCCCAGATTCCCTGGAGAGAAACCTTGAGACATGGCTTTTGATTGTTTTCAGAACTGATTTTGGTCAGGAAAAAAAATGTCTTCTGCTCAACATAATCTTCTTTATTGCTTCAAGTGAAATGCCTGAAGCTCCGAATATGGAATCCTAAAAGTATATGTAAATGTCTTAGGTCTTTTGTCTCTCTGCTTGATGATGAACTCTTAAAAAAGATTAAAACGTTGTGTGAGATAAGAAAGGTTTGCACAAACATAAAAAAGGTCCCACCGAGACTTGAACTCGGGTTACTGGATTCAGAGTCCAATGTCCTGACCACTAGACCATGGGACCATTTGTTTCCGAATGCTCCAAGTTCCTTTAAAAATGAGGACTTTGTGTTCGAGTACTATATGACCAATGTCGCTACCGCACCGGCGGCTTGAAGAATTTACCGATGCGAAGATTTTACCGGAAGCCCTTTTCGTTAGCTCTTCTGAATCGTCCGCATTGTTCTTCACAATCTCTCTGTTTGTACAAAAATGGCGACTTTTTGTCGGATGATTCAAAGTGCTTGCCTTTATCAAGCTCAAGGACGAGTGTTAGGTGGGTGTTCAATAGCAGCTCACTTCCTCCTCCCGAATGGATAGAACCCTTTAACGATGTCTCCGATTTGGTGAAATCGAACCGTAATCTCCAGCCATCTCCATGGGTAAGCCAAATTCTCAACCTTTTAGATGGTTCGGCTTCCATGGAATCGAATCTAGATGGTTTCTGCCGTAAGTTTCTTATCAAACTATCGCCCAATTTTGTTTCGTTTGTGTTGAAATCCGATGAGATTCGCGAAAAACCCGATATTGCTTGGAGTTTCTTCTGTTGGTCTCGTAAGCAAAAGAAGTATACGCATAACCTCGAGTGTTATGTCTCCTTGGTTGATGTATTGGCTCTGGCAAAAGATGTGGATAGAATTAGGTTTATCTGCAGTGAGATTAGGAAATTTGAGTTTCCTATGACTGTTTCTCCTGGGAATTCTCTGATTAAGAGTTTTGGAAAGCTTGGAATGGTGGAGGAATTGTTGTGGGTTTGGCGCAAAATGAAAGAGAATGGTATTGAGCCGACTTTGTACACTTATAACTTTTTGATGAACGGATTAGTGAGCGCGATGTTTGTTGATTCGGCAGAGCGTGTTTTTGAGGTTATGGAAAGTGGCAGAATCAAACCAGACGTTGTGACTTATAACACAATGATCAAGGGTTATTGTAAGGCAGGGCAAACACAGAAAGCTTTGGAGAAGCTTAGAGTTATGGAGACGAAAGGTCTTGAGGCTGATAAGATTACGTATATGACTATGATCCAGGCTTGTTATGCAGATAGCGACTTTAGTTCTTGTGTGGCTTTGTATCAAGAGATGGATGAGAAGGGACTTCAAGTCCCACCTCATGCGTTTAGCTTAGTGATTGGTGGACTTTGTAAGGAAGGGAAATTGAATGAAGGTTATGCTGTTTTCGAGAATATGATCCGTAAAGGTTCTAAACCAAATGTAGCTATATACACGGTTTTGATTGATGGTTATGCGAAAACCGGAAGTGTTGAAGATGCGATAAGGCTTTTACACAGAATGATAGATGAAGGGTTTAACCCCGATGTGGTAACTTATTCCGTTGTTGTTAATGGTTTGTGTAAAAACGGGAGAGTGGAAGAGGCAATGGACTATTTCCAGACTTGCCGGTTTAACGGATTGGCTATCAATTCGATGTTTTATTCTAGTCTTATTGATGGTTTAGGAAAAGCAGGCCGAGTAGATGAAGCCGAGAGGCTTTTTGAAGAGATGTCTGAAAAAGGATGCACAAGGGATTCGTACTGTTACAATGCACTGATCGATGCGTTTACAAAGCATGGGAAAGTCGATGAAGCGTTAGCCCTGTTTAAGAGAATGGAGGAAGAAGAAGGTTGTGATCAAACGGTTTATACATACACGATACTCATATCCGGAATGTTCAAAGAACATAGAAACGAAGAGGCGTTAAAGCTTTGGGACATGATGATTGATAAAGGCATTACACCAACCGCAGCTTGCCTCAGGGCGTTATCGACTGGGCTATGTTTATCGGGAAAAGTGGCGAGAGCTTGTAAGATACTGGATGAGTTGGCTCCAATGGGTGTGATTCTGGATGCAGCTTGTGAAGATATGATAAACACATTGTGTAAAGCTGGTCGGATCAAAGAAGCTTGTAAATTAGCTGATGGGATAACAGAGAGAGGAAGAGAAGTGCCAGGGAGGATCAGAACAGTGATGATAAATGCATTGAGGAAAGTGGGAAAAGCAGATCTAGCTATGAAGCTAATGCATAGCAAAATTGGGATTGGTTATGAGAGAATGGGTAGTGTTAAAAGACGTGTCAAGTTTACGACTTTACTTGAAACTTGTTTTGACTCTCACTGGTAAGAATTGTTTGCGTTTATATCTTCTTCATGTGTAGTAATGTTTTTCCAAAACATCAAATATACAATTTTAGTTTCTCCACGAATATAGATGACGTCATCACTCCAAACGACGTCGTAACAAAAACGTAACAATTTCCTTTTCTTTTTGGTTATAAAATAAATTTCCATTTTTATTGATCGAGTGATTTCCATTTTTTAATATAACACGTGTGTATAAAAGAGATTTCCTTTTTGTTTTTCCGAAACGACCTAACATCTCTGCTTATAAATATAATCGTAATCTCTTCTTTCTTCTTCGAGAAAGATCAAAATTGTATCTTGAGTGAGAAAGTTCTAAAGCAAGCATAGCTTTTCGTGTTCTTCTAAAGCTTTGAATCGCAACTATTTTCGTGTGAGGCCGTGGCGGTGGATGTGAGGCCGCAGCATACGTCGATCATAATCTCCACAAACCCTATCGTCGGAGAGAAGAAGGCCCAATCGTCGTTTACAATCACAGTCCTCCTTGTCTGCTTCAATTAGGGTTGATGCTGTTATGACTCAACAATAACACCAATATCTTAATCCTCTCTTTCTTGACCTGTAAGTAATCTCCAAAATCCTCTGTTTTTCTTTATTTTCTTTTGTTTCTTTTTTTTTCGGTTCAACTTTTTTTTCTTTTCTGTTTCTAAGTTTATTATTTATCCCTCTCAACCAATATTGACTCCTTTCTTTGTTTTATTCAATTTCAGCATATTGGAAGTTATATCGCCTACTAGATTTGTGGACAAACACTATCATCAACATTACTAATTCTCTGTAAGTTATTTCTTCTATTATTCGTTCATTTTTTTTATTATAATAAAATAGAAAATGTTTTTGTTTTAAAAATAAAACTAAGTATTTTTAACACTATTTTTTTTTTATTTTACAAAATGTTTTTGTATAAAAACAAAACTAAGTGTTAAATTTAAATAGCTTGAAAACAAGTTGGGTTTAGCATCCCGTCCTTTTGGTCCGTAAGTCTTGCGATGTACAAGTTCAACATGTTTTCTCGTAATTAAAATTTAACATTTAGTTATGTTTTAAACGGTTTTTAAAAATAATGTTTTAAGTAAATTTTTATTTTATTTTACAAAATGTTTTTGTTTAAAAACAAAACTAAGTGTTAAATTTAAATAGCTTGGAAACAAGTTGGGCTTAGCATCCCGTCCTTTTGGTCCGTAAGTCTTGCGGTGTACAAGTTCAACATGTTTTCTCGATTAAAATTTAACATTTAGTTATTTTTAAAACGGTTTTTAAAAATAATGTTTTAAGTAAAATTTTATTTTATTTTACTAAATGTTTTTGTTTAAAAATAAAACTAAGTATTAAGTTTAAATAGCTTGAAAACAAGTTGGGCTTAGCATCCCGTCCTTTTGGTCCGTAAGTCTTGCGGTGTATAAGTTCAACATGTTTTCTCGTAATTAAAATTTAACACTTATTTATGTTTTAAACGGTTTTTAGAAATAATGTTTTAAGTAAAATTTTTATTTTATTTTACAAAATGTTTTTGTTTAAAAATAAATCTAAGTGTTAAATTTAAATAGCTTGAAAACAAGTTGGGCTTAGCATCCCGTCCTTTTGGTCCGTAAGTCTTGCGGTGTATAAGTTCAACATGTTTTCTTGTAATTAAAATTTAACACTTAGTTATGTTTTAAACGGTTTTCAAAAATAATGTAAATTGTTTTGATTTTTAACTAAAATTTTTTGAATTTTACAAAATGTTTTTGTTTATAAAACTAAACTAAGTATTTAATTTAAATATGTTGAAAACTAATAAGACTTTGCATCCCGTCCTTTTTGTCTGTAAGTCTTGAGGTTTCATAAACATGTTTTCACATAGTGAAAATTTAACACTTAGTTACGTTTTAAACGGTTTTCGAAAGTAATGTTTTAAGTAAAAATTTTTTTTTATTTTTAAGTAATTTTTTTTTTAATTTTACAGAATGTTTTTGTTTTAAAAACAAATCTAAGTGTTAAATTTAAATATGTTGAAAACTAACCGAACTTAGCATCTCGTCCTTTTGGTCTGTAAGTCTTGAGGTGTCATAAATTCAATATGTTTTCACGTAATTCAAATTTAACACTTGGTTAAAGTTTTTCACAAATAATGTTTTAAGTAATTTTTTTATTTTTACCTAAAAGTTTTTGATTTTACAAAAAGTTTTGATTTTGAAAAAAATCCTAAGAGTTAAAACTAAATATGGTAAAAACAAAAGCATCCCGTCTTTTTGGTCTTTAAGTCTTGTGGTATCATAAGTTCAAGTTTTCAAGTATATTAAATTTAACTCTTGACTAAGTTTTAAGTTTTTTTCACAAATAATATTTTAAGTAAATTTTTTTGACTTTTAACTTAAAAGTTTTTTTTTTTTTTTGTTTTAAAAAAATAACTAAGTGATAAATTTAAATACTTTGAAAACAAACCTAATTTACCATTATGTCGTTAGGATTTTATTTGGTCCGTTATTTAGTGTCATTAGTCCAACATGATTTCACATGATATAATTTAACATTTAGCTAAATTTTAAAGTTTGTAGCAAATAATGTTTTTAGTTAATTTTTCAATTTCTAACTAAAGCTTTTTTGGTTATATAAAATGTTATTATTTAAGTGCTAAATTTAGCAAATAATAGTGCTAAATTTAAATACGTTGAACACAAACCTCTTTGGAGAGGATGGTTCCTTTACTGAGTAGTCTGAGTTGGACCTCGGAGAACCTTCAGGCAAAAAGTGTTGTACTCTTATGTTCCAAGTTTAGTGCAAATCAAGCTACCTAAAGCTGGAGGAGGCAAAAGGAAAAGACAAAGCTATTAATAGACCAATTCGGCAATTCTTAATCCATTTGTGGTTGGACCTGTTTTTAAATCTTAAAACTTTTTTTTTTTTATTTTCCCTTTCTTGTGCTTTGGTGTGTGATTTGCGTGTAAACATGTTAGCACGTTGAGCTGAAACATTACAATATTGATCTTCATTATTTAATTGAGTTCTAATTTTGATAAACTAACAATAGAATGCTCTGTTACAAGCTTAGTTGTGACCTGTGACTTTCTAGCCACTAACCACAAATTTCGGATTCAAACTTTTCAAGTGCGTAGGGTTTGTAACCAAATTGAATCAAACCGTTGAAAAACTCAACCGGAATTCTTTTACTAGTGAACTAAATCCAATTGAAGCCTCATAAAACCGAATAAAATTCAGTAAACCGATCCATAAACCAAAATGTAAAAAATAATTCCTGTTGAATAGGTGTTGAAATTTTGCTGAACAAAAACGAAGCGAGCACCCTTTAAAATGCCTTCGATTTCTCCGGCGCCATTGATTTAGTTTTCTCTCTCTGACTACAAAGTACCCATTCGTTGAAACCATTTTCTTCCCATTTTCGATTTCTGTCATAATCCAACGACCTCCACAATCAACAAATACTCTTTCTTGAATAAGTTTCTTTATCTTAAAACAAACGATCTCAAAGAATGGCACGGCACGATCCTAATCCATTTGCTGATGAAGAGATCAATCCTTTTGCGGTAAAGAGCTCTGTTTCATAATGATTGAATAGAAATGTCTGATCTTTCTGTAATCTTTATCCATTTGATCTCAATTTATAACGTTGTAGAATAATACAAGTGTTCCTCCTGCGAGCAACTCTTATCTCAAGCCACTTCCACCGGAACCTTATGATCGTGGTGCAACCGTTGATATCCCTTTGGATTCTGGCAATGTATGATATCTTCAATACCTTCTGCATTTTGCCTTTCATGTTTACTCAAGATCTGGTTAGATGAAACCGTAAATTTCATTTTGCTGATTCTGTTTGAAGGATCTTCGAGCTAAAGAGATGGAACTTCAGGCTAAGGAGAACGAACTGAAGCGGAAAGAGCAGGTGATTTCTGGTTTTCGAGTCTCTTGGGTCGATATCCAAGCTAATCTTGAGACCTAAGTTTCAATGTGGATTGTTTCTAACAGTCTTCATCTTCTTGTAATGCAGGAGCTTAAAAGAAGAGAGGATGCAATAGCGCGAAGTAGTGCAATCTTCTATATATGATATTCTACATCTTCCAATGACCTTTTACGGGTTTTTGTAGCTAACCTGATATGGTTGTTTTGGCAGCTGGAGTTGTCATCGAAGAGAAAAATTGGCCGGAGTTTTTCCCTATAATTCATCATGACATTCCAAATGAGATTCCAATTCATTTACAGAAGATCCAATACGTCGCATTCACCACATTGTTAGGTATGTAAACCGCCTTAGACCGCTGCAAAAAATCCAGACAAAAGTTAACAGTAAATTCTTGAACTATGCAGGTTTAGTAGGATGTCTCTTGTGGAATATTGTGGCAGTAACTGTAGCTTGGATCAAAGGAGAAGGTTACCGTTTTTACCCAAACGATCAGATTCATGATGGTATTTCCTCTGACCATGTTGATTCATCTGATGTGCTTTGTTTTGTAATCAGGTCCCACTATATGGCTTCTCTCAATCATCTACTTCATTGCTGGGGTACCTGGAGCTTACGTCTTATGGTACCGTCCTCTTTACCGAGCTACCAGGTAAAAACAGCTCTCTTAGTATATGCTGGAACTTGCTCGGGAATACGATGAATTGTGAACAGATATATGAAATGAGTCAATAATACAATGAGTGTGTACCTCTTGCAGAACTGATAGTGCCCTGAAGTTCGGAGCTTTTTTCTTTTTTTACGTGGTAAGAAAAACCGCATTTCTATTGGTAGATTTCCTCTGCATTAAAGTTTTTTAAGAAGCCATGAGAAAATAAACCCGTGTCTTGCACTTTTTAGTTTCACATCGCGTTCTGCGGCTTTGCTGCAGTTGCTCCACCAGTCATCTTCCAAGGAAAGTCTCTCACGTAAGAGTTTTCCTTCTATATGAAAGCATTAGAACCAGCCTCTAAGTTTTACATTTTTTAACCATTCGTCATTTTATGAAGATGTTATAACCTTTTGAGTCTTTGATGAGCTCCATCTGATTCCATGTACTGTTGGTTTTGTGGACAGAGGTTTCTTGCCAGCACTTGAGCTTCTAACTACTAATGCTGCAGTCGGGGTAACTAACCATTCTGCTCATTTACAAGTACTTTACTTCGGATTGTGAGAGTATTCTTACCTAATTTTCTTCCTTTTCACCCTCACAGATAATGTATTTCATTGGTGCTGGGTTCTTCTGCATCGAAACACTTCTCAATATCTGGGTCATTCAGGTTTCTCAACTTCTTCTACTCCAGAATTTATCAACACTGTAAATCACTTCAATCCATCTGTTTTCTAACCCATGACGTGCAATAATCGATTTTCAGCAAGTATATGCATATTTCCGAGGGAGTGGCAAAGCTGCAGAGATGAAGCGTGAAGCTACAAAATCGACCTTGATGCGTGCACTATGAAGAAAACACTCTTCACCAGAAAATGTATCAGTGGCGGCTTGAGGTTAAAATCTTAAATCATCAACAAAACATTTGACTCAACCCTTTTCTCTGCAAAGTCTAGGCTGGCAACTGTTTTACGTTTGAATTACTTTGTAAAGACAAATCGCTTACATGGGGACCTCAAGGCAAAATTATGTGGTTTAAAGTTGTCAAACCATTTCTTTATGAATACTAGAGCATGATCCCTAGAGGGACACGAATATTTATGGCTTTCTAATGAGCATCAATCCAGCTCTGTCCAACAGTCTTTGCTACTCCTCGTCTCACCATTAACTTACGAATCTTGAGTGCATCCCCATGGCGACCTATCGCCTTGTACATGTTACTGAGAAGAACATAACTCATGTGGTACTTTGGTTCCAACTCCATCATTCTCTTTGCAATCCGCTCTGCAATACTGGAGGCATCTGTATTTGCAGCACAAGGTCCAAGCAGAACTCCCCACAGAGACGCATCATTTCTACACTCCGCTCTGTCCAACAGATTCTCCGCTTCTTCAAACAAACCTGCGCGTCCTAGAAGGTCAATCATGCAACTGTAATGCTCGGTACCTGGTTTAATCCCATAACTCTTAGCCATCAACGCAAAGTAATTCCGTCCCTCTTCAACCAACCCTGTATGACCACATGCAGTGAGAACCGCGATAAAACTGATGTAATCAGGCTTTATCCCCTTTTTAACCATATCATTGAAGAAACTAACAGCTTCTTCACCTCTTCCATTTTGAGCAAGCGCAGAGAGCATAGCGTTCCACGTTATCATGTTCCTAACTGACATCTTGGAGTAAACACGACTAGCATAATCAATGCACCCGGATTTCCCATACAAGTCAATTAAAGCCGATTCTACAATCACATTACCAAAACACCCTCTTCGCACGTACTGGCCATGAATCTCTTTCCCAAGTCTTACTGCCGCCAAACCAGCACACGCCTTAAGAACAGTGCCAAAACAATACAGATCTTTCTCTTCCATCTCCCTGAACATCTCAATTGCTTTCTCATGTTCTCCATTCTGACAGTATCCCCCGAGTAAGGCAGACCAAGATACGATGTTCTTCCTAGGCATCCCATTGAACACTTGCCTAGCCTCCCGAACTGATCCACTTTTACCATACATATCAAGGAGACTACTCTCGACCACCACATTGCTACCTATCCCGTTTGTAATAAGCTTCCCATGAATCTCTTTCCCTTGCTTCAGCCTCCTCAGATTACCACAAGCCGTTAAAACAGTTCCAAATGTAGACCCATCAGGCACCAACCCTTTTCCTCTGTGCATAGCGTAAAAAAGCCCCAAAGCTTCCTCGTACAAGTCGTTCTTCGAAAACGCAGAGAGTACAGCTGTCCAACAAATAACATCTGGCTCAGGCATTTCATCAAACACCCGGCGTGCATCTACTGGTTCTTTATTCACACCGTACATGTACGCCAATGTGCTAGAGATAACATGGTTCCACTCGAACCCATGAGTAATAACAACACCATGGAAACACCTCCCTAGCCTAACTTCTCCAAGCTCAAAGCAAGCCTTAACTGCCGAAGACAACGTAAATTTATTCGGCTGCAAACCAAAACTCACCATCTCCACAAACACCTCAAGCGCCTTAACGTGTTCTTTACTGGCAACGTATCCAGACATCATCGAAGTCCACGAAATCGCGTCTTTGACGAACATTCCATCGAAAACTCTCCGAGTCTCCCTCATATCAGGTCCCAACTTGAAGTACAGAGAGAGCAAGCTGTTCCCAACGTTCCGGTCTGTTTCCAGACCCGATTTGACGACATGGGCATGAAACTGAAGGCCGTGGATAAAGGAGAAGACTTTTCTGCATGTTTGTAAGAGAGACGCGTAGAGATTCGACTTCGCAGAGATCTCAGACGAGTGTGTTGAGTTTAGGATCCGAATGGCGTCGGTGAGCTGACCCAATTTACAAAGCTCCAGGATCCGAGATTGTTTCGTCGGAGCAGAGGAAGAATTTGACGGCGTCAGACACAGAGAGGCGTGTCGACTGAATTGGCGCTTAAGGATGAGATTCATCGGAGTACCACAATCACCGGTGAACTATTCTTACATTGAAAATTAACCAAATTGGTAAATCTATTAATTAAACGAAATTTGATAGATAAATAAATCATATAAATTAATTTTGTAAGAAAACAAATATAATAACCAAAAATAACAAATATATATAGTCAAAAATAACCATAAACACTAATAATTTTGTATAAATTACGATGGTTATAAGATTTATGAGTTATGACTGATAAAACTTAATTCACATCAAATTGTATAGTTTTTGACTTTGTATTCAAATTAAAATAAATACGAAAAAGAAAAAAAAAAAAAAAAGTAGGTGGAGGGAGAGAGGAACGGATAAAACCCTATTTTGGCAGTGGCACTACCAATACTTTGCTCTCAAAACCCTAACGTATCTGCGATAAACCCTCGCGCCTTTGCTCAAATAGCTGCCTTTATAACTTAGCCGCCACTTTTACTCTCGCAAGTCATGTTCTTTCACTTTCTTGCGCTGGTTCTTCTTCGCCCTCTCTCTTCTTGCCATGGTTGGATTTCCCCCTAATCCAGCTATAACAGTTAAAGAAGAGCTAGCTTTGCAAGTTGTAGTCGATCAAGACCCCAAGGTAAAAACTTTCAAGGACTCTATTGATTTCCCCTCCATCGATTCCTATCTGGATTTCGATTCCGTCACTTGGTTGGGGAGTTATCGGAACGGTGAGGAGTTTAGCATAGAAGATACGGACTTTGATTTCTTTGAGGACGGAATGGAGATACCTCAAGAAGGCGTTGTTACTGTTAGCGATGTAATGCGTCCTGAGTCGATTGAAGTAAAGCCTGAGCTTTGTGATGACATGTCTGGGGAAGTTGGTGTGAGTTCGGTTAGGTCTGTGTCGATGGTTGAAGTAAAGCCTGTGCTTTGTGATGTCATGTCTGAGGAAGTTGGAGAGAGCTCAATTAAGTCTGAGTCGATGGTTGAGGTAGAGCCCAATGTTTGTGTTGACATGTCTGCAAACGGTGGGGATGAACCAGCAGTGAAAGATTCAGAACCGGTTGTTTCTGAAAACTCTAGGTCAATGGAAGGTGAGACTGAGCCAGTTGTTGTGTCTGCTCCTTGTCCCACCATGGATTTGGATGAATCAGGGTTGAAGAAAACAGATGAGAGTTTGGCTTGTTCTATTGAAGTAGGGTTGAAGAAGGTAAGTTTGGCCATGGATGATGATGAGAAGAATGACGGGGATAAGGGAAAAATTGATTCTGCTGAGTCTGACAGTGAAACATCGAGCTCTTCTTCTAGCAGTAGTGATAGTAGTAGCAGTGAAGAAGAGGAGAGTGATGAGGACGAGAGCGACGAAGAGGAAAAGAAGAAGGAAGAAAAGTTTGAAGATCACATGGTTATGGGGAAAGAGGATGATCTAGCAGGGGAACTTGAAGAGGGTGAGATAGAGAATTTAGATGAGGAGGATGGGGATGACGAAATTGAGGATGACGAAGATGATGATGCTGATGATGACGATGATGAAGCGATGGTTGCTTGGAGCAATGATGAGGATGATGACCTCGGTTTACAAACAAAAGAACCTATAAGGTCAAAGAATGAGCTCAAGGTACCTCCTATGCTTCAGCTTTTCACATTTCATAGCTTTATTTACTTGAAAGAAGTACGGTCCATTCTCTTTGTAGAGTACTGATTAAATATTGCAACAAGAAAACTATATACTGTCCGCAAGCTATTTGGCATTACCTTAGAAGCCTTCTTTTTGTTGAGTAAATTTTGGAAGATTTTCCCCTTTTTAACTCTTGCAGGAGCTTCCTCCAGTTCCAGCTGTGGATGTCACTCTGGAACCACATCATGCCACACTTCCTGTTGGAGTTGTTCTTTCGGTATATTACAATTTATCTCTACTTGTATGCTATTGCTTCTCTGATTTATGTCTAGATAATCCACTGCTATAAGTATACCCGTGTGATTTGTGATTTTACAGGTAATGAGCACACAAGTAATAGTTGAGGGAATGGAAAAGCATAGTCCTTTGACTGAAGGTTCTATCCTTTGGATAACTGAAAAAAGAACGCCATTGGGACTGGTGGATGAGATCTTTGGACCAGTAAAGTGCCCTTTCTATATTGTGAGGTTCAATTCAGAGAGTGAAGTGCCAGAAGGGGTTAGTCAAGGGACACCTGTCTCATTTGTCGCCGATTTCGCTCAACACATTCTCAATATCAAGGAACTGCAGAAGAAAGGTTACGATGCATCTGGTGATAACGACGAGGAGATACCAGACGAGCTAGAGTTCTCAGATGATGAAAAAGAAGCCGAATACAGAAGAATGCAGAAGATGGAAAAGAGAGGAATGATGAATGACCAGAAAACGGGTAACACTAGGAACAAGAAGAAGAAAAACCGAGATCTCGGAAGGCCTACCAGCAGTTACTCAGGGGAATGGACAGAGAACCAGGGATCTAGTCCCCTATCCTCAAACCGTTCTGATCCTCAAATGGGTGGTCCGCTTTCAAATCTTGGTCCGCGTCCTCAAATGGACGGTTTTCCTCCAAACAATGCAGCATGGAGACCCCAGAGTAATCAGCAGAACCCATATCAGCTTCCTCATATACCTAATCAGATGGGAATGCCCAATCTAGCCCCAATGCAGATACCTTTCATGGCAATGCAAAATCAAAATCAAATGATGTTCCAACCGCAGTTCAATGGTGGCCAGATGCCAATGCCAGGTGGACCGGGAGGCTTAAACTTCTTTCCAGGACAGGCTTCAGAGCCATGGCCTGCATTGGTTGGTCAGAATTGTTTCAACCAACCATTTGGGATGGGTCGCGGTATTCAGCAGCAGCCATTACCAAATGAGCTGAGTTTTAATCTGTTTTCTCAAGGTCTTCAAATGCACCCGCCACAGTCCCAAATGCACCGGCCACAGTCTCAAATGAATCCACATTTCCAAATGCCACCACAGTTCCAAACCAACCCGCAATCTCCAATGAACCCGCAGTACCAAATGATGCACCGACCACAGTCTCCAATGAACCTGCAGTTCCAAATGCAACCACAATCTGATGTGCGACCACCACAGTCACAAATCCCGCAGTCACCAACAATTCTGCAGTCCCCAATGGAATCACAGTCTCAAGGGTTTAGCAGCGGGCAGTCTTCTGAACGGGGAAGGGGCTTCCGTGGTCGTGGGAGGGGTAGGGGTCGGGGTCGCTTCGGACGTGGGCGAGGTCGAGGCCGGCAACAGTCTGGATGAAACTGTTTTTGTGAAGCATATTGATGTGTGCCATAGACAGGACTATATTAGTTTTGTATGCCAGTTTTCAGCTATGATTTTATCATCTTTTTACACATTCTCTAATTGCTAACAGTAAATTCAAACTTTGATCTTTCTTTTTCTTTCTCCTTGCCAAAGTCAAACTGGCTATAGAGTATAGAGTCGACTATAGTCTCTCTAGCAGCAGGCAAAAGAACAGTTTTTTTTCTCGCCGTTAATTTCGTTACTTATCTAAAGCATTCTTATCCGTTGATAATGCCACGTGTACGTCGTCGCTTGTAAAGGGTGTGAGTCGTACATGATCATTAAATTCTCTACTGATTGATTTTGATTTTGCCAACAATTATTAAAGCTTAACGCCACGAATTGTTTCGTGTTTAAATTAATTGCCATGTCTCTCTGTCTGTCTCTCTGTATCTCTCTCTCTCTCTCTCTTCTTCCCCGCGTCGATTTCACATTTTCTCTTTTAAGACAGCTTTGAATCTAAAGACAATTTCAGTTTCTTTTTCTTCAAAGTATTGAAATTTCGTATTTTCCTCTCTTGCCCACTTCTGACTTATTGCAATCAGAAGTTTAAACACTTTTCCTCTCTCTTTCTGCTACCCTAATTTATCTTCTTAAAGCGTCTGCCTCTTTTAAGGTAATTTCAAGACTTAAACTTGAAGTATCTCTCGCCTTCTTCTGCTGTCTGTTTCTTTTTTGAAATCGATTTGAGATTAGATCTGACTCAGCTTTGGACTAAGACAAAACCTTTTCTCTTTGCATGCCATAAAAGCCATTGCTTTCGATTGCAGATTCCGTAGTGGGTGTTCCATTTTATCTCTTTTAAAAAGTCCTCTTTTTTAAATCAATTCTGCTGAACTTGGCCAATTCTGAAACTTTGTTCTCCTCTTGGTCTCGGTTCTTAAGATTTGAATCTGTAGTCAGATTCCTTTGCTTACTTTGATACAAAAGATTCGGGCTTTGATGCTAATTTGGTATTTTATAGACACCTTCGATCGCCTGTCTGTACATATCTGAATTGGGTTTCTTGGTTGGATAGGATAAGTGGTTAGGGAATGAGAAAATTGTATAGGAAGCTGGTTTCATTCAGAGACCCTTTTGCTAGGGTGAAGAGACATGTTAGTTCACACTCAGGGATTAGAGCTTTCAGCGACAGAAAATGGATGTTCCCTTTTCTAGCAAGCTTGATCATGTCGATTACTCTCCTGATTTTGTTAATTTCTGGCCAATTCGACGGCTTCTATGGGGAAGAAGATCAATTACCATTAGATGTTGTTTCAGAGTCTAATGAGTACTTTGTAGAATCAGATTTCAAACAATCTTTGAATTCGACGGCTGATGTTAATTTAGGGCCTCCTAGGCTAGCTTATTTGATATCGGGAACAAAAGGGGATAGTCATAGAATGATGAGGACTTTACAAGCTGTGTACCATCCTAGAAACCAATATGTTCTGCATTTGGATCTTGAGGCTCCACCTCGTGAACGGATGGAGCTGGCCATGTCCGTGAAGAGTGATCCGACTTTCCGTGAAATGGAGAATGTTCGTGTGATGTCTCAGTCTAATCTTGTTACTTATAAAGGCCCTACAATGATTGCTTGTACTCTTCAAGCCGTTGCAATTTTGCTGAGGGAAAGCTTATATTGGGATTGGTTTCTTAACCTTAGCGCCTCGGATTATCCTCTAGTAACACAAGATGGTTAGTAAAAGAATGCCCTTTGCATACATATACTCTCTCTATAATGCTTTAGTAGTCTCTCATATGTTTCATTTGCAATTTTGGTTCCTTCGGTGACTTATCATCCTTTTGAGCTTCATATTTAGTTGGGACTTATAAGTTTGGTTTGGCTTTACATTCCCTTTCTGTAGATTTGTTGTATGTCTTCTCAAATCTGTCTCGGAATGTCAATTTCATCGAGAATATGCAGCTCACCGGATGGAAACTGTAAGTAGAACTATGCTTTATTATTCGAGTCACACCAGAATCTCAAAGCATGTGTAGTTTACTTGGGACTTTCTTAGCAGTAATCAGAGGGCTAAATCAATCATTGTTGATCCTGCCCTATACCTATCGAAGAAATCCGATATTGCTTGGACTACTCAACGACGATCACTTCCAAATTCTTTCAAGCTATTCACCGGTTAGCTTCTTGAATCTCACAGTTTCATTTCTGTGAGAAAGATTATGAACGTCCTGAAGATGATTTTTCTTAATTCTGCAGGCTCAGCTTGGATAATGTTGACTCGGTCTTTCCTCGAGTACTGCATTTGGGGATGGGATAATTTCCCAAGAACAATACTAATGTACTACACGAATTTCGTGTCCTCTCCTGAAGGATACTTCCATACAGTAATCTGCAACAGCAAAGAGTTTATCAACACCGCGATTGGGCATGATCTACACTACATTGCGTGGGACAGTCCTCCAAAGCAACACCCTAGATCTCTCTCGTTGAAGGATTTCGACAATATGGTCAAAAGCAAAGCTCCATTTGCTCGTAAGTTCCACAAGAACGATCCTGCGTTAGACAAGATCGATAAAGAGCTATTGGGACGGACACACCGGTTTGCACCAGGAGGATGGTGTATTGGGAGTTCAGCTAATGGCAATGATCCGTGCTCCGTGAAAGGCGACGACTCGGTGTTGAAACCAGGACCTGGTTCTGCAAGGTTGCAGGAGCTTGTTCAAACACTTTCCTCTGATGAATTTAGGAGAAAACAGTGTTCTTGAAGTTATCTAATGATGACGCAAAATATAACATTGTATATTGTTTTGTTTGATTATAAATTTTGGTTATAGAAATTTCTTCGAAACACATGAATCAAGGGAGTGGAAAGTCTGAGAACAAGTGACGTGAAGTGGGATTTTATGGGCCGAATAAAGTGCCGTGAAGTGGGATTTAATGGGCCGAATAGAATGGAACAACAAAAACTAAGGCCCAATTAGTTTACTGCCAAAAAAAAAAAAAAAGAGACCGCCGTTGCCGGGGATCGAACCCGGGTCACCCGCGTGACAGGCGGGAATACTTACCACTATACTACAACGACTTGGTTGTTTGTTAACTCAAAACGCAAGTATTTAATCAATAAAATATTTCGTATTTCTTCTTAGTCCCAGTCAGCTTACGTTGTTTCTTGACGCCAACACCGAAAGCAGCTCCATCTCCATGTCTTCCTCGTACGCGTCGAGCTGCACTAAATTGATCTCTCTCACCAAACAATTAAGCTCTTACGCGAACCAAGGATTCCATGAACAAGCTCTCACTCTCTTTCGTCAAATGCATTCTTCTTTCGCATTACCTCTCGACGCACACGTCTTCTCACTCGCTCTCAAATCGTGCGCTGCAGCTTTCCATCCTGTTCTCGGCGGATCAGTCCATGCCCACTCCGTCAAATCCAATTTTCTGTCGAACCCATTTGTGGGATGCGCTCTACTCGATATGTATGGTAAATGCTTGTCTGTTACTCATGCTCGCAAACTGTTCGACGAAATTCCTCAGAGGAATGCTGTTGTGTGGAACGCGATGATTTCGCATTACACACATTGTGGGAAGATTCAAGAAGCGGTTGAGTTGTATGAAGCTATGGATGTTATGCCAAATGAGTCTTCTTTCAATGCTATCATAAAGGGTTTTGTTGGTACTGAAGATGGGTCTTATAAAGCTATTGAATTCTATAGGAAGATGATAGATTTTAGATTCAAGCCTAATTTGATTACGCTTCTTGCGTTAGTTTCCGCTTGCTCAGCCATTGGGGCTTTTCGTTTAATAAAAGAGATTCATTCATATGCTTTTAGGAATCTGATTGAGCCGCATCCACAATTGAAAAGCGGGTTAGTGGAGGCGTATGGGCGGTGTGGATGCATTGTCTATGTGCAATTGGTGTTTGAGAGCATGACTGATAGGGATGTGGTTGCTTGGAGTAGCTTGATATCTGCTTATGCACTTCACGGTGACGCGGAATCCGCTCTTAGAACATTTCAAGAAATGGAATCGGCGAAAGTAACACCCGATGACATAGCGTTTCTGAACGTGCTAAAGGCTTGTAGTCACGCTGGTTTAGCCGATGAGGCTCTTTTATACTTTAAGAGAATGCAGGGAGATTACGGTTTGCGTGCAAGCAGGGACCATTACTCGTGTTTGGTGGATGTCTTAAGCAGAGTAGGGAGGTTTGAAGAAGCTTACAAAGTGATTCAAGCTATGCCTGAGAAGCCAACGGCTAAGACATGGGGGGCTTTGCTTGGAGCTTGTAGGAACTACGGCGAGGTTGAGCTAGCAGAGATTGCTGCGAAGGAGTTGTGGAAGATAGAGCCAGAGAATCCCGCGAATTATGTGTTGTTGGGGAAGATTTATATGAGTGTTGGAAGACAAGAAGAGGCAGAGAGACTTCGAATGGAGATGAAGGAGAGTGGAGTGAAGGTTTCACCTGGAAGTAGTTGGTGTTTGTTCAAAGATTGACATATTACCATGCTCATGAAATTTTTGTAAGCTCATACACAATTTTTGAAATCAAGATTGTATAATTCAAATGATATTCTTAAATTCTAAGGAAATAATATGGAAAAATACCTGCAAAAGAAGTTTGTAATTTGTAATCTTTGTAACAAGTCAAGATAAAGCATAGATGATGGAATTTGAATTTTTTAAGGCCTGGCATATTTGAGCCATCACAAAGCTAAGCTTTTAAACCAACTGGATTTATACGTTGGGCCGGTTAAAGTTTAACCGCAATAAACTAACGGGGGCAATTTCGACTTTTGGGCAATGAGAAGAAGGCTAGGGTTTTAACTAGCCGCGTGCTATTTAAGATCTTCTTCCTTACTCTGTTTCATACAGTTAGAATCGACCTATAGATTAGGGTTCTTCTTAAATCGCTTAGGGTATATATCTAGTTATGATGGTTGGCAGGAGCCTCCCGGGCTAATCTGATAACTAAGGTACTTGAGGAACTAAGCCCCAAAGCTCCTGCTAGATTATTTTGCCGTTTGTGTTGCAGATTGGCCTTATTCCTTAGGCTTTTCTGTGTCAAAAAAGCGGCTATATATATATATATATATATATCTCTTTTCTATATGTGTTTTGATTTGAGCTGTGTTTGTTGATGGAATCGTGTTGGTATCAATAATGTTTGTTTTGTTTTGGCAATGATTATAAACTTACCCGCGCTTCTGAGATTAGGTCAATGAAGCAGATACGGTAAATACATGGTTGAATTCCTTAATATGAGCCATTGTTTTCTTCTTTTTCTTTGTTTTTTCTCTGAGTTTTGTTTGTTTGGCAATGATGATGAATTGTAACAGCTTGATACGCCAGTTCTGCTTCAGATAATTCTTGATCGAAAAAGCTTTATTCCTATCTGAGCCTTTAGTTGTTGAATTTTGAGAATGTCGATGATGATCTAATCCAATCTTACGAGGTGCAGTGGAGCTGAGACCCTGTTTTCAGGGAGAACCCCTTGGCAGAAGCTGCAATTTCTATGACTTGTATGGATTTTACTGAGACATTTTCATACAACTATCGGTTTTATTGATTTGAGTTTAAACTATACACTTGCACTTGTATCTTAGTGCTTGTAGTCTGAAAAAACTCATATATTCTCAGTGTTCTCATCAGCTTCCGTCTCTTTTTTATCCATGGGACTAGAGTTAAACAAGAACACTACATTTTTCTCTTCCAATTTTACATTATCTTTTTGTTTTCTTGTTTTGAGTTTCTGATTTCGTACACAAGAGTATGTTGCCTGCATGAGATTGGAGATAAATATTAAAGCATATTAAGGACGCTGGTACCTGGTGGAATGGATATGCTTATAATGCTTCTTGGGACTTATGAATTGAGGTTTTGTGTTGATTGGTAAATGCTGAATCATTTCCCTATTACAAGTTATTGGATGACTAAAGGGCTGCTACGTTTCGAATTTCTTGATCCCCTGTTGTAGAATTGAGCCAAATACTTCCATTTTCTTCTTTTCCAGTGCTATTCCAATCTCAACTCCATTACTGCCATCTCTGGACTCTGAGAATGCGATTGAACCACCTGTTTCTATGTGCACTATCTCCATTTTGCAGGGCTTTCCTAACCCAAAATCCATATCATACAGTCCCAATTTCGGAGCTCCTGCTATTGAGGTTGGAAAACGGGACATGACCCATTTACGTACTCCTTGTCCCCATGTTGGTGCTGTTTTCAGTAGATCGCTTGATAACATATCTTTGATTCTCGCTGTGATTGCGTCTGAAGCAGCCAAAACGCATTTTTCTCCTAACAAATCTCGTTTCTTGCCAGATACGATCCCAGGAGCCATGCAGTTGCCAAAGTATGTTTGTGGTATTGGTTGTGTGTACTTGAGACGATTCCTGCAATCCACATTGATCATCAAGTGAAAGACTTCGTCTTTGTCTTCCTCCTCAGCCTCTGTTTCACTGTCTTGAACAATTGTCTTCATCAAGCTTACCCAAATGAGAGCTAGAGTTACCACGAAGGTAGAAACAGGAGATTGATTCTCAGACTGCTCTTTAACCCAGCTCTTGAGATTGTCTATCTGATTCCGGCTCATTGTAAAAGTAGCTCTAACCATGTTCTCAGGCGTAACATGTGAACTGTTTTTTCCAGAGTTTTGGCTCCAAAACCGCTCCAAATGTCCTGCGCCTACCTCTCCTGGGTCCTTGATCATGTTTCTGCAGCTGTGAATAGGCAGAGGGGGTAGAAGAACCGTGGCAGGATCTTTGCCGTTGGATTTGGTCAGTGACATCCAATACTTCATGAAGTGACTGAAGGTGACTCCATCCGCTACAACATGTGTAGCTGAGTTGCCTATACAGATTCCGGCTCCAGGGAAGATGGTGACTTGCATCGCCATTATTGGCGGCATCTGAATTCCTTCCGGAGAGACATGAGGAGGAGGTAACTTGGGCAAGACGCCATGCAACACCCTGATATCTTTAGGGGAATCAGTTTTCAGTTGGTTGAAGTCGGTTTCAGTAGACTCTGCTACAGTGAAAACAAGAGAGTCTTCGCCATCATTGTACTGTAAGTATGGAGGGTCGGGACGAGACAGGATGATCAGTTTACCGGCGTAAGGGAAGAAATGTTGGAGAGAGATGGAGAGTGATTGTTTGAGGTTGGGTACAAAGTCTTTGAGGAAAGATTCAGTTGGAGTTTTGGTAAGAGAAGAAGAAGAGAGACTTGGCCAGTGGGAGAGTGAGCCACGGTGCCGTTTGGGGGAGAGATATGACAGGTCTCGATGATGTTAGGAGGTTGAGGATGAGCCATGGTGTGGTTAAGTTTTGAGGAAATGAGTTCATATTTGTTTTTGAAAAAAAGGAAAATGAAACCACCGGGCAAGTGAAGAAGTTTACATACTTTGGTCTAACGCTCTCATGTGCCCCAACCACCGATGGGCTGAATTGTTTTACTTTGTTCACAAAATTTTAGATTGGGTTTCGGTATTTTATTAGGCCCATTAAATAGAAATCCTAAAATGCTATGTAATTGCTCTGTCTCTCATACGCTCTCTACGTTCTTTGCTTCTTCGTATACTTTGATCGATCTCTCGTTTGTAATAAATGACACAGAGAATTTAACGAGTTCAGGTCTCCAATGTGGAAACCCTACATCTCGCCGGGGACTTTTACCCCGGAAAATCCACTATTTTCTCCTTCACCGGAGTTACACAAATAATACACCAAACCATATTAAGTAAGTTTTGTCATCATCCTCAACATAAACTCGACCCTCTAATACTTCTCCCTCCTCTGTATTGTGTCTGATATTTCGTCAACCCAAGTTAGATCAACAAACTCATAATTCCCCAATGCGAGGGCATCATTAGGATTGTCCATCAGCACCATCATATCATCATCTTCTTGCTGCTGTTGTTGCTGTTGAGTAACGTCACGATCTTCTTGTCCCTCCAGAAGTGTCATCGCAAAATCATCAGCCAAACCGATTAAACCTGCAGCCTCTTCTTGCACTTGTTGGTTCGACATCATCATGACGACGTTATTGTTGTTGTTGTTGTTGTTGTTCTGCATCGGTGTAGGAACCGGTATCTCTTCTTCTTGCTGTTGTTGTTGTTGTTGTTGGGTAACGTCACGATCTTCTTCTCCATCTAGCAACATCGACTCAGGGTCATCAGAAAAACCGGTTAACTCAGCCTCTTGTTGTTGCTCACAATCTTCTTGTCCCTCTAGCATCGTCTCAAGCTCATCAGGAAAATCGGTTAAGTCAACCTCTTCTTGCTCCTCACGATCTTCTTGTCCCTCTGGCATCTTCTCAAGCTCATCAGTTAAACCGGTTAAATCAGCCTCTTCTTGCACTGATTGGCTCTGTAAGATGTTGTTGGTGTTCTCCGCCACCTGAGTCTGATGAGCTTGATGATTAACGCGTCTAATCTTGTTGACCTTCTTCTGTTTCTTGTATCGGATCCGACACAAGACCAACTTTTGCTGCTCATCACTCTTGTGAAGAGAATACTCCTGCATCAGCCAATCAGTTTTGACAAGCTCTCCGTGCACTTTCCTGTGGTACGTGAAAGACTGCTGGTAACCCATCACCCTTTGATGTCCGTCCTTGATCTCTTCTTTCCCATCGTTGCTTCTCCAAGTGCCGCCTTCGCTTCCTCCTCTTCCGGGTACCTTCCGTTGCACGCTTGAACGTCGTTTAGTCAGCTGAACAAAGTAGTACCACTCCTTGTTCTTGAACAGAGGATTGTTTACGTGAGGAAGAAGCCACGGCTCGTCCATGTAGACGTCCATAGTTGTTATGAAACTGCTCTGCTTCCTCTCCACCATGTTTCGAAGATAAAACCTCACCAAACCTAGATCTTTAGGAAGAAACCGTGATCCAACCGGAAAAGACTTCATATCGATCCTGTGGATTCGAAGAAGAACTAGCTAAGGTATATATAATTCCTAGGTTAAGTAAATCTCTAATTCGTCTTGTAATAATGCTCTGTGAAGGAGAGGGTGATGGTGTGATCATGAATATATATATATATACACTACGTCATGGGCCAAACGGATTTTCTTTTGTCAGCGATTAAACTATTTTTTTTTTGGAAAGAATAAGACGGTTATAATTAAATTTATTTGGTTATTTGAGATGATAGTTAGATAGGATTCGAATCAGATACAAACCAACGACTCTGTCACTACATGGATACCATTGGTCAATGGAGGAAGCTATTTAGCTCCACGAAGTTCACATTCCGTCATAGAGAACAGAACAAATGCGCGGATCTCCTAGCAAAAAAGGCTGTTATTCATTCAAATCATTATGCGTTGTATCATTCATGTCCCATTTTCTTGTACCCTCTTGTAAACAATGATGCTGAACATATGCAATAATAAAGTTATTGGATGGAAAAAAAAAGAAGATAGGATTCGAATCTATAATATGCTTTTTTGTTTTGTTTATTACAGATTCTAACCCTTAAATAGAATCTATAATATACATGAGACCATGAGGATTACATTAGATTCGAGATGTATCTACTAGAAAAAGATCCATTTCACAAAACGTGATTGATACTACGGATTTTATATATATGATTATCTTATATTAGTTTATTTTGTTATTTGTAACTAAAACATCTTTTGATTGATATTAAGGATTTAGTTAAACAAAATCTTCTTTTTTTTTTTTTTTTTTTTTCCTTTTCGTAAACATTCATTATCATGTCTTAACAAAAAAAAACATTCATTATCATCTTTAAACTATATAATTAAAAAATATAATTACACGCTAGCTCTTTTTTAATTTTTTTTGGTCAAGCTGGTTTATAAAAGGAACAATATCCATTCCACAAAACTTGGATATTGAATGAACATGTTATATTCATATATATATGGAGGCAAATACAAATAATCCATAAAATGTCAACTAAAATGAAATGATGATTAGAAACAGAACCTAGTATCAAGATCACCCATAGTAGTAGGCTAGGGCCTAGGAGCATCACCGGACCGGACCCTAAAAGTCATAAGAACCGGTCCGGTTTCTATACATTAAACTTGAACCTTATGATGAAAAAAAAAAATTAAACTTGAATCTTATTGTGATTAGCATAATGCCGTAAACCGGCTAACCATTTTGGGCCTAATTTATGTTATATTATTTGGGCTATAAGCCCGTTGAGAAGGATTAGAGTCAATTGTGTTCTGTATTCAAGGCCTGATCTTATTGCTCTCTTTGACTTTTCAAAATTAATTCTCAATATCTTCGGTTCGACCAACTAAAATTGCAATTTTAATTTCGTGTCTGGTTTGGTTTTCGGCTAATAAATCAAAAGTGGTTTTGTCTGAGAAGAGAAACAAAACAAGGGACTTTGTTCCTTTTTCTTTTACCTGAGCCGTAAAAGTAAAACAAAAAAGAAGCGGTCAAAATCAGTGGACGACGACGACTTCTTATCATTTAATATCTCTCCATCATCTTCTTCTTCGACATCAAATCCAATTCGGATCAAACATGGCTTCTCACTCGTCGACTCTCCTCTCTTCTCCTACTTTCGCTCCCTTCTCCTCTCATCGTCTTCAGTATTCTCCCAATCTCTCTACTCTCAGATTCTCCCGTCCAATCAGAAATAAACCCAATCTCGCCTTGCGATGTTCAGTCTCAATCGAGAAAGAAGTTCCCGAAACTGAACGACCCTTTACCTTTCTCAGGGATTCTGATGACGCCACTCACTCTTCTTCTTTTTCTTCTTCCGTCAGGGCTCGTTTCGAGACTATGATTAGGGCTGCTCAAGACAGTGTCTGTGATGCAATTGAAGCTATAGAAGGCGGTCCTAAGTTTAAAGAAGATGTTTGGTCTCGACCTGGTGGTGGAGGTGGAATCAGTCGTGTTTTGCAGGATGGTAATGTCTTTGAGAAAGCTGGTGTTAATGTCTCTGTGGTTTACGGTGTTATGCCTCCTGAAGCTTATAGAGCTGCAAAGGGCTCAGCTTCAGATCAGAAACCTGGTCCAGTTCCGTTCTTCGCTGCCGGAGTCAGCTCGGTAATAAATCTCTCCCTTCAATCTTACGATTTTTGGGGTTTTCATGTTTCATCATTACGAGTTCTGTGTGATTCTAGGTTTTGCATCCCAAGAACCCTTTTGCCCCAACTCTGCATTTCAATTATCGTTATTTCGAGACGGATGCTCCAAAGGGTAAGAGCTAGATTCTAAGTGAGATTTTAAACTTGTTGTCTTTTGTATGGAAAACAGCATTGATTTGCCATTTTTTGATGCGTAGATGTTCCTGGAGCTCCGAGGCAATGGTGGTTTGGTGGTGGCACTGATTTCACTCCTGCTTATATCTTTGAAGAAGATGTCAAGCATTTCCATTCGGTACTAAGCCTTATTCCTTGTTCTAAAGATATGAGCTTTGTGATTATGGAGTTGCTTATACGTGTATTTGTCTTTCTTGTTGTAGATTCAAAAGCAAGCCTGTGACAAATTCGACCCTTCCTTCTATCCCCGATTCAAGAAGTGGTGTGATGACTACTTTTACATCAAGGTATGTTTTGTGAGATCTTAAGCAATTTCTGGAACTGAAGGCCTTAGTTCTAGAGTTGTGTTTAGGGATGTTATCGGAAAATCCATCCGAGAGGGTAGAAACTGTTTAGAGAGAATTTTATAAGCCTATTGTTAGTGTGAAGGCTTTGAAAACTTTTTAGAACTCTTTGATCTTGCTTGCAGCACCGTGACGAGAGACGAGGACTAGGAGGGATATTTTTTGATGATCTTAATGACTATGATCAGGAAATGCTTCTGTCATTTGCCACTGGTAAGGGACTGATTGTCCTTGATCTACAACAATTGATTTATTATATAATTGGTCTAGTTTCTTGGTAGACTAATTTAGCAAATGAAATTCACAGAATGTGCAAACTCAGTGGTACCGGCTTATATCCCTATAGTAGAGAAAAGGAAAGACATGGAATTTACGGAGCAGCACAAGGCATGGCAACAGTTGCGAAGAGGGCGATATGTTGAATTCAACTTGGTACTAGTCTTTTTCTCTGTTTTCATTCTCATCTCTCCAATCTTTCGTTATGAACCTTGTTCACTAATTTATTTGTAATGATGGATGGAAAGGTATATGATCGTGGAACGACATTTGGTCTGAAGACAGGAGGACGAATAGAGAGCATTCTTGTCTCTCTCCCGCTTTCAGCAAGATGGGAATATGACCATGTAAGTTCTTTTCTGATATGTGAAGACATAAATTCATTTGAATTTGGCAATGTAGTAATGGTGTTTGTGAGTGCAGAAACCGGAAGAGGGAACTGAAGAGTGGAAGCTATTGGATGCTTGTATCAACCCAAAGGAGTGGATCTAGCCTGTGTTTCCGATTGTTTGAGACGAGCCGAGTTTATTTCCATTGTTTGATGTAAGTTTTGAGCAGCTTTAGAGGATTAGATAACTGAAGAGATGGAGAAAGAGAGTGTGTAAAAGGTCAGGTTAACATGCTCCTTTCTTTCTTTGTGATGGCAATGAAGACAAACCTAAGAGCAGTGTTGTTAAAAGTCAAAACTTACCAATGCAAACAGTTTGTTTCCATTGTTTCTTGCGAGTTTAAAAGACAGCTTTAGAGGATTAGATTACTGTAAAGAAAGTTATACTCTACTCTATTGATGTGCATGCTAACATGCGACTGTTACGCTGCCGTTTCTTTGCAATGGCAACGAAGACAACTTAGAGCAGTGTTAAAAAGTCCAAACTTATGAATGCATCCAACGTTTTCACAAGTGACATGTTTATTTACGGACTCTAATCCAAATTCATATCGTCAAGAACCCAAAACAAAAACTTATTGCTGAAAGTTTGAAATTCTGAGCTTTACCAAAGAGAAGCCTCTTAGTTTAAAGCCTCTGAGCTTTACATGGTGGTGATCAGCCCAGTCCAATGCAAGCGATTGAAGCCTCTTTAGTCTTAGCCCCTGTCACAATTTCCATTTTTCTCTCCCGTTATTAATTAATGATCCCCAAATAAAGCAATTAAATTTTTGTTTTTTTGTTTGTTTGTTTGTACAGAATTCTATGCAAATTAGTGTAAACTTTTACAAATAGTGCTTTAACGCCTGTTAATGAATACTTTAATCTATAAATAGTGTAAAGATTTAACACTATTAACGTCGAACACTAGTCAAAGCCAATAACATTTTTAAGAAAAAACGAAAAATAGATTCAATTGTCTTATTGTAAAAAGAGCTAATAAAATGAAACAGAGACAAATAAAAGAACTAAACATGTAATGAAATTCATCAATTTTTTTAGTTTACTTTAATGTTTTTGTCTTATTCATTACACACTAAGCATGGAAAGTTGCGGCAAAGAGTTTTATCGACCGTTGCACAAACGCCTTTTGCGTGTTACGCTCGCCACGGCCCACATGGCCTTGTGGGGCCCATTTAGATAACTTTCGTATCTATCAGCTGGACAAAATTCCCTAACTACCCCTGTTCATAGCTCCATATATAATTGTCTTGACTACACTGATACCTATAAGGCTATAACAATTTAAAAAATTAAAGAAAAAATCTTATATAGCGAAGAAATCAGAGCATAATATTCTCCTTGACTTGGTTTAAGGAAATTTTCTATAAGAAATCGTTATTTAAGAAATAAATAATACGTTTGAAGAACGAAATCTGCCAGTCCAAAAATCCATTATAGTTGATATAGAAGGGTGAAAACGTCATTTAAGGAGAGAAACAGTATAAATCTGCCATGTCACCCGCCGCTTAACCTCGAGGGGTATTTCCGTAAATTACCAACGCTGCTGTGTATTCCTTAAATATTACACGTGGCAACATGTGATTGGTCAAGGCAGTTAATGTCAATGATAAAACTCAACTCTCAAGTCTGAAGACAGAAGAATACTAAACTCCTTAAAATTTCTCTCAGGCGGAGAAGAAGAAGAAGAGAGAAACGGCGCCGTTTATTTATTTGTCTGTCTTGGTAAATTCGGAGTCTCTGCTTTTTGTGTTGCTGAAGATGAAACTAATCTAATAATTCAAAGAGTGAGTCTTTGATTTGTATTTTACTGTTTTGTGTTTTTTGAGTGGAGAAAGCTTTAAGAAGAGTGAAAGATGGTGATGGACTCATCAAAATGGTGGTGGATTGGGAATCACAACACCACAAATTTCTCTCCTTGGCTTCATTCTACTCTCTCTGGTAAATTATTTATCTTTTTGGGTTCCAAGAATTTTTATTTAATTTATGATTTTATTCTGCTAATTTCGAATTCCAAGTGTTGAATTTGACATGGTGAATTTTGGTTCTGCTAATGTCCAAATCCAAGTGTTGAATTTGGTGTATGGGTCTTTGGTTCTCTCTCAAAGGTCTCGCCTTTATTCAGTGTTCTTGTTGTAACTGGGGTTATATATAATAGTCGAAGATGATTCTCTTTTTGGTATCTTATCTTTGGTTATGACTTTCGGAGACTAAGTAGTGATACAAAATTATTTAACTTCATTGAGATTTTGACATGGTGAATTTTGATTTTGTAATTGAAGAATTGGATGAAAAGACAAAAGAAATGCTGAGAGTGATTGATGAGGATGCTGATTCTTTCGCCGCACGAGCTGAGATGTATTATAAGAAAAGGCCTGAGCTTATAGCTATGGTCGAAGAGTTCTACCGTTCACATCGCTCCTTGGCCGAGAGGTACGACTTGTTGAGACCCTCTTCTGTGCACAAACATGGCTCAGAGAGTCATGGGAAATCATCAACTTGTGATGAGTCTTCTTGGTCTGAGGCTTGTGAGACTCATGAGGACTATGCGGAGTCTGAAATAGATAACGGTGAAAGCAAATGGGTCGATGAAGGTGAAATCGATGGCATTGTCGAGGAAATGGAATCATCGCAAGTCGAATACGGTGAAGCTAGTGGAAGTTATGAGATGATGAAGGAAGAGCTAGAAAGGCTGAGAGAGGAGAATAAGGTTTACAGTGAAATGGTGAGAGAAAAAGATGAAGAGAAGAGAGAAGCTATAAGGCAAATGAGTGTAGCAATACAAATGCTTAAAGAAGAGAACTCAGAGCTAAAGCAACGTGTTACTACTGTTGTTGCAAGGCGTAACAAGGTAGGTGGTGATTCTCAGAGGAAGCCATTTGAGTTTAAGAAGATTAATCTTCAAGGGTTTTGGGGGAAAGTAGTAGGAAATTGGGTTCTCCCAAACACAGATTCTGCTTCTAGAGAGCTCATGACTCTTTAGAGAAAACAGAGAGGTCTGAGTGATCAAGAACAGAAACTGAGGAACTTTCTCTAAACATCTTTGTACTCTGTGACAAGTAGGGTATACTCTCAAGTGGTTAGTGTAAGGTATCATAGGATTATGGTTATATAGCTAAGCTAAGTCCATGGGTGTTTGTTTTACATTTTTTTTCTGTTGTTCGTTTTTTGTGTATTTTTTTTTTTTTAATCAATTCTTTTGTTCTTTATTATCTAATATCTATAAGTCTTTTTTTGTGTGTACTTCATGGTTATAATAAGTTTAAGTCTTTTGGCCATTATTTGAGATTCTGATAATGTTCTTTTATATATGATCATAAGTCTTTACTATGGAAAACCCAAAAATGAGCGATCACAAACACATCATGAGCAATTTCTTCGTCTATCAACAGAAATATATAACAGCAGCCTACAACTACAGACTCTGGCTCTGAGTATGAGGATAAGTAAATTTGCGTCGAGCGGTCGGGTGATGTTTTCTTCTTAATTACACTATTAGTATTACTAAATTACTAGTATCGTTTACTAATGACTAATTCACAAACATGCACAAAAACAGAAAACATGTGGGGGTCAAAACGTAAAGATAAATAAAGTCAGTGGTCTTTTTGTGAAATTTGATGTAATAAATAAAGAGAATCGGAGCTGATGTGGTTATATATTTCCGAATGGCAGGACAGACCGTCTTATTTATGTTTTTGACACTAGAATTTCCTTATATTTACGACACTACCCTTATTTCAGTGTCCTCTACTAGTTGTGTCACTGAAAACGACCTCTCGTTATGGATATAAATTCCAAGGTCAACTAGTATAGTCGTATTTATTTCTATAACTATTTCTCGGTTTACTTACTCATTTTATTAGAAATCTTGAATTTGGTCATTGGATTCTCCGTTCCTAAAAATAAAATAATATATTAGATTAATAAAGGATCCATTAATAACAAATATAGTTCTTTACTTGTTACATATAGGATTGGATTGATTTTTAATTTAGTTGTTTGTTGTGAAAACGATAAGTTGTTTATATTCAGTTTTAGCTAAAAACGACAGTTTGCATATGGAATTGGTTTGGCTAGATTAAAATGTCCAAACCATCCTTTCAATGGTGTAATATGCTGTTGTCTGACTAAAACTAAAATATACATTACATAAAATGATTCATATGCAAATAGCCGTGTCCAAGTGTATTGTCAAATACTCAAATTTCAACTGCTCAAATGTAAAAGGTTTTTTCTTTTTTGTGTTTGTAACTTTGTATGTTTGATTTGGACCTTTAAACAACCCTACACTTTTTTAAATTATAGAGAATTGAATTTTTACATTTTTTAGTCATCAAAACGTAAATATCAGGTGGAATTGATAGAAAATATTAGGATAAAGGTATTTTCAACATAAACAAAATACTCGCTTTTCTAAAACCAAACGACAAGAAAAAATCCAAAAAAAATGTCTAAACATAAACAAACTTTTTGAAATTTGACAGCTATTTTAAAGTTTAGGTTTAAACAAAAAAATTGCCAGCTTATTTCACACACTCCATATTAAAAAAAAAAAAAAAAAAAAACTATTAAAAAAACGCGGGTAAAAGGAAGGATAAAATAGTAAAATTAGGTATTACAATCCCCATATTCAGACAAAACAATCCGAAAGTGTTCCCCTGGCATCCCACAGGCCCTCTTTTTTGAAGTTTGAGTTGAACAGCTGTTCTTTTTAAATGGCAATCTCGTAATTCAGTATAACGACGAGCCCAGATTTAGTCCGTATTTTAAATTTAACCACTTTCTCATCCATAAGTTACTTCTCCCAATTTTCTTATTATTATTTTTTCAAAAAAAGAGATTAAATAAATAATTATTCAGGAAGAAAAAGCCTGTAGAGAGAGAGAGAGAAGAAGAAGACCAGGACGACGAGGACGAAGTCGAGAGAGAGAGAGAGAGAGAGAGAGAAACAATGGCGGAGGAGACGATGGAGAACGAAGAGAGGGTGAAGCTGTTCGTCGGACAAGTTCCGAAGCATATGACGGAGATTCAGCTCCTCACATTGTTTAGCGAATTCTCCATCGTCGATGAAGTCAACATCATTAAGGAGAAGACTACACGAGTTCCCCGAGGTTTTTTTTTTTAATTTTAATTTTTACTCTGTTTTGTTTTCTCCAAAAGAATGCTAATTTGGATATCTTTTTTTTTTTTGTTTTTTTAGAAGTTTTTCTCTGTTTCGAGGATACTTGGAGATGGGTTTTTGATTCGTATGCTTTTGGATTCTGAAAACCCTAATTTTCTCAAATTTCTCTATGCCTCCTCTGTTTTGTTTTTCCTCGTTTAAATTTGAACTCTTTTTTATTTTATTCTGGAAGTTTCCCCTGTTTTTGATTGTGCGTAATTTCTTCTTTGATTTTTTTTTTCATTTTGAATTCTGAAAGCCCTAATTTCTTCTGGAATTGTTGTAGGATGTTGTTTTCTGACATGTCCTTCAAGGGAAGAAGCTGACAAGGTGATCAATGGTTTTCATAACAAGAAGACATTGCCTGGGGTAAGTCTTTCTTGTTATCATTCTTTCCATTTCTTGAAGCTGTTTTGCTTCATTTTCTGGGATTTTCTGATACTTGAATCTGATGTATCTGTACCTTAAAACTTGTTGATCTTAGTTGCACATTTTTCAAGCTAGTTGGAATCTCGAGATTGCTTTTTCTTCTTTTTATCCGTCTCGATCTGCATTGTACTTGGTTTTTGTCCCTGTTAATTTTGCATGTTCTTGGCTGGTTATATATCATATATCCATCGAGTTAAAATCATGAATCTGATTTGGCTGGTCAGAATCTGCCCTATCAGTTATTGGAATCTGATGACACTAGTTTCAAATCCTCTCTAGCTGATTTCTTCAAACCCAAGAAACCACATTGATTCACTATATAGATGTATGTATGTATGTACGGGTCGCTAAAACCTGCAAGATGCAAAAAGCTAGAACATCTCTTGGGATGATATTATAGGAGCCCAAATAGCAAAAGAAACTTTTGCTTCAGTGTATTGACTTTTTGTTGATTGATCGCTACTATTAACTATGTTGAGCCCTCTTTGGTGAGAACTTGATTCATCTTGATAATAGGGCAAATGAAAACTTAGTATTCAATTATACAAGTGAAAGCGGCTGTAATCTTTGCTTCTTTTTATCTTTCTGTGGCCGGTATCTGAAACATTAGGATGTTTATCGCTTATGTACACTCTTTTCCCTCTCTAGCATTATAGCATTCACTTTCTTATGATATGTTTCAGGCATCTAGTCCGTTACAAGTTAAGTATGCAGATGGCGAGAGGGAAAGACTAGGTACGTAAAATGCTTCTGAGTGATGGGGTCTAAGTACCAAAAGAGTTTTTTCTTTTTCTTTTGAAAGTTTATTCGCATTTTGTTATTTTTGTATACCAGTCAATTTGATGGATGTTCTTGACTGTTCTTGCAATCCAGAGCACAAACTTTTCGTCGGTATGCTTCCAAAGAATGTCTCTGAGACTGAAGTCCAATCCTTATTCTCCGAATACGGAACCATTAAGGATCTACAGATTCTAAGAGGGTCTCTACAAACTAGCAAGGGTATCATTCCCACTTGCTTATGCATCTTTAGCTCTCTATACCAAAGTTTTGACTGACTTTTAGGTTCATTTGATATATTTTAGGCTGTCTGTTTCTAAAGTATGAGTTTAAAGAACAAGCAGTCACAGCTATGGAAGCCCTCAACGGAAGACATATAATGGAGGTATGTCCTTACTACAACTTGTCAAATATTCTTTTAATTTCACTTTATAAAGACTTTCATGGAGAGTGTGACAATATCACACTCTTTTGTTTCTTCTTTTAGGGAGCAAATGTTCCTTTGATTGTCAAATGGGCAGACACAGAAAGGGAAAGACAAGCCCGAAGACTTCAAAAAGTTCAATCTCATGTCTCCAGACCCGATCCGCAAAACCCCTCCATGTTTGGGGCATTACCTATGGCTTATGTTCCTCCCTATAATGGATATGGCTATCATGTAAGTTCTTGTTCTCTCATCTACTTGGTACAAATTTCTGGACAGTTTTTAGTTTTTACTAAATATTGTTCCAATTATCACTTCAGGAAAAACTTGGATTTATCCGTTTGTATTAGGGATTGGAAAAACTGTAGAGATTGGTGTTTTGGTTGCTAGATTTTTTATTTTATCCCCAATTTATGTACTGTATAACAGGTACCTGGAACCTATGGGTACATGCTACCACCTATCCAGACTCAACCTGCATTTCACAATGTGATTTCACCGAACCAAGGTAACGGAAGAGCATTGCTGGGAACCGCTTTGACCGAGTCTGTCCCACCACGTTTAGCCGCCCGTAGAAACTTCCCAACGGCTCTTGGAAATTATGGTTACCATGGCCTTCAATATCCTATGGCATTTCCTAGAGGGATGGTACCTCCTCGCCCCCCTCTAACCACAGTTTCACCTGGAATTTCTAACAACGGCACATCGATACCTTCCTTGCTTCAAACAGAAGGTTTAGTTAGTCCCAAACAAGAACAAAAAAGAATTTGATGTAAGTATCTAGCCGTTATGTTACTGATATCTAAAACAATTTCTTTGATGTTCTCAGGACCAGCAGGTGCGAATCTATTTATTTATAACATACCACGAGAATTCGGGGATCAAGAACTCGCAGCTGCGTTTCAACCTTTTGGTAAGGTTCTAAGCGCCAAGGTGTTTGTAGACAAGGCCACTGGTATAAGCAAATGTTTCGGTAAGCTCTTGCTTTTCTTCCTCTATCAACACCATGTTTTCCTCAAGACTTGAATTAACGGTTATGCATCCCTTATGTTGCTGCAGGATTCATTAGTTATGACTCACAAGCAGCTGCTCAGAACGCTATTAATACAATGAACGGTTGCCAATTAAGCGGTAAGAAATTGAAAGTCCAGCTTAAGAGAGACAACGGTCAACAACAACAGAGTAACAAACCGTTATTTAACGGTTTATTAAACTCGTAAAAACCACTGACATCTCTTCATCATTAAGAGTTCGCGGGCAGGGCGGGGCGGTTAATGGTAAATCCGGTTTAGACATTAAGATGGATCTTGATGGAACTGGAGAACAAAAATTGTAGGCCGTTATTAACTAACATTTGCCAATTTGAAAAAAGCCCAAGTCTGATCATGTCATGTGGGTCGTCAGAAATTCTCATTCACTCAGAAAAGCTGTATCTTCCTGCAAAAGGGTTTCTCCTCCACTCACTCTTCTTCTATTTTTCTTTTCTAAAATTTGCGTCACTACAATTTGTAATTTATGTTGTCTGTCATTGATAAGTTCATGTATAAATGTTATGATTATTAACCATTCTAAATTCATTTATTAATCTTGTTCATTCTAAAATATACCGTTCTTGAAGACTTCTTAAATAAAGTTTGTTTGTAGTATGTTAATTTACATCGGAGACAATAAGAAACTGCATATGTAAAAAATGTTGCAGTATTTTAAATTAATTGATAAAAATGAATTAAGTAATGTTGACTGCTTGTCAATTCAAACATTTTCTTTTCGAACCGGTTTTTTTTTTTTAAGTTATAGTAAAGATCAAAATATTCAAAGAAAACAAACTGTTCAAAGACTTTCTACTATTGACTATTGTAATGTTCTTCCCAAATTTCTTACATTAATGCATATCTCTTTGTTTCACTTTAATATATATTCCTAAATACCAACTTATGGCAAAAACAGGTGCATGCTATAATTTTAAACGGTCCACATTTCTTTATTCGGTAATAAATTAAGTTTTATATTAAATCTCAATATACAGCTCACATATTATTATTTGGTAATTAAAATTAAAGGTCCACACTTCATTTTCAATTTTAAATAGTCCTAATATATTTTAATTTCTCTAAAAATCAATAAAGGGTCCGCAACTCATTTTTTGTTAATTAAAATCATTATTGTCTCTTATTTGGTATAATTGACTAAAAGGTCAACAATTATATTTTATATAAATCACTGTGTATTATTATTATTATTATTATTATTCTTTTGGAAATAAATATATTTCTTATAAATGGGAGGTCCACATTTCGTAATCAAAATTTAAGAGGTTCAATAATTATATTTTCATTATTTTTACAGTTATTCTATTCTTAAATAAATTACAATAAACATACATTTTTAATTAATATAATAGATTGAGTTTTGGGAAAGAAATCTAGTCATTAGGAAAATTAGAGATATATTAATGTATTTGGAAAACTTTGCTTAAACCTTAACTTTATCATTTAAAAATAAAATTAAAACATTAAATATGTAGTCTCATATCTTGTGGTAGCCGTGTTAATATGTTACCGCCCGAATGCAAACCTGCATTTTGTATGTTGTTGACAAAAATATATAAATACGTAATTTTTTTAATTATAAACCATCAAATATTTTGCCGCCCGAATGTCTATCTGATAATAATTCTGGTCGATGGAAAATACATACGTGATTTTTTTTATTATAAACCATCAAATATTTTAAAAAGTTTAAATCCTAAACAAGTAAATTTAGTTTAGAAAACGAGCGAAACAAATAGGGTTAATACAAAAGAAACAAACATACACATAGTAACATACTCTAACCAAAAAAACGAGACTTAAAATGTATAATAATTTCATCAATTTTCCTACAAAACATTGTTCGGGGATCCGGTCGATAAAACTATCAAATTGGAGGAAACAATATACAAAAAGTCCTTAGAACAAGTGTGCCGCGCATTTTTAAAACGCATCATATTTCTATTACCATTTTGTACTAGGAAAAAATTGTTGAACAACGACCAGCAAACGAGGCAAGAAGCGCCATTCAAAGACTATAGCGTGGGCATTTTCGTAATTTCATTAATCGCTTAGCCGTTGGACACCATTGCCATTCAAGAAATTCGTCGGAGTCTAAACTTCATTATTTGCTTACCAAAACTAAAAAGGTGCTCTCGTGGAAAATTTTAGGCTATAAAATGGAGACGAGGGCGATGGGATTTCACCACCTTTCTCCACCACAAAATCTTAATCTCCAAAATCTCAATCTTCAAGATCTGTGTTCTTGTGCGTTAATAACACAGTGTTATGGCTTCTCAATCGTATTCGTATCATCAATATCCATCTCCTTCTTATGAATCGATACAGACCTTTTACGATACCGATGAGGGTTGGCCGGGACCTAGATGCGGCCATACTCTCACGGGGGTTTTCGTCAACAATTCCCATCAGCTTATCCTCTTCGGCGGCAGTAGTACTGCCGTCACCACCCATGACTCCTCCTTACCCGAGATCAGTAAGATTTATCAGCCGATTATGAGTTAGGGTTTTGAGATTTCGAGATCCTCTCTATGATGATGGTTTTGTTTTTCTAGGTTTAGAAGGCGTCACCAATTCGGTGCATTCTTTTGATGTTTTGACCAGGAAGTGGACACGGTAATTGAGGATTTACCTTTGGTGTTAAGATGTTGATGTTTGTTTTAGGGTTTTTTTCTTTTCTTATTGATGATTTCAATTGGTTGAGTGGTACGGTGGATCTCTTTAATTTGTAATAATTCGTAATTGTGTAGGCTTAATCCGGATGGTGACGTTCCGTCTCCCAGGGCTTGTCATGCTGCCGCTTTATATGGCACCTTGCTCCTTATTCAGGTGATTGTAATCATCAATTTATCGGATTACTCATCGTGATTGTCCGAGAACATAGATCTGGATTGATTTTGTTTTAATTTCATTCTCATAGCATCTTAACTAGTTTACATGTAAAGATATATGGACATTTGGTTGCTAGAGTCTAGGATCTAACACATGAGCATGTCGTTGTTTTGTTGGCAGGGTGGGATTGGTCCATCGGGGCCTTCTGATGGAGATGTCTACATGCTTGACATTACTAATAACAAGTGGCTTAAGTGAGTTTATTTATGAATTAATTTATATCACTGCTAGATCTACTTTGTTACCGAATGTTTTACGCATTTAATGTATGTTCAGGTTGCTGGTTGGAGGGGAGGCTCCAAGCCCTCGCTATGGCCATGTTATGGATATAGCTGCTCAGAGGTGGCTTGTCATATTCAGCGGGAATAATGGTATGAATATCTAAATTTTTCGCTTTCGTTTGCCATTGATGTATTTATCTTAGCATATATCATACATATAGTACAACCATAAGTAAGTAAGAAAACATATAGATGATATTAAACCCCTCAGAAACGAAAAAATTCCTAATCTATATTTGGCATTTCAAAATCATCTTAGCGAAAAATATGGTATCTTTCAACAATGTTTTCATTTATGTTTCTACGAAGGAACTTTTTGGTTATGATATTATTCTATTACTTTTGTCTATGGAGTAGGAAATGAAATTCTTGCTGATACATGGGCACTGGACACGCGTGGATCATTTACGTGGGACAGATTGAACCCATCTGGCAATCAGCCAAGTGGGAGAATGTTAGTAATTTAGTTGATTTAAGTAACTACTGTAGTAACACATTTTGGTTTGAGTTATATATAAGTAACTCTTCATTGTTTAATATTTTGGTTTAGGTATGCTTCTGGTACTTCTCGAGAAGATGGTATTTTTTTGCTCTGCGGTGGAATAGATCACTCAGGAGTGGTATAATATTTCTTCCTTAAAGATTATGTATATAGGACAATAGAAGTTTAAAAAGTCGAAGCTCTTGTTTACTATAATGGCCAACTTTTGTTTTTCCAATCTCTTTCATTGAACATATATATACACCCTAATGCTTGCCTTTTCCAGACACTGGGAGATACCTACGGGCTGAAAATGGATAGCGTTAGTCAGTGTGCTTGGACTCCTGTTCCTGGTGTAGCTCCTTCCCCGAGATATCAACATACTGCGGTGAGAACCAATATCTTGCTCTAATCCTATCTTTTGCAAAAACTTCCTTAACTTCATTGTCTTTCTTATTAGGTTTTTGGGGGTCCAAAAATGCATGTCATTGGGGGTGTACTGAATAGGGCTCGCCTAATCTATGGTGAAGCTGTTGCTGCTGGTAAATATCTAACGGCTGTTTTCTAAGTAGTATTAATATTCCATGCGACTATATATGTATATAATATATATCTATCTTTTCTGCTTTTGCTTTTGTTTCCTAAATCCTTTTTTTGGAGCTTTAATTTAACCAATGGTCACATGTTGGGTTCTCCTTCATTTATGGAATGTAAAGCGCATAAAGAAACTGAGTTTGATCCTTATCATATATATAGCAGACTTAGTAGTGGATAATGTTATGGAAAAAAAAATTCTTCCTTGCAGTGCTTGATACTGAGACTGGTGAATGGTTAGATGCCGATAGACCAGAGACCTCTATGAGTGGCGCATATAGACAAAATCAATATCAACTTATGCGACGTTATCACCATGCTGCTGCATCATTTGGTACCCACATGTATGTGCATGGCGGGATTAGAGATGGTAATCATGAAAATTTAAATTATATTGACACCAGAATTAAAGGAAATTATATGTATTTTTGTTTTTGATATGGATTTTGCATATCTTAGCTACTAGTCAATTTGAATGTTAGGAAGTTTGCAGATTCCATCTTTTTTTGAGTAAAGGGAAAGTCACAATCTTTCTGACAATTTCATTGTTTTATTCTTGTGTAGATGTATTGCTTGACGATTTGCTAGTGGCTGAAACATCCCAGTCTTCAAGTCCTGAACTAGAAGAAGATAATCCTGAAAATTGTAAATTCCTTACACTAGAATCATTTTGCTTTTCATATATTAGTCCTATGGATTTTGCATATCTAAGAACTAATCAATTTGACTGTTACCAAGTTTGCAGATTTCTTCCTTGAGTTGAAAGTAACAATTGTTTTTTTTTTGGCAATTGCTTTAATTTTGATTCTCGTGTAGATATGTTGCTCGACGATTTTCTAATGGATGAAATACCTAAGCCTTTAGGTTCTGAACCAGAAGCTCCATCCTTTATAAGGAGGAGGTCTATACTCTTTCACACTTCTAATTTACACTCTTTTGATCTGTGCTTAAACCCTATCTAGTTGTTTTAACATTAAAACTCCTTTTTTCTTCCATAATGATGTCAGCTCAAGTGAAAGTGCGATGGAGAGATTGGCAGAGGCATATAACTTACCAACTATAGAAAATGCTTTTTATGATAGTGAAATTGAAGGATATGTTCCACTTCAGCATGGAGCTGTATGTGAAATTTTCTTTTATTCATTCATTCCTCTTTCTTTCTTTATATAGAATGTTATATGTTTAATAACTGAGTATTTGGTTGTGATTTCAAAGGAGTCGGATGGAAATAGAGGTGGCTTGGTGAGAACTGTAAGCTTGGATCGATTTGCGAATGAGGACCAGCAGACTAATATTTTAATGCCACAGTTCATCGGACAGAATTCTACTCAAGACTTGCATAAAAAGGTATATATGATCTTTCCTTTAGCATATTTTCCCATCTTCATGCACTTAAACACGTTGCTTTAATTTGCAGGTCATTTCGACTCTGTTGAGACCTAAAACCTGGATGCCTCCTGCCAACAGAGATTTTTTCTTGAGTTATTTAGAAGTCAAGTATTTGTGCGATGAGGTGGAGAAAATATTTAAGCATGAACCAACACTTCTTCAGCTCAAAGTTCCTATCAAAGTCTTCGGCGATATCCATGGACAATACGGGGATTTGATGCGTTTATTTCATGAATATGGATATCCTTCAGTGGAAGGAGATATCACGTAAGTTCAAGCTTCCTAACATGTTTTTACTGGTTTTGAGTTTTTCTCTGAATATTAGTCACTGAACCAATTGTTGTGTGTGTGTGTCTAAATAAATATATGTCTTCATCAGGCATATAGACTATTTGTTTTTGGGAGATTATGTTGACCGAGGACGACACAGCTTGGAGACCATCATGTTGCTGTTTGCTTTGAAGGTAAGATACTTTTTCTTATATCTTATTACTTTTTTGATGTTTATTTGTTAAATCTTCTAAGATCTGTCTCTTATGTGCAGATTGAATATCCGAAGAACATCCACTTGATTCGTGGAAATCATGAGTCTCTTGCAATGAATAGAATTTATGGTTTTCTTAAAGAATGCAAAGAAAGAATGGTACGTCTCTTCACAGAGTATATTTTCTCCTTGTCATTGGCTAACTAATGAAGTAATATATATATATACTCTTGTTCTGTACGTTACCAGGGTGATTCCGATGGGTTTGAAGCATGGTTAAAGATTAATCAAGTTTTTGATCATCTTCCGCTTGCTGCACTTCTCGAAAAGAGAGTTTTGTGCGTACACGGCGGAATTGGGAGGGCAGATACCGTCGAACAAATTGAAAAGATCAAAAGGCCGGTGTTCCCGGATACTACTGAATCAATTGTCTTGAAAGACATCTTATGGTAAATTAACATGCTTCAACTATTTCTTACTCTTTTTTTTACCAAGCTGTGTAATAACATTTTTTTCTGGATAAACAGGTCAGATCCTACGAGGAATGACACTGTTTTGGGTATAGTAGAAAATCCCAGAGGAGAAGGTGTTGTCTCATTCGGGGTTAGGCCTTTTCCTTATTTTTCCTTCACTTTATTAATACCATTTCCAGCTCAACTACTTATGCATTTTCTTGTCTTATAAGTGCAGCCGGATATAGTCAAGGCATTTCTAGAAAGGAATGGACTGGAGATGATACTAAGAGCACACGAGTGTGTTATTGACGGCTTTGAAAGATTCGCTCAAGGACGGCTTATAACAGTCTTTTCTGCTACAAACTACTGTGGTACGTTTGTTATTTTTATAGAAACTGATCATTTCTTTCGGCATTTGCATAGGCATGTGAATGAAAAACATTGTGTGTGATGAACAGGATTGGCCCAAAATGCGGGAGCAATATTGGTAATTGGTAGAGATATGGTCATTTATCCTAAGATGATTCATCCTAACCCTCCTCCCATCTCATCTTCAGAAGAAGACTCTCCAGACAAAGCAGGGATGCAGGTAAGCTTCCCGTTTCTTTACCATATATAATATGAAACATGTTGGGCATATGAAACATGTTGAGGTTTTAAGTTATGTGTGTTGGACTCAGGAGCTGAACATCGAGAAACCGCCTACTCCAGCTCGAGGGGAGTCCAGTGAGTAAAGGCAGAGATTTGGCATAGAGAAGCTGCGGTTTAAGAGGTTCATTTGCAAGCTGCACAAGTGTACTGGAGACTGATCGATCATTGTTGTTGTCCAATACCCTTTCTTATCTTTTTCCAACTTTTTTTTTTTCTTTTCCTTATTTGGTTTTGGTTGAGGACCATTTTAAAAGTAATTTTCTTAATAGTTAGTTTGGAAAACAGTTGATTTATTAAGTATTATTGATTCACAATATTTTTAATCAATAAAAAGTATTTTTTTCTTCTTTTTAAAAAAAGGTTACGAACTACTTATAATCATATTTAATAAGACGTTGTCCCCTTTATAGTAGTAAATAATTAGTTTCAAAATAAGTAAAACATCCCTTTTCAAAGAAAGAAAAAAAAAAATGTTAATTGCCTAATTTGAAGGGTTTTTGGATGTTTACTTACCCTAATAAATTATTTATTCTTTCCAAGATTTTTTGTTAGGATTTATAGTTTGAAAATACTAACTAGGATTTATAGTCAAAGCTTGAGGAACTTTTGCTTAAACATCACATTAAGCATTGATGAGGACGATTACTTTTCCTTCTTCCTTGAATTCCTAGTTTCTTTCTTTCTATCTTTCCTTTAATATGCTCAGCTCTAGTTTGGAAGACAAGTTGGGCCGAGTATTAAAACATCATTAATTGGGCTAAAAGGACATCAATTATGGCCCACTTGTCGGCCTTCAAATTCTGTATTTGTATACAAATTATAAAATCTATAAATAAATATGAGTTAAAAAAACTGTGGTAAAATATTCATCCCATTATCCTCACAGATAAATCCATTAAATATTTTTGTATCGTATATTTCTTAAGAGTATTATAACTTCACTACAGTGATTTCTTATTCGGTGGAGTGTTAACATCAACATTGAAGACTACATAACATTTAAGAGAGCTCCATTATAAAGTTAAAAAAAAACTGTTAATTTGGTTAGCATTTTAATAATATCTTCTGTCCTAAAGAACAAAAGAACCTCGTCCCCTTCAAAGTCTTAAAGAAGCTACCACCAGCCCAGAGGCCAAAACCATCACATTCATTTTCTCTTTTTTGTTCTTCCTCTTTCATATTTTTTCCTTGTTTATTCAACTTTCATAATTTTAAAATATCTTTTGCAATAAATGGTTGAGGTTGAAACTTAAAAGCATAGACATATAATATTCCCATTCCATTATCATTATGATTGTGTTCATAAATGTTTGTATTTCTCAAATTGATCACTCATTTATTTTCTTATGACAAATTTTATTTCATTGGAACTGAAACTGATTACTCTTTTGTCCTTTCCCACTCCTTTAATCCTTTTGTTTTTCCATTAAAACGAATTTTGAGTTATTGTTTTTCCGAACTTTTTTTCGTTAATCAATATTCATGAAACCTTTTTTGAACACTCTTCAATAAAACAAAACCATCATTTTCCAAATTTTAAATACGCAGAAACAGATGGATAGTGAGACAATCTTCATCCTCACATAAATATAATCCTTATTCCAAAGACACTTCTACACACCAAACTCTAATCTTCATTCTCACCAAACGAATAAACGAATCGTTTTTTTCCTTTAAAAGTTTTTTTAACACGTTGAAACACTCTGTGTTCCTCAAAAACTATAACCAAAAAAAAAGAAAAACATAAGTATATAAGAAAACGGCATTTACCAAACTACCCTCGCCACTCGTTGCATTGTGTAGTGGGCCTAGTCTTTTGTGGGCCGGCCTTAAGCGGACACGGCGTCTGTAACGGCGGCACCATACAGTTATACTGCAGACACAGCGAGCTGCTCACCGGAATTTCCGCCGCCGGGCTTATCTGTATTCCCGTCAAGAAGTTATGCTGCAGATACAGCGTCTGTATACTCGCCGATAACAACCTCTCCACGAAACTAGCCGGAACTTCACCGGTGAAGCGATTGCTGTTTAAGTAGAGATTCTCTACGCTTGAGAGAAGCGGAGATATCCCACCGGAGAATCGATTGTAGCTGAGATCGACGGTTGGGATCGTCACTTGATTCGCCGGCTGAATCAATCCGTAGAAGAAATTGCGTTGTAATTGAAGGTTTGTGATCGGGAAGGCGAAGATTCGACCGGGGATTGTACCGGTGAACCGGTTTAAGCTGAGATCGAGGTAGTTAAGCTGGTTTAACCGGAGTAAGACATGGTCTACCGGTCCGGTTAACTGGTTCCAAGCGAGTGAGAGGTATTGTAGCGACGGAGGGAGAGACGCCGGAGAGATTGAGCCGGTGAGGCTGTTGCGTTTGAGATCGATTCGGGTTAGGGTTTGTGAGAGAAACGGTGGTATTGATCCGGTTAAGTGATTGTGGCAGAGAATCAAATTGGAGAGCTCCGGTAAGGATCCGATTGACGGAGAGATAGTTCCGGTTAACTGATTGTAGCTCAAATCGAGTGTTCTAAGTCCACGAACCTCGCCGAGACTCGCCGGAATCTCGCCGGAGATGAAATTCCGGCTGATTGCGAGAAATCTAAGGTCTTTTAGCTGAGAGATTGTTGCCGGCAAAGCACCCATGATTCTGCCGGGGACAATGGAGAGCTCAGTGAGTGCAGAGAGTTTGCCTATTGCTGGGTCGATGCGACCCGATAAACCGGGTGACCCGGCTCTGGGGTCGCCGAGATTGAGAGAAATAACTTTTTCTCCGTCGCAGTAGACGCCGGCGAAGCCACAAGGATCAGAAGTGAAATCCCAAGACTCGAAGAACTTGGAACCTGGCAAATCATCGAGCGATTTACGAATTGCTTGCAGAGCCAAGAAATCAACTGGGTCCAGAATCGCCTTCGTGAAGAGCCCGAATCGAAGCAGGATCATCAAACACCATATCAACGTGGTAAAGCTCATCATCTTCTTCTTCTTCTTCTTCAGACTTAGCTGTTACAGGTTCAAGAAACAGAGACTATATATATACAAAAGAGAAGAACAGAGACAACCTGTAAAGCACAGAGCAAATGGGTAATGGTTTCTGATTTCTCGTGAGAGGGAAAGTCTCTGGTTTATGTGGTGGAAGTAAGGTGTTCTCGTGGGAGCTTCCGTGAGAGCTTTAATGGCGGATTATCAAACGATTAAAAAAGAAAGGTTTATCGAGAGAAGAGAAAGAGTAAACAAAATGGCTTGAGAAGGAAGCCAAAAACCAAGAAATTAATATTCTTCGTCTGTTTCTTCTTTCTTCTTCCTTTTTTTTTTTTTTTTTCATATAGAGAATATACGAAGATAAGTATATATGTTAAGTTACTTATCAATCAAGTTTGTAATCTAAACTGTATCTTTCTCTATGTATAAATAGAGTTGTACTCACATCATAATCAATAAGAAGAATATACAGTTTAACATATATATGTATTCTCTTTCCTCTTTGTTCTGCGTTTTTTACTTTCTTTGGTGGCTTGTAGTAGACGATGATATGAAAATTTAATGAAAGTCGGACAAAAAAACTAATTAAACTATCCGCAGTGGTGTAAGTGTGAAGGAGGGGTGTAAGATTTTTTTTATTATTATAATTTAAAGTGAGAGAGAAAAGAGAGAAAAAGAAATAAAGAGATAGAGTGTCTTACACCCGAGTGTAAACTTACACCCGGGTGGGAAGAGAGACAACTTTTGCATTATTTCTGTATTTTAAAATAGATACATTCTACGCAAAGATACACCACTGCGGTTGCCCATAGGATGCTAAATTAAGAAATTTGGGTTGTGTCAGTGAAAACATGGAAAAAGGTGCTTGTTTTTTTAGCTGTGGTTTTATGGGGAACAGGTAATTTGGTAAAACGGCTGTCCGAGCCTTAGGTTCGGAAAGAACCAGATTAGGTTCGGTGAGAGAGATGATAGAGGTGCCTAATTGCTAAAGTGTGTTGGTGTCTTCTCGTCACGTGAGTTTTGTGTGCGTTTCAGTCTTACTGTTTTGAGTGACAGCTTGGACGAGCGAGACTTCCGTGACACGTCAGCTTTCTGGTTCGATAATTACTTTATTGTACTATATTAACTTTTCAAATATATTTTGCTCGAATTTATTAATAACAAAACGTACTTTTAAAAGACAAAATCAGCGTTACAATTTTGATCTTCCTGATATTTAACACAAATTGTAACGCATATCGTGGGAAGTTTAACTTACAACAAAATTAGTAATATTATACTAATATATGGTTAATCAATGGTCAATGTAACTGATGAAAGTTTAGTCAAAAAAACAAAACGAATCCTCAATTTTGAGGTGTGTCCTAGTCTATCTAACTAAGCTTTACTATCTATCTACTTCCAACAAATCTTGCGACCAAAAGTGTATTTCACATCTACTAAATGTTTGGTTTGCCATAGGGCTTGTTTGATGAAGTTATAGCTAAACACATCTATCGAAAAAAAAATGTTTCCTAATCCGACTCTTTGCATAAATCAACAAATGTTTTGACAATTGTTTTCACTCGTTGAGATTTAGCTATTATATTAGTTATGACTTACTTCATTGACCAAAAAACAAACTTATTTAATCTATGTTTATATATGAAGAAATTTTTGATATGTTACGAATAAATAAAAATGAATATGAGAAAGACATAAAAGCTATGACAGTTAAATAGGTGAAAGAGAAAAAAAAGATTTGTAAGGTTGCACCAACTGTATAATTTTTACAAAGGTAGCTGGCAAATGGTCCTTCTATTCCGTGGGCGTAAAGGAAGATGATTGGTAAAAAAAGTTGGACAACGCATAAGAGATTGATGACTTTAAAAAAGGCAAAAGAAAATAAAAGTAAATATGGTAATTTTATTTCTCTAGTTTTTTTTTACTCATTTGGGTTTTCACAAAACTTGTTGTTTGTATGTAAAACCTGTATGAATAGAAGCAAAAAAAAAAGAAAGGAATAGGAGCTTGGACCACAAGTCTTAGCAACAACACATGCAGAAGATGGTCAGGTCAACATTTATAACGCTTACCCAATTTTAACACTTGTTTCACTACATACGCAAGCAACAAAATAGCTCGATTAATTCCTCTACTGTACAAGCTTTTGCCTTCTGTTTATTAGCAGATTCATCTCTACTTTTGATGTTATATACATGTACATTAGTTTCATAATGTGTAACTACCATTTTCTGAAAATAATTAAATCATAGCGTACATAAAAATACGTTTCAAATAATGATTTCGCTCTACTCATTCACATATACCAACCATACATAAAAATGATTTAGTATTCATTCTAAGAGAGACTAGGTAGTGGACCAAATTAGATTTATGAAAAGAAAACATGGCTTTGCAAGAAAGCCAAAGCAATAAGTTCCAATCACAATGAACAAAATTAAAAAGGTCTAAACCCTAAGATGGTCCCACTACGAGACAATTAACACACTCGTTTTGGGACTCTGTGTTTGTTTGGTGTGTCGTCGAATCCTCTCTCCATAGAAGGTAAGATCACTAGTAACCGATATAAGATTTTCTTTGACTTTTGAATCAGTCTAATGAAGAACCCTAAAACCAACCATGTTATACATGGATACTAAAAAAATTAATAAAGAAAACATTGGTTGAAAAGAAATAATAATAACTAAAATGATGAAGAGGGATAAGATAAAATGATGGCTAGAGAAAAAGATTTGTTATTGTTACACGCCTCCATGCCTTCAATTTATGTTTCATTAGTCTCTTTCACTTCACATACTCTTCTCTTTTTGAAAAGAAAAAATGCTTCATCAAGTGATTACCATCGACACATGGCTTCACAATTTTTGATTCCACTTATAAACAATCTATGATTTTCTTCGGCATTTTCTTTTTAATTTCGTTCCTAATTTGAGGTAATTCGGACATTGTATTAAATACATAACTAACCAGACATGCCCAATCCATTCTCAATCTATTGTCACAATCATGTCCTATAAGCCTTATAACAATAATGGTTAATAAAAGAGACCATGGAATCGTTATTCATAATTCAAACAAATCATTGTTGATTAATCCACACATAATGAAATTGCCTAAAGTGCTAACTAGTACCATTTTACTTTACGGCTTAAACCAAAATCATGAACTCAATAGAGTAGATCAGATTCAGAATTATAATGCAGAGAATTCTAAGTCATGATGGTCAGAACAAAGGCTCCAATTGGTGGTAGCATTGTGACAGGAATACATATAGACATGTCTAGTTATAAACTCAATTTTTACTCTTAGAACTCAATTAAGAGTCTAAACAAGTCAGGGTATCTGGCCAGGGACAGTGTTGCTGAACCTCATTAATCAAAATAGAACAACAACAACAAAAAAAAACCTCAGAGGAGTGTCGGCTTCATCATGTCATCAGCCTTGAACATTTGCATAATTCGAGAAACGCATCGGTCTAATTTATATCCACTTGAGGAATTGTACCACCAGCTTGGAGGATCTGTTGCTCTAACTGCAACAACATTACATAACAGAAACAGGAATATGAGAAGTAGCAAATGGTTGAGTAAAACATTGCAGTATAAAAGAATTCACGAGCAGAATTAAGTAGGTTTCCGCAAAGTTTAAAACTCACATTAAACAGATCCTGAAGTTTGGTCTTTAACATCTTATATTCATAATCCACCTGCTGCAAACACCTTAAACACCTGTACCAAATAACATGATCACAATTTGTGTGTCAATTAGAAGAAATTATAGTTTCTCATAATAAATTTTAGAGATCCAAGAACTTTTTGCATCAACAAGGTAAAAAATATACACTGGAGAAAAAAGAGACTAATTGTTTTAAACAACACTCACCCTTCACGGTTCTGAACATGGCAACATTCCTTGAAAGATATACACACATTTTTCACCCTCTGTGCACCAACACTGTATACAAAGCAGAGACTGAGCCGTTAAATCTAATGTAGTTTGGTCTCTTAAAACTAGATAAGTTATATGAAGCAGGTATCCTCGAAAAACACTCTTGACATACCTTGAGCTACTACCCTTGAGTTGATGCACACCTGAATCGACCTGTTTGAAATCCACATTATCTGGCCGCTCCCTAATGTGATAATAAACTCATAAAATGCTGTCATGAATGAAACTAACTACACCTCAAAAATGAATGAAGGAGGACTAGAGATGTGTATATAATAAGAGAAGCCAAAGAGAAACTTACAGGGATGCAGACATGGTATTAATAAGCTTGGAACAGTCGTCAAAGAAGAGAGAGACAACTTCAGCTACAAAATCAGGAGTGCCTTCATCTTGCAACTTTCTCAACTCCGAGAACTGATTATCCAGAAATCCCTTCAAATAAACAACAAAAATGACTATACATCATCTTAAAAACCCACAACTTCAAATGCAACACACTACATACACCTTAAGCTTAATATAAACCCAAAATGATCCCATTCCACCCCAACTAAGAAAATCAATAGCAACGAACCTGTTGATAAAGAGAAACGATGTAGTCTTGAAATTGTCTCTGCAACTGAGCAACGACGGTGGTGTTCATGGCTAAGTTGACCACGAACCAGAAAGGCAAAGAAAGATGGGTAAGAGCTGTTCAAAACATACAAATACCATCACTAGATAAGCCAGAAACAACGATGAATTGTATTTATAGTGTTTCCTCCGGAGATCAAGATTTCAAACTAGGCATAAAGTCAAAAGAACAAACTTCCAACTTGGGATCAAACTAAGAGATTCGAGAATCAAAATCGGAGGTGAATTCGCTGACGACATACCCCAATTCGTCGAAGATGAATGCTTGCAGCGACAGAGAGAGAGATGATGAATCTGATCGGAGCGTCAAAGCTACTACTTTCCGTTGACTGATTTTGACCATATTTATTGTAGGGGTTAATCAAGTAAATAACCATATTATTTTTTTATTATGGTTCCTGTATGGTTCCCATTATACCATGCTTGCTGGATGACACATCAAATAAATAACCAACTGTTACATTCTAGACCTTCTCCATTTAACCATGCTTGCTGGATGATACATCAAATAAATAACCAATCTATATGCAAGAACAACACCTATAACCTATACCTCACCTAGACCAAACCGGTTTAACTAATTGATATCTCTCTACAAATTCTCCCCTTTTCCTCATGTGTGTATTGGTGTAAAATCACAACCATTGCATTTCATTTATCAGAAATGGATTCTTGTATCCAAGAACTTCATTTCTCCCACCTCCATATCCCAGTCACGATCAACCAGAAATTTCTTGTACATCCATCCAGTCCAACACCTGCAAATCATCAATCTCCTCACCATAGTCTCTATCTATCAAACCTAGATGATATAATCGGAGCACGAGTTTTCACTCCCTCCGTTTATTTCTATCCGTCAACCAATACTCAAGAATCTTTGGTACTGAAACGACTTCAAGATGCTCTTGGTGAGGTTTTAGTTCCGTATTATCCACTCTCTGGTAGGTTAAGAGAAGTGGAAAATGGGAAACTGGAAGTTTTCTTTGGAGAAGAGCAAGGTGCGTTAATGGTGTCTGCGAATTCTTCAATGGCTTTATCTGATCTTGGAGATCTTACAGTGCCAAATCCAGCCTGGTTACCACTAATCTTTCGAAACCCAGGAGAAGAAGCTTACAAAATCCTTGAAATGCCGTTACTTATAGCTCAAGTAACGTTTTTCACCTGTGGTGGGTTTAGCCTTGGCATTAGACTCTGCCATTGCATCTGCGATGGTTTTGGAGCCATGCAGTTTCTTGGCTCATGGGCAGCTACAGCAAAAACCGGAAAATTGATTACAGATCCTGAGCCGGTTTGGGATAGAGAGACTCTCAAACCAAGAAACCCTCCAATGGTGAAATACCCACATCATGAATATCTTCCAATTGAAGAAAGATCGAATTTGACGAACTCCTTGTGGGATACGAAGCCATTGCAGAAATGTTACAGGATAAGCAAAGAGTTTCAGTGTCGGGTCAAAGGCATTGCTCAAGGACAAGACTCAACCTTAGTTTGCAGCACGTTTGATGCAATGGCTGCACATATATGGAGATCATGGGTCAAAGCCCTTGACGTGAAGCCACTGGATTACAATCTCAGGCTCACGTTTTCAGTCAACGTAAGAACAAGACTCGAAACCGTAAAGTTAAGAAAAGGGTTTTACGGGAATGTGGTGTGTTTGGCCTGTGCAATGAGCAGTGTCAACGGTCTTATTAACGATTCTATTTCTAAGACAACTCGTTTGGTCCAGGAGGCGAGACTTAGGGTTTCAGAGGATTACTTGCGGTCTATGGTGGATTACGTTGAGGTAAAGAGGCCAAAGAGGTTAGAGTTTGGTGGGAAGCTAACGATAACACAATGGACCCGGTTTGAAATGTATGAGACTGCAGATTTTGGATGGGGTAAACCGGTTTATGCAGGGCCAATTGACTTGAGGCCTACGCCACAGGTTTGCGTGTTGTTGCCTCAAGGAGGAGTTGAGTCTGGCAATGACCAAAGCATGGTGGTTTGCCTTTGCTTGCCTCCTTCTGCTGTTCATAATTTTACTCGGCTTCTGTCTTTAACTGATCATAAATAAGTCAATGGTGCAACACAATAGTCATATTAAGATGTCAATCACATAATCACATGATTTCGTATTGACTTCAAAAATATCACTGTCATGATTATTCCACATAAGAGTAAAGAGTTGATATCATTCCAATACTTATGAGTACTCAAAAACATATCCCCGATCAAACATAAGTCACATAACAAAACGAATTCCAATTCATCATAATCACTTAAAACAACAGGAGATACCAAAAAAAAAAAACATTGGTGTAGTTTTAGACCAAAGTGTTGATCTCCACATGGATCAAACTGTACAAAGATTAGGGCTCACTAGTAGGGTTTAAAACAACATAGAAACCCCAAATTCGAAAATATTCATTTTCTTTTCCTTTCAAGGTTTCAACCACGCCCCAACGACACCCATATATACCAAACTCCCATCTATAAAAATGTACATAATTTTTTGGCATATTCGGGCAGCCATATCTTATATAAAAGAAGAAAAGGGACAGGAAGTTATTACCACCAACTCGGAGGAAATCTTTATATAATATACAAACTCCAGAAGCCTTCAGGACTTTTGAACTATTTACCTGTTCAAATACAAAAATTAGGAAGAGAGCAAAGAGATCAGCTTCTCATTACTCACTTAGACAACAAATCATCATAAAGATGTCTAGAGGATTCACCGCAGAGAGACTCGAGGACGTGATTGTGGTTCCGAGAGAGATTTAATCTCCTACAAAGGAGACCATACCATATACCATTTCATCTCCTTGTAGTTTCTCTATGTTGTTGACGTTTAGATGATGACCATTAGTAACTTCATCTAACTTCTTTTTCAAGTGTTCTTCTTTTGGATCTGCTACTGCTTTACAGTGCTCCTCATGCAAAGCAAAACCAAAGCCCATAGGAGGTTTTCCTGTAGAGAGCATCTGTTCGTTGACAGTACTATCGGTGTGAATCGGTGGTGTGGTAAAGCCATTTGTGATCCTGGTTTCTTTGAGTGTAGAGAGGTTGGCTGTTACGGGATTCTCAATCCACCCATTTGTGTTCTTCTTCTCGATTTCCTTGTAGATCCCATTTACTGTTGGGTAAAGGGCTAAAGAAGACTTGAAAGAGTTGTTCAGATGATCCGAATCACGGAGATTCTCCATCTGTTTCGTTAAACCTATTTCCATTAAACCAAATGGTTACATCCACTGTGGCTTGAAATAAAACAACCCTAGATTTCGATCTCTTCATTCGAGAATATTTTATCTCTAGAACGTTCATTAATTACTAGGGAAAGAAATAATAATTTACCCTCTTCAGAACTTTCGGCGGACTCAACCGATCCTGGCTTAGAGTGACAGTTGATAATATCTTGGCATATTTTTCCATTAACTTGATGAGATCCCGATGCGGAGGTGTGATAACATTTCATGGAAAACCTATGTCAAACGTTCCATGATTCAAAGCATAAGCTATACAGATCAAATCAAACGTTTGGGAATATAAAAGAGAATATTTGGAAAAAAGGACAGGCTGTAAATAATCACAAGTTCGAATTCTTGTCCAACTAGAAACTTTCATCAAGCAATGCACAATACAAGAAGACAGCAAGATATGCAGAAATTTTTTGTCCAACATTTGGGAATACCTGTCTTCCAATGTTGCTTTGGTGCTGTGGAAATGGTCAAAAACTGGCAGCAGCTTTTTCTGTTTTATCTCAAGTTCATGAGCCGGAACCTTTTCTATCTCAAACTCTCCACCAGTGGAACTACTATCTCTTGGAGAATCCATAACATGAAAAGAAATCTAGCAACACATCAAGAAAGTAAGAATCAAGAGACAAGTACAGCTATATCAAAGAAAGGAAGAGTTTTTGACAAAAAAATACCTTTGAATTTTGCCACACTGGTAGCATCCCCGAGGTTACCTTTACCTCAAAGTTAGAAAGATAGCAATGTGATCTTTCAGGGGGCTTCTCAGAACAACTTATCAAATACTTATCTTCACCAAAATGGCTGTTGATGTCAAGGGAAAGACATGCAACCTCATGGCTTGTCAAGTTATTTGACACAGTCTCTAAATCATATTGCTTTTCAGTGATACTTCTGGGAAGTCGTTCCTCAGTCTCCAGCCAGTCAGACCTTCTACATACATCCCACCACTGAATAGGCTCAACTTTGACCCTCAAGTCATCCTCCTGAACTTGAACATGAGATGTTCTTTGCACTGTCGAACCATTTTCAGGTGATTCTGTGCAAACTGATGGCAGAAGTTCATGCTGCACCACATGGCCTGATGGAGTATAGACTAAGACATGCTCCAACGCGTTAGTCCGGGAGTTCAGCTGATGGTCATGAGTGACGGATTTATGAAAAACAGCAGCCACGGCACCCGATGGTACAAAAACTTTTCCAGTTGCAGCAGTAGCAGCATTGCTTACTGTGTTAAGCCACCCAAAACTGCTATACTTTATTCTGCTTACAACAGAAAGGGCAACAGCTGGTGGTGGCAATAAAGACTGCTGATTATTTGACAACGATTGAGTAAACCACCATGACAAGGATGAAGCTGGAAGTCGGGTAGGCTCCTCACCCTCACAAGGTTGAATCGCAGCGTCGCTACCAGACGAGTTTAAAACAAAAATATGGCAAGTACCCTTGGATGAAATAATAGCCACCCACTGACTCTGCTGACTAAAGCAAATGTCCTGGACAATCTGTTAAAAAGAGCAGAAAAAATCGAATCAAGAAAAGAGAACATTGAAAAGAAAAGGACATAGGTCAACCCAAAAGTGTACTTACAGCTGAAGTGATTCCTCTATGCAGTTTGAAAAGATGCATATGAGAAGATTCCCACTCATAACTTAGGTCACCAGGTGCATTATGTGAACGAGATGGCATGATCTGAAAGACATTGATATTGTTCCCACACACTGAAGCAGTAACCAATAGAGTTCCACTAGGATCAAAGCAAAGTGCTGAGATAGGACTCGTATGAGCCTTGAACTGTGATACTAAAGCTCCAGAAACAAGATCTTTAACAGCAACCTGTTGGACGAACATTCAAATAATATCACAATCTGGCAATAACAAAAAAAATTAGCAAGAGATCAAAGTAAGTGACTATTGATTAAGATCATTGGTTCAGGAACCCAGGTAAAGTAAAAACTTTGTGCTTTGAAATATATCAGCGATGCCTTAGTAATGACTGTTAGACAACTCTAGTGTAAGAGAAAAGCATGACTCAAGAATTGCTCGCAATGTTCGGATCCAGAATAAAACTAACCATTCCAGCATTCTCTGCATCTGATCCAGTAACCCCACCAACTTTCCAGATTGAATTTGGTGATGCTGGAGAAGTAGATCCATCAGGGAGCATATCTTGACAGTATTTTGACAATGTTTTGTATCCCATGTCCCCCAGGTTGATTAATCCATTGGCTAACTGCTTGCTGGACTCCATGGCATAACGGGCCATAATACTACTTCCACCTGATGATGAACTTGGGCTGAGACTGGGTGAAGACGTAAAAGTCTGTGGGCTTAGGCGCCCTGTTTTCATGGTCATGGAACTTTTGGACGCATATGCAAGCCACCTTGGACCTACAGCCATCGGACCATAGCCAACATTAACCCTGATTGTCCCTTGTCTAACTGGCTGGGGAACAGGATAGGTTAGAACACTGAACTTATTTTCCAGAGTAAGTGCGTCACAGCAATATATCTGCACAAAACAATTGGAAACCATCAGTGTAGGGCATAAGAACAAAAGATAAAGAATACATTCAATACAAGCAAGGTTCATTTGGTCTCAAGACAACTACCAAACACTTCCCTTGCCAATCATCTAAGACCAAGTACTATTGGTATGGAAGAATTTTATAATAAAGAATCTGAATTTCTTGAACCGCACTAATACTCACTTGATTTGCAAGGCCAACAGCGACTACTCGGGAGCTGCATCTAATCATGCAAACAGATGACCGAAATCTCAGGACATATACATAACTGTGGGACCTAAGGGAGTAAAAGCGAACAGTGGTAGGATAATTGATGGCATCCCCGGCTTTAGAGTCTGATTTACCATCTCTTGCTAATGAACCATTCTGGGAAAAACTGTGACCCAAACCAGTGCCGCTTGTGTCATCCCCAGCAACAACCAGCAAAAGAGGATGTGAGTTCCCAAAACCCTCATGATCACCAGACCTTGCAGGTAATGGCTGCATCTGTAAGAATGAAACTGGACCACCTCGTTTAGAGACGAGTTCATTAAAATTAGAGGCATCCTCAACATCAAAGACTTGAAAGCCATTCTGATAACCGAGTAAGAGAACATGTCTGGTGACATGTTGACTCAGTTCAAGAATGCCAAAGCCAGCCCATGTCACCTGCTCATGAAAGAGGGGGAAAAGGAGTTGTTGACTCTCCATCAGCAGGAAACAAGGGAAGAAAGTGACTACCAAAAGAAGGATGCAGAACAAAGAAACCTGGGTTATACATTTTAAGAACCAAAACGAAAATTTTATGGCAAAGAAAAATCATACTCATCACACAAGCTAAATGAGAGACGCACAGAAAGAATAAAAGAGATTAGAAGAGACGCAGGCCATACTTTTCTAACCTAGAATTGAAAATATAGCAAAACCCATTTCAAAGAGGGTCAACAGGGAAAAAGGAACTAGACACCTAATACATAAATTAACCAACCACAACCAACAAACTCAACACATAATTTCACATCAGAAAGAAGCACTTGCAAATTTTCTACTAAACCTATGCAATCATCTGGACACAGCAGCTAAAGCTAGACACTATGAGATAATGAAATAAACCCACCAACCATCATTCCACTAAATGTTTCAAAACAGGAAAGAATCCCAAATACGTCTTAGCTTTTAAATGATCTAACAAAATAGCAAAATCCAACACAAAAGCAAGTATCCAAACAGTAACTGCAAAACAAGAAAAAAACAAGGGACCTGATCTTTGTCATCTTCAGCAGCGGAAATTGAAGCAGCGACGGAGGCTCCAGCGGAACGAACAGACGACGCAACGTTGGTGGCGTTAGCCGATACAGTTTTGAGGCAAGAAGATATAATCTTAAAGGAATTCGGTAACAAGCCACTGTTCTTCCCTTTCCCCTTCTTCATCATCTTCTACTACCGAACAAACACCTAAGAGACGAGCAACAAACTCACAACGAAACAAATAAGAAAATAACCGAACATCGCTCCTTATTTATCTCGATCATCAACCGCCACCATCATCACCCCCCGAATCAACCACGGAGCATATCCTCCGATAACCACCGACGAACAGATATAACATCCGATGATAAAATCCGTGGATCTCTCTCTCTCTACCGATAAAAAACTCCGAGTAGTGTTTGACTTCAATCAAAAGCTCTCTCTCACAATTTTTTTGTTGTCTTCTCGACTACTACTTCTCTCTTACCCGTTCGTCTTTGATTTTCAGAGAAAGCGATTTTCACCTTAAGCCAATTTTTTCCGCCATTTTTTTTTTTTTTACAGACTTATCATTTAATTTAAATAATACTATATGGATAATCGTCGGTTTCTTCTTACTTTATTTTATTCAGTTTTATACGGCCCGACTTTCCAACTTGTTTACTTTTTTTCCTCTTAAAAAAAAAAAATTGAAGATAATTTTCGACCGGATTAAATAAAAAATTTAATAATCTCCACTTAACCCGGAAAATTAATTTGTAGAACCTATCTCGTTACCAAATATAAAAAAGTTACATAGCGCTAATCTGCAGCGTAATGGTCAAATCTGGTTTACCTATACTCAAATTTATTGCTCTCCACATAAATCAAATTTCGATACGACCATACAATACAAACCTCATATGTCAATTTATTGTGTGTTGTTTAATGATAACATGAAAAAACATTAGAATTATCTAAAACAACAAGTTTCTTTTAACCAATGTATCAACTAGCAATTTTATAAGAATGCTAGAGATGATCATCAGTTTCGAGGAGTTTTAGGCATATCAACATAATCACAAAACTCTGCTTCTTTCACTACAGAAAAATCAAACAAAGAAGCAGTGAATGCAGATAAAATAAAGAATCAACAAAGTTGCACTAGCAAGATCTTAGTGCTTCACCTCCATTTACACTCTCTCGCTTCACATGACTACTTGTGTGCATACAAGAGCAAACCTCCGTTTTTCGACCAAAGGCTAATAGCCTATCAGTATGTATGTATATTATGTGACTTGTTGTTGTTGTTGTTGTTGTTGTCTGCTGCTATATTCCTTTTCCAAGAATCCAAATGTCATCTTCAGACGATCCTGCAGATTTACTAGGATGTTTTTCGTCACCCTTTTCTGATGTCTAGTGCTCTTTAGCCATTCAATCCCAAAGTATACTCGCACATATGTTGTCTTTGGTTTTGATGCCGATTCTTCCATTTGGTATCTTAGATGGAGATTAAAATAGTCACCCAGTGGTACTCCATGGAGTGTCATGACCTCTTCGACAAGCCACCCATTCTTCTCTGGCACTAGGGACTTTTGCTGTGTACTGGTTACTTCTCCTCTATAACGTGATATCCTCTTATCTCTGTAGTACGTCTGCCTCTCATACACATCAGCCTTCTCTGACTCCCATGGGCTGCATGAATAGCTCTGGCAACCCGCTCTCTCCATAGCCTTTCGATCCATTTCACCCCCACCAAACAACTCCATAAAGAAACTTACCTAGAGAGTTATCATAATGATGCGTAAGACAATTTCAAAACTCATATACATTTCCACACCACAGTTGCTTTACCAATGAAAGAGAAGAACTCACCGGGACAGGGAGAGTCAAAGAGAAGACCTCAGAGAATCGCACGTCATCAACACCCAAGAACAGACCACTCTCTTCACTTTGGAGTTTCTGCTCTGATTCCTCTTCAACAGCTTGCACTTTCTGCTCTGGAGTCAAGGATTTTGCTTTCCACAGAGCCATTATTGTCCTATAAACGCAAAAACAAGTACAAAAGTCTATATAAATCTTATTATAATAAGTGTTCATTTCTACTAAGGGTGTAACTCTTGATAGTTAGTCAATAGGCATCCACGTCTAAACATATCTAACAAAAGCAGTTGATACTACAGAGGAATAGTACCGATTTTCATATTCAGATGAGAAAATGGGCATATCCAAATTAAACTAAGCATATTGATTGGGGCACAGAAAATCTAGTAGGACGTTCATAAAAGCAAGCACGCATATAACAAATAATAGGAAAGACTTATCACTTACTTTTGTGCCACATTGAAAGATACAAATGAGTGGAAATGGAACTTAAGCCTGCCTTCCTCATCATGTGTCTTTGCGCCTATCCTCGCGTCCATTCCTCTATTTGGTCTGAGAGTCATGACAATAATGGGACTCCCCATTGAGGCAAGAGTGGGAGGAAGCACTTGAATATCCTCTATATCTTCCCACAGGAAAAAGAATTTTGTTTTGTTACCAAAAAGGCTTGCATAAAAGCCAACAATTCTTGCAGACAGGAAAAGACGACCCTGCAGAAGCAAAACTTAATTACATGTGTTATAATCTCTTCATTGCTAAGGAAAAAAGCTGATGATGAATGCGGTTGAATACTAAAAAAAATGTGATGTACATCAAGAGCTCCTCACCTGCAAAGGCATTTTCCGCTTTAAGTGACATGTGAAGTCATTGATTAGAAATTCTTCTTGTGGGAGACCAAAGAGCTTCTGAAAAGCTGAATTTGTTTGAGGAGACCGCACATTAATCTGAAATTTCGATTCAGCAGATAAGAACGCATAACAACACTACCAGTTTATATGTTGATTGAGAGAACAAAGTAGTAGCCACATACCTTCTTCCCCACCTCTTTCTCCATTTTATTTAAATAGTCTCTGACAACATCTCCACCTCCTGTATGATCCAAGAAAATCCTCAAATGCAGTTTGGATTGACAAGCCTGAGCCAGTTTCCCTTGAAGTGGAACCCAAACATCCGCTAAATCAGATATATTAGATCTCACAAAGTTGATTTCGGCATTCCCCAATGAAACAGCTTCGTCAAAAGGTCCGTCGAAATCGAAAACTTCAACATTCAGTACAGAAGGAGGATCAGCCATCGCATCAAATTCAAATATTTCTGCACAAACAAGATTCCAACCCTCAAAAAACTTGTGACGACAAATCAAAGAGTTGAAACATTCAAGAATTGAAGCAAGACCCATTCTACCACTAAGATTGAGGACAAGACCCATGCTACCACTAAGATAACTGGACTTAAAATAAACCATAGAGCAACCATTTACCATTCCACTGAGGATTAGATTTCTGGAACTTGATGGAGCTGGTTCTCGTCTTTCCATTGGAAGTAAATACAATATACGGATCACAATGCCCGCTTGGATCTACAGCTGCTAGATCGACTCCCTCAATTAGAGCAACAGTTAGCAACCAACCATCTCCATGCGCTTTGATGCCATGATCACTGCCTATAATTGGATTTGACAGTTAAGGATCAGTCGGATACACACATCAGGCTTCCAATGAGAGGCCACAAGACAGAATATGAAATAGTCGATGGTGTATCTTCATGGATGTTACCTTTCTGTTTTCTTGCCTGCATGAAACGGGAAATCAGTTGCAATACTCTTTCGCACTGAAGAACGAGAACCCCACTAACAACAAATTCTCCAATTGAATCCGGTAAATCAAGGCCATTAAACTCAAGCCCTTGGATTGCACTAGGTATGGCAAACACAATATGGACAAATACATAAATACCAATCAAGAACGTGGAGAAGACAGTGAAATTGGCAAAATATTGTACAGCCAATTTCCAGTCTGATTGAGGCTCAGCTTGCAAGGAAGAGAGGGCTTGCTCCTTGTTCACCCCAATATCCTTTGAATCTACAGGCTTTACACTTTGAGCCAACAAATTGGCATACTGTTCGAAGTTGTCTTTTAGACCTTGTCGGGCTCCATTCTCTATCATACCTTTCATCATAGTGCTCTGAAGAAAATTCAATCTCCATGAAACTACCAAACGGGAACACTGCTCCCCAGATGGCAACTCAGGGCCAGGAGAGATGCAGTAAAGGACTTCAACCTTGAAGGTACTTCCGAATGGAACATCTGGAGTGGCAACACTTGCTAAAACGGCGTAAACCTCTCCGTCTGCTTTGAGGTATGTCTGCTCCTCTGTGCCTTTGACAGCCTTAATCAGTTTGGTTGGAGCCTTGAGGTAACTTACAACCCGCTTAACACTCTCGCCATCATTTTCACCTTTCCATGGTCCAATCTGAACTTCCGTGGTCCCTTGCAATTCAGTAAATGACGCATATAAACTTGAATCCGATGCGAAAAGCAGAATGTTAAGATCTGATGGGGAAATCATAAACAACTGGTCCACAACGACACCACCAGGTAGATTACTAGGAGGTTCACTTCCCTGATCTTTCGACTCCATTACCTTCAATAATTCCTCAAAGGAAGCAGAAGATGACTCATCTTCAGACAGCTCAAGGGAAAAGACTGGTCTAGAGGTCTCAGATGGTTCAGATGCATCAATGCTCCTACTAGTGGACGGTGTAGGTGTGGCGGTAATAGCATTCTTCTGAAAAATCTGAGTGAATCGACCGGCAAAGGTTGTCTGGGGGATAGATGAAGCATCATCTGATCTAGAAGGAGAGGCACAAGTGGAGGGGTCAATAGGTGATTCCAGTCTCAAGTCAGGACTCCTCGAAGCAGAGGCTTGATCCCCAGTAGAAGTCAAATCAAGAACCGAGTTCTTCTGACTGAAACATATCTTTAAAAGGATCTCACCTGTACAAGATGGATCAAAATAAAAAATGAAAATTCGAAACTAGCGTCAACGTAGTTAAAGACAAATGAAGGAAGGAGGACGTACCACAATCCTTTTTGGAACCTTTCTTCTTTGGGTTAAGAGGATACCAAACAGTGCCAAGAGATTGATTCTCTGCATCGAAAACAAGGGAAACAGAAACTCTAACCTGACCAACGAAGTCATCGTTGAAGTATTTATCCTCATCAAGAACAGAGACGACGAGTTCGTCATTCAAATCGTCGACGCCAAAACTGAAATCTTCAGCCCATTTGGGGTTCAAGTTCTTCTTCACTACTTTGGTCCGTGACCTCTGTTTTCCCAGCTGCAATCTGACGTAAGGGTCGCTAAACCCATTGAGATCCATAGCCGGTAGATTCCTCGCTTCCACGACTCGGACCTGAAGCTTCATCTCGACGACGATGAGCTACTCCCTCCAAGGGATGCACACAGTGGAAATTGACGATGGCGAGTAGAGGGAAGAACGATCCCAGAAATACGAAGAATGGAGAAGAAAACCTTGAAAAATCAGCAATGGAGAAAGCCACACAAATAGGGAGAAAATTCAAAATTGGAGATGAGAGAGAGAGAGAGAGAGAGAGAGAGAGAACTTTCAAATGGGGGGAAATTGATCATTGAGCATGAAAAAAGGGGATTTTGGCTGGAAATAAACCCTAATTTGCTTCAAATCGGAAGAAGTAAACATTAACAACAACAATGATAAATCCAGAAAGTCCTCGGCGACGAAGTCTTCGTTAATGTCTTCTTCTTTCTTTTTTTTTTTGGTTTGGTCAACGTTAATGCCTGTTTGACTTTTCATACGCGAAACTTTCATAAGTGAAGCTATCTGTATTTTTTTTACCATTGCATTGGCGCCCTTCATATTATTGATCTGTAATTGTGGCCAAACACTTCTTTCTTGGCGTCGATTTATTTACAAAACCAAAAAAAATGTATAGTTTATGGTGTTGTTATATGGATACATTAATTTGGGTTGGTGTAAATGTAAATTGTTTTCCAAAAAATTTGTTTAGTAAGTTTTGTTTGTATTTCGATGGTATTGTGGAATATTCCTCGGACAAAAAAAAAACGAAAGGATTATGTGACAACGGTAACAAAGAAAATACGGTAAGGTAAGGTAAGCCACGTGTACTCTCTAATTGGCTTGGTAGTTAAAATCATTCAAAAAGCCAAGATGGGGGTTATTAACCAAAAGCTGTCTTCTTCAGAGTTTTTACAAGTTTAAACTGGTAAGAAAGCTTTCACCCAGTGCGAGCGAAACGAGCTTGAATCCTCCTCTGGATTGTCCCACGACAAGACGGACAATCCATCATTCCTTCTTTCTCGTGAAGCTGATTGCATTTAATGCAAAGAACTTGGTGAGCACAAGGCAAGAATATCACACTCATCTCTTCGGACAAGCACATCACACATTCTCTTTCTCTTTTCACTTTCGTCATCCCAACATTCTCTCTTTTTGTTGCCTTTGACTCACTGCTGCCTTTCTTCAGTGCAATGATTCTCGAGTAGTCTGATTTAAGTTTCAGCTCTGAGATCTCTCTCTCAAGTCTCTTGATGTTATCTATGTAATATTTCACGTCAGTTTCTGCTTTCCCTTTGATCCGCTCTTCTTCCACTTTTCCAAGTGCTTCAAGTTCCTTTGTTTCTTTCTTTATCAATGATGCCTGAGCACTGAGTTTCCCTTTGGCTGTTCTTTCTTGCTTCAAAGCAGCCTGCAGAGGAATTTTCGTTAGATATCTCCATCAACTCCTGTAACTAAAAACAATCCTTTCTCAAACTTACAACATCGACCAAACCTAGATAAATAAGAAACATCAATTGCAATCAACAAACTCTTGATATTACTACACTTCATTACTAAAGCTACTTAAAACCACAAGGATGCAGTAGACTAAAATACACTTGATACTGACATTTTTTTCCCTTTAATTTCTCGCATTCCTTAGATATAGCAAATAGCAACGTACAAGGCGACATATATGTAGCCAAAAGAATGAAATCGTTACCAGAAATACGAATATGAAAGGAAGGGACGTTAGCAGATGAGACATATGGTGAAGTGCAGGTAGCTAACGATACACATCATAAGACAAGAAGACCTAACATATGTCTACAAAAGTGGCTAACCTCAATTTGATTCTGGCGATTTTTTGCTTTGGTAACTTCTTTCTGTAGCACTGCTGCCTTATCCCTTTGACCCTTGAGCTCTTCCTGCAACAGAATTTTTTGCCCTTCCCACGAGTGAGTATCCTTCAATGATCTTTGCCCTCTTTCTTTTGCTTCTCTACAGCTCTCAGCAGACTCAACAGCTTTTATCTTAGCAGCTTCCATCTCTTTCTTCAGTAAAGATTGTTCCAGCTCGAGCCTGCGAGCAGTATTGTGAGCTTTTTCCAACTGGCTGGTCGCATTCTTCAATGCAAAATCCATCTCAGACAGCCTTTTCCTAGTGTTTTCTTCCAATAACTGCTTCTCTTTTTTATACTGTTCTGCCTCTTCTCTCTCTTTCCTTAGTGCCTTAAGCTCTGGTTGGTCCTTAAGTAGTCTACCAGTTGCTTCTTTTACTTTCTGATTAGCCCAGTCAGTCCAGACCTGCATTTCATTCTGCAGATCATTCACTCGGGGAACTAGCTTTAGAATCAATTCATCTTTCTTATCACGGGGAACATATATACCCAGAGCTGCATCATATGGGATCCCAGCATAGTAATCTGGTGCTAGCTTTGCAGACAGAGATGCCTTTTCTTCAGACTTAGAACCAGACTTCTTTTCTGAAGCTGATGGTACCGAAGAATCAGACTTCTTTTCTGAAGCTGATGGTACCAAAGAATCAGACTTCTTTTCTGAAGCTGATGGTATCAGAGTTACAGACTCAGAACCAGACTTTTTTTTTGAAGCAGATTTTACCGACCTAGCAGGTAAGGCAGTTATATAGCCCTTTGCATCTACCATTACCACAGGTGAATCTAACTTACTGTTCTTTCTTACAAAACAGCCGCTATCCTCAGCTAATGAAAGTTTCACTCCAATCTCTGCTGTTATCTTCGGTGAAGAATTTTTTGCCACAAATTCAGAAGATGATTTGACTCTTTTCTCTAGAAGGAAGCTGCCAACTGATGCAAACTTTGCCGCCTTATATCCACTGCCTTTGCTGTAAGTCCTAATTTTTTCCACACATGATTTTTGCCGAAGCATAGCTATCTCTTTTTTAGTACGGCCTTTACGACAAGATACCATTTTTTCATCAGAGACTAGAGTAAACGATGTACTTCTCATGCCTTGACAAGAAACAGTGCTACCTGAGCATACTTCTTTTCCCGGTGTTGTTCCACTAGACTGAGTTTTTTTGGAGTTGGGTGAATTTGGGAAGTTTCCAAACTTGAGTGGCTCATTCCGATTGCCTTGAGGATTGGATTGTGGAGGCTTTGGGTTATCTGGGTCACTAGAGTTTGGAGGATTAGATTCAGCACCAAGAGATTCGGAATCAAATGATTTACTCGAACTCACCAATCCATCGCCTTCAACTTCAAAGGCTTGCAAGACATTCAAGTCGCACATCAAAAGCCTCCACATAGCTTCAACTGTTGATAGGGACGGCCTAACCTCCTTAACAAGACTTACCATTTCTACCAACGTATACGAAACAAGCTGTTGTAAATCCTCAAACACATAGTCTCTTGAACCAGCACCTTCGTTTCCAACCTTGAGAACACTCAAGGTGTTATTGACAATGTTTGACATAAGATTATTGCCTCCACAGTAGAGCCTACAGCCTGATATAGCTTTCAGAACTTCGTCATCGGTGTAGCCACAGTCAATAAGCTCCTTCATTGCATTAAGGAAGAGCGTGAGCAAATTTGATGACAACAATTCTTCAAGTTGACAGGCAAATGGGTCATCCCATTCGACAGATTCAGAGTCTTCAACTTGCAGCTGATTAGAAACTTCCCCAATCAATCCATTTCCGCTCAAATGGTTCTGAGGTTTCAACGAAGGTAACTCATATGGAGGGAATTCAGTGAGGGAAGCAGCATTTGGTTGAGAAGGATCAGCTAACTTTCTCTTGTTTTTCCTTCCTTTTTCCTGTGGTGACACTGTAAAGGCTTCTACTTTGTCAACATTGAGACCACAACCATTCATTTCTTCTTGCTTCTGAACCATACTCATCACCTTTTTCACCCATTACACATGAACATCTAAGTTAAGCACAGAAAAAAACCGTATAATAACATAGATACGAAATTGTTCATATGCAAAATCCATTAAAGTAACAAAGATGACTTCATCTCCTAGTTAAACGTGATTCAATCGCCCACTAATGCAATCCCAGAAACACGCCAAACAAAAAACTTTTTTTTTTTTTTGCGAGTAAACGTATAGAGATTCCTCAAATCTAAAGCGTACTACATTCTGATTGAGTGCTTAATCATCATGCAATTCAGAACCGTCACCGAATCGAAATAAAAGAAATCCAAATAATCGCACGATCATTCATTCAACCCAAAAACAATCACGAGTTTACCAAAATGGATTAAAAAGAAAAAGGCCGTAAACTGACCTTCAATGAAGACGATAACGGCTTAAGGAGAACGGCGCCGGAAGAAAAACAGCGGGAAATAAGATCGGTAGCGAGAAATAGAGAGTGAGAGAGCGAAGACGAGTATTGGTTTTGAGAGTGTGGAGAGAGCGAGAGAGACTGAAAGGGAAGAAGAGAGCCGGAGAAATTGGCCGTGAAACACTGTTTCGTGAATAAAAGAAGAAGAGGTTTGGTAATTGCTGTATCACTTGGATTCTCATGAGGGTACTTTAGTCAATTCACAAATATTCGTCTCCGACCCAAAAAGGGCAGCGAATCTTTTGGTTATTTTGTTTCTGCATCTGTAGATTAGATCCTTGACAAAACGCACTTTAGCTACAAAAATCGATACAGATTAATTGATGAATGAAAGAAGAAAGCTGTCTCCACAAGACATAACTCGATTAATCATAACCTGATGTATATAAGTACTCAAATTCGAGCAACAAGCCCACATGATCTAATACACGTTACAAGTCTCTGTTGAATCGGTGACAAAAACGGGATGGTTTCACTTTTTCCTCTTCGTGCGTCTTCTTTCAGCTTCATTCTCTGCTACCACAACGTGAAACTCTGATCCAAGCATGTCTTGTATGTCAATATTCTTTGAGTTACTGAGGTTAACAGTCTCTATGATTACTTCTAGAGTCACGGTGAAGCCTAGATTAGACAACACGCGTATCACATTCCCGATTCTGCATATGGTTTGTCGAGTCTCGGGTGGAATATGGTTTTGCTCTTTTCCTGTGGAGGAGGATGAGATCATCTCCTCATCTTTCTGATCATCTATCGCCATAGGATCTCTCACTTCAACATGTTCTCCAACCCATATGAAACCATTGCAGCCAATAATCAAATCAATCCCAAGACTTTCTACGTAATGAAAGTGATGTTTGCTTCTCTTGACCAAGTAAGGATCGACCTTCAGAAGTTGTCCCTTCTCGAGCTGTAGCGCGATTCATGGATTAATCAATGTTCAGAGGAAGAGACTAGCAAAAGGTATAACTACATGAGCATGTGACCAAATCAGAACCAACCTTGCCATACTTCTGGCTTCTGGCTTGTAACTGCAAGCTACCATCATGCTGAAAGTTGCGTACTTCAGCCTAAGAGTTTGAACAAATCAAAGAGGGAACCTTTTTTGGTCAGTTTGACTTATGTGTTCAAAGATAAAGAAGATATGTAAAGACTGGAACAATATTAATCACAGGACTTACACATACGACATCGTGCTCTACAAAGATATTCCGCATATTGAGTTCATCCACAGAGGTTCTTCGCCTCTGCCAACATCAAGAAACTTCTATATCAATGAAGTCGACATACAATGTGGAAGCCAAACAAGGTAAGCCAGCAAATATCTAAATGGCAAAATATCAAGACTCAAACTGTACCTGAATACCATCAGGCATGTTCATGGAAGAAAGCATCAGTACTCCATCCTGAGTAAAGTTGAGCTCCACTCTCCAACGTTTCTGAGCAACCTGAATAAGCAAATGTCCAATGTGATTGAAACCCTTATGTTAATCTCTCAATCCAATTTCAAAATCCAAAACACCAATTCAAAAAACTACCTCAATGACACGGCCTACAACAATATCACCAACCTCAGGCTTATACCTAAAACGTAGATCGTCAAAACCATCAGTTCTACTTAATCTCAGAGTAGAGAGTCAAAATCATTCACATTTCCTGGGAAACTAAACAAATTCGAAGATCAATCACAGACCTGGCTCGCAAGGTGCGTACATAGACAAGCTTATCAACACGCTCCACTACTCCACAGACCGTTGCCAGTAACTCACCATCGACCTCGGAAGTTCCGTGTCCCCTTGAATAAAAAAACCAATCGTGTTGACAAAAAAATTTCAATCCAGAACGGAGAAAGAGAAGAAATTTACTTGAGGAAGGCATCGTCATGATTGACGGGAATAGAGTCGGTGACGATAACAGAAGCGTCAGAGTTTGCCGTCGACGAAAGTGATTGAAGCCGCTCGATTGCTCTCTCAAACCTAACCTTCTGCGTCTGGCTCAACGGTAACTGTAGCTTTCTCAGCACCATCACAGACTTTCTCTTCCTCTCTATCTAGCTCCAGCAACACAACAATGGCGATGCAAAATGGGGGAAGAAGAGCAAAAACCTCGACGTTGAACGAATTTCTAGGGTTTTGGGTTATTCGTTGGACTAACAGATCCAACTTCTGGCCCATTTATAAACGTGAGGCCCATTTCTCTAATTAATCTGATAATTTGACGCCATAAAAAATATTAAAAAAAGAAACGAAATTAGACGTCTCTCCAGGCTCCAGCGACAACAAGCTTCAAGTCTTTTGTGATCTTCCTATTTCTGACGCAAATTCGTATCCTTCACTCTTCAAATTCATTCTTCCACGGATCAAACAAATTCTCTGAGAGTACCAATTGGTAAGATCTAAGCTTTACGCTATGAATTTCTTCAAATCCGTCTTCTCCGACGACCTAGATCCTCCCGGAACCGAATCCGAATCCGATTCACCAAAACACAGCGAAGAGAAAGAACATCCAGAGCAATCTGACCCTAACGACGACGGTGGATGGAGCTTCGGCGGTCTGATGAAAACTATAGCCACCAGATCCGAATCCGTGATTGAAACCTACCGACGAGATCTCGAAGAATTTGGTACAGGTTTGAAGAAGGAGATCGAAGTGGCTCAGGGATCGCTTGGTACTGTGGGACATGCCATTGATGAGCTCGGGAACACGGTGCTAAAAGGTACGGCTGAGATCATTGCTCAAGGTAAGGAAGCCATTTTAGCCGCTGGTAATGAATCTGATTCTTCTGATAACAATAGTAGTCAGAGTTTTGGTCGTCGTGATAGCTTCAGTTCGAAACCCTATAGTCGTTTCGATGCTCAGATTCGTGCTGTTCAAGGCGATCTCAACACTTACTGTGAAGAGCCTGAGGATTCTGCTGATTACCAAAAGTGGGAATCTGGGGTTTCTCTGGATGAAAAAGCTGAGGAGATGGAGAAATTGTTTGAGGAAAATGGTGATATGAAAGGAGTGTATAAAAGGGTTGTTCCGAGTATGGTTGATCATGAGACTTTCTGGTTTAGGTATTTCTACAAGGTTCACAAGCTCAAGCAAGCCGAGGATTTAAGGGCTAATCTTGTGAAACGAGCAATCTCTCTGGATGATGAAGAAGAATTGAGCTGGGATATTGATGATGAAGAGGAGAGCAGCGAGAAAGTTGTTGAAGCTACCAAAGAAGTTTCAAGATTGAAACTTGAAGGGAATGATGGTATGGGTAGTGGAGATGTGAGCGAAACTGTGAAAGATGAAGTGAAAAGTACAGATTCAGTGGCTAAAGTGAGCACACAAGAGGAAGTGAAAAGTGCAGATTCAGTGACTGAAGTGAGCAATGTTGGTTTGAAGACAGATACAGATTCTGAGGGAAAGAAGGAATCCGATGAGGAGGAAGTTCCAGAAGCAAAACCAGTTGTTGAAGCTGCATCTCCTGCGTCTGTTGAGGCTCCAACCCAAGATTTGGTCAAACCCAAATCTGACGAAGCTGCTCCATCCCAAGAATCAACTAAACCAGATGTGGCTGCTTCTTCATCAACTCAACAACCATCTGAAGAGGATTTGGGATGGGATGAGATCGAGGATATGAGTAGCATCGATGGTAAGGATACGAGGCGGTCTGGTGGTAGTCCAAACAGAGCTGAGCTGCGTAAACGTCTGAGTGCTGCAGAGGAAGATGAAGATTTAAGTTGGGACATTGAAGATGAAGAAGAAGAAGAATCATCATCATCCAAAGCTTAATGTTTAGTTTTAAAGTGGTGTGCTCTTTTTTATCTCTCTCCTTTTACTTGTTTCTATAAGTTTCTCCATTCTTCAGTTGTTTTTCTCTTCAACGTTTCTATTTTACATTGATATGAAAATATGTTTCTACATTTTACCTTGATTATCAAAATTAGGTCAATATAGTGCCAAGACAGGAATCTAATAGGTTGCTCACTCAATACATGGATAAATTTTAACACATTCTCTCTAATTCTTTTGAGTATTTCAATCAACTGACCCTGCGAATTCGGAGCTTTGATTGTTTCAAAATTGAAGGCAATATCTGTCCTTTGTGAAGAACCAAAATATACTGAGGCCCATTAGTGGTCTAATGGGCTTACAGGTCGGATAAAAAAGGATCCGGAAGGATTGAAGAGAAACCCTCGGGTGGAGTAAATTAACCCTCTCTTAAACCCCAATCACCATTTCAAGGCGAGAAAGCAAAAGTTTCCATCTTTCTCTTTCTGTGGCTCCGACCCAAATGGCTTCCGTTGCTCTTCGAAACTCTACCTCGAAACGCCTTGTTCCATTTTCTTCTCAGATCTATCTACGATGCGGAGGTTCCATCCCCTCGATCTCACATTTCGTCGGAGGTGATGATCGTTGTTCCCCAAGTTATGCGACCTCGTGGTGGAGATCGATGGCTACTTTCACCCGAACGTGAGTTTCTACGCTCTTCAGATCTTTCTCTCTTCTTATGGGTGATTGGAAATCTTAGTTTGCTTGGAATTGATTTGAGTTACTACTACTACTACTACTCTGCTTCTGTGGTGAAAGAGTGATGATCAGGGAAAAAAATTTGGTTTCTTAATTGGCTTATCACTTCAAATTTTGTTTATTTTTGCAGAAAACCTCATGTAAATGTTGGAACAATTGGACACGTTGATCATGGGAAGACCACTTTGACTGCTGCGATCACAAAGGTGGGATCTTGATTTGTAAAATTACTTTCAAAGTTACTGCGACGAGCCATAGAATTTTAAAAGCAGTGTTTCGATTTGTTTACAGGTGTTGGCTGAAGAAGGTAAAGCTAAGGCTGTTGCGTTTGATGAAATTGATAAAGCTCCTGAAGAGAAGAAGAGAGGAATTACTATTGCAACGGTCTGCTATTTGCTTGCTCTCTTATGTTTCCTTTGTTGATTAATATCCAACTGGTTTTTACTCTGGACAGTACTTGCTTCTGTAGGCTCATGTGGAGTACGAGACGGCGAAGCGTCATTATGCTCATGTGGATTGTCCTGGACACGCTGATTATGTTAAAGTAAGATATTATCTAATCATGATCTTGCCATACATTAATCGATTTAAAAACTCGAATCTCATACCTTCAGTTGCTGATTTTCAGAATATGATTACTGGAGCTGCACAAATGGATGGTGGAATTCTTGTGGTTTCCGCACCCGATGGACCAATGCCTCAAACTAAGGAGCATATTCTGCTTGCACGTCAGGTTTGCTCTGTTACAATCTGATTAGACAATTTAAGATACTTGAATGACTTAAGACTATTGGCTACAATCCACGATTTTCATGTCCCATAGGTCGGCGTTCCATCGCTTGTATGCTTCCTGAATAAAGTTGATGCTGTTGATGACCCAGAGTTGTTGGAGCTTGTAGAGATGGAACTGCGTGGTTTGTATAAAATTCTTATGTCTTGGAATTACAAATTCAGAATTATTCCTTATGAAGTCCAAGCTTTCTTACATCAACTGTTTTGTTTACCAGAACTTCTCAGCTTCTACAAGTTTCCTGGGGATGATATTCCCATCATTCGAGGATCTGCTCTGTCTGCATTGCAGGGTACAAACGAAGAAATTGGACGGAAAGCCATATTGAAGCTAATGGAAGCTGTAGATGAATATATACCTGACCCAGTTCGCGTGCTCGATAAACCTTTCCTCATGCCAATTGAAGATGTTTTCTCGATTCAGGTATAGCAATATACATCCTTGTGTTTTTTTTTTAAATTTCATTACTCAAATGGTTTTTGAAAAATTATAACCGATTTCTTTTTCTATGAAAGGGTCGTGGAACTGTTGCAACCGGCCGTATTGAACAGGGAACCATTAAAGTAGGTGAAGAAGTTGAGATATTAGGGTTAAGTACGGTGAGTTAGTACTGGCCGCTATTACAATTAAGCATTGTTCTTGAAAATTGTCTTAAGTCTCATTGCAAGATATAATTTCCAGGGACTTCCACTGAAATCCACGGTAACTGGTGTTGAGATGTTCAAGAAAATTTTGGATAATGGACAGGTAAAGGCAATCTGGAGAGATCTTTTTCACAGAAACTCTATAGGCATGTGAGATTGATATAATTTTCAAATATGTTAGGCTGGTGATAATGTAGGACTTTTGTTGCGTGGGCTAAAGAGAGAAGACATCCAGCGTGGAATGGTAAGCTCTAGATCTTTGTGTTGTAGAAGAGTGATAAGACCAATATTGCAAAACTAGCTTTACTGAATGTAACTTTGTGCTGTTTAGGTAATTGCTAAGCCTGGTTCTTGCAAGACTGCCAAGAAGTTTGAAGCGGAGATTTACGTGCTCACGAAGGATGAAGGTGGACGTCATACCGCTTTTTTCTCCAACTACAGGCCTCAGTTTTATCTGAGGACCGCTGATGTCACTGGAAAAGTAGAATTACCTGAAAATGTGAAGATGGTTATGCCCGGTGACAATGTTACTGCAGTTTTCGAGCTAATCCTCCCTGTCCCACTTGAGACCGGTTAGATTCACTGGCTTTCGATATCTTTATTAACCCACCAAGTTCGAGTTTCTTCAAGTTTCTTGAGTAATTCAAGTTGTTTCTATTTTGCGATTTTAACAGGTCAAAGATTTGCTCTAAGGGAAGGAGGTAGAACAGTTGGAGCTGGTGTGGTATCAAAAGTGATGAGCTAAGTCGCTATAGTAGATTCAAAAGTTCTTCAAAAAAGAAAAACACAATTGTTCTCAGTTTGTTCTCTAGTATCTAAAGATTCATCTCCATGAGATTTCTACTACTTTTGAGAGTTATATCAAATAACCGAGAGATTTGTGTTTTAAGAGAAAAGCTTCTCCAAATCTTTTTGGCTTTGCAACTTCTTTGGTTTGCGGTAGTTTAAAACTCTACAAAATCCCTTTATCAACAACCTAACATTCACAAATTAACTTTTAAGCAAGCCATCAATGGAGTTAGAAACTTGACTCCAAATCATCAGCATTTCAACAATTCAACCAAACCTAAGTGCAACCATGGCAATTACTGTGGCAGCTCTGAAGTAAACTTCCTTGATTCTTCTTTCCACTTTATTTGAGATTTCTTCTTCGTTGATTGTTTTCCTATTGAAATTAACAAGGGCTTCCCTGAGTCTACTCACCGACCACGAGAGCAATACCAAACTCAAACTCAGTGCACCTTCGAAGAATTTGTTTGCGCAAAAGGGTACCTGCCTGGAAGCAACATCACAAACCAGAAAGAAGAGCACAGCCATACCAGTTCCAGCAAAGCCAATTGAACACTGAGTCAAAAGCTCTAAGAGTTCTCCACGTGATTTCTTTAGAGATAGCATTGTGGTTTTTCTATGTTGTTCATTGCCTATCATCAGAGAGATAAGGCTCTCAAATGCATGGAGACAGTTTCTTTCGTAGAGGTCCTTTTCCTTATCTCTTATCTTCGGATTTTGTTTCTTTGGTGAAGGCTTAAGCCTAGTTTTCTCCGCACTATCATAAATCGAAAGGAATGTTCTTTAAGAAACGGGAAAGATCAAAGGAACAAAAAACTAGTTGATAATATTAGATAGTACCTCTTAAGAGGAGCAAGTGTAACTGCATCAGGCTTAACCGCGGATAGCTGCAAAGTGTCTATTAGTGCTTCACTGTTGAATCTGTAAAACGAGAGAGAGTAAAACCTTAATGTTAAACCCAAAAGGATGAGCAACATAGGTATGGATCAAAGTTGCAGTGAAGAATTAACTACCGCTGAAACTGCGGGACAAGCCGTGAGAGCTTTCTCCATCTTGTTGAGTTCCTTAACCTATGAAACTCAGCTGCCGTAGAGACGAAATCATTCAATTCAGCTCTGCTACTTAAGAACAGAATGTTACCATCCACCATGAGATCCAAAAGCGGCTTTGCAAATTCTTGATTCAAGTAAAAATAAGAAGAGGTCGCAAATGGTAGCTGAGAACTTGATCCCAAAGCCTCCAGACCCATCAATTCAGATAGCAGAGACAAATCGAATCCTCCTTCTTTGAGTTCTTCTGATCTAGACAAAAGGAACTCTAACACCTTCTGTTTTTTTGCATAATGCCCAGTGATCCCCAAGCTTAAACACACAGGGTCTGGTCCAGTTTCTGTAAACCACAGTTCATGTCAGTAGAAAAAAGGATTACAATTTGGAAAATTCAACTGCAAATTGATCAAAGTCACATACCATGAACATCCATGAGCCTATGCTTCATCATGGTTGAATCAAACTCCACAAAGTGGTTAGACTTACTCGAAGAAGAAAAAGGTTTCAATGGCTCCAAGAGTTGTGGTTTGAGGTTAAAGGAGCTTTCTGGTAATATGTCATGTTTTCTTCCTCCAGGATTCACCAGATAAGCCCGGCTCTTCTGAATCATTCATAGACATAAGAACCAAACAAGAGAAGAAGAAGCAGATAGAACCAGGACAAGAATTCAACGAGAGATTCTAAACCCAAGTGTTTTAAAACAGAGAAAGTAAAAAACTAACCTTGATGATTTCGTTGCTTCCTAGCTCTTGAAGGAGACTAAACCCAAGTGTTGAATAGCTATGAGAAGCCATTGAGAAAAACGTGGCTTCTTCTTTGTTCTCTTCTTCGTCACAAAACCATGGAAACAAATAAGAAAAAGCTTATCGTCAGCAATCTCACCTATATATGCGTCAGATATTATTAGATTTGTGTAAATCTTTTCTTTATTCTGTTTTGGCTGGTGACCAAAACACACATGAGGTTTTAAATATTTACTTTTTGAGGCCCTTATTAGTTATTACTTGAATTAGCAAGAACAGACCCAATCTTTTGAATAATTACATAAGTAAAGCTTTTGTTTGTTATATTCAAAATTAGCCCCAAAGATCATTAGGGTCTACTCGACATAGAGAAGTTCTAAAGTCCTCAAATCCCGCAAAGCTTTTTCAGCTTCTTTGTTGAATTGCGAGAGGAAGAAATCAGCAGAGAAAAAAAATGGTAAATTTGAATACTTTCTTCGTCTTTCCTGAACTTGAGTGTTGGCAATTGTTTTGTTTGACCTAGAAAAGTTTTCTTCTTTCTTCGTAATTATTCGTGGGTGTGTTTCTCTTTTAGCCAATGGTTCTAGGGTTCTTGGAGATTTCGGGTTTTTGGTTTCCGATGATGATTTAGGTTTTTGGTTTCCGATGATGATTTAGGGTTTCTCGTAATGGGTTTTGATTGTGTTTGTTCTCTGGTGCAGTTGTTCTTTTCTTACTTCAAGGATTTGGTTGGACAAGAAGTGACGGTTGAGCTGAAGAACGATTTAGCCATAAGAGGAACTCTTCACTCAGTTGATCAGTATCTGAATATCAAGCTCGAGAACACTAGGGTTGTTGACCAGGACAAATACCCTCACATGGTAAATTTTCTTTCTTTTAAGCGATTTCTCCCAAGAATTGGGAATTTAGGGTTTATTGGAGCAGCCCATGATTTTCTTGTTCACTTAGGCAATCTTTTCTTTGTTTTGTGTGCTTGAATTGTTCTTTAGTGGTTTATATTTCTGTTTGACATTATCTTGAGATAGATAACCACTGGACTTGATCTCACTCGCTAGTTTCTTGTTGTTTCGTATTGTAAAATATCACTTATGAACTGATGAATTCGAAAGCTTAATGCTTGGCTCTTGCAGATGTCTTTAAGCCATCACTCTTTCTTTTTTTCCCCACTTACATTTGCTCCAAGCTTGAAAAGCTTTAAGGTGATATTGATTAGATTTACAATCGCAAAGGGATGATTTGAAGTGATAAGTGGTTCTGATTGACATATTTGATTGAGATTGCTGCTTGTGTACTGCAATTTGTCAAGTTTACTCAGAATTACAATAGATTTGCAATATGTTTGCAGAACCAATTTCAATGCTTTTAGCTTTCATTTTGGTATTTCTTTGGCACTGTACTTATTTATCTTGTCACACTTTAAGAATCTTGTCAAATTGTACCGATTTCGCTAGAATCTTCCCGATGATGTTTTTAGCTTACATATTTGTGTGTGTTGTCTTGTGTAGCTTTCAGTGAGAAACTGTTTCATCAGAGGATCAGTGGTAAGGTACGTGCAGTTACCTAAAGACGGAGTTGATGTTGATTTGCTTCACGACGCCGCTAGAAGAGAAGCTAGGGGTGGCTGATTCTGAAAAGTCGTTGTATCTCCAAAACTTAAATACTTTTCATTTGGTGTAATGGCTTGATAATGAATGTTTTCCTGATGTAGAGCCTATGTTATGGCCATGAATCTTGTTTCCATTATCTTTACCAAAGGATCATCTAACTTTGTTCCTCATTCGATGAAAAGTTTATTTAAAACACATAGAAACTCCTTCATTCTTGTCATTACTTTAGTTTCCTCTTCCTTAGATGAAGCAAACAGAGGAAAAACATATAGACTCAGTAAGAAGGAACTGATATAAAGCAATATGAGTACTTGTCTGCATAGCAAAATGATCCTTAACTCTTGTCATTAATTTAGTTTCTTCTTACTTAGATGAAGCAAAGAGAGGAAAAACATATAGACTCATATAAAGCAATAGGAGTAATTGTCTGCATAGCTAGTGTAACGCTTCATAGGATTTGTATCCATGTACGGTCTGGTTTGCCAATAGGGGAAAGGACCAGCTGCAGCCATAGGAGGATATGCTGCAGCCATAGGCGGATATGGTGAAATGTGAACACCATTGAACATTGTGGCTCGAGGCATGGATTGGTATGGATAAATTGGACCACCACAAGGTCCACAACCACCATATGGTCCATACATCGCTCCCATCGAAAATGGGGGATAATGGCTTCTAGGGGCTGCGGATATGGGCCACCGGTTTAAAGGATTGGGTCCACCATGGTAGATCATCGATTTAGCGGTGTAACACGGCGGGTTAACATCATTTTTCTCACTTACCAAGTCCTTCTTTTTACCAACATCCTTCTCTTTCTTTGTACTTGAGTGTTGCCATGTGAGGATGCTCTTCTTCTTCTTATCCTTCTGATCTGTTTTTTCATGTGATCCTTTTTCCTCATTGGAATCTTTTTTCGGATTCTCACTCTCTGAAACTTTCTGTTTTTCTTTCACATCCTCTTCACGAGACTCTTCTGTTCATCAGAAAGGCAGAAACTTTAAGATTTGTGAAGATAAGTTAGAAATCTTCTGATAGGTTAAACCACTAACCTTCGGTTTTCTTCGAGTTCTTCTTCTTTATTGCTTTAACCTGACACTTTGAGCAGCAACCGTCGTTCATTTTTCAGATCACGTTCCTGCTGCTTTCAAAGAAACTTGAAGAATTTTTGGGTTTTACTTATAGAATCGGTTATGTAATTGCTAAAGATTATAAACCCTAAGCAATCCATATCTTATCCTATCTACACAAAATGAATAAAGATTATATCTTTATGCTCTTAAATCTTGAGGAAAATCTTCTTTCCATATATACAATGAACGTACTCTTTTGAATCCATAAAAGGCAGGTTTCATCACCTCGTATCAGAACGAATAATGATCACTGATTTGAGGAGATACAGTATTAAGCTTTGGATACAAGCAAAAGGCACAAGTGATGTTGCTATATCAGATATTGTGGAAGTCATTGATTTAATTGAATATTCTTATTGGAAATATGACAACACAGTAACATATACAAAGATCATAACTTGAGTTCTAAGCAGTAGCATTGATGGTTTCAAAAAGGGTACAACTGTACGGCTCCATCTCATACACAATCAGTTGCTGCAGCTGTTCTTCTGCTACAACAACGGTCTCTCCTTCGACAGAGAAAAACCCCGGGAAAGGAAGAGCTGTGTCGACCAATCGTCTCCATTTGCTTCCATCCGGAAGTGAAGGTAAGATTACACTCTCCGGATGATCACTTGCATTGAATCCGATGAACAGATCATTGCTCTTTGGCTCAGTTGGCTCAACCAGTGACGCAGTTTCCTCTTCCTCTGACTCTGATTTGATCTCCAATGCCAAAAACTTAGAAGTAGGATCTTCCCACTTTGGAGTTGTTTGGTCATTTGCATACCAAACAATATTTTCAGGTTTCAAAAAGTTTCTCCTCTGAAACACATCGCTTCTTCTTTCTCTTACTGAAGTCATGAAGGAGATGAATTGCGTGATCTGTGTACCGAAAGCCGAAGCTAGCAAGTTCCAATTAAAAGGTTTCCGTGATTCCAACAAAGGCGAGCCCTTTATCGAGATTCCACATTCATCTCCCATGTTAAGCACTGGAATTCCGAGTGATATGTACTGTATAAACAAGAAGTTGCGGATTTGCTTTAGCCTTCTTTGAAGAACAGCTGATTTATTTGTTGCTCCTTCTTCCCCACAATTCCAACTTAGCTCTGAAGCTAGCTCAGGGCCACTGAAACTGACTAAGTCAACAAGAGAGAGTCCTGAGTTTCTTGAAATGTAGTTGAAGGAGAAAGCCGGACCTCTTCCATCGGTAAATATGTCACCACTTCCACATATTCTTGTAGCCAGATCGCTAAGAACACCTCTTCCCCTCAGAAAATTTCTTACATTTCGACAATATCTTGTGTTGAGTTCTGCCCATTGCTTCCAATGCGGGAACCGTACTTCTTTTGGCATCATTTCAAGTGGATCCCAGCAATCAGAAATTAGTTTGGTTTCCGCAAGAAGTGGATCGAAAGTTATTGCTTCAACCAAGGGAGGACGAGAGAGCTGTTCACCGTGAACGCCTCTCAAGAGAGACGAAGCATTTATGAAACAAAAACCATCTACATGAAACTCGGTAACCCAATAACGCAAGCTCTCCAAAATCAACTGCTGAACAACAGGATAGTTACAGTTCAAGTAACTTTTATAATCTAGATCATTGGCCCTTCCCTTGTAATAATAGCAACTGTCATCAATTCCATGAAGAGCTCCAGAATCAGTGGTATGTGTAAAAACTACTTCCAAAAGTACCTCTATTCCCTGACTGTGCAATTTCTTCACCATCTCTTTCATTGAGTTAACCGCGGATTCAAGGCTATTGGAAGGTCCATATATGTCCATTGGTGAAAAGAAATGAAATGGAAAATAAGGACCTTTTTGCTCGGAGAACGAAAATATTGGCTCCAAGAGAACACCGTTGACTCCAAGGGTTTTCAGATGGCTAACTTTCTCAGCTACACCAGAAAAAGTCCCTGCTACGTTACTAGGCAACTTGCTGGATTTGTGTTGTGTAAAACCCTTCACATTCAACCGGTAAACAATAAGTTTCTCCAGAGGTATATTCGGAGACACATCTTCTCCCCAATCAAAAGAAGGGTTCTTAAATAAACTTCCAAGAAATTTCTGAGAGACAGATTTACCAATGACTGTGGCATATGGATCCAAAACAATTGGCTCAGCTTCAACATCGACATCTTCTTCCGAGTGAGCCGTCTCCTTGCAACGGTAGCCATATCTCACAAAATCCCATGTATTGTCAATTGAAGCATGCCAAACATCACCTGTTCGGTTGACATAAGGATCGAGATCAAGCTCTAAAGCAGGTTTATTGGTTGTGGTATCATCATACAAGCATAAAACCACGTTCGTTGAGTTTCTTGAAAAGAAGGCAAAATTCCAAGAGTCATCATCTGGCCCTGAAGAAAGGCCTAACGGCAATGGATGACCAGCAGTAAAACCAACCGGGATACAGAAGTCAGTGTCCCTGTGTGTCAGCATTTCTTGACCGTCCGGATCTCTTCCTGACACTAACTTCAAGTGAAATGATAGGTAGAAAGGCGATTCTTTCCCATCAAATTCTAGCCCTAGCATTAACTCAGACAAGGAGCTTTTCACAAATGGAGTTTCTGTTGTGTGGGTTTGTGAGTCTTGGGAAGAGTTTTCGAAATCCAGAGGCAAAAAACAGGAAGAATCAGACCTGTAGACACCCCAAACCATCACCAGTCTACTCTTGTCATCACCAGTTAGTTCCAAAGATGAGACATAAACCATAATGCTGTACTTTTCTCTCTTCTGTTCAACTTTAACTTTAACAAGAGCACCAGATTTTGTCCTGAATGAATATGATGTTACCTTCTTCAGGTCATCAACCTGAGCTCTTTTAGTAGACAATGCCTCTCTCAGCTCGATGGAAGTCTTCGAAGCACATATCTTACTCAACTGATAACTTTTTAACGCGCTAGTAACCAAATCCCCCATGAAACGTTTTCTTGTAAACATCAGTGTCTCTGATCCAAGTTTAATCTTGTTCTTACCAGTAAAAAACCTTGCAGAAGGAAACTTCCATGTTCTAGTGACGCCCTTATTAAGACAACAAGATCATATCCCAACTGATGGTGACCAAGCAGCCATTGTTTAGACAAAGCACCAAAAACTTTAGCAATCCAGGTGATGAATATCCCTGTTAAGAACACAGATCAAACCCCAAAGCTCTTTATTAAGATTGAATGATAGAAAACAGAAACCAAATCACTCAATGAATTTCACAAGCGAAACTATATCCCGATAAATAGAATCAACAAGAACAAGACGTCTCAGGATCAGGATAAATCGAAAGACTACGAAATAATAGAAAAAAAAAATAAGGAACACAAGAAAGCGTAAAGAAGAGACAAACGTCGTAAAAAAAGTCGAGCTTACTGTCGCATAAGCATCATCACCGCCATTGAAGCAAAAAACTGAGCTTTAAAATGGAGAATTTCACAATGATTGAAACAGAGATATCTAACACTACCCATCTGATGAATTGAGTGAGTGTCCATGAGTGTATGATTTGATTTTTATTTTGGATGAAACTGAAAGGTTTTGTCTGGTTCCTTCACGAACTCTCACACTCACCTCACGCGCCTACAAAAACGGTCTTTAGCGATTGCAACATAGACACGCGCGTAAGGTGCGTCTGGGAGTGAACGAGGAGTGATCTTATCTGGGCCGAGCCCATCAACCCAATAATTTGAAAAGTACGACAAATGTAAAATTTAAGACAGAAGTGAGCTGAGCTGTTTTCACTTCCAGAGTTTAAGAGTGGAGTGTTCCGTTTTAAGGTGTGTCTGTGAAGAAGAAGAAGAAAGAAGAAAGGGCGCGTTTTTACTATTTTTGTTCTTAGGGTTTTGTTTCAGAGCCAAAACATTGGTTGTTTTTCTGTCAATGGAGCAAACGATTTTCAAAGATTGTGAAGTTGAGATCTGTTCTCAAGAAGAAGGGTTTAGAAACGCTTGGTACAGAGCAATTCTGGAAGAAACCCCAACGAATCCGAATTCGGAAAGCAAAAAGCTTCGTGTTCGTTATATGAACTTGCTCAACAAAGAAGGTGCGTCTCCCCAAACGGTCGAACAGGGGTTTATCCGACCAGTCCCGCCGGAAAATCTATACAACGGCGTCGTTTTAGAGGAAGGAACGGTGGTTGATGCTGATTACAAACAAGGATGGTGGACCGGTGTTGTGAAAAAGAAAATGGAGGACGGGAGCTATTTGGTTTACTTCGATTTTCCACCAGACATTATTCAGTTCGAGACAAAGCATTTGCGAGCACATCTTGACTGGACCGGTAAGGAATGGGTACGACCAGAAGTTAGGGAACTGAGTAAGTCCATGTTTAGCCCCGGGACATTAGTTGAAGTAAGTTGTGTAATAGATAAAGTTGAAGTTTCCTGGGTTACTGCAATGATAGTTAAGGAGATTGAGGATAGTGGTGAGAAGAAATTTATAGTGAAGGCATGGAATAAACACTTGAGATGCAGTGTTGATGAGGCAAAACCAAAAATGACCGTTGATTCACGCTGTGTTAGGCCTACACCGCCTCCTTTTTCGGTTGAAGAGTATGACTTGCTTGATTGTGTAGAGGTGTTGTTTCATGGTTTGAGTTGGCGTCAAGGGGTGGTGATGGGAGTTCTCACTGAGAAACAGTACATGGTTAGGTTAGAGGCTACAAAGGATGACTTGGAATTGAAACACTCGGATCTTAGGCCTTTTAAGGTGTGGGAAGATGGGGTTTGGCATAACGGACCACAGCAAAAACCCGTAAACGAAAGTCCTTCCAAAGACATCAAACAGAAGCCAATGTGCTCTTCTCCTGGTGCTAGGCCAATGGCTACAAAACATACGAGAAGATCTCTAAATCCTGAGGAAAATGGCGAGACATTCTCTGTAGCTGAAACTGTTGCTGCCACTGGAAAGAAGGGGTCGGGTGCTGTGATGAATGACAATATTCCTCCGGTAATAATTTCGAAAGTGACATTCATAGCAGAAGAATCTGTTTCATTTGTAACACCGTTGAAACAAAACGCTGAAGGAATGAAATCTCCTGAGAAGACACTTGAGCCGATGAGGAATCAGAATAGCTTGGGAAATGATTCAACTCAACAGAAGTTGCCTGAGGAGGAGAATAGCAAAGATGGGAGCAGAAAAAGGAAAAGAGAAGAATACCTGAATGAAACTGATGGGACATGTAATGGTTCAGAGGCTGAGATAAGTGATACAGGTAAAATTATCTGCAACAATGATGATGCTGATGATCAGCCATTCTCTACTGAGCTATCCTCTTATCAGAGCTCAAGTGTGGTGCATAGTTTTGCTTCTCCTTTTGAAAAGAAGTTGCCGTTTTGGAAGACATATGAAACAAATGAGTTGTACAAATCAGTACCACAAACTCCTCATTTCAGCCCGTTGCTCAAGGCTAAAGAAGATATTCGCGAATGGTCAGCGGTTGGTATGATGGTGACTTTCTATGGTTTATTAGAGGAAGTTAAACATCTGCAGCTCGATGATTCCTCGAGCAAACTAAGTTGCCTCGCTAGTTCTTTTGCGGAGCTCGAGAAGCACGGTTTTGACGTTGCAAATCCACAGTCACGGATCAACAAATTGTTGGCTTTCCAAGATAAGCGAGCAAAGAAAGCAGAGGAAAGAAAATGTCTTGAGAAGAAGATTGAAGCTAAAGAGATCGAAAGGCAGAGGTTTGAAGAAGAATTGATTGAGTTTGAACGCATAATGCTTGATATGAAGAGACAAGCATTGGTTGCCAAAGAGAAGAAAGAAGCGACGGAAAAAAGGATTGTTGAAATGAAGTCACGTGCAGAAACCATTGATCAGGAGATTAAAGATGAGGAGCTTGAGTTTCAGACAAGTAACTGTCTCGGCTCCATGGTAATAAGATAAAGAAAACAAAAGTATGGATGACATCTAAGCTCTATCTATATTTTGGGAAATGAAAAATTAGAGTAGATGTATGTAAAAACAGTTATCTACAATCTTTATCTCCGTATGGTTATTGTTAATGCTTTGTTTAGGCTAATCTTATTAAGATTAACTATGAGAATCATCTTTTGTAGATCTTATGATGAATAGAATCAACTTAACAGGTTTCTGAATCATTTAATATCCCTTTATAAATTTCTTTTACTAACTTTTTTCTTTATTTGAAAAAAAAGACATTGGCTTTGTTAAACAACCACGAATAGACTGAGAAAATTCATAGGTCCATAATCTGGTTTGAGTTTCAGAAGACTGAGAAAATCCATATAGCTCATAACTTAAATAAAGCTAGATCCACATGCAACCCCCGATCCAAGTTGTGGTCTAAAAAAGTAGGAAACAAATCCATTTATTCTTTAGCATTTAAGAACCCTCTATGTACAATAACTTTATTCTTCAGTACCAAACAACTTGTTCGGTCTCCTTGTCAAAGATGTCCCAACCATCTTCAAGAAGATCTCTACAATCATCTTTCTCTTTGTTCATGAAGGAAGCTGCTGCTTCTGGGAAGTTCTTGTTGCTTGAGGTTTCAGGCACTCCATTCAATCGCTCAGAAGGATTCCCGAGCACCAAGCTTCTCATAGATGATCCGCATGAACTAGTGAGGCTTGAGGAGATTAAATTGGTTAATTGCACTCGGTTTTCGAATTTCTCTTTCAACAGCTTCACATCTTGACAGATCACAGAAATTTCTCCTCTGCTCAAAGAAGCAAGAGAGGTTAAAAATCCATTTAATATAGCAGATCATTACGAATATCCGCAGTAAAAATTGCTAAATGATTCATGGGTTTTCTAAATAAATAAACCAATGTACGGTTAGTGGGACGAGAATGGGACTTACTGTAAGGAATCAACGATCTGACCACGATCCATAAGAAACTCTCGAAGCTGCAGGCCGAGAAGACGAAGAAAAAAAGATATGAGATTGAGAAGAATTTTGAGTTTAGAGGAAACTCATCGCTAGTGTTTGTAACAGTGATTGTACCTTGGAATTTTCCTCTGCCTCCTGCTGTAGAAGCTTTGATTCTTGGACCACTTTCTCCATGTTGGCTTCTTGCTCAACAAGTGCCTGAAGTGCAGAATCTTCTTTGTTTTTCTTTTCTTGCTCAGCAGTCTTTTTCATCTCAAGTGCTGTCGCTAGTCTTATTTCGAGACTTCCTCGCATCTACAAAGAAACACAATTAGATAAATCTCTGTACAGTGTGAAACAGAGGCAGACAACTGGTCATCTAAGTTTCGTTTTAAGAGGGGGAAAAAAAACACAAATCTTTATAATCAGCAGATGGAAACATACCTCATCAAGGATAGTAAGAGATTTGTTTCGTTCTTCTGATAAGTTGAGCAACCGGTTTTCAAGCTCTTTCACTTCAGTGGCCAAAATTGACTTCTCTCCATATACTTCTCCAGCATGCTGAAACATCAAGGTATATTAGCTCTAATTACAAAATCAAGCACCTTTAACAATATGTATTGGCCCATTATAGGTAACAATGTTACCATGTCATTTGCTTCCTTTGCATGTTCCAGCATCTTCTTGAGCTCCTCGACCTTTTGAAGAGTATCTAAACCTCCCCTAGCAGCTTCCTCCTTTGACTTCTCTGCATCCTTCTCTTGAAGTTCAACTTCTCTCATTAAATTCGTAACCGTTTCCATCTCAGTAAGCAAGGTTTTCTACATCATTGCACAACCAAAACAAATACATGAATAATGGGTTCCTTCAAATCTACCAAAATGCAGATAAGTAACTAGAAGTTGTAGCCCTGGGTCCAGCTTTTCGGACCTCTGCACCAGTGGAAACAACTCAATGTACATAAACGAAAGAAATTTTTTTTCACAGGCTTAAAGAATGCTAAGATTATGTGCCATACCTTGTTACTTTTGGCATCCTCAATAATCTCTTCAAGGTGATCAACGCTGCATACATGGGTTGATGTGCTAAAAGTATCACCTATTTCAGTATCACCATTTTCAGAGACCAATGAACGATTTGAAGTCTCGTCCACAAGATTTGTACTCCCAGAGTCAACTTCAAAACATGAACCCTGCTGTGTAGTTGTCGTAGTATCCCCAGGAGTTGAATCGACCAGCTTCGATACAGCATTTTCTGCTTGATTCCATGTCATACCAAAACAAAGATCTTCCCAAAAATCGCTAGTCAATTTAATATTATCTAGGGAAATGGCAGAGACGACTGAGGCGATATCATCCTCTGGCACAAGCAAGCCAAGTTTTGCATTGCTCTTAACATCAAAACACCTACCAAAGAAATCATAGTTTCCGTGCTCTTTTCCACGAGCCTTTTTCAAAGATTGAACTTCCTCACTTTCCAGGTCTTTATGGCAAACATCAAGACCAACATTTGGTTGCAAATTTGTTGGCTCGTTCATATTTGAGACCAGATCAGTACTTAGAGCACGGGTATTGTGGTCACGGACAACAACCAAGGGAAGAGTTTCTGAAGAAGAGGAAGAACAAGAAGAAGAAGTGCTGGGCTTTGAACCAGAAGCTCCAAGAAAAGGGCGGCACCTAGAAACAACATCTTCCAAACCACGTTCTACTGCATATTAAACAAGCATTTTATCAACATTTGCTCTCTGAAAATAGAAAAATAAGAAACCTCAAGCTGTGAATGTGCAAGCCAGAGCAACAAACAGCTCACAAAATGGTTATATTCCATGGGCTATATAAGTTGTACCTTCGCGGTCTGAAATACTTCCAGATGACTTGTTGGAAGATTGAGTAAGATTATGAGACAAATTTGAGGAAAATGAAGGAATAATCTCTGAAAGAACCACAGCAGCAGCTTCATCAGCATCCTTGGGGTGTTCGATTGCAACAGCCCTCAAAATTCGTGCATCAATCTGCAGTGGAACATAATATATATTGTGGTTTGGATAAGACTAGAGAAGACATGACTTCTATATGACAACACAAAACAAAAGATGATTCAGCCAAAATAAAAATATGGTGTCCAGTGAAACCATTTGATCAAACTAATATATCCAATGGCACACCAGTAATTGAGTGTTACGATTTCATTGCTAAAGTTGTATTAAATCAAATAAGAGATCAGTTTTTACCTGAGGAAAGATTTCGGTTAGAGATCGATAAACAGAACCGAAACCCATGAGTGAAAGTTAATACACTCTGCAGAAAACAAGCAAAATATTATTTATTGATTGATGCAAAGAAGACTGAAATATAATAACTTTGTCTGCAAATATTTTATCATATAAGTATATAACTAACAAAGCCAACGAAAAAGGAAAACATTACAAGCCCCTTGTGAAAACCTTAAAGCTCATGGACGTGTTAGTTACTTGCGTACATCAAATAACCCTAAATTTTGTTTATGCAGAAAAAAGAGATACACTATCATACAAGTGCAGAAGACAAAAGAACAATTATCCAAAAAGTACAAATTCAGTATCACCTAATTAAGTTTTCTAAAATTGAAGAACGGAGATTCCAAAACCTAATCAACAAAAAAAAAAAAAAAAAAAAAAAAGAGATAAACCTAGCCGTCATAATCATCAACGGATCATGAAAAGATCAAACTATAATTTTTAGAAACGATCACAAATCATCAAAAAATATACACACAGGAAAATCAAATTATATTTCTTAGAATATTTAATTACCAGAGAAAAACGAAGAGAATACAACAAAACCTTTAGCAAATATTCGATTTTTGAGGCAAGTAAGAGATCAGAAGCGAGAGCTGTGAGGAGGAAGAAGTATAATTTTTGCTCCGTCTCTTATGTTAAGACTTGAGGACTAAGTCGTGCTGTAGGTGGTGGTATCGTAATTTTGTAGCGTATCCGAGGGTATTTTGGTCAAGATCTTGACTTTTTTGTCGGCTAAGATTTATAGAGGTCCATGCAACAAACCAATTGGCAATGGACAAATATTAAGGAAAGTACCTTAAATTATGATTGGCTTGTGGTTTATTTTATTTACAAAAATAATTTAATTGTCTTTTCCAATATTTTTCTGGATGAAACAAATGAACGTTATGTGTGTGAATCTGTTCATCTAATTTACGGAAAATTTTTATTAACAAAAAAAAAAAAAAGAGAGATAAATTTGAAAATACACAAACTATCACCACATGTCGAATATCGCCATAAATATTTCTGACAGACTTAGAGCATCTCCAATGGTGAGAGCCTTCCATGGGCTCTCACCATTTTTTTAAGATTAAAATTTTTAAATTTATGAGATGAGAGCTTTTGTAAATTTTGCAAAGTCTAATGGTAGGCTCTCTTTGTGGGGTTCTCAGGAAAAAATTAAATTATTTTTTTAATTATTTTATTTCATAAATCTGAAAAATATTATTGCAAAATTGAAAATAAATATATAAAAACATAGGATTTGGTGTATTGAATTTTTGAAAAGAAGGATAAAGAAGAGACAAGTGAAGTTTGGTGTTTAATTAAGTCTTGATAAACACACTTCATCAAATTTTTGTGTTTTGGTTATGTAGAGAAAAAGAAGATATGGATTCAAGTCATGGTTTTGTGGTTGATGTAATGTTTTGTGCTAGTTTGTGTGATATATAGCACTATGAAAAGAAAATAAAGAAAAATTCATCACTAATATCAAATATTTTACACACCAGAAGTAGCAAACTCGTAAAACACAAAGTTTTTCGCTACAAATGCATCACATATAAATGGAGTGTTGACAGTATAAGGGGCAATACAAATGCAAGTGGAATGTAGAAAGTGTTTTATATAGCAGAATAGCTGTAGTCAACAGTATCATCATTGGAGGAGGAAGGAAGAAGACTTAGCAGAAGCAGTGAGTACCACAAAGGTACCAAAGAGAATAGTGATAATGGCCGTGAAGTTGAGGAGAAGCAGTGAGTACCACAAAGGACCATGTTGCCATGTCAAACGATTCTTGGTGTGTGCTGCTACTTCTCCATCTTCAATGTGTAAAATTGAACAGACATATCATTGATCAGTCTTTGATTAGACAAAGCACACACATACTACACTATTGCTTTACTTTCTATAGTTTTTATGTGTGAGACCCAAAATGACAATCCCTGAAAAAAATCATCACACATAAGAGTTTTTAAGTCTAAAAGATAGCCTCAACATTTCTGCAAACATAGCCAATCATCACAGATAAGAGTTTTTAATTCTTGTAACAACAACAACAATAAAGAACTCTTTAGTAGATCAGCATCATATACCTCTTGTTTCCATCAAGCACTTCTTTCACGTTTTCCGCCAGCTCATCAAAATCTTTCCGGTTAGCCTCTGGGAGTATAATCATTTTCACTTGACTCCGTCTTGCAGCTATAGTCTTCTTTTTCACCTGACAAAGAGATATTTTGTGTATTACAATGAGAGCTTAGTACAAGAAAGTGACAACAAATCTTGCAGCAAATCTTAACCACACTCACTTCGGACTAAAAGGAAAAGGAATTACCTTGCAGCATGAAACTAGATCATTACCATGCCAGTTTGATCAATGTCAATGAATAAGCCATAGGGCTCCACACGTTTGATTCTCCCAATAATCATATCTCCAACATGGAATTTCTTTAAGTCATATGATTCAGATTTTGGCTGCCCACCAGCATTTACTGTCTTCAAAGTTTGAAATTAACATAAGTTCTACCATAAGGAAAGTAATAGGTTGCAAAGTCATGGTAAGAGTTGGCATTACGTTCTCCTGCAATAGAAGCCATCATTATAAACATGAAAAAGCAAGCCTTTGCCTGCAAACCTTGCAAGTTTCAGTATAAAGATGACTTCTCCAACCTTAAATTGCAAGCCATAAAACAATTGCTCAGCCAAGAACAAATGAGTTTCAAACCAAGAACTAAGCCATCGAGAACATCTCAAGTAACAAGAAAGAGAGATCCTTAACAACGAAATTTCTACCAAAAATACAAATTTGAAATCAATTCATTAGAAAGGATTCCGGAAATCGATAACGTATCAGAAACGAAAATCTCTGATCTATAATGTTTCCGACCTTAATTAATCCACCTGCGGCCTCTCCATCTTCCCTCAATCGTCGCCGGCGGCCTTAATCGTAACCTCAATCGTCGGAGAAAAGGCATCGCCATCGCCTTCGCAAAGAAACAGAGAGAATAGTCGGGAAATGATATATTTCGGCTACTCTCATTCTTTTTTTTCTACGCGTTTTTTTTTTTTGATCAAAAACAATCGACGGCTGAGAGAAGGCCACGTCGTCGGCTCTCATGGTACTCAAGATTTTTCTCAAGAGAGACAGCTCTCTTCTTAATTCACAGTTTTGATTTATTTTTCAAAAAAAATTTCAAGAGAACCTACAAAGAGAACCTGATAATGCATCCATTGGAGATGCTCTTATAAAACAACAACACTTGTAAATTGGACTTTGGTCCAAAACCATTTTGTTTAACAGATATATTAACCTTTCGTCTGCTTCGACAAGTACAATATGAGAAATTTGGTGTAGCTGATGAGATACTAAAAGTCATTAGTGTACATGAGAATTCACAATCGACCACTTCTTCATTCTATGATCAATGGTTGATCCATTTGCTTTCAGCCTTCTTCCCAATCGATGTCGTCTTCCTCTTCTTCTTCTTCACCACCCGAAGCTTCTGCTTCCACATTCAAGTCCACCTTGTAGTTTCCATTAGCTGCAAGTGAATAACATGTTAAGTTACCAAATTGAGCATCATGCACCCATGACAGACCTGTGTAATCTAACTTATATAGTTAAATATTAGCATGTCTTAACAAGTATCTTCTTGTTGAAGCTCTGCAATTTCAATATATACTCTAAAGACTAAACAAGGTTCCATCTAACTAACTGTGCGTCGTAAGTGATATGGAAATGAAGTAAGTATGTAAACTCAAACTGACCTGCAACAGGAGCCTTTTCTTCCCATTCAACATCTTCTTCATCTTCGTCTTCATCTTCTTCTTCACGTTTGGCCTTCATACTAACCTGACGACCTGAGGATGTAGTACCCAACTGGATGTCAGAAGCTGATTCCCCAGCGGATTCTTGTTGATTTCGTCTTGCAGCAAGCTCTTGCTGCTTCAGAAGTTCTAAGTAGTAAGCTTTGAGATACTCATCCTGAAGCAAAATGAAAATACTGTATCAAGATTCTTGAAACATATCCAGAAGATGCTACTGTGGGAGTCTAAATAGATACAAAGGATTTGTCCCCAAAAGCATGCCTTCAAATCCTTCTCATCTCCATTTCCACTGGCTGATTTCTTGTCTTCTGAAAGTTTTGCTGCTCCTCTTGAGCCACCATCAACCTTTGCTTCCTGTCTCATCTCTCCTCTTTGTTCTTCGGTCAGATTCATTCCTTCCTTGATCATCCATGGAGGCAAGACTTTCAGACTGGAATCTCCACCTTTAGATTTAACATCTTCGTTTCCATCGCCAAGGTTAACCTCAACCTAACCATGTAAGATTTAAGAAATCAACTAACCACAATGAAAGAGGAAAAGTGCAGGGAATTTTTGCAGATGTATAAGTAGTGATCACCTTTGTCTCTCCGAGAAATGGCATTGGTGTTGAACCATACCCACTCTGTGACCTCAAAGGATCATTAGGGTTAAGATCACCATTCGCGCGAGCAGCCATAGCTGCACGAGCCTCCCATGCCAGAAAAGATCCAAATTCAGGAATTGGTAGGTCTTTTACTCTATTTAACTGATCCATCAGAGGTTTCATTTGAACCTGCATTTTATACTCAAATTGTCTCAACGCACAAACTATATAACTAAAGCCAGAATACAAGAAAACACAATCAAGCAAAATAATCGCTAAAAAACAGCAAGGTATAAACCAACATCACAGAGGCAAATTTCTGCAACTGTCAACTTCAAAGTAAGTATGAGATGATGTCGAGAATGAGCTACTATATCAGCATGGCTAAAGTAAAAGTTACGCGTGAAAAGAGGATTGCAGTGGGAAACAATACTCAATTCCTAATAGAGAATATAAGCCATGAGACTGTTGCAAAAAGAAAAAATAACATTTCCTTATCAAAAGTAACCATGAAAGCTACAGACTCTTATTTGCAATCTCAAACATTGGTCATTTAATATCTGATCTCCAGGAATACTAAATCAAATCATAAATCATTCTGGTATCATCTTGAAAATATCGAACGATGCAAAGCTTCAGTGAGGCTTTATCAAATTTTCTAGAATATTGAGGCACTAAAACAGTATACACATACCTCCAACTTCTGAAGCATATTTTTTAGTTTTTCCCGCCGCCGTCTCCTAGCATTATCATCTCCATCAACAACTTCTTCGGAAGTTAGCTTGTTACATTCCACAACAAGTTCACCATTGCAATTTTCACAATGAAAAGAATCGTCTTCCATAGAAATTAATCTCAGAGCATCCAGCGCATTATATCTAAATCAGAAATGAAAATTTATTCAACTTTAGTGAACATAATACAACTTTCATAAGTAAAGATTTTATAAGCACATAAAGAGTAATGGACTTTACTTTCTTTGGCAGTTAGGACAGCCATACTCCTGAACAGTATTCTTATCTTCTAGCTCATCTTTGAGCCTTTTTTTCATCCGATGCAGTCTAAAACGAACAACATCACATATCTGTAAAAAAGAAAAAGCAACTTAACAAGGTATAGGATAGTATGATAAAATAAAATTCTTAAAAAAAAAAAAAAAAAAAAAAGCAAAACAGCAAACTGAACAAAATAATTTAGGGACATGAAGCATGCCTGTGCATAATCGAGACAACAATACGAGTGGGTGTGAAGCTTAACTTTGTCCTCTGCTCGGCCATCAGTTGTAGCAGCCACTGCAGCACTATACATCTTTGCCCCCTTTGCAGTCTATTGAAAAGATTTGAGAATCAATAAAGCAACAAAGTAAAGAAGTGGTAAAGAATTAGAGATAAGCAAACATTTGAACCAAAAAATGTAGAACACGTGGTGAAAAAATACAACCACAAGTTTCACAAAGGAAAAATAAAATAAACTATCATTCATTCACACTCATGTTGAATGTTGAATAAACTGTCGTTCTTTGGTTGAATGAGCATCAACCAAAGAACGCAAAACCTGGAATACCCAATCTATCATTCATTCACACTCATGTTCTTCAATCATTGTTATACTCTAGATATTTTATGACAATATGCTATATATCATAAGACTAAAAGAGTCGTTGAGTTGAAAGCTTAGCAAGGGGCATATTGCAAATTAACTGCTATATAACAATCTGAAAGAGCAAAGTTTCTGCACAGACCTCTTTCCGGTGGTCACGCATAATCAACTTTTCTTCTTCAAAGAGTCTTATTATTTTTCGAAGTTGCTTGGCGTGCAATTGCAAATCTTTTGCCAAATCTTCTTCTCTAACCCATTGCCGCCTAGCAGACATAGAACAAAAGAAATAACAGAAATAAAAGTCAGTGAAAACACAGCAGGTTTAAATAGTCAATCTAAGAAATATCAACCCTAAACAGCCAATAATCAAGTTTCAAAAATTATCCTTAAACCCCAGCTGACAGGGAGATGTGAGCCAGTTGCTCAACAAAGCTCATAATGCAGTAGTTACAAAAAGTTGTCTGGAAACTATTGTGACAAGTTTAAATATTATCAATATTCACCTAAGAGACTCTTGGGGTTAAAAAATAGAAAAGATGTACACAAACCTCGCCAGGGCGTCTAGCACCACAGCGGCAATCCCTCTGTTGTCACTTCTTGCAGATTTCTGCTGATTATCGCTTTTCGTAGTATAATCATCATAGAAAGCCCTCGCGACAAGCCTCACCAGCCTAAAAATTAAAGTAAAACAACATAGAAAATGCAAAAACAATTGATAAGGGCACTATTTGAACATATATATATATATATATAAGAAGACTGAAGACAAAAAGTATCGCTATATCTGTGATTGAATAGAAAGAAAAAAAGTTGTATGGTATAGAGAGTTACTTGACAAATGGCTGGAGCACAACGGCTTTCTGCACAGGGCCTGATTTTTCCATGGACTTAACAACCCAAATACTTACATTACCAGTCAAGGAACCAGTATTAGGTTTGTGTTTGATACAAAATCTTCATTGATACAGAGAATAAACCTAAAAAGGATCCATCACCGTATAAGTAACTAACAGAGATTAGCTGTGAAAAACTTAAACACACTAATGCCACCGAGCGTATAAAAGTAACTAACGGAGATGATATTTGCTCCAAAACATAGAAACTACGAGCTCAATTTTAAAACCCAGATCCATCGATGAGAAGAATGACCTCCAAAATCCATCTTTCAAAACAAATCAGCAACAAGAGAGAACTCAGGCAATTCAGAAAATCAAGAATAAGGGTTCGGAAACTGTGAGAGTCCCCAAGGACCACGAAATTAGGGTTTATACGGCAGTGCAATCAACTCAATTCGAAGAAACAATTAGAACCTCACTGAGCAGTGAAGTTTCTACAAGAATGGAGATATCTAGGTTAATCAAAACTATCTACTTATACGATCACTAATCCAACAGGAAAAACGACGAAGCTTACCGGAAAGTTCAAGAGATGGAGAGAAAACACGACGGAGAGGTCTCTGTGTTTTTCCTTTTCTGTCTACCCTTTTGTTTTTTTATTTGGTATTAACATTTACCAATTACCATATATATATATATAGATCAACCTCATTTTAGTTCTCATAGAAATTTCCATAATCAGATTTTTAACTCTTTGTATTTGTAATTACACTAACTAGGAAGTCCACCCGCGCACGGGAAAATGAAAACTTGAAGTAATTAACATTGCTAAATCGTTTAGAGTGGAAACTTGATTATTCTAAAACCACATAAATCTGGGTTTAGTAGTGAGAGAAATTATGAAACCACATAAACGATTAGAAAGGGACACAACCATTTTAAACAGAGATATTTTCGCATAAATTCACATGTTGAAATAAGCGATTAATCATATATCATAACAAATAAGGCGTTTTATGTAAATTTTTTCCATTGGAAAATAATTAAATGCATTTGTAAGAAGATTTAATTTCATAGTCATAAATCAAAGATTAAAGATTTCATCAGCTCAAAGTATTCTTTATCCCTCCTTTATTATTGTTGAGATTTGCGCTCGTACAATTTGGAAACCATTTCTCTTATTTGTATAGAGCATGTTGATAAAGAATTGGATGAGAGATGGAGTGAAACTGTTTTTATTTACTCGACAACTTTCTCACCCAGAACCTGTAATACAATTATCGATCGACTACAACAATGCATTAGACCATGGTCATTTGCCTAAGTGCGTCATCAGGCAGCAAAACTCTAAACACTGCATAATGATGGTTCAAACTCTTTTCCCCTTGAAGTCTATGAACACTCCCGAGACCACCTGCCGTGGGGTTTGGAAAAGCATAGAAAATCCGTTTTATTCTTTGATGCACAAGCGCCATAGCACACCTTGGGAACATATTACGACTTTATTAGATACATAAACTTGCGGAGTTTGAAGGGTAATGTATGTAGAAGCTCACATTGCACAGGGCTCCAACAGGAGGAAAATGTCATAACCAGTGCAGAGGTACGGCCTTTCCATTGAAGGATCTCTAAGAGTCTCTTCTCCGCTGTCACTTTGGACCTATCGGTAACTCAAAAGTGTAAGAAAGAATGCTGTACTAGTCAAAGCACTGGAGGAAATTCAAAACCTTGGTTGGAATGAACTTACGTCTGGACTGTGACTGCTTGTTTTCTGCTTTTTAGCCGGAGAATCTGTATTTGAGGGCTGAACATGATCCTGACCAAAAATCTCGGATGAATTGGGAAACAGATGTCTATCTCTGGCCGAAGAAGATTCAATGGCAACCATGGAAGCATGCCTAAGAGGATTCCATTGGCTACAAATTTCAGTGTCATGCGGCTGCAAACTCCATTGCCAGGGATTTAGACAAGCAACAGCAGACAACGAACAATTCTGTTTTTCAAGTATGCCATTTAAGCATATTTCCCCTGTTTCCTTGAAGGGCCTGGTCCCTGCGCTAGTATTGTCGCGAGGAGCAGATGATGCATATACTTGATCAGTTTCACTAGCTATTATTCGCCTAACTGAAGGATCAACTATCACTGCAGCATTTACAAGCTGAAAAGTACAATAGAAATGTGGTAAATTGAGATCCTTTTCTATGTAATGAATCCGTGGTAAATCTTACTGCCAAGAGAAAAAGGATTGAGGCGCTAAAAAAAGCGAATGGTGTGTGAAAATGAAAATAGATGATTAGGAGACTCCGGTCTATTGTTTAAAACTTCATATCGATGTTATTTAGATCAATAAAAAATACTTACTGGTTTATGACCAGATACTGCCATATCAATAACAACTCTCATGAACTTGCAGATCGATTGTGTATCCTCCTCGCTGAACCCACCGATGCCATCTATATTGCTGTCATTGGCAAATACAAAAAGTAAAAAATCATTGACTGCTGCACTATAAACAAAGACATATATTGCTATCAATGCAAATAAGAGCACTAATAGAAATCATCAAGAAGTAGGATTATTCTAGAACGACTAAAGCTTAGATATTAAAAAGATAAGAAAGATAATGTAGACTCCTTTGGTTACAAAAAAGATCCAAGAAACCAAAAAGCTAACAAAAAGACATGGAGCTTACTAAGTTGGGGGGTGAAAAGAAGTTGGCCATATCTTACTCTGTTCTTCCCACTCTTCTTTTGATACCGCAGCATATTTGCATACCTATCATAGTTATTGCATGAAAATATGAGATTCCACTGAAAATATAATTGAGTGAGCAGAAAGAAATCTTTGACTTGGAATCAAAATGTACAAAATCCTTGAAGAAAATTGTGGTGGGAAAAGAGAAAAGAAACCTACTTGTGTAATAAAAGGACTCAACTCATAGGGATCAACGAGTTTCTGCACATCAGGTGGCATATTGTTCAATTGATCGTGGTGCTCAGGTGCTAGACATAAGATGACAGTCAACTGAGTTTCACCTGCCCAATAAGCTTGAAATCAAAACCTCATAATGTTATGTTTGGTGTATCACAGCGCCAAGAAAACTAACAACGGGATACCGCTATCTGGAAGAATCTTCTTCTTCACCCTTTTAACATGGCGAAGATCTTCTAGAGGAGCAATCTTACATAAATGCCTATCATAGCAAAGTCAAAATCCACTCATTTAAGTGTAGAGTTGGAAAAAAGCTAAGCATGAGATTACAACTGAAAGTCGAAGAAAACTGAGTAAGAGATTACAACTATAAAGTCGAAACAAGAATGACAAACCTGACTATCATATTGGCAAATTTGGGTTTAATTAGACTCGCATATACCTTTACTGTGAACAACAACAACACCCACACACAAAAGAAGAAGTTTACATAAAGAACCTTTGATAGACTAAAAATCCAAAAGGAGAGGCCTTTGAGATTGAATCATTACCAGTGGGCTGATGGTCAGGTGACAATGCAGGCTTTTCAGGTATATGGATGATTTCCCATGCATCTAAATCCATAATCTTTCTGTATTACTTGAGCCTGATTAACATAATTAGCTCAAATTTGAAGAAATGGGGATAAAACCGAGACAAAAACTCCAACTTTCTCAGTGGAGATTGATGACAATTGAAATAAGAGAACTTGCAAAAAGTTTCAACATATAACCAAACACTTTCAATTTCCAGCTTCAATTAGTAGAGTGGTGAGTAAAACCAAGGCTTTTCTAAAACAATTGATAAGGGCACTATTTGAACATATATAAGAAGATTCTAGACAAAAAGTATCGCTATATCTGTGATTGAATAGAAAGAAAAAAAGTTGTGTGGTATAGAGAGTTACTTTACAAATGGCTGGAGCACAACGGCTTTCTGCACAGGGCCTGATTTTTCCATGGACTTAACAACCCAAATACTTACATTACCAGTCAAGGAACCAGTATTAGGTTTGTGTTTGATACAAAATCTTCATTGATACAGAGAATAAACCTAAAAAGGATCCATCACCGTATAAGTAACTAACAGAGATTAGCTGTGAAAAACTTAAACACACTAATGCCACCGAGCGTATAAAAGTAACTAACGGAGATGATATTTGCTCCAAAACATAGAAACTACGAGCTCAATTTTAAAACCCAGATCCATCGATGAGAAGAATGACCTCCAAAATCCATCTTTCAAAACAAATCAGCAACAAGAGAGAACTCAGGCAATTCAGAAAATCAAGAATAAGGGTTCGGAAACTGTGAGAGTCCCCAAGGACCACGAAATTAGGGTTTATACGGCAGTGCAATCAACTCAATTCGAAGAAACAATTAGAACCTCACTGAGCAGTGAAGTTTCTACAAGAATGGAGATATCTAGGTTAATCAAAACTATCTACTTATACGATCACTAATCCAACAGGAAAAACGACGAAGCTTACCGGAAAGTTCAAGAGATGGAGAGAAAACACGACGGAGAGGTCTCTGTGTTTTTCCTTTTCTGTCTACCCTTTTGTGTTTTTATTTGGTATTAACATTTACCAATTACCATATATATATAGATCAACCTCATTTTAGTTCATAAATTTCCATAATCAGATTTTTAACTCTTTGTATTTGTAATTAGCAAAATTTTGGCTTTGATTTTAACTGATAATTGAGTTACCAAAAAAAAACAAAAATTATTGACTTAATTACAACTGTCTGTCTGATTGTGGATAACACGAGACAAGATTTTGTTTGGATTTCAAAATTAACTCATATCATCAAAATCCAATAACACACAAGAAGTAAAAATATGACCAGAGATTAGATTGACCCATATGCATTGCTTAAACGACATGCCATTCACTTACTCATGGGACTATGGGTGAGGCCTTTTGTGAAGTGGCTTACTACACATTAAGTGAACTATAATATCTCTCGATTGAGCATTAAGGAGAATGATGGAAATACATTTCTAGTCCTTGGCCACTTTTGTGCTCATACATCATATCGTTCAAGCTGATCAAACCGGTATGTACCATTTTATTGGTTTAGAATGAAACAAAACTCTTTTGTTTTTCTTATTTTGTTCATTATTTCAACTTTCTATATAGACACAACATACAACAAAGTAAGTGCTAAGAGACGTGACACTGAACCTTAAACCTTATATTACTATCTATCTGATTCTGCTAAAAGAGTCTCTGTGATTTTTGTTGTGTAATTCTTTGTACCTCGTGCTTCTTTCCCAACAAGCTTCTTCACGGTTTGTCCTACCTTGCTTTGAATCTCCTGTACCACACAAGAGAGTCATTAATCACCCACAAGTTTTCAACTTTTATTCAATAAAAGATACCAAAGATTTGATCAGCCAATGTTGCTTGCTTACCGCTGGTGAAGCACGTGTTATGGATGATACAGCTGCTGCTGCAGCTGCCGCCACACGTACCCTGAAATAATGGCAATGTATGATGCAGTTTTACTATTGTAGTGGACCTTATGGTAAGCATTAGAGAAATGACTCAGAAGTAATAAATACCACTACAATACCTTTTATGTACATCGATGTAAACATCAGTTTCATCCACGATTTCTGCCTGCATTTTCAGTAAATCACCAATGGAAAGCTTCTTAAGTGAAATGTATATAAAAAAAATGTGCGTAAAAGAGAAATTTTTGAAGTCGTGATAATGATTAACACGCGCAGAGGATCAAATCAGAAAAGGAAAAACGAGAAGCATAAGATCATACTTGTAGAAGTTCTTCAAAGACATCCTCTAACGTGATGATGCCAATCACTTCTGCATCCTCGTTATCTTCCAACAAACGCGGTAAGTCTCTTGTCACAGTACCGTGCTGTTGGAAATTTCTTCCCCTATTTTTCACATGCTTTGGTACTTTATCAATATCAACAACAACATCATGGGATTCATGCTTCAACAAAGGAGCCGTTAAATTACTACTCTCATAAAACTTCATATTTTCTTTTGGTGTTTCGCCATTAATCAGCAACTGCATGTTATTCATTTTATCTCTGTCTTTAACTTTGACAACTGCAGCCATGTGACTGCTTCCTTTTTGAAACTCATTGAGGATATCGTACAATGGCATGTCTGATGGAACCCTGGAAAGGTAATGTATGGGAACTTATACTTGTTTTCATGTAGAAACATAATATGAGTACGTCAACTTATACTCAGGGAAGCAAGATATACCTTGGGATCTTCCTGATGGAAACAGAACTTACAGGTGCCTCTGTCTCCGCTCGGACAGTTAGAAGACTCTTAACCTAGATAATACCAGCAGATACAGAAATAAGTAATCTAATAGGATTTAGTGAAGCAATGCAAGAGTTTAACAGGAGTACCAATAGAAGCCCAATGATATTTTTCGGATTCCCTAAGTAGACTGGGATTCGGCTATGACCTCGTGACAGTATTTTTCCAATTGTTTCCCTGCATTTAGAAGGTGAAAATTCAGGATTTCAAACCATGCGTTATTATTACTAAGCAGATAGACCAAAGAAAAGAGCTTACTTTTCAAAGACTTGACAGTTGACAGATAGAGAAAAGCAAATTGTCTAAAAAAGGCCAATTCTAACCTTAACTCACCAGTCTAACTTTGTATTTACATCCAGCGAAAATGTTGATTCAATTGGCGTCATAGCTTCCTCAGCAGTCTGAACTTCCAGAAAATGAAAGTACATGAATTAGATCATTAGAAGTAATCTTGAAGTAAAGTATGTTCTGAACTGGAAGGCGAAGAATCAAAGTATATGCACAAAGTAAAGTCATCCTTGGCAACTTCATGTAGCTGAAGAGCTTAAATCCGGATCAATGGCGCATAATAAGTAAATCGTTTCATTCACAACATAACTTGTTCATCAGCATGGCCTCCGGAGGTTTCAGATATGCACGGCTAATTCAAATACATACCTTCTGGCTCAAATCCAGGGCTCCGCTTATAATCATTGTTTCCTCGTGTGTCAGTTCACCCCCCTTACCAGCCTATGTTGGAGATAAAAAGCATGTCAATGGGAGCTGGAAACAATAATACTTTTGATAATCAAGTAACTTAATTAACTACTTCACAAATCAGACAAGGTTACAGCGTAATATCTGTCCTTTTTACTATTCTGGTTAGATCATAGAGAGAAACTACCTCCTGGCTGTGAATTGAGACAAGGGCTTTTAGCTGAGCTCGCCTAAATAGTGTGTCATTATGCCCAATTACAGCATCAAGAACCTGAGGCATGTAAAACGTTGATAAAAGTAAGCATCTACAGCTGCATACTACTCTGGCATAATAAATGTATCAACTTGTCTTGGTGATATAATCAATGCAGTTAGCTCTAACAAGTACCACTTCTTAAATACATTGCTAGATTTTTCAACATATTTCCCAATCTTCCATGGTTGTAACATAACGTATTGACTATTGTAGCAACTAGTGAAACAAAACCGATCACTAAGGTTTATTGACACGAACAAAGAGTAGTCTTCAACAGCATTACCTTTCCAATAGGGTAAGCAATGGGATAGCAGAGTATCATCAAAATGCGAACAAGCCACAAAAAGTTTGCGCCAACAGCAAGTCCGTATCTCGAGCATATAGCTTGCGGAATGATCTGGTTAGAATTGCAACAACATAGTTTTTATCAGTTATAAATGGACAGTACTGAATAGAACACAATTTGATACCAAGAAGATATGTAAATAAAGTAACCTCTCCAAAAGCAAGAACAAAAGTAACTGAGAGTAAAACAGCCACAAAAGGATGGAATATCTTATCCAGGCATATAGGAAGAGCCTGAAACAAAAGATCCAAGCACAAAATTCACTGATTCTGAGGTGCAAAAGAACAGTTATTTTATCGTAGTAAATCAGAAAAAAACTGGGGTAACAAATCTCAATAATTAACCTCCATAGCAGCTGCATTGCAAAGAAGTAGAGTCACAAGAAGTTGATGCTGCTTCTTTACCACTGGTAAGATTGCAGCTGCAATATCCAAAAACAACCCCGTCAAGAATAATAATAGAGACTCTATCACTCAGGTTATAACCAAAATTACAGAATAAGAAATTAAAAATCAAATTTTTAAGAAATTCTATAGCCATTGCGAATCGAGCAAGTCATGTATGTAATTATGTACCAATAACACGTCAAATTGTACATAGATATCGAGAACCGTACCGGCCTGTTTTTTCTCGGCGGAGGAACCGCTCTGTTGGAGAATCTCTAGCTCAACGAGACCAAGGGACATTAGTCCGAGCGTGAGTCCCGACATTATTCCGGCGAAGAGTACGAGGAAACACGCCACACCGACGACGACGAACCACCACGGAGAACCGAATCGGATGTCTTCGGCTTCAAAGACGAAACTGTTGAGCGAGTAAGCGGCTCTTACCAACGCTAAAGTGCTCAGAACAACCATTGCCGCGCTTCGATTTGGTCGCTTGAAGAGAGACTAAAACAGCGACGGAGCCAGAGAAAGAGGGAGAGAGTGTTGTGATGTGAAAGTTTTTATTTTTTTGTTAGGAAGAAGAAGAAGAAGACGACGATGAATGGCTTTGATACGGGGATACATGGACCACCTGACACGTCATCATCCAACACGCGTTTTTTCCTTATTTTCCTCTTTTTATTTTTCCGTTCTCTTTATTTCTTTTTTTACTTGCGTTTTCTCTAAATTCACCTGTTCGATTAATTAACTTAGCTAATCGTCTTATTTATTCAGCTTTCACCGGTTTTAACGCCCGAGAAAGATACACACACCTTTTCACCTCTCATCACATTATTCTTGAGATGAACTTTTTGGACCGTTACCCAAAATATGTAAATAATAATATTTTCAAGTTACAAAGCTAATGTTATTGACAAAAGAAAAAAACAAAACAAAACAAAACGGTGCTCTTCGGATGATATTATCATAGTTTAAAATTATATTTTAATTGTCATTATGTGAGACACCAAAGGATCAAATCTTGGAAAGCTACAGCATTTTGTCCTGCCCAACGCAAATTGTAACACTAAAGGTTTCATATGGTCAACGTGAATCCTAATTTAATCCTAAATGTTGTTTTTAGTGTAAACCAGTATTAAATTCCCTTAATTCATAGGATTTGATTTATTTCATTGTGTTCGTATCACAAACAAAATATTCGACACCTCTATATTTTATTGAAATAATCTTTTGAATGAAAATTACGTAGCAAATCAAATTTCAATATTATAAAAGTCGTAAAAAAAAAATCCAGAATCTTACATTATTCAAATCAGATAGTCACATTTACCAACGAAAACATATGTACAACGTAGCATGTTTGATGCATCTTGATTAATATGGCATAAAATCAATCCATTGCAGTGAACCCATGATGACTCTCAAAAGTTGTGAAATTTGATTGATTGAGAAAATATCTTGGTATAAATTTGATTTACTTTCTTTGGGCTTTTGGGGGTCAAACTATGAGCCTAATAATGGCCCAAAAAGACTTGGCGGAAAATACTTTTTTATTTTTCTTAACAAGTGAAACCGGAACGAGCGAGACGCAACAGAAGAATCTCAAGATCGAAGACCAGTGAAATCGAAGAATTGAAGCACAAGCTTCTCCATCTCTGCAATCTCTCTATCCACCTCTGAAATCTCTCTATCTCGTTATCGCATGTTTCGCTTTCCAATTCAGACGACAGAGAGACGACGCGTCTGAAGCATATCTCCGGAATCGGGGTGAAGAGAAACGCGGCGAGAAGAAGAGGCAGATTTTCGTTTTGGGAGGGTAGACAAATCTGGCGAAAGTGGAGGGCCTAAGGGCGAGGCCATGGCTTAAGCCAGGAGCTTGTATAAATGGAGATCAATATGACTACGACGGTTCGGAAGACGACCATTCCAGGCCTTGGTGGCGTCGTCGTCTCAGATCCTTGTATATGGCGGCCATGTCCTTTACTCCGTCCACTTTTCGAATCGCAATCTCGTTGCTCCTTCTTGTTGCTATCGTCACCGCCGTCATTTTTCTCCCGGTCGAACAGGCAATTTCTCTCTCCCTCCTCAGTCTCATCTTGCGGGTAGCTTTAGTAATAATGTAGCAACAATAGTCTCTGTATATTCTAAGTTTAGAAATCGATACAACGGAGTATTGCTGAGCTCGCTATGATCCCTTTCTGCAGAAATTGAAGGACTTCTTGTTATGGATTAAGGAAGATCTTGGACCTTTTGGTCCACTTGCATTGTAAGTTTTTCATGCTTGCTACTTTTTTTTGGTTTTACTCTAGTTTCTACCACTTATTGGTTTATTTTGCTGACATTGTTTTCTGGCTGCCTTAAATAATCTTGTGATGAGCCTTTTTTACCTCATTGAAATTGCAGGGCTTTGGCTTATATTCCTCTCACAATTGTCGCAGTTCCTGCTTCTGTACTCACGGTAGGTGTGGATTCATAACTATTTAGTGAAATCTAGTGTGCTTTTCTAAGATGTTTGTTCATAATTTTTCATTACAAGATAGGATACTAGGACTTTTTAATTCCTGTTCTGATAGTCTTCATTTTTTATCTCTCAGCTAGGTGGTGGTTACCTTTTTGGCCTGCCAGTAGGATTTGTAGCCGACTCTCTTGGAGCTACATTAGGTGCAACTGCCGCATTTCTGCTTGGTAGAACGGTATGTCTCTTCGTTATGGTTCCATCTGTTATCATATATTTCCCTTGCAATGGTGTTGCTTGCCATAACCACAAAAGTTTGTGCGTCTTCACCACTAGGCAATTTAACTAAGTGTGTCATCTTGGCTGTCTCATTGTTGCTAATGATTTATCTTTGTCTTTCTGGTATCATGTAGATTGGTAAATCTTATGTCACCTCAAAAATAAAGCATTATCCAAAGTTTCAAGCTGTTTCCGTTGCAATTCAAAAATCTGGCTTCAAGGCATGGAAATCTAGTAACACTCTCTCAGTTAATTGACAGTTCGTTTTTCTTCATAGATAGTGATGAAGTATGGCAAAGTATCTCAACTATATATTGATATTTTCTTCCTTTGCAGATAGTCTTGCTACTACGCGTTGTCCCCATACTGCCCTTCAATATGTTGAATTACCTCCTATCTGTAACCCCTGTTCGCTTAGGAGAATACATGCTGGCCACTTGGTTGGGAATGATGGTACTCTCATTTCTTAAAAATTCGCTAGTATATTGGCCATTTATACTTTGATAGTGGTGGAAGAAAAGCCTAGTGCTTTGATTTTGATCTATTCTTGGAGTTAAGTAGTTGTGCTTTCGGTTAATTCAAATGGTCATGTGTTGTATGTACACAATTCATGGATTGACACCAAAGGGGAGAAACAGAGAAAACAGCGGAAATTGTTTCAAGTTAGCATTCATGTGAAAGTGCTGATTGCTAATATTATCCATAATAGTAATACTAATCTTTTGAAATGTTTTGATGTAACAGCCCATTACGTTTGCGCTAGTTTATGTTGGAACTACTCTGAAAGATCTTTCTGATATTACACATGGATGGCATGAGGTGTCAGTATTTCGTTGGGTAAGTTTTCGCTCATTTACTTCTACTTAATATGATATACATTTGTGGGATCTGAAAATAGAGAATTTAGCTTAAATATCCTGAGGATGATGATTTTTTTAACCAAGTCCGAAGCATCCTATATGTAGGGAATAAAATTGCGATAGTCTCAGCATCTGCACTTATTTAGTTGCGGTTTTATAGCTTTGATTGAAGTGTGATTTCTCATTTCTTCTGCATTTTCACTTGGGGATGCAGGTAATAATGATGGTTGGCGTTGCTCTAGCTGGTAAGTCTCTTCTGCAATCATATCCAAATATATATCTAGTTAGCTTCACTTCGTTGTGAGCAGTGGAACGACACCGTGTGGTGTGTGTTTTGACCCGTCTTTTTTTGGGTGGGTGCAGTAATTCTGATAATATGCATAACAAGAGTGGCGAAATCATCCTTGGACAAAGCATTGGCTGAGAATGGTACTGATTTAGATGTGAAGAAGAATGACGATGCTTCCGTGCTCCCGATCGCAGAGCCACCACCGGATCTACACGAGCCTCTCGTTATCAGAATCGACCCATCCAATACTTGAATAATATAGACCAGAAGAAACCCCTCTTGAGTTTGTAAATTTGACGAAATTTTTTTGCCGAGGGAGATACTAGATACGTTTTGTATAGCATCATAATAATATACTTCACCGTTTAATTCGTTTTTCTTCACTTGTTTACTTGAGGTTTTGAAATCGTGTAACTTGTAACCGGGAAATTAATTTTACCCGAGTCCTTGTCAGACCGGTTGAATCGGGTCGGGTTAGAGAAATCAATATTCCGGTATATTCCGTGGCCTTTGATACGTTTGCGTCAGCCTTTTTTTGTCTCCGAATCCCAAAAGTGTTGCTTCCTTCATTTTCGTGGTGCTTGCGTCGTCTGTAACCGCAATTACAAGTCGAATCCATTTTCGAAAGAGTTTTATCGGACCGGTTTTCTGTTCAAATCAGCCGATTTCCTCAGATTTAATTGTTGAATCATGGCGGCTACCAATGTCATGCGGCGAGATGAGAGCCTTCTTATTGATCCCCTTAGAGGTAATTCGAAGTTCAATTCTGATAGACCCGTGTTGGATTTCATTCCCTTAAATTCGAGAAATTTCTGTACTGGGGAATTAGGGTTTCTGATAACAGGGATTGTTTTTTTTTTTTGGTTTCCTGGGAATGAATTTCTTAGGGTTTGACTTGCAGGAGATACTAGTGTTTCTCGTGGCCTCTCGCTTGAGAAGAAAATTGAGGCCCTTGAGAGCCTGGCGGGACAAGTGAGTGCCTTTTTCACTCTTGTTTGATTTTCTTGTTTACATTTGCTGGGAAATGTTGTCAATCGTGTTTCATTCTGGTATTCAGTTTTTTTAGTTTCTCTTATTAATTCTTGAGAAGTGATTTTCCTGTGTTTCTTCATCTAAAGGTTGGTTATTTAAGACCATGAGGTTGATTTACTTTGTAGCTAATGAGTTTTTTTTGCTAATGCAGGTTAGTAACAGGCGATCTCGGAGATGGTTAAATGATCGTATTCTGATGGAACTTGTTCCTCGTTTGGATGCCCAAGAAATCAGAGGCTTGTTTGCTCCACCACCATGGGGTAATATAACATTCCATTCTAAGTTTACTCTTCCTCTATAATCTCAATTTCACTTGGAGCTTCTGCCATGCTTTCGTCTTTTTGCTATTGTTATCCTTGTTAACACAATCATCGTTTCACTGACTCTATGAATGCTCAATAGGCGATGATGTCCCACCCTCAGCCTTTTCTTTGACTAATGTTGGAGAATGGGACAAATTCAGAAACATAGATATGGACAAGGAGGTAAGTAACCTCTCTTTTGGGACTGTGGTGTGTCAGAGAAGAAGTACAAGTTACTATATTGCTCTGAATATGAGTTGTTTGTAGAATCAGAGTAATGTGGTTTGTTTGACATATTTGGTCTTAACTATTGTTGATAATGGTGTTTTTGTCAGGCCAACATCATGGATTCCTTGAACAGGTCATCCGTAAGGCAGAAAGGTCGTGTGGATGCTGACAAAACCGCTGTCTTAAACGCTTGGCGGAGAATAGATTGTAGGACAAGAGAGGCTCTTCGACGTAGCTTTTTACCAGAACTAATCGAGGGATATGAGGTAGATATTCTTCAGAGATGACAATATTAAGCCATACATGTAAATACAGACCCTTTGCTCCTAGACTCCAGAATTGTTTATTATTTCCACAGAACTGTATAAGTCAATTTATCGAGGAAGGTGGTGAAGGAGATGTTCTCGATCTCAAGGTTCAAGACCCATTCCATAGATTGCTTTTGCACGGTGTTTGTGAGGTATGAGCCCGGACATCTCCTGAGCTATGTTCTGCTAAGATGTTAATTAAAGATATAGAGAGAACCAACCTAAAAGAATCTCTTTTCTTTGGAGCAGTACCACAATTTGGTATCAACAACTGCTACAGAACAGATAGGAAGGATAGCAATGAAGACAACGACCATCAAATGGAAGAAGAGTGGCGATTCAGGGGAGAAACCAAGCATCAGCCTCGCTCATTTCCTTAGGATGTCAAAGGAAGGAGCTTGGTAACATCACATACACTCCTTTGTAGCTGTGTAATTTTTATGAATAAAAAGCTGCATTAGCGTCAATTTAAAGAATTAGCGTCAATTTAAAGGGCTATTTATGCAGCAAAAAGATCTCAAGACTCTCTCTCTCTCTCTCTGGCCTTTGCTACTTACCCCTATATGGCCTCTTGTAAGCTTGTATTTGTATCCTCAAATGTATACGGTTTTATTATTAAAGAACGAAATATTGACAAAAAAAAATTATTTAGTGCTTATTGTGAATTTTGATTCTTTAAACTTATATTTTTGATATTAACTTGTAGAAACCCTTTGAGCACTTACAAAGCCCAACAGTTGGACGGTAAATGACTTTTCCAACGTTTGGAAAAAACAGATATTTTAAAATTTCATAAATTTTGGGTTTTGAAGTTTAAGATCGTGGAAGCCCCTTGGCCCATTGGTTGACCAAGAGTTAATTAATGCTTCTACACCAAGATGTCTGGGGTTCGAGTCCCAGATATTGCGATTTATTAATAAATATGCAGATTAAAGAAGGTAAGTGTGCAGGAGATCTCCAGCGAAGTACAATTATAGCCGTTCGCCAGGATTCTACGCAGAGAAAGAAGTGTCGTCAGGTCGTGGATCATTGAAGGTGTCCGTCAAGAGCATGGAGAAGGAAGTGTTGTCTGTCGTGGATCTAATAAGGGTCGGAAGGAATTGTCCGTTGTAGAATCGTCTATGTAACAGTTCTCATAATTTGCAATAAATAATAAATCTAGACGTAAAAAAAAAAAAGTTTAAGATCCATTCGAATATTTTAAAAATTTTAATCTATTCAGATATTTTTAACTTTCAAAAATTTTGGGTTTTGAAGTTTAAAACCCGTTCGAATATTTTAAAATTTTTAATTAGGATTAGGATCGGGTTTTCCGGATCAAGTTAGAATTGATTCTTCGGATTCGTGTTTTAGACATTTGCCTAAATTGGATGACTAATGTGAAATGATATCGATGTATTATTATGCATAATCATATAAACTAATCGGATTTAGCATCTCATTCGTTTAATCCGTTAAATGCTGTTATAAATTTAACATATTTCACGTGATACAAATTTAATGCTTTGCTAAATTTTAAAGATTTTTATCACTTAAAATTCATTCATTACATAATTTATTTAAATCAAGTGATGAAAAATGCCAAGAAATGATTCCATTGGCTCCTTATTAATCACATCAAACATAATATAATACCCACTAAAACATATTTATTTTCAAGAAAATGATCAACTAATTTAATCAAGCAGTGGAAGTGAAATTGAAGTTGGCGCAGTTAGTACGACGGCCCAATAACGTGGAACTAAACCCAAATCTGTTACTCGCCAAATCAAATTCGATCAAATTATCCTCCAACTGGAACCCTCCGATCACCACAGAGGTTCTTGCGTTGACTCCTCCGTCAACGAAACCTAAACAGATAACGTCATCACTGACACTCACCATCGAGTTAGCTCCAAAGATCCTCCAGACGACGTCGTTGCTATGAAGCACAAGCTGAATCTCCGGCACTGCGTATCCCAGGCGCGTGACGCCGACGTTCTTCGTGCTGAAACACGCGCTGAACGGTTTCACCGACGCTACTCTCGTGATGTTCCTCGCCGCTGCTTGTTTGACGAACTCCGACGTAAAAGCATTGTAGATCGATGACTCCAACACCGTGTACGGATTCACGGAGCTGATTTTGGTTCCTCCGAATCCGGTACTTGCGTTGATTTTCAAAAGCGTTGGATTGATCGGAACTGTTTTCTCGACGATTTTAATCGCCGTCACGCCGATGAAGTACTCTGAGGATTTCTCACCTTGTGAAAACGCAGAAGCAGTGCTCACCGGATTAATGAGAAGCGGCGTCGTTTGGAGACCTGAGATCTGGATTCCGGGGAGGAAAACGTAAGGTCCGTTGCCGAAGAAGGCGACTCCTCTGCCGGAAGTTAGACACACGGCGAATTTGCGGTTGAAGCTAAACGCGGCGGCGAACTGAGACGGTAAACCGATGTTGTGACGTCCCATTCCGGCCATACCAACGGTTCCAGTAGCAAGTCCTTTAAGAAGAAACGTTGCTCCACAATCGAAGATCAAGTTGGGGATTTTAACGACCCGACCCGGATTGGATCCGTTAGTGGACTGGATCGACACAACGTCTAAAGCAAATTCGCCGGAAGTAGCGGTACCGGTGACGGTGTTATCTGGAATGCCGCCGCAAGTGTTGTTACTACAGCCAGGTCTCGGAGGAGAAAAGCATGTGCCGCAGCTGTTGGAGCCGGCGCGTGAGCACACGGCGGATTTGCAGCGAGGAGATTGGTAAGTGGAGGAGACGTAGTCTTTGTCGCAGTCGACCCAGAGTTCTCGTCCACCGAGGTCGAAGACGACGGAAGCAGGGACGAGAGGTGTGCGTTGGTTGATGACGGTTGTGTACTGGAGGGTAGATTGGTCTTTTGTTACTGGGAGAAGGAGAGCTTTGGGACGGAAAGATGTTTGAGCAGATGATGAAAGTGAGAAGATGAAGAGAAGAAGAACGGAGAAGATGATTGGAGAAGACGCCATTGTTAGAGATATGAATGAAGATGATGAGTTTGATGAAGAGGATTGGTGTGTGAGTGTATTTATAGGGACGAATTTGGGATTTTTGTGTGTGTCGGTCGGCTAATTTGAATAATTGGATAATGGTGTGACGTTTTTGACTTTTATTTAAGATGCAAATGATATATGGTTTCGTGATTTTGCTTCTCATCTCGTGAAAATGACACAAATCAAATCTAGTAGTTTTCTCTTTTGGGGTTAGACCAAAAAAATAGCATTTGTTTACTGTGTTCTTCTTTCCCGTATCGGTCTTTGTTTACTCTGTTTACCTTTTTATGGAATCGGTCCTTTTAAAAATGAAATAAAATTTACTACCTTTAGTTCAATATTTTGTCGGTATTTGAAATAAAACACATGTCTAACTATTTTTCAAAAAAAGTGTGTTTGTGCTTATGAAACTTTAGATTTTGGTTTAAAATCTTTTGGTTATTCTTAAACAACATGTAATTGCATTGATTGGGGTTGATTAAGAATAATAGTAGTGTGTAACTAAATTGATGAATGAATCGTTCCTACGTTATCAATAAATAAAATATTGGCAAAATATAAAGAGAGGAGGAAACACCGTGGGATGGTCATAGAAGCAAAGCTTGGTGTTTTTGGTGATGAAATCAATTAAATGCCAGGTGGGCGTGAGGGTGCCTTTCTTGACTTTTCCTCTTTATTTCTCGATTGCATCCATTTTCACAATTTCAGAATATGTCAGTCTCGATTTAACATATTTATTACTAATATATTCTTCATGTACTGTTATCGATTACTCCCGACACGTCCATGGATTCTCTTTTTTTTTGGGTTAAAGAATATTCAAATATTATAAATAAATGTCTATTGGACTATTTCCGGATTAGCCCCATACATTTTTCCTTTAGGACCCAATCCACAAACATCAAACCAAACAAAATCATCAAAACAAAACCGACTCGGTTTAACTAAGCCGAACAAACCGGACGACACAGCAAAACCCTAATCACAAATCGTAGAACACGATTTAAGCCGCCGTCCAAGATCTGCAGACACTCGCCGGAACAGGACCTCCGGTGAGCCTAGACTACGTGACTCGAACGGAGATGGTGATCCAGGATCCGTTGTCATCCCGCCACCGTAGAGCAGTTTTGAGGAGGAAGAAGAGATCCGAGCTTCCTTTGTAGCGAGTCTCCATGCTCAGTCGTGAGAGTTGACGGTAGTAGGGAGTAGATCTGAGGACCATCGACGGTGGCTTAGCTTCACCGAGCCGGAGTCGACCTCCCCCATCAAGCGACAGCCCCTTGAAGCTTCCAGAATCTCTAGTCCGCAGATCTAACCGCCGTCATCCCTCGTTCTTCGCCGTGAAAACACTCTCTTCCACTCCGCGTCGCTACACCGCCGATAGAGCTCTTACCGTCGGAGTCTCGCTGGATGCTTCTCCTCGGCGTCCTCGCCACTGCTTCGTGACTTTAGATCGATTGATTCGTCGAGTCGATGTCGTAGACCACGGATGAAGAACCATGAGCCGTAGGGTCCTCTTCGCCACCAGAATTAGCAGAGAACCCACTGTCGGCGCATGAGATCATGTTCAGAAGAGAAAAAGATGGTGAGAGAAAAATCGCCGCGAGTAAGTACCACGCACGACTCTCTCTCAATGTTTTTAGGAAAAAAGATGGCTGGCTACACGAAGTATCCGCGAAGACATGGCCACACATGCAAAGTTTAATAATAGATCCTAAACTACATGAACTATATGTATCGCATGCCCACATATACGAAATATATGTAGTTATGTCGTCAACATCACGAACATTTTTTTCCGGTACACTTTTCGCTGGAATCCGGCATTGACCAGTTTGACTGGCGTTGACCAACATAAATATTAAAAAAAAAGAAAATTTAGTTTTTTTTAATATTTAGAGTATTATGTTATTAAATCATTTATAATATTTTATAATTAAAAAAATATATACAATATTCAATATAAAAATATTTTGTATATATATTCAATGCATTGATTTTTATAATTAGTTAGTTTCAATAATTTCAAAACTAAACTAAAAATAAAACAAAAACCAATTAGGTAAAATAATTATAAATAGAAAATTTTAAATACTCTCTAGTCTAAAGTTTTTTTATAATATGTTGTTAATTTTTTTTGTATTATTAAAAAAAAATTTCGTAATAATTTTAGATACAAAAATTAACAACATATTATACAAAAAAACTTTAGACTAGAGAGTATAGAAAATTTCATATTTACAATTATTTTACCTAATTGGTTTTTATTTTATTTTTAGTTTAGTTTTGAAATTATCAAAACTAACTAATTATAAAAATCAATGCATTTCATATATATACATAATATTTTTATATTGAATATTGTATATATATTTTTTAATTATATAATATTATAAATGATTCAATAACATAATTTTCTAAGTATTAAAAAGCTAATTTTTTTTTTTTTTTGGAATATTTATGTTGGTCAACGACGGTCAACGCCGGTCAAACTGGTCAATACCGGATTCCGGCGAAAAATGTATCCGAAAAAATGTTTGTAATGTTGGCGACATGACTACATATAGTTCGTATATGTGGGCATGCGATACATATAGTTTGTGTAGTTAGAGATACATTTTTAAACTTTGCATGTGTGACCATGTATTCGCGGATACTTCATGTAGCGAGCCATCTCTTTCCATGTTTTTAACGTCCATGGATTCTTTCTTTAACGATCATCTTTAATCTTTAATAATATCAAAAACGTCCATGGTTTCTTTCTTTAACGATCATCTTTAATTTTCAATAATATCATTCATATCTTATCAATATCACGGTTTTGAATTTTATGTTACCACTCTTCTTGAATAAGATAAGGTCATGACATCATACTATTATATTTTATATGATCAGGCATAATAATACATCGAAATCATTTTACATTAGTCATTCAGTTTATAAAACATGGAAAAGGCATGAAAGTGTTTATGTTTCAAGTTTCTCATATGTATATATAATTTATATATACACATTTAGAATATAATGTTGAAATACTAAAAGAAACCCACATTAGGATATCTATTATTTTTGGTCATTATTTTTCTTAGTAAAGCGGTAGTCTTATACTAGTAGGTACAAATACATTAGTCGGAACATTGATTTTGGGTCACATTAATGAATGGATATGCTGATGAATCATATATATAAAAGTTGGCCAACTCTCTCCATATGAATGAGATATCATCACATAAGTAAATGACATGTGTCATTCAATATTAGTTAAATTAAAAATCAGCAAAATTAATTGAAAGAAAATCAAAAGTCTCCTATTGTGTTAAATCCTCCAATAATCCATTTCTTAAATGATTTCTTCAAAATAAAAATAAAAGTATAAAATTATTTTAATAAATCAATTACTACTTTCATTTTACTTTTATTATATTTCTATTTTTTTTAATTTAATAGTCAATGGTCATCACTCGATAATGACTAAATAATTATTTGTGTTGTAGTTTAGTTGTTTGCTACCTAATATCTTATTAGTTTAGTATTTTTACCTTTAATATTTTTTTATTATTACGTTATGGTTCATATCTTATCATATGACATTTTCTCTTTTCATTTTTGTATCTTATGGTAAGTTCGTAACATTAACTTGCAAAATTTTACAAGTAATAGGCTTTGAGACGTTAGACATACCACGAAATTCAAGACAAATCCATTTCTCTTATATGGCTATATGCAATAGCATAAAATCTAAAAGTATTACTTAAATAACTCTTTAACTTTTGCTTTCTTTTTCTTCTTTTCATACGAAAAGTACTCTTGAGAGAAAAATATCTTATATTCTTGTTGTGAGGATTCATGATAATGAACAAATACTAGAATTTTAGATATAAAAATAATTAGATTATACATGAAAATGTATAATTAGATATTTAGAGTCAAAAACGAATCTAACAATAAATATTTTAAGTACATAAGATGAGTTTAATTTTATTAAGTATACAATAACAAACAAAAAAATAAACACAAATTAGCAACAAAAATAATTAACACATTTTTATTTTAACAATTTTTAAAACAAACCCACGCGTAACGTGGGAATTCATCAAGTATAATAAACACGTTACTAGCTTATATCGTAATCACATAGACTACTATTAAGGAGTATTAAATTTTATTTTTGCCTTTTATTTAACAGTCAAACAATCAACATCCGTTTGGTTAATTCTAAACGTTTTCAAGATAAGCGTCTCAGATAGAAGAAACAAGTGGCCTAGTTGTTACGTTACGGGGGTTAGTTAAATATCTGATTCTGATAAATGAAGCCCATCTACATAAGAGGCTCATAATAAAGACCCATTATGGTTTGATATACTGAAAAAAGTAAAGCCATTAATTTATTTATCATAACGAAAATAGAAAGCGCATGTTGATCCAATTTCACCGCTTTGGGTTATTTTGTGAATTTGAGTTAATAATGGGCTTTTATGAGAACATATATAAAAAAGTTAGATCCCTTCAATATCGAGAAATTTATTTTACAAAAAAATTAGTCATCTGGTCGTCTTCTTCTTCCTCTCGCCATGAAGCTCGTCAGGTAAGCTTTTTTTGTTTCTAACTTGTGATTTGTTTGTTCTCCATTTCGAATTTGTTTCTCTCTAGGTTTTCTTTGTTCATTGTGTTCAAAAATTTGACTTGTTGGAGCTCGTTCGTGGTTTGATCCCAAATGGGTCTCTCTCAGGTTTTTGATGAAATTGAACAATGAGACAGTTTCAATTGAGCTTAAGAACGGAACCATTGTTCATGGAACTATTACAGGTAAACTCTTTCTCATATCCCCAGCTCCTTTTTCCTCGTTTAGGGTTTTGCTGAGTCTCCGATTTTTCTTATTCTCGTTTTGGTTCTTCCACAATAAACCTTAATTTCTCCTAATTTATCAGCTATGATTTGTATACATTTTTAGAATGTTACTCACCGCAGATTATGTGGTGTGATTCTTTTACTAGTATTTTACAAATTCTAAGTTAATTTCATTTTCTATGTAAAATGCTTGTGTTGCACTGTTTCATATACAAAATCCGAGTGACACTGACCGATTCAGATACATATTACATTCTTTATCATGCCTTGAAACTTTGGTTTTAAGTAGCTTCTTTAGTGGCATGACTTTGGCTCTTGAAAATACTCTCTGTTATCTCTCTGTATACTTCTGAAATGTCCATAGAACAGTTTATATGTAGTCTACTAGACTAAAGCATTAACAATATCTTCTTGCATTTTCTTCCCATAAAACTCACTTCTTAATCAGCCTGTTCAATCGTGGTGAGCTTACCAACAAGTAGGGTGTTGTCAAACTTCGAAATTGGTCACTGTTGTTGATGTTGTGGTGATTCTATTTTTCTAGACATGGTTAGTTGATTCAATTGTAATGCAATTAGCTTTGATTGATGGATTTACTCTTGGTGATAACTCATTGCAGGTGTAGATGTTAGTATGAACACTCATCTAAAGGCCGTAAAACTAACTCTGAAAGGGAAAAACCCGGTTACGTTAGACCACTTAAGTGTTAGGGGAAACAACATTCGGTATTATATTCTTCCTGACAGCTTAAATCTCGAGACTTTGTTGGTTGAGGACACACCAAGAATCAAACCCAAAAAGCCAACTGCTGGTAATCAAAAACATTCTTTCACAGCTTCATTTATTCTTAAACCATTATAAGTTTTAAGCATCTGTATTCTTCTGGATCTCGAGGCTGATTCTTATATTCATCTTTTTGCTTATGCATGAACGGTATCAGGGAAGACACCAGCTCGCGGGCGTGGCCGTGGAAGGGGTCGTGGACGCAGCCGTGTTGGTGGTCGTTAAGCATTCATGATCCTAAGTTTTTATTCTTCTTGTGACACTAGAGGGATTGTGTGTTGTAGTGAGGCGAGTCTCGTAAAGAACAAATTCTTGTGATCTAATCACCAGCAAATTTAGATTTATAAATCACATATGGCCAAAGAAAATAACACTTTGTCGTTTAGATGAGTTTAAGAAAAATGAAACCAAGACATTGTGCAGAAAGTAAGGCAAAAGAGGTAATGTTTTCTTTTGATGTTTTGATCACTCTTCAAGCATGATGGAATCCGTTACTCTGTCTTTATTGTGGATACAAATATATAGGCGTGTGGAAAAATTTTATTCGTTTAATCGTTTACAAGAGACTGATTTTTCATAGCCAAGACGCAACCTTCCATTACAGTGATTGTTTTGCCTCTGATCAGAACCCTCTGCTTATCTTTGTCCAGATGAACCTTCAACGGTTCAGCCTCTGCTTGAAGCTTAAACAGCAAACAAACACATTCCAATAATACCCAAATTCCTCATGAACACTCATCATTTTAAATTGGTCTGTTAACTTGTATAACTCGTAAGTCAAAACCCCTAAAGTATTAGGTTAAAAGATTGTAAATAACGTTGTAAAGATAATTGTAAAAGTATTATGCATTATCGACATTAGTTTAGTTTCTACTAATCCCACATCGATAAGATTTTAAAGAATAAGCTCGAAACGTTTCTTATATATGAAGACTATGTTGAAAGTGATTTATTTTTCCGCAGGATTCTAAGAGACAATTTGCATGTACAATTTTACTGACATACTATAATATAGCAAGAAGCCATGAATCCTGCTACTGTGGATGAATCTCGAAGTAGGCATCATCCATGGTGGTGAGTCTATACAATTCCACTGTGGAACTCTCTTTGTTTTCCTACTTAATTAGAGATATATATATCAATCGATGTGATTAACGTGTCTGGTGAATGCAGGAAGAGCAAATACGTAATCTACGACATTATGATACACATCCTTGTGATAGCCTCGAATGTTGCAACGTTCCTGTATGTGAGAAATTACAAAATCCCCATAGCTGGAGATAAAATCTATATGATCGAGCTCGTAGGTTTCTACTCATGCTTTAGCGGCATCTTGGGTGTGGTTGAATGGGTAGACATCTTCAAGAACATTCCGGACATGGAGTTCAAAGGAGGCTTTATGGATCGCATTAGCCATATCTTTGGTCTTGTTTTTCTCATCGTCTTATTATATTCAATTTCTCCCGTCTTTGCTCTCTATTTTGGTATTCCTTCTTCTTTGTGGTTTTTATCCGTTTTGATTTATACTATGCACGTATTATGCTGCCGAAGCTACCGGACTAGTTTTCCTAGCTAGTTTATTGTGTACGTACTAGTAATTTTATTTTATTTTTGCTTAACTTTTTGTTGTTTGAAAGGAACATACTGTACTCGATCATCAACTATATGCATTGTGCGTAAAACATGAGAAGGATAACTTCGTTGAGATAAATGCGATATTTAAGGAAGGGGGATAAAGCTCAAGTTTATTGGTTTGTTTAACGTTTTTGATTCTCCCGAAATTTTATGGGATTTGTTACCTCAGGTATATTGCTTTTGTTTCTTGGGCGGATATAGACAAGAAATATCTTACTTTCCAGGAAAGATTCTTAGTTGACTTTTTGGAAAACAAGAAAATCACACTGTTGAAAAAGATACCAAGATTGTCAACTTAAAGAACATCAGGATCATGATTGTGTAATATATTACAAGAGCCTGATTTTTCATCATAGCCAAATTCAAACTAAGACATAACCTTCCATAACAGTGACTGCTTTGCCTCTGAGCAGAACCCTCTGCTTCTCTTTGTCCAGGTGCACCTTCAACGTTCCCCCTCTGCTTGAAGCCTAAACACATTCCAATAATAACCAAATCTTTCTTCAGAAACTAATTAATAGTAATACTCATCATTTTAAAATTGGTCTCAAGTTTGTGTGTGGAGAGAGAGATAGCTAAAAGAGAGAACCTGGTAGGCGAAGAAATCACACTTGTTCATCTTGAGGCTCCAGTAATGTGCTAAGGCACAATGCGCACTTCCAGTAACAGGGTCCTGAAGAGCCACACAGGAAGAGGTCATGTTACCTCATTGATTCCGAATCTCGGGGCAAAGTAGCGACTACAGAAATCATAAGTAGATTCAGCAGAAGCAGCGGCAGACACCATCATTCCTTCACAAGGGCATTTCGATATCTCATCTAATCTTGGCTGCAATTCAATGACAGCTTCCCAAGATGAAAGCACAACCTGCAAATCAATCGAAAAGAATCGAGATTTGATTCAATGGCGCCGCCATAGCAAGAAAGAAATGGAGACAGTAGTTGACAAAAATATATATTTACGAGGATGTCCTTCTTTGTGGCTTTAACATCAACAATGGTAGCTCCATTCAAGGCTTTGGAGAACAAAGAGAGATCATCATCAATGTAGTTGACTTCAAAAGTAGGTACAAGAGGGAAATCCAATTCGATTTCATCATCAATTTTGAGATGTTTAGCTGTTAGAGCCCCTGATAATGTGTCGAACTTAACTGTTTCGGAATCAATCAAACCAGTTGAGAAGAGAACGTGAGCAGATGCTAAAGTTGCATGGCCACACAAATCCACCTGCACACAAAACATAAAAAAGCTGAGAGATTCACAAGAGCCAGTGAAATGTATACAAGAAGTTATCTGGATCTCTATCAAGTCAATGATAACAAGTCAACGGAACAATTCCGAATTCAAAAGTATAGCAGTCATTAGCGAGCTAACCTCAGCGACAGGAGTGAACCATCGGAGACGGAATCGAGGGAAGTCTCCGATGATCGGAGTGAGGAAACAAGTCTCGGAGAGGTTGAACTCGGCAGCAAGAGACTGAAGCCACGCGTCGTCTCTCTGGTTATCGTTATCGTCGTCTAGAAAGCAAACAGCAGCTGGATTCCCTTTGAAGGCAGATTCAGCGAATGCATCAACAACGAAGTACTTGACTCCCTTTTTCTCCGCCATTTTTTTGTTTGACCACCCAAGCTTCTTTTTCTTTTTTTATTGGTGAATATTTTTGCTTCACTCTCTTTATTATTGGTCGCTGACTCTTTAGTCTCCTCAAATTACACTAAAAATATATAAACATAATAACAAAGACAAATCAAAGACAGAGACTAATATAAAATGTACAATGATCTTTAACTTCCTTCCATGAAAATACTACTAATCATAAATGTGATAAAGCATCTTAAATATTCTTTTACCAAAAAATATACAAGACTGTTTGGTTGAATGAGTTTTATAGTGTAAGCCGTTATTTATCATAACATTTTTTGGACTTTCTACTCCTACGTACTCAAAACGTGAAATCTAAGTATACATAACGTTTATATAACTTGTGAACATCTATAATGATCAAATGCTAAAATAAAAAATTCGGCTAGTATATATTTTTTTTTGTAAAATGCGATTAGTTTTCACATCCTTTTTATACAAATTGAACTTGGAAAATCTCTAATGATTAAATGACGAGATCTAAAATGCGTTTAGTTTTACATCGTTTTGTAAATTTAGTTTTATTTAAATTACCTTCCATGAGAAAAGACAATATCAAAACTCAAAACTTTTTTTAAATAAACTGAAAATTTTGAATGTTAAATTGACATCACGATGCAAAAATAAATTGAACTTGTGAAACTAATGAAATAACAAAGTTAAATGACATGATGCCTAGGCGCAGTTAGTTTTCGACGTGATTAAAATTTAATACTTACATGGTTTTAGTTTTCAAATGACTAATTTTTAAAAGTTAGTTTTCAAATGACTAATTTTTAAATTTTTTTAGTGAAATTTACATGGTTTTAGTTTAATAAAAAGTTATTTTCTTAAAATTTAGGGGCTTTTGCAAAAATGCTACTTTTTCAATGCCACTTTTCAAAAATACCTCTTTTTTAAAACCTTATAAAAAATGATCTTAAAAATATAAGATTTATCCAAATATATATGTAATATTATTAAAACATACACAAACTACATTTCTATGTATCTAAAATCTTATAAATACTTTATAAATACCTTATAAATGCATTTTAAATACATTTAAAAACCTTTAAAATATCTTGTAAAACCTTTGAAAAACCTTAAAAATCCTTTAAAATAACTTGTAAAACCTTTAAAAACACCTTATAAAACCTTATAAATACTTGGATCGAGTCTTCAAGTAGTAGTTACAATCCATAAGTACCTTATAAACCTAATAAAACTTTATAAAAATTTCAGATTTAAAAAGGGGCATTTTTGAAAATGAACATCTAAAAGGGCATTTTTTAAAAGGAGCACACCAAACGGGGTATTTTTAACAATTTCCCTAAAATTTAAGTGTTAAATTTGTTTTAAATTTTAGTCAAAATCACTATAATTTTCTAAAAATGAGTTTAAGTGGCAAATCTATATTACGTGAAAACATGCCGAACTTCGAACACCAAAGCTTACTGACCAACTAAGGACAGGATGCCTAGGCGCGGTTAGTTTTTGACGTTTTTAAAATTTAACACTTAAACTAATTTCTTAAAAGTGATAGTGAAATTAACATGGTTTTGGTTAAAAATATTATTTTCTTAAAGTTGAAGTTTTAAATTTGTTTTAAATTTTAGTCAAAATCACTATTATTTTAAAAAAAAAGTTTAAGTGTTAAATCTATATTACGTGAAAACATGCCGAACTTCGAACACCAAAGCTTACGGACCAACTAAGGACAGGATGCCTAGGCGCGGTTAGTTTTTGACGTTTTTAAAATTTAACACTTAAACTAATTTCTTAAAAGTGATGGTGAAATTAACATGGTTTTGGTTAAAAATATTATTTTCTTAAAGTTGAAGTTTTAAATTTGTTTTAAATTTTAGTCAAAATCACTATTATTTTAAAAAAAAAGTTTAAGTGTTAAATCTATATTACGTGAAAACATGCCGAACTTCGAACACCAAAGCTTACGGACCAACTAAGGACAGGATGCCTAGGCGCGGTTAGTTTTCGACGTTTTTAAAATTTAACACTTAAACAAAAATTTAAAAAGTAATAGTGAAATTCATATGGTTTTAATTAAAAAAAAATATTTTTTTAAATTTAAGTGTTAAATTTGTTTTAAATTATAGTAAAATCATTATTAATTTTTAGATCATTAGTTTAATTGTTTTAATTAACAGTTAATCTTTTTAAATTTATTTATTATTTAAACTAATCTTAAAGAAAAATAAAAGAAACCAAAAACAAAAATAAGAATGAAGAAAGTAATACCTTGTATAAATTGACCTGGCCGAATGGGATGCATTGTCTCTGTAGGAATCCTACAGTAGGATTATAGGATAGGCGAGAGTCAGACAAACTTTGATGGGCTTTGTAGTGTCTGTCCAAAGAGTTTCAATGACTGCAAGTCGTGTGGGCAATCCAATCCGTCTCTCTCACGCTCCGAAGTTGCGACAACATATCTACGTACAAAGAAGAAAGAATTGATTAGGAATCTCGAACAAAAATCAAAAACTTTGAGAAAGATATATGATTAGGATTAGAGGGAATTAATATAAGACATAATTTCAAATTTGATTAGTATAAAACCACTTGAAACATGAGAAGTCTCTGTTTTGCGATCGACTAGAAGAATAATTAGGTATTTATATATGATTTGATTTGGTCAAAAATTCCAACGAGATATAGAAAAAAATACATAAACAGATAAAGAAGCAAAATACCTTTTGATCGAACAGAGTGTTGTAGTCGGCGCAAGTTGGTTTGATCTCTTTACGACAGCCTTTACTTTTGCTTATGATCGCTCATCCCCAAAAACGAAAATCGATCGATTTTTTGGTTTGTTTCATGTATCAAACACAGTAAAAATTAATGAAAGAGTAGACTAAAATTCACGACTGATCTGGGTAGAAGAAAGAGAAGAGAGAAATAGAGAAAACAAAGAACGTTTTCCTGATATGAGAAAAGAGAGGAAAGTGCTATCGAATGGATCTCTGACTCTCAAGTTATATTTATAAACAATATTGTCAACTTCGAATGGAAACCTAAAAAAAAAGGAAAACTTGGCCGTGAGAGACAGAAATTACGTAAATACCCCCTCATTAGAAAAAAGGAAACTTTGTTTTTCGACCGTTGAAAAATTTCGTTTACGTAATAACGTCTAGTGGGTGAGCTGGAACTCCCATAGTTGGGCTTTGCAAGTGTCCAAAGGGCTTCGACAGTACTTGAGACGGTTAGTGTTTATCGGGTCGTCGCACTAACTCTGCCAACTTCAATTCCACTTCCACTGCTTGCTTAAATTTATTTAATCATTCTTTTTTTTAGTTGTATGTTTGATGGATTTAACAAGGAGCCGATGAATTATTTCTTGATCTGAATAATGATGTAATAATGAGTGAATATAATAATCTAGTTATCTCAAAATTAAACATACATTTTGCTAATATACTAAACCCAAACCCAACTTTTACGAGCTTTAAATTTCAATTCGATTCTTGAAAATCATCGACAAAAGAACAAATATGGCACCCTATAGGAATTTTTTTTGCTATGAAAGTTTTTGATAGACCTAAAGAAAAAAAAAAAAAAAAAACACACAAACTGGTTTACTAATAAGCCATGTCTTGCACACCGGTCTCAGCCATCTTCTCCAAATCTTCTTGTGTCAACAGAGTTTTCCTTCCCATAGTCCCCGCCTTATCATACGGTTGAGCCATTTTCCGAAGAAACTGCAAAAAAAAACACCACAAAATTGTTGATTCATTATTTTGCCTTGTTGTTTGTTTCACTGAGAGTTATAGAAAAGCAGTGAATTATATAGGTTTACCTCGCGAGCAATGTGAATAGCCATGTCAGTGCTTAGATTCAAGTGTGCATCACGCAGATGCGAAAGTATCCAACCAGGTAGTTTGGACCGCTTATCATGACGGCTATATCTGCAAGTTTTACCGTCAATGGCAGTGTGTTTTGTTAGACCAAAGTAATGTGACATTCTAAACCAACATAAGCATATCTAATACTTAATATACTAGATAGAGTATGGAGAGAATCACATTTAGTAAATATCAAGAATCTAAATGACCAAACTCAGAGAGGGAAACTTTAAAGGCACATATCATCATCCCATAACTTATACCTTTTGTCTGCAAATATCATCATCCCATAATCAGCCTTTGACCGGATTACTCGCCCTACACATTGAGCTGCTTGCCTCTGTTTTAAAGCCAAAAAAGAGTTAACAACAGTCACAAACAGCTAAAAGAGTTGCACACCAAAATATAATATCATCATAAACTAAGAATCTTACCAAGGCATCAAAAGTTAGGAAATCGCCTTCTTTTATTTGAAACGTATCATGCAAATACTCCAATCTTGCTCGTAATATCCTGAAAGTTTCACCGTTTCCATCGTATCATCTCTCACGTACGATGAAAATATAAATACAGAAAACCGGAAACTGAAAGGATAAACATTCATTTGAATAGAACTTACTTGCTTAATGTATACTGGAATGGTACTCCGTACATTACAACCAGTCTTCCATAATGACGATCAAAATCGATACCTTCAGCAACTTTCCCCCTGCCGTTTAAATACAAAATTTGATCACTTTCTTTCAAATTTCTAAAAGAAAACTCATACTGAAACCTCTTTAATATTTAGTTAACCAACCAAAAATAGGAGAGAAGAACCAAAAATTTATTGCCATGAATTCCCAAACCATCTACCATTCACAAATAGAATGTTTACCTGGCCACAGAGAAGAAAACTGCACCTCTTCCGCAATCGCAAGCCCTGCGATAATTATCCAGTGCCAATGTTGTTTCTACAACATCTTGTGTTTCAATGAAAACAAGCTTCTGTTGCATTATTTCCTACAAACATTAAAAGCATTGGTAATATTGGTAAACACATATACATTAATGCCTGTAGCACTACAAATATTTTCAGGTATCATAGAAATTCCAATTCATGCAAAACTGTGAAAAAAATACTGGCATGGTAAAGCCAAGAAGAAGACCTTACCTTCAGAATTCCAGTTTCATTCCATGTAGCAATAATGCCATCCATGTATGAGTAACTAACAAAGAAGCAGACAACTCCATCAGGAACAATAGATACCATCTCTACCAAAAGCTTTCCGTAATTCCTCACAACACCAGGATCACTTCTCATGTCAAATTTGGTGCTAACAGGAAGCTGATCACTGAAAAAGAAGACAACCAATAATGTCATTACATATAAAGTTAAAATATAAGGTAAGTGTTCAGGATTTGTTTTATGAACCACATACCTTCCCCGAGTCAGAACCATAGGGCAGATGCAGTCTCGTGTCATTGACATCTTAAAGCTTCGACTAACAACAGGAGTGAAACTAAGAAGACGTGGATAAAGATCAATTGGGCTCAACGTGCCTGATGTAATCACGACTGACTGGAAACGATCAAACACCGGTTTGATCGCCAGAGACGCATCATGACAGCTCAACTAAGATACAAAAGGATATATGTTTCAGATACATTTCTCAATTATTCAAACAGTAGCATTTACATTTTGAGTCATAATATCTTAAAACCCCAGTGACAATACTCAAAAGTAAGTAGATCAACACCATATTTACCTGCAATATAGGATCTGGAATATGGGGCATTCTCTCGTCATAAGGCTCAATGATGATGGAAAATCCCCGGGCATATGTCCCAACAAGAGTTGCAAAGTCGCACACTGTCTGGATAGGCAAAAACTCATCTGTATCTGTAATTTCAAGGGTTAGCATGAGAGACTGGAGCCGGTCATAACAGAACTTCAGTGTTTTCTGCTCAATGCCAGCCTGAGAATTCAGCGACGATACAAAGCTAACAGGGCTTTCTTTCTCTACGTTCTCAGTGTCAAGCCGTACCCCCAAATACTGAAGTAATCGGCGTAAAACATGCACAAAATGCTCAGCCCGTCTGATATTCCCCGGGACAGCCTCCTTTAGAATATCATGGGGCAGTGCAGGGTTTGCAAGCCATTGATCACTTCCTGCAGAAAAAAATTGTTGCGTCAAGTTCATAAAATTAGAAAATATGCCTAGTACTTTGTGTGCTTTCAATCAAACCACAGATCACCTTCCTGAACACATACTTACCAGATAAGTCCCCTCTCAGTGCTAAACCCTCAACCAGCCGGTTGTATTCAGCTCGCAATCTTCCTGCATCAGTAGCCTTGAACCTTCCTACCAGTTGGACAATTTTAATAATGATGACAAAGCGTTTGTAAATTTTTTGTTCCCCTTTCAGTTCTTTGAGAAAAAGCAGTGCCATAAAACCAGATTCTTTTCTTATTAACTTAAACTTCCCTAAGAAAACCAACAATTAGCAACTGGAGTGAGCAGACACCCAGATGGCATTCAAGAACAATCAGGAAATTCAATTGAAAAAGAAAAAGACCCTATCACTATGTTTATTGTTGTATTAAGAGTGGCATGTCCAAGCGTACTTAAGAATAAGCTATGTAGGAAAAAATTAGCGTACCTATCAATTTCTTGCCTAATCTTATTAAGATTTCGATTAGCTCCTTCAAGTGTAACCCTCCTCACACTGACGCTGAGTGCTTCAATACACACGTTATCGATATTATGGGCCTCGTCAAACACTACAACTGACTCCTTTTGTAACTCCTTTGATATAATTCCAGCAACCTTAGGATCCAGTAAGTATTGGTAGCTATAAACAATAACGTTGGCGAACTGAACCATATGCCTCGCGAGAAAGTAAGGGCACCATCCACGATTCTTACCAAACGCCCTTAGATCCTAAAATCCAAACACACATATACCATCAGCCAAAATGTGCAAGTAACCTCGGAATAGGTCCGAAATCAAACAGCATTCCGACTTAAACATAAACTTGATCAAGCAACAAATGTGAAAAACCTAAACTTTATAAATCTTACCTCTAAAGTATAAACACCAGGAGGCAACAACGCATTGTCAGCAGCCTTTTCATAGTTCTCAAAGTAGTCACAGAGTTCTACATTTGGATTCTCCGTGGACAAAGCCCTAACCCAACTAGCAGTCCGTTTCCTACAGGCGGCATCAACAGAATCACGATTCTCGGCAGCTAAAACCTTAGTATTAACGCAAAGATTCTTCCGAGAGGAAAGACCAATGGCGAGGATCATAGCCTGGGCGCCGAGATGGCGTACTTGGTAGTCATGTAGTAGCTTAAGCTCACCCAATGTTTTCTCCATCTCGTGGACAGTACGAGTACAGTAGACAAGCTTGATCGGAGAATCAGGACGAGAGAGTCGATAGCTGGTGATTAGAGAGAGAAGAGCAATGGTTTTGCCAGTTCCGGTAGGCATCTCGAGAAGACAATGTCCCTTAGCGTCTAGGGCTCGCTTCAATTCAACCATGTATTCGTATTGTTCTGGATATATGTTGTCATAAGGGAAGTAGACAGTTACGTCTTCGATCTTGAAGATCATCTTTCTCTTCCTCCTCGTTAAAGACCTAGAAATCGAAATTGGAAGCAGAAGAATTTAGAACTTACAAAACCCTAAAAACTCGGGATTCACTTCAGCAAAACAAGCGATTTCGAGTTGGAGTCTATAAACCCAGCCAACGAGAAGGAAGGAGCAATTGAAATTAATCGAAGAAGATAACGAGAGAAAACTTACCGGCGAGAATGGAAGCTTCGTTGTGTTATCAACGACTGAGAGAGAAATCGGTAGCAGCTTAAACGTAGAAGAAGAAATTTTGCGCCTGTGTTTGTCACCGAGAGGTGAAGGAAGTAGAAGAGGACTCTTATGAAAACTTAAAAGCTTTGTTTCTTTTTCATTCTGACCCATATTTATTTATTTTTATGCGTTTGACCCCCCAACTTTATATATATATATATATATATATATATATATATATATATATATATATTAAACTTCTCGAGAAAATTAGATTTTTAACAAAGAAATTAATATTTGAATGAATAGCCCTTTAATCCTTTTTTTTTTTTTTTAAACAATAGGCATATTTCATTGTTCTTCTTTAAATGTGGATGGCAAGTTTAGTAAGGTGCTAATAAACCAGTAAAAGAGTACAATGTATTTTCGAAATTGGAATTGATACAAAAAATGCTGGTTTTATCTAAATCTGGAACAGGGTTTAGTTACAACAATATAGAGATACATACAAACTCTCAAGTCTTATTCTTCAACTGGTTGATGGAAAGCTAATCCCTTTATCACATGTCGGCATTGAAACCTGCAATGACACAGAAGGCATTGTCAAAAACTTGTTTAGTGTGTAACTGGAGAACTGTGAATAAGAGAACTACCATATTAGATCATTTGTGGGCGGAGAATTTGTTGCATTGTCTTGCGTTCTGCACTTGAATCTCAACTTTGAAGGCACAAACTGCAATAATAACAGGTGAAGGAAATCGGAATCTTCTACATGGATGTGTGAAATAGGATTAGTACAAGTCTACTATACCTTTCTGTTGTATCTGAAGTCACGTTTAGGAAGGAAATGTTGGGGAAGATTCAAAGTAGGTGGAGCATGAACCAATATGAAGAGCCTCATTGGACCTGCAACTCAGAAGAAGGGAAAAGAATCACTAACAGTTCACAACAATGCTTAAGAAGTTTGAAATTTATGCAAAAGTTACCTGGGTAGGAAGTTGATCCAGCACCCGCCGAGATCAGTGCTCGGATAGTCTATAAAGCCAAAAAGAGTGAAGGGCTCAACCTTTGCTTACTTAAAATGGACAAGGAACAAATCACAAGCAACATGAACACAGAGGTAAGAAAACAACCTTTTTTGAAAGTGCTTCTGCAGCTTTGGATTTAGCAAAGTCACCTTCGTAGCCCAGAAGAGAATCACTGTGTTGTGTGAATAACAACTCATAAGCTTTTTGAGGCCGTAATGGACTACCACCAAGAATCAACACAACTTTCTGAATATCAGGAGCTTCACGGATCATTAACTGCAGCGCACTTCGGAGACTAGAGATAGTTTTCATCAGTTTCTCCAGTTTCTTAATCTCATTCTTCACCTCTCTCTTTCTACTCACCAGTTTTCTTCTAACCAGTGGTTTCACTTGAGGTTGTGTAAGATTCGCCTCCTACAACCTAAGATTCTTAGATTGTGAAAAAAAGACCTTAAACCGTAAAGTGAAAATGGCGTCAGTAGAACTAACATACCAAATCCGTAAGTTCAGTTTGCAATCCATCAAATTCAAGGCTCATGTCTTGTATTACCCTGCACAGATGTAAGTAACCAACAACAGTCATATTGGTAAAGGAGCTTTGTGTAGCCAAAACCAAAAGCTGCAAATTTGAAGTTTCTAGCTTTGATTTTCAGTAAAATACTCATAGTGGAAACAACATGCTTAATTCTAAAACCTAATGGAAGTAGTTGTAGAGCTTTTCGATTTCCCCTAGAATTGAACATAACTCACCTTCACCTACCAGGAATTAATCTCTAAACTCACACTAATTGATCCAGAATACACAAAATTCATAAACATCAATCTATAGTTCCTCTAGAAAAAACCTATTAATCACGGGAAATCGAACACACTAGACAAAATTAACGGAGAGATTCAACAACACACAAAACAGATACATCGCCACCAGATAGAACACCAAATTAGGATAAATCGAAGCATAGAGATACGAAAAGAGGAAGAGATAACATACGAAGGGATCTGTTGATGCATATAGAGGACGAAACCGACTATGTCATTGATGATATGGAAGACGCCGGAGCCACCTAGTGAAGAAGCGGTGGTCGCGATGTCTACGTCGTAGTTCTCCTCCGTAGTTCCTTCCCCTTCCGCCATTTCCATCTTCAATCGAAAGCTCTAGATCCGCCGCTGGTTTGTGTTGCTGAAGAAATTTGAAAAAAGCCAGTAGGCGGGTGAGAGAAGACGAAGAAGAAGAAAACAGATCGCTCTAGAGGAAAAAAATCACTAAATTAATCCCTCTATGAACTGAGAATAACAAATCAACCCCTACACTTTATTAATTCAAAAGTTAAACTTGTTGATTTATTACCAAATCACCCCCCCTAAGCGGTGGCGAGTGTTGGGCCGAGAATAGAGGGAACTAATTATAATTGGATCCAGTTTCGGCCCAATTTTCTGGTTCTATCAGTATCATCAAGCTGCTAAACAGTTTCTACAATTTGATAGAAATCATTGGTCTGGGCAAATAAACCAAACCGAATGTACCGAACCGAAACCGAAGTAAAAAAAACCGAACCGTACCGAACCGAAATTTTGAAAATAAACGAATGGATAGTAAATTTAATAGCCGAAATAACTGTAACCGAAATATTTTGGGTACCTGAAATATCCGAAATACAATTATATTTTCAAAATAATTAGTTATTTATATACCAAATAATCAAAAATACTTGAAAATATGTAAAAATAGTTAAAATAATCAAAAATAACCGAAATATATCCAAAAATATCCGAAAATACTCAAAAATAACGGAAATATCCGAAAATATCAAAAGCAAAATAACCGAATGGATACTAAATTTTAAAACCGAAAAAACCGGAACCGAACCGAAACCGAACCGAAATTTTAAAATATTCGAATGGATACTAAATTTTGAAACAGAAATAACCGAAACCGAATGGACCCAACCAATAACCGAATGGTTACCGAAAGCCCAGGCTAGAAATCAATGTCATCGTGTATAAATCTTTACCAAAAAAAAAACCCCGTGTAAAATCGTGTTATTTTATCAAATAATATTTTCATGACCACAGTTATGTTATTTTTTCATTACACACATGCACTCCCACCCACTTGAGACTAAAAGACCTAATAAAAATTGAAAATTTATCTAATGATAAAACACCAAGATTACTTGGTATGAAAACCCTTTTTTTTTTATGTTTCATATTCGGATTCCGCTGAAATTAGTTTCATTCCATTAAGGAAACATATAACTAAAACTGTTACAACATCTTGTTGTGTGCGATGACTAATTTCATCACATATTAGTCGAGACACTATAACGTAGTAAAACTATAATGAATGCACATATTTAACCATACAAAATTATTGTACCGGCCGGCTTTATTTTTGTTGCCAAAATTGATATAGTTGTTGCCAATATGAATTAGTGATTTTTTTGGTTTAAGAGATTAGGTTATTTTGCCCCAAAAAAAAAAAAAAAAAAAAAAAAAAAGAGAGAGAGATTTAGTTTACCAAAAAAGAAGGTCATCAAAACTCAAAATAGAAACTGGGCAAATAAAATAAAATATATATGTTTGATTATTAAAAAGAATGATTGAGATATCACAGAAATGGGTGCCGCATGAGATAGTGGTCAATAATAAGCATCAAGTGGCACATAGAACCATGGAAATTGAGCTCTCTCTCTCTCTCTCGATATTCGTTTGCAGAGAAACAAAGGACACTTTAATATATTTACACACTTTTGGGACTTTAGATTATTGGACATTACTCATAAGTTGTCTAATTCTCATTGGTGGACATTTATATACTTTGCAAAATTTATATGTTGGGATGTTCATTATGTACGGACACTGGGACTAATTTCTTCGTCCATGTCGGGGAATATATGCAGAATACATTTTTTTTTTTTTGGTAAAAGTATGCAGAGAAGATTAGCATGGTCTATGCAGAATACATATGTACACCTCGAAACAATTTCTGTGAGTTTATAACATTTAACACCAGAGTTTTGGTTTTGGATCTTGACTCATAGTCTCGTTATAACCGGTCAAGTAAATCCTAATGAACAAAATATATATATATATATATATATATATATATATATATATATTCGTTTCTTTTCCGAGCTTCGGGATATCAGAATCAGTGTTTCTTTTCGCAACTTAGCCATATTCACTCATAAACGATCCGAAACATTTTTGAGTAATAATGTTGTTTTTATTTTTCCGTAGTGTGCTCTAATCTGTTTCTATTAATCTCTGTAACTTCTGTCAAAAATTTAAAATAGTATAAAATTTCACTTTTTACCAAAAAAAAAAAAAAAAAACCTAATGAAAATGCATCCGATTCTCGAAAGATGATATATATTTGGATGGAATTCCAAATTACTCTAAAATTTATGAAAGAGCCGAATATCCTAGAAACATTTCAATTATGGCCAACCATAATTAGACTCAAAACAAGAGAATACTAGAACATGTTTTTTTTTCTTTAAAGGTAGACATTTCAACCACTAAACCACCATGAATTGATTTAGAATTATCCATGATTATATGAGACTCTATATAGTGAAAATGCCCATGTTTTATGTGTTTCATTTACCAAATATTCTATAACCAAAAACTAGAAACGAACGATTGATGTTGGCAAAACAACAAGCATATCGATTTTCAGTTGATGCATGCACGCAAAAAATTACTTCAAATTTTACATGAGCGATATTATATATACCTACCGGTTCTATGATTATTGTGTAAGCAAAATCTAATTTACTGTATATCGACCAATGAGACAACAAGTAAACAATACCGTTCGAAATATTAAAATTTTAACATTTTAAATAAAAAGTAAAATGATTAATGAGGTCATGCACTTTGGTATGATAACGCAAAAAGAAAGTAAGAGAGTCTCTGCAGTCTGCACAGTTCGTACAAGGAAAATCTATAAACAGAATCTAAATGATAGAGCAAAAGGCAAATTTAAAGTTTAAATAAATAAAAATGGTGGGAATTAAAAGGAGAAGTGAGCAGATTTTTTTTGCATGTGATGGTCATGTGCGTGTGGGAACAATCTTTCCTAATGTTTTTTTTTTTTTTTTTTTTAAATCTTCCTAATGTTCATGTGGCCGTTGTACATACCACATGATTTTTTCGCACATGGTTTTTTCAAAAAAAAACATTTTAGTCATTTCAACTATATTTAATAATTTCTAGTATAGCTGGGCAGTCGGCCATTCACTTTCGTTCATTTTATTAAGTTTGATATTTTTGGGTTGTTAGATTTGTATCATACTGACCAGATGTATTTAGCTTAAGACCATTATAAGATTCAAAAAAAATGTAATTTAAAATATAAATCATCATCTGATGACCTAAATAAATACTCCAAGATATTCTTATCTTTGATATACTTCCTCCATTTTACAAAGAGTGTCATTTTAAGGTTTTAATTTCGTTTCACAAAGAGTGTCGTTTTTTGTTTTCAATGCAGTTTTTAAGATTAATTATTATTTTTATCTTTATTATTTTAGTTTATTAATTAGAAAAATGAATTATCTAGTGTAATAATAAAGAGTAAAAATGAAATTTGTTTATTTTTCTTAATTTGTGTGAAAAATTGTAGAATAACTTTGTGAAACATAGAGAGTATTATATATGAATTTTAGTACTATTGATGTTCCTAATTAAATTCCTGCTGCTACTGTTGATGTTGTTGTCTACTTGTCTTCATTACATTGGTAATTGGTCTCTTCAAGTATTTTGTCAAACCTCATTTTTTAGTTTGTAAATCGATCTACTTCTGGTTTTGGAAAGAAATGAACCGCTCAGAAATTTTCTAATACTACAAAATATATTTTGTCAAATAATTATAATAATCAGTCGGAAATTTATACAAAGAGTAGAGTGGAAAAACTGAAAAGAGTTAGTGTTTAGGAAAATCATTCTAGGAAGCTTCCTAAAGGACATTTTCGGATATATTTTTTTCCTTGACGTACAAAAAGAAGTTAAATAGTACCAATATACTACTACATTATTATTCAGTTATTAGTTGTTATGATGATTATTTATAAATCTGACAACAATAATTATGATAATATTATTAGACCCATTTAACATTACATTTAATAGAAGTAAAATACATTACCAGTCCCCTCAAGAAATCATACTACAAATAGAAAAGACAAGAAAACATACAGACATATTACATAGATAAACTAAAATAAAACCCACGTTAATTAGTCGAATTAAGTTGAAGTAGCGACCCAAAAGTGCTGCTGCTTCCAAGTAAGCATTGGTTTAGGCTCACGACCATTCTCCTTGCATCTTCTGCTTAATCTGCTAAACTTTTTATTTCCATATTTACCCTCCATGATATCACTAGTTTCCTCATCGATGCCCTCCTCTGTTTCTTCTTCTTCCTCCTCCTCCTCATGACTGTGACTAAGAAGAGAACTTTCCGACGTTAACATGAGACGAAGCCTTCCTTCACCACGTTCAGCTACAAAGCAACTAGGCGGAGACGAAGCCCTAATTGCTTGAACTACAAGTCGACCATCTTCTCCTAACCATCTCACCATACGATTATACTTTGAGTCTTCAACGAACTTTATCGGCGGCGGGAAACTGTTGTTGCGAACCATCGGCGATTTCTTGTCCGTCAAGTTAGTATCTTCTCGTGGTTTCAGCTGAAGAGGAACCCTAGGAGTAGTGGCTGCTTCAAACGCAAGCAATGATAACTCGTCACCACTCTCGCTTCCTGTTTCGGTTCCGAGACTCTCAGTGCACATCTCTAAGCTTTTCTCATTGAGCTTAGAAACAGAGCGTTTCTCCATCGGGTGAACATAAGCTTTATCCTCTTTGGTTTGGACAATGGCAGTGATGTCGGACATAGATTGCAGGAAACTCAACCCACCCATGTCATCTTTTTGATAGAAACTTTGATTCTTCGGAACGATGTTATCTTGAGGTTGACAAACAACAAGTGACATTTTTATATGTTCTTCAGAAAAACAGAGCAAAACAAAGGATTTTAATGAGGGTTGGTGATTATTATTGAGATCTAATGTATAATAACAGAGAGATTGGATGGTAATTAAGAAGAGAGGAATGAATTTGAGAGGGAAGAGGAGGAGGGGTGAGCAAGTATTTATAGTGGCGAGTCCACTTGGCATTGGATTCTTTATAGGCTTTTTTTTTTTTTTTTTTTTTTAATTATTCTACACCTTTATTACATGGACATATACTAAAATCTTATAATCCCTATATTTAATCATATGGAACCATTTTAACTGGCACCAGACCATCCAATTTTTGGTAGTTTTTTCTCTAGTGAAAAACATTAAATATGTAAATATTTTTGTTGTCTACAAGTTACACAAATTACGTTACAAACCTAGATTATAACACTAGATCATATTAATACACACCATTAAATTATATGTTTTAGTATTTTCATATGTTTGTAACTGATAAACTTGTTTCATTTGTCAAATTTCATAGATAAATCCTTCACCGCGCCACTAAACCATGACTCTTGCTTTATAGTTTTGTATAATCTTTATGTTTTGTCTCGAATATTATCGTAATTCGTATATCCAAATGTTCAAAGTATTTTATATAATACAAACCAATAGTGTCGGAAATGAAAGGATGGATGAAAATATAAGTTTGTGTTGTTGTTGTGTCGTGTCAACAACGATTTAAAAAGTTCGTAGCAGAAAGTTTAAAGAAGAAAAAAAAAAAAAAGAAAGATGATACTTAAGCATAGAATTTAGACATTTTAAACATTCTCAATAGCCCTTAAACACATATTCGACCTATTGAGCGGTAGCACTATGGAAAAAATGGCTTTCATATTTTTCTTGATATTTTATTGCCTAAAGATATAAAAATTGCTTCATTAAAAGTTAAACACATCATTATTTTATTTAGGAAGTAGGATTAGATTAAAATAAAGGTAGCATCAATTAACCCCGGTAATTCTCACCACAAGTGACATCGTTACAGTTGATTTAAAAACATTTGTTTAATTTGACACCTACATACATGCATGTTACAGCTTTAATTTGTAACAAATTTGTTAAGCAATAATAATTCAAATTCTGCTAACGATTCGTAAATTTAGTAAAAAGTATCCTATCGAATAGGTCACCTAACCTATAGCACTTCAGTGATATTTTTATTTTTTGGTTTCTTCCTCAAGTTGTGGCTGTAACTTGATCTTGTAAAATCACTTTGTCCAAATGAATTGGTAGGCTTTTTTTGCATTCTTGTACGTTAGTATTCTAATTCTTATAGAAAATATATATTTTCAGTTAACCGGCTGTTCCATAATTTCTCTGTTTTTTTTTTTCATTAAAAAATAAGACTTATCATAATTTTTCTAGTACTAATCTTTCTAACCAAATACGGATAATAAAAATAAATTATCCGTTCAGACCAGAACGAATACTGGATATATCTAGTCTAGCGATACCCGTAATCCATCAAAGACAAATAAAATGAAAAATAATGAAAGGCCCAAGAAAATCACAAAGACAAACCAACTTGCAGCAACTGTAATGCAAACTGATATGAACCATAAATAATACAAATCAATATATATATGTATATATATATACATATATTTTTTACTTTTTTTAATACGAAATAAAAAAATACAACTATAAGCATATATGCGATATTAATTACCAGGTATTTGCTTCTGTATCGAAATTGATTAGAGTAAGTGCAGAATCAAACGAAAGCAGTAACATGCTTACCAATCAATAGTATAATGGCCCCAAATCAGTTTCATGTCCAAATCCTTGAGATTGTGTTTCTGATACTGCAGCATCTCAATATCATATTGACAGTTTCCTAATACTTGTTGGTACATTGAAACCAGATTCAAAGAAAAAGGAAGTACAACATACGAAGAACCGAGCTTTCTTCTTATGATTAATCTACACCTCTCAAATTGTAATGAATGTTTAAAAACATGTATGCCTTGTAATAGAAAACTTATGGGAATACATGTTTCAGAGCGCGAATCAATGCTTGGGTTCGAGAGTGACTCCTCTATAGTCCATAGGTTCTCAAAGAAGTAATAAATGTAGGGTCAGTTAAGGAACATAGACAATAAGCATGTCTCATACTAACTTAGATGACAAGTAGTGATGTCTTCTATTACAATTATTCAGTTAATGGAACAGTACACCAAAAAGCTACGGGTAGCAAAAGAAGTTTCCATTTCAAGTGAGGAAAACTTTTCAAACCTTCATGTGTTGTGAAAACAAAAGTTTTTTGTTAATGAAAACTCGACAAAGACCAGTTAAAAACGTGTGTAGTATAACTTACTGGTAAGTAAAGCTATAAGCAAGAATCTGTACCTTATTTTCTCTCTCTAGTGATCCCTGACCATCCGGATTTCGCATTCGCCAATCTCTGTGTTTCCGTGTGTTTTCCCCTTTTTGGTTTTAGATTTGCCTAAACCAATCAAAACAAGAGAAACCTTGAAACAAGAACCAAAAAAAGTGGGCTTTCTCTGCATCATCATTCCACTTCTGGTCCCCAATTGAAAAGGACAATCCAAAGCTAGATCCCTTCAAAATTTCTGCAATTTTTAATATTACTTTGCAAGTCTATGTTTCTTTCTGATCTTTAGCAACAAAGGAAGGTGGAATCTGTTTCACGTTTACACAAAAACATGTCAACTGGGGATTTTCTCTTTCCCTAACTTTTGACCATACTTAATATTCTCTCTTTGTTTTTAATAAAATAAAAGGTTTGGTTATCAAGCATACATGTCATTAGCTTAAAGCTATTACCTTGATTAGAAAACTAACGAGGAACCTATGAACAAGCTTTTACACAATGTTAGTCTAACGTTAATTACGTTAATTCTAATTAATTTCCAGCATCAAGCATTAACCAAGGTTTATCCTACCAATTTTGGATTTTAAAACTTCTCGAACCAATCCTTACCTAGAAAGAAGTTTTTTGCGCTTTTATCTTTTCAAATCATAGCTAGCATATGCTGAGAATTACTCTTCGTGGAAACCTATACTATGAATTTTTTCCATATCTAAGTAGTTAAAGTCAAAGATTAGTACATTAACAACAAATTTTAGATGCTCTATGCGGACAATCAATAGCATATGAAGCTATTCATGAACTCCCGAAGAATATAAAAATCTCAATGATAGAAAAAATGAGTCAACTAACATACTAACCTGTGATGTGAGGTACATCCGTACCTGTGCTGGTCAAAGAACAGAAGTATATTTCCTCCACGAGTCTCCTGAGCTACATTCATCTAGTGATTTGTATCATAAGCAATCTGAAAAAAGAAGTAAGAAATCATTATACCAGAATTTCATGCCCATAATGCTGTTGTTTGGTTCTTACAAACCATCAGTGAGTCCATTTCAAGTCGGAACTGGCAGGTCTTATTCATTATGACAAAGTACATACACTTGCCCCCCACTGAACAATGTCAAGAAGGGAAAACCCGACATTGTGTTGGAACAGCTAAAGTCTCATCTCATCTCGTGATACATGCAGGTTATCAATATCAACTTGTAGCAACTGTAATTTACTTCTAATATCTGACAGTTCTTTCTGGATTCCTAAAAGATGATCAAGTCTTAGCTGAGCTTCTTCTCGATAAGGCTTGGCAACGATATTCACAAAGTTTACTAGATTATCAGTCGCATCTGAAAGATCTTTTCGCATAGAATCTTCTAGTTGTTGAGCCAACGCATCAGCCACTTTATTCACTTTGCCAATTATAGCTTGTCTTCGATATGGGAAGTTTGCTATAGCCACATACCTGCCACAAAGATTATGTTATATATACAGCCAGTATGTCTTAAAAAATCATAATATGCCTTTAGTTGCGAGAAAAATGATACATTAGGTGATGTGATATAAGAAGTGGAGTAATGAGACAATGGGAAAGATGGGAAATGCAGAGAAGTATCATTACCCTCCAGCGGAGCAAAGGCCAAGAGCAAGAAGATCTTCCAATGTGGTGGGTAGCACTGAGGTTAGAAGTGATGCAGATAGTCCCGCAGCTCCAAGCCCACCAACTGTCACAACGAACTAGAAAAGGCAAGCAAAACTCAATTATGTCAAAAGTGTCACTTTAGATTGATTCTTGAATAACCAGACGAAGTATATGGGAAAATACAGTACTGAATTAACATCTCCGTCAGATCTTAGGTTCGGGTTGAACAGATGACACAATTAAACAATGATGAAGATCAAGACACTTTAATCGACTGAACTCTAGTTAGAATAAAAGTATTTAATACTTGAAACTCACCACTTCTCGAATATCTTGTTCCAATCGTTTTGATGTGGTCCCGGCACTCAAGTTCTGTATTGTTTTCAAGCTGAATTTATCAGTTTTCCGAAGTAAGTCATATGTGTCTATGCCCAATTGAGTTTTTGAATTGACATATGTTGGCCATTTGTTTTCGAATGATTTCAGGGACAGACTCCCTTCACGGGCAGTATTTGATTGTAGCCATTCAGCATATTTTCCAAGCAACTCCTGCAAACCAGTGAAATGTAAAGTCAATTCCTTAGGATTAGAAACCAGTAACCAGCATCAATCAGGTCACAAGAAGACATTGTTAGACAATATTTAACTTCTGCATGAATAGAGACTATATCTCAGACCTCAAATATATGACCAACATGTCCACAGTTAGGACAATAACACTTACTTTAGCATTTGTGAGTGCTGGAGCGAGTATTTCACCTTGAACTTTGGATGTAGCTGCTATTGAGGCCGAGTTTTCCCCTTTGAATAAGTAGGAGACCGCAAGATCAAGGCTTGATAGTCGCAGGGTAGTTCCTATTAGATCAACAACTTGTAGTCTGGCATTATCTATCTGCAATAAAAGCCAGAGTACAAAACACAAAAAAGCCAAGTTAGAACAATCCAATTTCCTCCTACGTGATTCAACAAGATATATCTAATAGAATTTATACCAACGAGAGAGCCTGCCTTCTCCAAGAAATGCTCTCATATTCCATCTTAAGCGCGTATTCTTTAGTTCGATTGATAATCTTGTCTGCTGACGCCAAGTCTTCCCTAGCAGCTAGGCAATCTTGTCTCACAAGAGATTCCACAGAGGCAAGGAGACGCTCAGCAATCGCCATGGGTGTCTCCAATTTAAGCCTTATTCTCTCCATCCCGGTAGCAGTTGAGCTATCCAAGAAGCTATAAAGAAATTTCTCAAGTTCATTGAAGCTCTGGACTCTCCAATTAGAACCAGGATCTGAGACCTCAAGATCATCTCTGCCAACCAAAGAAGCTGTTGAAAGCTTCGCCTCAAGAGCAGACCGTGCGGACACCGGATACAATATCACATTTTCTGTATTAAGCAACTTCCGTGTATTCTCTTTAACAAATGAAATCGCTTCCTCAAGCTGCAGCAGTAAAATTAATCTTTAGTCAAGAAAAATCCAGTAATTACAGAGACTATCAAGGAAAGAACATAAATCTTATTTCTGATAAACCTCACGGGCATCACGGTAAATATCAGATTTATTCAGAATAAACACAAATTTCTTCTTCCACTGCTGTGTGTAACGGAGAAACGCAACCTGACAACACAAGGAGATGTAAACCAGCCTACAGTACATTCAAGAAAGCAGGAAGCAGAAGAGGTAGAGATAAAAATGACATGGGCATGATGACACTGAGAACCTTGTTCCTAATTTGAAAACTTTTCTGATTTTCAGAATAAATACCAAATATCTATAAAATTAGAACTTTCATAAATGATCATTTACATACAATTTGCCACCAGGAGGCAAAATCAGTTTTGCTGTACCAATAACAACTAACCTCTCATATGTCTTGGCCTAAGCTTTACCAATTTATGGACCAAAAGGACATACTGGTTCCAGCAATAGCTATAACACCCATTCTTGAAAAATAATTTGAATAATTTAAATTTATAATCAAGAAAACCTTGATTTATGCATTCAACCTAGTGACAACTTCCCCCTCCCTACACAAGGTCTTGATGGTCTATACATGACTTTACTAACTACTTTTGTGAAAAAATAGATTTAACCAGCTACTTAGGCAGATACATATTGAGCAAAAACAACAACAACAAACAGACCAAGTAAAACAGTAACTTCTACCTCACTTTCAGTTAGAGGGCGGTCAGCAGAAAGAACGAAAACAAGCAAATCTGCACGTGGAACAAATTCTTCTGTAAGACGTTGTTGCCTTTGAAGGATCACATTGGTCCCAGGTGTGTCAACAATATTTATCTGCAAAAGGAGAACAACCCAAATCAATTCCTCCAAATAATTAGAAAAAATTCAGGACTGCGATGGTGGAATTTTGAATGACTCACATCCTTAAGTATTGGTGCAGGAAGATAGCATACGTATTGGCCATCTGGATGTGTTTGGCAACGTTGTTGCTCTTCGGATTCCAAGTCAGAGTAGCACAGAAAAGTGATTTCATTGGTAGTGGGGACTACCCCCTCTTTCAGGTATCTCTTCCCAAGAAGTGCATTGATAACCGTTGATTTTCCAGAGTTAAATTCCCCCTAGTACCAGCAAATTATGGATTTCAATACATAATCCATACAGAAACTAGTTTGAATCATAGAAGCTACTTGTCCCGCTTAAAACATTTTCTAAGTTTAAAAAAACCCAAATCAGAAGTAGATAGAAAATTAGTTGGAATCCTCTAAAAATGACATGCAAAGCTTCAAAAATTTTAAACGAAACATGATAATTTTTTTACTCTTCTAACCACCAAATAGCTATAAGAACGGCATACTCACAAGTCACAAGAAAGCGAAATAATATGACTACAAGCAGATGGTACAGTTAAGAAAAATGCAGTTCCCCTATAACCAGATCCATAAGCAAAATAAGAATAGAAGCATAGACAGAACAAAAGAAGAAGCGAAACATCATAGGTGACTAAAGAAGATATTGAGAAGCACTAAAGAAGAAGTGACTAGAAGCATGCACATTGTTTAGCAGAGATCTATCTCAAGCTATCTAGTGCTGGCAAAAGTGTGTAACTAAAAATATTTCTAATGAATATAGAGCTAATACCAATGCAAATTCCTGGAATCACAATTTGACGGAGTTGAGTGCAGAATTACCACTATAACCATCAGAAACGGCTCATCAATCCGAGAAACAGCATCAATTAGAAGAGAGACCTCCTCCATCTGTTATGGAAAAATAGTCGAAGAAGTAAATTAAACCATATTATAACCACAGAAAACCTACTTTAGAACCATTTCAAAACATTGACTTCAACTACCAAATGTTTGAAATAAAAATCACCAGTGGAGCCGCCTTCTGGATGATTTCAATCGTTTCTCCCAACACTGATTTCTCCATTTCTATTATTAGTTTCTGTTTGTCCTCTAATTTTATGAACCCAGCAGAATTATTTTTCTCCGGCAGGTCACTCGTTTCAACCAATGTTTTATCGTTAAGAATGCTTTCATTCTTATTTTGTGTCTCATGATTTACAACATAAGCTCCATCAAGACACTGGCGAAGAGCTACATCCCTAGAAGAACGCAGATCTTTCAACGATATAACAAAACCAGAAGCGCCTGATTTCAGTAACTGCAATTCTTCTCTTTTGCTGCTGCAAGTAACAAAAATCGGAATTTTCACGCTCTTCAACAAAGAATCTGACAATAAACCCACTTGTTTATCTTCACCACTTCCAAGTATAAGGAAATCAGCACCCTCAGAGCTTGAAGCACTTAGAGCAGAATCAACATCCTTCACAATCCTAGCTACTAAAGGAAGAACTACCGAGTCGGGATTGGATCCCATCAATGTGTTTCTTGCCACTATGGCCGGAAGACCTGTACATAGCATTGAGAGACAAACTCACTGAATGAACAACACTTACTAAAGAAGCAGAAAGCTAAAATTGAATGAATTTGCAAAAATTAGATTTACCTTCGTCGGAGAGAGCAACACCACTAGCACCAACGGCGGAGGCGATATCAACACGTTCGGCGATCAAGAGGTAAGCACGACCCTTGACAAGTGATTTCAACAAACAAGCCGCCTCGTAGAGCTTACCAGCGGTAGCTCCGCCATCAATCACGACGATTTGAACCGATTTAGCTAAAGCACGGTCGACCAAATCGACAGTCTCTTCACGATTTCCACTCATAACCTCATCCGCGTCTAGCCGGAGAAGGACACCGGGAACGGCGAGTTCGGGACGCTTGTAACCACCAGGATAAAGAGTTCGCGGCCTAGAAGAAGAAGTCTGATCGGCGGATTCATGCGAAACGTTTCTGATCGAGAGAGAAGGAAGACGCCTATGACGTGGAGCAGTAAAGGAGGATAACTGAAAGCACCGGCCAGGAAACGGTGGAGATGCGGCGGAGATAAGAAACGGTGACGTCACACATTGCCGGTGAGAGATTAGAGTTCTCATGGAGAGAGAGAGAGAGAGAGAGAGAGAGAGAGAGAGATTTCTGATTTGTTTTCTTATCTCTTAAATATCCGCTTGGCCCATCCCAAAGCTATCCAACGGACGGCGCGATTAGTTATTTTTCAAAACAATAATTTATATTAACTAATTAAAGTTTGATCAAAAGTAATTATAAATTTGTGTGAGATGAAAAAAAAAAAAAAAATTATAAATTTGTGTGGACGAAAATAAGAATATAATAATTCAAATACCAAACCACAGGAATAAAATATTTTGGAGTGACCAAGTTAGGGTCTTAATCATACTTTAATTCATCAGGTATGATAGGTCTCTTGAGAGGAAATCACCGACCTTTTGTCTACATCTCTTGATAATGCCTTCCTCATATCTGTTTTTTTTGAGATCAAACGATTTAAGCTTTAAACAAAAGAAAAAAAATAAGCACGAATCATAGATAAAAAGAAGTGAATCAAAGCCTCGCCTAATCCATCTTCCTCCCCTAAATAATAGCGTAAAACCTGCCTATAGATTATGTAGCCAAGCTGCCACAAAAAAAAAAAAAAAGAGACGGTTAGTTTCATTAAATTTATGTTTGTATTTTGTAGTAGTCCTGAGTTTTATATCTGTTATCCGCGAATATCTGTACCCGTATCCGGTTTTTGATCCGAATAAATGGCTATCCAGCAAAACAGATATGAATACGAATGTTAAAATGACGGATTTTCCAGATACGGATACGAATAGTCTTAAAATTTGGGAAGGATAACGGATATTCGGAGTATGATTAGACCCACATAAGATTTTATAACTTAAAAGACGTATGACTTCAATTTTTTAGTGTTAAAGTCCAAAAAAAATTGTAAGCCCAACTTTTTTACTTATTTTATTTTATTTTCAATGTTAATAAATAAATCATATGATAAAATATAAATAATAAATTCTAAATTTAAGAAGTTGATTAATGTCTTTTATTTTGTTTCAAAACATCACTTAAATCTTTTGAGCTTTTTTCTACTTTAATAAATTCTTTGTTCTTTAATGTTTGTATGTTTATCAATTTTTAGCTATTTTATTAATTTTTGAGCTTTTTATGTATGATATTAACCATTTGAAAACTCTATTTCTGCGAATATCCGCGGACATTCGGATTTATAACGAATATTCAGATACCGGATATCCGGAATTTCAGAATAAAGATATTAAATTGGCGGATAATACAGATAGCCCAAACAAACCAGATATATGCTCCGTTTATGGACCTACTTTGTAGTCGTTTATACAGTTTTAGAAAGTACTCCCTCTATATCACAAATAATGATTTTTGAGGTTTTATTCTTGTATCAAAAAGATTGATTTTCTGTAATATATTTAATACATTTTTTATTTTCAAGATCAATTGATTGGAGTAAATAGGGTAAAAAGCAACTTTAAATTAATTTTATAAAATATATAATACAAAAGTAATCAATAAATGTATAAAATTTATTATTTTCTTAATCTTAGTGAAAAACCTCATAAAACAATCTTTTTGATACAGAGGGAGTATGTATTTTATGTACAAAATGATTAAAATTATAATATAAAATAAATAATAATCTAACTTTAAGCCAATTTTCGCCATTGGAGGTTCTGGTTCACCATGTTGCTGCAAATAGAAGTAGACGGAGGATTAGCCCCACAATGCAACTTGCTCTTGATGATCCTCTAGTCGACTTTAGAGTTGAGTTCGTGTTGCAAACTTATGACAAGACAGGGGTGCCTAAACAACTGGCTGATGACAGGATAATGGAGCACATAAATTCATGGATGGAGGCTCGCGTTCAAACCCAGACAACTTACAGTGTATTGGTTCTGTTCAGTCACGATGCAGATTTCGCAGACATAATGCGCATTGCTCAGCAACGCTTCAGGACTGTTTTCATTCATAAATCTAATTTTGACGTGGGTAAGAATTTGGACTTGTACTTAATTGGCACGGAAATTAACCATGAGATTGTAGTTGAGAATGAAGATGAGGGGGTGAAGATAATGGAGATAACGGAGGTAGCGATGAGGGGGATGATAGTGGAGATAGTGGAGATAGCGGTGATGAAGATGGTGGTAGAGGTCAACGTCGAGTTCGAAGAAGAGACCCTAGTTATCCACCTTTGGGAGCTCGGCGTAGAGGTGGTGTGTTTTATCGGTCGAAGAAAAGAAAACATCCTATGCGGATGGAGGCTGTGGCTGCTATATTGGTTGCTTGGGTCATCAATAAGTGTCCGGTTCCAGTTGCCTTTGGCGAATTAACCGACGTCTCTAGTGACATCCAGAGAGTATGTTGTTGTCATGACAATTTCAGGAAGCATTTTGCATCATTGTCGAAGTTTATCTATTACTAAACTAGGGAAAAATCCGGACTACGCCCGGGTAAGACATTTGAAGATTGATATTTTAATTTAGTTAACTTAGTTTAAATTCTTTGTAGTTTCTTTAGGAAATATGAAAAGAAAATTGTATAATTTTTAAAAATGTTGTATTTAACATTTTAACAAAAGCTTATATATATAGAGGCACATTTTAGAGCTAGTTATAATTTTTTGTTTTTTACTTATTTGATTTCTCTTAAATACCCTTTCTTATTGATCTCTTTTGGAGCCTATATAGAAATTATTATAGATCTAAAGTTAAAAGGCTATCACTTGGTCATAAGTTTTACCACATCTTTTAAAGGCACCTATCATGCAACAAATAAATGGTGAGTACTCAGTTAATTGCGATAGTCAAGCCATATTTTATTTTTTTGATGATAGTATAAATAGGTTTCTACAAATTAACTTAATCTCTAGCTTCGAGAAACTTTTGAAGCACAAATGATATTACCTAGAAAAGGTCATTGTTGTAATAGGTTTTGTTTGTGAAAAATATATGTATACCCACCACCTCTGGCCTTAAAAGCTGAGTCTTTCAAAGCCTTACCAAACAACTTTGACATTACATAATATACCCACCAGGCCACCAGGTTTTTGTCCTTGGCAAAACGATACATATCTTCAGTTGCTTTTTATATAAAACTGCATTTCCAAAAAAATACCAACACATAAATGGCTCGCCAAGTAGAGTTGAAACAAATTCACTGTCTCCGTGTCTCGTCTGCAACCATGAAAAGCAACATTTGATCTGTAACATGCTATGTACCATTAAAAATCAAAATCATATTAATAAACTGCCCTCTTATTTAGATTTGCAAAGCATTTACTTGCTTGCTTGGCTTCTCACGAAACTATCAAACTCTAGAGTTCTACTTTATGAAGTAAGAAATATACAAACAAAAATCCATACTAAATCAAGAGTTAAAATTTGTGGCGAACCTCACTTGGATGGATTCTCGGCGTCGTCTCAGTACAGAAGGAGGATTGGACCTTTGCTGTCCTATGCAAATGGTCGAAGCAAGTATTAGATTTGGAGAGCTTTATTGATTACTATGTACAGTCCACTACGTACCTATGACATCATGTTTGAACAACATCTATATCAATAAATTAAACTACAAAATATGTCTTTTTGTTTAAATTTTACCAAAAGAGATTTGATCTTTGTTCTCTTACTCCCTTGTCTTTATCAAAAACTGCTCATGTGCCGTATTTATAATTAGTGTGTAGAGGCTCCTAAACTGTAATCCAAATTGGAGGCTATATAAAGTATAAATGATTAAAAAATACAGAAACTATTGATGAACAAATTTGCACCATATATAGATTCTATTAATCTTAAATCTATGTCTCCCATACTCATTGATCACAACTACCTCAAAAGCACGACTTTACTTACCATGAGAGCTGTGATCGATCGAAATCTAGCTATAAGCTCCTTTGAACGATTGTAAAGTTCTATCCTCTTTTTTGATATCCTAAGAACAACAATTGATGAAAAATTAGATGTATTGTTGTGAAAGTTCAGAACTGAAAGACACTTTCTTGTTGATATATATATCACCTACGTATCCGCTGAAAATTGGTGGTGAAATACGCTTAAAGCTAGAGGAGGAGGAGGAGGAGAAAACGCTTTGATGCAATACCGTAATTATTTAAATGGAACAAAAACGTAATAGGAATGAAGAAATATTATTTACCTTAGCAAAATATGGTTCCATGAATCCGCATGATCTCCAAAATTAGGGTTTCGAACCACTTCAGAGTTTGCATATTGTTTTTGTTTGAAGAAATTCTGTCTATAAGCGAGCAAAAGACAAATACACAAATATAATTGCCACTGCTCTCCATAACTGTTAAAAAAAGGAGAAAAATCATGCGTTAATCGATTGAACTTTTAAGAGAGAGGTTACCATGAAAGAGAGAGCCAGATTGCAGGGGAGGAAGATGAAGACAATCGATTGATCAGATTGAACTTTTATATCGTAGGGGAGAGGAAGTGCCGCTTGTGAGACTTAGTTTAGAAGGTAGTAAATGAAGAGATTAAACGATACAAAGAATTGAAGGAAGATGAAGCGTCCTTACAATGAAAATGTCGAATGACAATCATCATCTCATAAACCACGTGGCATAAGGTAAACTCACAAAACAAAACAAATTGATGTGCTGATGCGGCTTTTTCATAGGTAGTGTTTTTTTTGCTGATGTGGATGACCTTAGACGCCTCAATTAGCATCTTTTATTAGTAAGAGATTACTAAATGAGGATAACCAGATTTTAAAATTAGATTTAAAAAATTCCTTGGCAATTTCAGTTTTTCAAGTCTTCGTAAAACATCAATGAGGGAAGTTGTTAGAAATTTGAAATTTTCATAATCATAGCATGTTCCAGTTGTCTCTGATGCCGAATTAGTATAACTGATTTGAGTAGCCCTGGGCATACGGTTTTTTCGGTTAATTCGGTTTTTCGGGTTATTCGGTTATCAAAAATTCTGCCGAATTGAACCGAATAAAAATTCGGTTCGGTTCGTGTTTTTTTCAGTTCGGTTATGAGGTTTAAAATCAATTCCGAAATAAACCGATTCTTTTTTAAATTCGGTTTATTCAAACCGAATTACACAAAATCAAAAGATTTTGGGCTTAAAAATAACAATAAATCAACAAAATCCAATAACAAGCCCCGTTTAACATATTTACAAAGCCCGTTTAACATATTTACAAAGCCCAAACCGCCAAACCATTAACAATTAGGGTTTGATGGCGATGGCGACGGCGACAGCGACGGCGGCGGTGGCTCGATATCTCCGTCCGATGAGCCTTTATTGAAAGGCATCCATGGAATCTCAAGGCTGTTGTTTCGATCCTTGTTTATTAGCCAAATGTACTAAACCCTAGCCATCGTGATAAAAGCAACAGAAAAAAATATTGTTAGTGAAGCTAAATCAAATGTGGTTCTAATCACTCTAATCTCTGTAAGAAATAACGAAAAGAAAAAAAGTGAAAACAAAAAGCTCACCAGAATGGATCGACAAAGAGCTCACGGGAATGGATCCCTCCGTTTGGTGATATTTCCGGCGGAACAGATCGGGATTCCGATGAGGTTAAGTGATGAAAGTTCTCAGAATTTTTAAGCAACTAAAGGGGTTAGAGAAGAGGAGAAAATAAGGGATTCACGTTAGATCTAGGGTTTTTTTTTGGCTTTTATAGGGTGTCTCCTGAAACCGAGAAAACCGATCGGTTTTCCTCTGCCGAACCGAACCGAACTGTTAACCGAACTCCAATTATAATTCCGCCGATCGGTTCTCGCCTGTGAACTGAAGTGAAACCGAAACCGAAAAATTCGGTTCGGTCGGTTCGGTTTTTTTCGGTTCTTTTCGGTTCAAACCGAACGCCCAGGCCATTTGAGCTTTGTATCCTCTGTTTCTGTTCTTTGAGGTTTTTTGTAAGAAAGTTTGCTTTTAATAAAGAAGACAATTCTGGAAAATTAAAAAAAAAAAAAAAATTGTGGAAGAAAAGCAGTAATAATAATTCAGATACAAAACCACAGGAATAGAAACATCATCTAAAAGATCTTGGAGTAATTTTAAATGCAAATAACAGTTGTGTCTTAATCATACTCTAATTCATCAGGTGTGATAGGTCTTTTGAGAGGAATCACAGACTTTTTCTCTACATCTCTTGATAATGCCTTCCTCATATCTGTTTTTGAGATCAAACGATATAAAGCTTAAACAAAATAAAATGTAAGGGCGAAATCATTGATAAAAAGAAGTGAATCAAAGCCTCACCTAATCCATCTTCCTCCCCTGAATAATAGCGTAAAACCCGCCTATAGATTATGTAGCCAAGCTGCCACAAAATGAAATAGAGACGGTTTGTTTCATCCAAATGGCCATTGAGAAGAAGTCCATCAAGGAGATGCGTAAAATGTGTGCATGACCCATTTGGGAAGTTAAAAATCTTCTTTTTTTTTCTCACAATGTCATCAAGATTATGAGGCTTCTAATCAATTTCATAATCCTAATATATTACCTTTTCATACATCTTGATGGCTGGTGTGTTGGAAGCTCTTACAAAAAGATCCACAAAGTAGGCTTTATCACTGCAATCAATAACCACATGTATAATAATCATTAGAAGACCAGAAAGTACCAGAGAATATAAAATCAATGAGAAGCAATTCAAGATTTTCTTCCTTTGAACCTATCTAAATATCGGTTTTCAAAAATATAAACGGTCCACTTGAAAGCCAATATCAATATATTAAAGCTTCCATCTTTATTTAATTGTATATCAAAGAGAAAACAAAAAACTGGAGATGCTTTGTTTCTGTTAAGTCCTACATCTTGTCACTGATATCTTCCAGAAGGTTCATCAGTTTCTTTGCGAGTTGCTGCCTGCGATATTCTGGAGAGACAGTGACGGCTGTCACATGACCATGCCAAGATTCACCCTGTCCTTCAACTTTACCCATAACTGAAACCATATAGAAATTAGTTAGACACATGCTTTTAAAATGATATTCATAACAAGAAGTTTTATCATACAGCTCTAGTTCCCAGATTTTTGTATAACAGATGATCATTCAAGAACACCTAGATAAGCCACTTACGTGGATTCTCAAGAATATCAACCATAACATTTCAGCTATACAAAAGTACATTTTCAGAAAAAACTGCTTAATTTTCACATGAGTTGATATCCATAAGCTTAGTTTTACTCTCAGCCCTTTCAATGGATTCACTATACTTGCAGGGTCTCTTTCCAAACTATACCACGAAAAGGGAGAAAAACAGGTTTAAATTCGTGAAATCTCTCTCCCACAATTAAATTTACATCTTCCAAACAAAGCCAAACGGCTTGAACCAGTCAAGTAATAGGGCACCACAAGAACGGAACGTCAAAGATTCAGATCAATAACGAAGCATATATGGTTCTTCAAGAAAATAAAGAAAGACGAAGCCTAGAATAAATCACATTTCGAACCAATCCAATAAGGGATAAAATAACTATACTTACAAACACTGAAAAACAGATAAAAGTTGAGCCTTGATATAACTCATTAACTCATTCTATGGACATTTAGAAGTTAGCACCAACAATCTTGAGCCATGGTTGCTATGCATCTTCTACCCCATATCAGGATTTCTAAAATCGCTAACTACACAGGCTAGAACTAATAATACAAACATATAAAAGATTCCCTTTTTCAAAATTTAGCTGAATGCCACAAAACAACTGAGATAGCTGAGAAATTTGTTAAAACACTTATACATCAAACAGTCACTCTTCCTGGTTTTAACAACATTCAAGCTATCTCCATCTGATAACCAACCAAATAAAATCAATAGTGGCTTTTCCACTAACACTTTATTATCTAAGTTTTAAACCTAAAATTAAACATAATCTCCACGAACGAAGACATAAAGAAATCAAAACGAAGAGATTACTTACTATAACCCATGACACGATTGCCGGGACCTTCAGCTACATGAAAATAGTCAGGCCATCTCGCTAAATAGGTCATGTAGAAAGACATATTGAACTGTTTCACAAAACCAAAATTTGAACAAAAAATCAACAAAAATCGCCAAAACAAAGCAATAATCAGAAAAAAACCAGAGAATACGAAGAAGAAACAGGAGATTACTGTTTCAGTGAGGTGGTCCAGATTCACGGAAGTGAATCGGAGAAGGTCGTTGCAGCTGAATCTACGTATCGTCGTCATCTCTTCTTCGAGCTTCGTCAGATTCTCTGGAAGAAGAAGAAAGAGGAAACAACAACAAAGCAATATACATGGGCCAATTAGAAATTTAATAAAGCCCATTTATATTTGGGCCTAAGACCATGATGACGTCATGTTTTAAGATAGGCAAATATCATTGTAATCTTCCGTCGTCGCGACAATCTCAGACAGAATCAAATCTCCTCGGCGGCGATTGAAGAAACCTTTCCGATGGATCTGCTCAGAGAAGAGATTCTGAAGAAACGGAAGAGTCTAGCTGAGGAATCTGGTGGTAAGAAGTTCTTCAAGCGGTCTGAGATCGAGCAGAAGAAAATCCAGAAGCTTCGAGAAGAAGAACGACGCGAGCACGAGCTTAAGGCTCAGCGGAGAGCCGCTTCCGGTGGAGATGGAAAATTATCCGGTTCTGCTCCTGGTTCTTCTAACGCATCTGCATCTGCGTCTTCCAAATCCTCCGCATCGGACGCTGCTGCTATCGCCGATTCGAAATCCCTAACCGACGAAAACCTAATTCTCCCGAGGCAGGAAGTGATTCGTCGTTTGAGATTCCTTAAGCAGCCGATGACTCTCTTCGGAGAAGATGATCAATCGCGGCTCGATCGACTCAAGTACGTTTTGAAGGAAGGATTGTTCGAGGTTGATAGCGATATGACTGAAGGACAGACGAACGATTTCTTGCGTGACATCGCAGAGCTTAAGAAGAGGCAGAAGAGTGGTATCATGGGAGATAGGAAGAGGAAGAGTAGAGATGAGAGAGCAAGAGACGAAGGTGATAGAGGTGAAACGAGGGAAGATGAACTTAGTGGTGGTGAATCGAGTGATGTTGATGCTGATAAAGATATGAAGCGTTTGAAAGCTAACTTTGAGGATCTATGCGATGAGGATAAGATCCTTGTGTTTTACAAGAAGCTATTGATTGAATGGAAGCAGGAGCTTGATGCAATGGAGAACACTGAGAGGAGAACTGCCAAAGGGAAACAGATGGTAGCCACTTTTAAGCAGTGTGCTAGGTATCTTGTTCCTCTCTTCAACTTATGCAGGAAGAAGGTAAAGATTCTTGCTTTCGATCGTTATTTAGGCGTAAATCATTGTTTGGCTAGAAAATTGTTAGGGAATTTATCTCTGTTTATGAAACTGGAGATAGACTATCTCAGTTCTAGCCAATAAGCTTAGGGAACTATGTTTATTAAGCTTAGTTTGGGTAGGAAGACCAATGTACAGTGTTTAGGTTCCATTAGTTTGTGTGCTTTTGATTACATGGTGACAAGGACGAGTTTTTCAATAAGCTCTAATGCTAGGTTGACAATGAGAACGTAGAATAGCAAGTTGGAATCTGTATGCACCTTGAATTTGCCATTGAGGCCTCTGTTAGTTATCTCCATTTAGATGAAGAAAAATAGGCTGGAATGTTGAATGCAGAAAAAGTTTCTCTCTTTCTGTCTTTGTCTTATAAGTGTTAATAATATATACTTTTTTACACTGAAATTTTATGAGGTTTCGTGAACTTGATCTTTCTAGTTATGGCTTACAAATTGCAGGGTTTACCAGCTGACATTCGACAAGCTTTAATGGTGATGGTTAACTACTGCATAAAGAGAGACTACCTCGCTGCAATGGACCACTACATCAAACTAGCTATCGGGAACGCGCCCTGGCCCATTGGAGTGACTATGGTTGGTATTCACGAACGTTCAGCTCGAGAGAAGATTTACACCAACAGTGTTGCTCACATCATGAATGATGAAACCACTCGCAAGTACCTTCAGTCAGTTAAAAGACTAATGACTTTCTGTCAGAGACGTTATCCAACTATGCCTTCTAAAGCCGTTGAGTTCAACAGCTTAGCCAACGGAAGCGACTTACAGTCATTGCTCGCTGAAGAGAGATTCTTTGGTGGTGATCGTGAACGGGTCTCAGAGGAGAGACTCAGGCTCATGCCTTCTCAGAGCGAAAGCTAGTCTCACTGTGTTTTCTGCTTTGTTGTATCAAAACGTTGACTCTGTATTATCTTCTACTTAAAACGTTGACTTGGTTCTCTAGTCTTATGTGGCATGTAGGAAACATAACAAAACTCACAAAACGACATCACTTAAAGATCTGGAAAGGGTAAGAGGAGAATCGAATCTTGGAACCCTATTGGTCCAAATGATATGATCACCTTATCCAAAAATGTTCGATTCTCATCAACCCCCTCGTTGTCAGATTCTATTAAGCCATTTCATCTCTATCAATTTTACTTCACAAAGAAAGATTTAGAGAAAGGAAACAAAAGAGATTATGGCAACTCAAGCCGCCGGAATCTTCAGCCCTGCCATAACAACCACTGCTTCAGCCGTCAAGAAACTCCACCTCTTCTCAACAAGCCACCGTCTCAAGTCTCTCTCCTTCACCAAAACCGCCATCCGGGCCGAGAAAACAGAGTCATCCTCTGCTGCCCCAGCCGTGAAAGAAGAAGCTCCTGTTGGATTCACTCCGCCGCAGCTAGACCCAAACACACCATCACCAATCTTCGCCGGAAGCACAGGAGGTCTCCTCCGTAAAGCACAAGTAGAAGAATTCTACGTCATCACATGGAACTCACCGAAAGAACAAATCTTTGAGATGCCAACCGGAGGAGCTGCGATAATGAGAGAAGGACCAAATCTATTGAAACTAGCGAGGAAAGAACAGTGTTTGGCTTTAGGTACGAGGTTGAGGTCTAAATACAAGATCACTTACCAGTTTTACAGAGTGTTCCCTAACGGAGAGGTTCAATATCTTCACCCGAAAGATGGAGTTTATCCAGAGAAAGCGAATCCAGGAAGAGAAGGTGTTGGACTAAACATGAGATCCATCGGTAAAAATGTTAGTCCCATTGAGGTTAAATTCACTGGAAAACAATCTTATGATTTGTAAGGTTTGATTTCGTATTTTTATATAATGCTAGACAACAAAAAATCACTATATGTAAAATCTTGTGGATGTTATAACAACAACTCTTTGAACTTTTTAATCAGCTTTTTCTTTTTTTGGTTTTGCCGATCGAGTGATACCATGGTTTGAGAGAGACTACTTCCTTCATGTGAAATTCTTGCAAATAATATGAGAATTTCTATAAACATATATATAATAAAGGAGCGAATTGATAGAGAAAACCATCTCTTTTATTCCTTCATGTACAACTTCATTAATGGCCCAAGAGACCAAAAGAAGAGAAACTTAGCTAGAGTTGCTGATTGAGCCTTGCCCCGGCCGACATGGAATCTGCCACACCACCAGGAGTTGTCTTCATCTCAGAACTGCTTCTAAGTTCCGCTCCAACCACCGCCTCGGCATCTTCACTTGTCACCACCTTGTCTCCTGGAAGCTTCTCCGCAGCATCCTACACAACCCAACAATCCGAATGCACCAATTTATTAGACTTTTAGAATGAAACACTAATAGAAACAAAAAGATGTAAAGATTTATGGACTTAATTGGTTATGAATAGAGATTGAATAACGGATGTTTAATCATATAAAGTGATTCCTAGCAAAGACAATCTCGTATATAAAGACCAAAAACAAACAAAAAAAAATCCAACATATTGAATCCATCTCGATGTTATTAGCCATAGAAATAGTCACATTTCATTTCCAACTATATCTGTTGTACCTAGACTACTCTGAAATATTGGACCGAAACTTAAGACTAATCTATCTGGGCTAATATGAAATTTACAATCACTACATTGATTTCAAGATCCCACAATCTCTCCCTCTACCTTATGTTTCTGTAGTTATAATGAAACAAAGCAAAATTATAAAAATGTCATTACTGTGAGAATGTCTTCTACGAATGAACAGTCGGTGACACCAGGTCGCTTGAGCCGCTACTGCAAGACCACCAGGTCGAGCCATAGACTCACCGGTGGCTCTAGTTTCGGCGGCTTGAATGGCAGCTGCGTCTTTATGATCCACAGGCTTATCTCCAAGAGATAAAGCCGTAGCCTCCAAAGCCTCTCCAATCGTAACCGTGTCTGCGGATCCCATCGTCGCAACCGTTGGATCAGGTTGAGAGAAACTAACGCCTTGCTTTCTTGCCACGTCATCATCACCGGAGACGCTGAAAACGTCGCCGTATAGTTCATGCGGCCGTGTGTTTTCCTGATCTCTTAGCCTTTGAGGAGAATGCTGATGCTGTGCCATTGCTTTATTTAGTTATTTTGTGTTTTTTTATTCGAGGCTTCTTCTAGGGAGCTTCTCTGATTTGTTATTACTATTTTCGAGTTAATGGGATTTTGGATCTTGAAAGTAGGAGCTTCTTGTTTTTTTATTCGATGTCTGTTTGACACGTGGATGTTGAATTTCACACTTGTCTTGCGGCATGTTGATGACATGAATCGACCTTTTTGGATTTTATCTAACAAAAAAAGGTATATAGGATTTTGCTAATTTTCTGTTTCTTCGTTTAAATCCGATTTAGATACATAAATTCAAAATTTGAGAATTTCTAATTCTAAATTTTTGTTTACTTTGGAACTATAATTCAATATGCATGTGGTACTTTGAAATTGAATTGTTTTGATTGGTTAGTTAAATTGATGTGGACCTTAAAAAATTATTAGAGCATTTCCAACCAAAAAAACTGATGGGAGTTTCTTAATTATATTATTTTATTCATTTAATAATAAATAAATTATTTACTTAAATTTTAAATTATAGAAAAGAAAATCTGACCAATCATATAAACCTAACTATTAAAGTGGGTGTCTCAGAGTTTCTCATATGAGAAACTGTGTCTAGTTCTCTCTCCACCTTTTTATTACTTTTTATTTTTTTAATCTTTAGACACTCTTTGAGAAACTGCCATTGGAAATGGTCTTAGAGCCCCGCATAAATTTATTTGAGATTTTTTATTTACTTAAAACACAAATTATGAAATTGTAGCGCATGCATTGGAGAACCCGCCGGATGGATACGAGGTAGCACCGGCATCTTCTAACTGCAGCCCATAGATCAACAGAGCTTCGGAAGCATCTATGTAGCTCTAAGACGATCTCCCATGTAAATCTCTATTTTTTTCTAAAATAGAGTGATTTTAAAATAAAGCTTGATTTCTCTCCAAAGTATCACTCCTATATGTTACTCTAAAATAGAGGTAGTGTAAAAAAAAATAGAGTTACTTTATATATAAAACAATTCTATCATTTACTCTATTTTAGAGAATAATAATATAGAGTGGGCTTGGAGAAAATGTACTCTATAATAATATGGGGTTGAAGATGCTCTCAAAAAGGGTTTTCTTATCTCTGCTATAATACATACAAGTAAGCTCTGGATTCCAGACTAAGGCTATGCAAGGACTGAAATTTCTACCGACTTCGCAAGACAATTACATTTAAAATTATTTTTCTTTAAAAATAAATTTTTGACTCAATAAATTTTTAAAAATATATATATACGTTTTTCTACCAAAATAAAAAGAAAGAAATCTATATATCTATTTAGCTACTAATTTTTTATTCATCACCAAAAACATATATACACGTTAAATTTTAAATTTATAAGAAACTAGTTTAACTGTGAGTAAAATAAATAAAGGCTTTTACTTTTTTTTTAATAAATAGATAACATTTTTGAAATAGTAACAAAGAAATTATAACGGTAACATAATGATCAAGATTCAAGATACAACGAGTGAGTCAGAAAAACAGAGATAATAAGCCAAAAAAATTTTTTTTTGGCAAAATGCAATCATTGTGTGGTTTTCTTATCATTTCTGGTTCTTTTTCTGAACTCTCTCTTCTCTTCAGAGTATTGCTTCTTCATCAAAAGGCTGGACATTGCCGCTCTCACAGCTTCTGCCGCGGCACTCATTACACTCTCTTCTATTGGAACTTTACCTTGTAATTGCTCCAACAGTTTGGTCCCTCCTGGAATATGCTCGTCTTCAAGGATTGAAGATTCGGTCTCAAGGCACGAGATGACCCGAACCCTTGAAAAACCAGGATGGTTCGAACCAGGCAGGTTTGAGGCTCCTGATACCATCCATAGTAATCTTGAAGATGCACTTACAGATATACTTGTAGGAATGAAACTTTCTCCAGGGATTTTTATCACCTACAAGATTATTTACCCAGTTATATTATAGTTTTGTTGATTTTACTGGATTTGCTAACAGTATTCATACCTTTCTGATAGAGAGAGTATGTGCTGTCAAATCACAGCTTAACAAGAATATTCCTTGAAAACTGCATTTACATTAATAGAGGTAATCAAACATCTGATTCAAACGAAACGTATGTGGGCTAAAATATTGGACTTGCCTTTGAATTGCCACTGCTGCAAGAGAAGAATTCGGGATAGCGCATATGTCGGTAACTGTGACTTGGGTCGGCGACTCACTTTCATTAGACTCTAAATGCCCTGCCTTCAATACGTACAAACAGAAATCACTTACGCTGACGAATATTGAAAAAGATTCAAAACCAGATATATAACGATTAATTAGCAGAAGAATATAAAACTAAATAAGGATTTTACCACTGTACTAACTTCACATGTGTCAAGAAGAGACCCAGATGTAATATCCCACAATCGAACCTGAAATTAACAACATTAGCAAGGAGTCAAGCATCACTGACTGGTCGTAAGAACTGGAGATGTAGACTTTAAGATGACTTACAGTTGAATCTCCACTTCCAGACATGAGGTATCCCTGAGTAAGCTCTGGAGTGCTGACAAATGCTGTGCAGGTGATGAACCTATTAAGGTTTAAGACAATGTTAATGGAGCTGTTCGATACTCAGCTTTGTTTACAATCTTTCATTTTGTAAACAACACTCTGATAAATATCCTAGAAACCAAACATTTAGGATGCAAAGAGAATATTTGGGATGAGATTACATGTTACTCGAACTTACTCTGAATGTCCAAGACAAAAACTCTGTATTTCATGAGCCCCTTCTAGAGGCTTCTTGGGAAAAACAGTCACCTGTGATGGCAAACATAATCACTATAGGAGTTACCGAACAAGAGAAGCATGACATTGTACATTAGTGAATTAGACTAGCTTACCCTTATCTTAAAGTCCCGATCAGCACTAAGAATATATCTACCATCTGGGGAAAACTCCTATAAACAAGAACAAATCAGAATGAGTGACATAGTAAGTTAAATCTTCAGCTATTTCATAATGCAACAAGAACGAGACAACATAGAAGAAAGGCGTTTTGACAAAACTTTATCTTACCAGGCTAGTAATAATACTACAATAATGTGAAAGCAGCAGCGCACCCTTCTTACTAGGTAAAGTTTTACCCTCATTGATCCCATCCAGCTCGATCACCCATACAACACCAAACTTGTCCGCATAGCAAACATGTGAATCATCGCTACTTATAGCAACTGCGCTAACTCTCTTCTCAGAACATCTGCCATTATTATGATGTTATAAGCCTATTAAACCTGAGATGAGCATAGAGTCTGTTTTGGAAAAACAGAGAATTGCAATGCTAGAAACACAATTTGTGAAAAGTAACACTAAAAATGGAACACCAATTAATAATCATAGTAATGCTTACGATATATAGTTACTAACTTACACTGTGTTAAGGCAGCGCCAAGAATCTGTAGACCAAATCTTAACGAGTTTGTCATCGCCTGCGGACACAAAAAGCTTTCCACTTGCACTGTAACGAATAGCTCTAATGGATTCCTTACGGGAAGGCCCATCAGATTCATCCACCAAACTAACTGGGCGATTCTCTCTGTCGATTAAACATTTAAAGCAATAAGTTAACTATCACTAGATAGATAAACTAAACACTCATCTATTCCAAGTTTAAAACTTTTGCATTGGTGATTAAAATTCAATTGAATCAGCTTTAAGCAGCAGAACAAAATTCGTCAAAAACTTGTTAAATTACACAAAACACACGAAGAGAAGTTTCCGGGTTCCGATGTCTGAACCACATTATTGTTTCCAAAAAAAACACAATATATGAAGAAACAAATTCGAATTCGATTATGAACTTACATAAGATTGAATACACGAAGATCCGAACCGACAGCGACAGCGAGAGATTTCTGAGATGGATGAACGGAAATCAATGCAGGAGCAACTTCGAGTTTGTTTTGGATTTCTACTTCTTCGGTGTGAGATTCTTCCTCCATTGTTACACAGAGAGCAAAAAAGGTTGGAGTTTTAGGGTTTAAAGCAAAAAAAGCCGCCACGAACAACAACAAATCGATTTTATATTTGGATTGTTTGGATGTTAGTCTAATCGTTTTCTCATTAGAGTTAAGAAATCGAGCGTGTGTGGTACTCGCTTTAGATGCGCGTTAGACTGGCTTTCTAAGTTGGGCCAGAAATCGAAAGCTTAAGGGCCCATTGGACTATCTTTCCTGCTTTTAATATATCTCAAAGATTTCTATTTTTGTTTTTCTTTTTTATCAACATATTTCTTTTTTTTTTTTTTAATGTTTTATATCGAAGTAGGAAAGACTTCAACGTACATGAATATGAATTTTATGTCAAAAACTCAAAACTAATATATTTAATTTAATAAAAATACATTGAGGAAGCACTACATGGAGACATAAATTGTTTAAAAGTAGAATAAAAAGAAGATTGAAATTCATATTTTAGCGAGGACCAGAGCAATGGATACTAAAGACAAAACGATCACATTTCTTTTGGACGAGCTTTCATTACTACTCCATGGAAACTTCTTCGATCCTGTTTACAAGTTTCACCGATTAAACAAAAATATGAATTGTTTTCTAACAGTCAATTTTCCAAAAGCACAATTCTTAAGAAAAGAAAAGATTTTGAAGTGAATTGAGTTATTTATGGTGAACCTGACGGTGAAGGAGCACTTTGAGGTGAACCTACAGGAGTATTCGCCGGAGACGTGCTTGGTCTGTTACTTCCTGCTATATCATACGCCGGAAAAATTATTATAACCCACAATATTTTTGGATCAACAAACATATATTTTTGAAGTGTATAATGTTAGAATTAGCAAGTTTCTTACTGTTACACTGGCTAGGTGATGGAGTTTGAACATTGCAAGCGGTAGGGAGATTGAGAGCCAAAGTCCGGTTAAATTTGAACCCTGAAAATGAGCTTTCATTGCTATTAACCACATAGCACAAACATTCCGGTGAAGATTGAACCACCGTGGAAAATTGACTACAACAATTCGAAGAAGGTGACGTTGAGCCACCGTTGAGGTAATTGAGGCAAGGGGAAAGGCTGGTCAGAGCGTCATTACATCCGGCTTGGACCGTGGTGGCTCCACCGTATAGAACGGTGGCTATTACAAGGGCTAACATTGCAAGAATCATTTGGGGTTTTTCGAAAATACGTGTACACTTTGGGATTGTATGGGATATGATCAGTGGTCATGAGGGTGATATACTTATAGAAATGTTTGAGGGGGCTTTGTTAAGAGTTATGGATAAACCTGAATTTATGCATTGCTTTTTGTGTTTATGCGTATTGGTAAACCAAAGATGTTATAGAATTTAATGACACCAACCCTATTGATAAAGCTGAAACTATGCATTGCTTTTTGTTTTTGGATTAACTTGTGTTTATATATGCGTGTTGTTAATTAAACCAAAAATGTTACCATAGAATTTAATGAAATCAACCCAAGATTAGTTAAAGCTTAAACTTATGAAATGTTATAAGTTGAACCAAATGAAATAACTAAGCATGATTTGGTTCTAACTTCTAACTAACAATTCAATTTTTGATAGACCATTTAATAACACCGTATGATATAGTTATACTCAATTTGACAAATTCCTTAGAATATTAGTTATTCACTTATTTTTCTTTTCTCTTTTTATCAACACTTCGTATTTTTCGGTTAATCAAAATTTACAAGTTTTCTTCTGGCTATAGTGATTAGTGTGATTAAGGTTTCGTGGATTTTTCGCACCTGTCATCATCAATGGTGAAAGACACACCGTCTGCTCAAGAAAGCTTTTGTCTTTTTGTCCTAATCTCCTGTTAGTGCTCAAAGCTTGCTGGTTCAGTTCACGCACCAAGTGTTCGACGAAATGTCTGAATGAAACTTGGAGACAGATTTCATAAAATACTCATAACAGTCGAGGAGGTTTAGACTTGGTATTAACGAATTGACGAAGAAAAACAAGATCTTTCAGATAATAGAGATGTTTTCATGGAGGAAAACGAAGCTTCGGGCTGTTTCACTTCACCAGTGCCGTTTGAGTTCTTTGTTTCGTGGAGTTCTCCTCGACGCCATTGAAGTTACAGGTACTCAATTTCAAGCTTCTTTACAACATGGTTTGGCGGGTAAAGATGTTCTGTCTAATGCAAGAAACCTCAGTGTGTTATCTAAGCTTCGTATTAGTACAAGATTCGATGTATGGTCTATCCATAGAACAGATGCATTTTCAAGCATTTCTGGATCTATATTGCTTCAAGCGAGGGATCCTGCTAAACTCAATGAAGAAATTCAAATTGCAGTTGATGAACATAGATGTGATGAAGCTTGGAGACTGTTTGAACAACATATGCAAATGGAAGGGTTTCCGCGAAAATCTGTTGTTAACAATGTTTTGGTTTGTTTTGCTGAGAGTCTTGATTCCAATTGGCTACAAAAGAGTTACAGTTTAGTGGAACAAGCCTATGAGGAGAGTAAACAGAATTTGCTGGAGAAGGAACCTCTATTATATCTATCCTTGGCTCTCGCCAAGTCAGGCATGGCTGTTCCTGCATCAACGATCTTGAGGAAGCTAGTTGAGACAGAAGAGTATCCTCACGTGAGTGCTTGGTCTGCAGTTTTGGCGCATATGTCTCTTGCGGGATCAGGAAGTTATCTTTCTGCTGAGTTGGTTCTTGAGATTGGTTACTTGTTTCATAATAACAGAGTTGATCCACGGAAGAAGAGCAACGCACCTTTGCTTGCAATGAAGCCTAATACTCAGGTGTTGAACATTGCTTTGGCGGGTTGTTTGTTGTTTGGGACAACACGAAAAGCTGAACAGCTTCTTGATATGATACCCAAGATCGGTGTTAAAGCTGATGCTAACTTGTTAGTAATAATGGCTCATATATACGAAAGAAATGGGCGGAGAGAGGAACTGAAGAAGCTTCAAAGGCATATAGATGAAGCTTGCAACTTGAATGATTCTCAGTTTTGGCAATTCTATAACTGCGTGCTTATTTGTCACTTAAAATTCGGGGATCTTGAATCTGCTTCGAAAATGGTTCTGGAAATGCTAAGAAGAGGAAATGTAGCAAGGAACTCACTTGGAGCCGCCATTCTTGGATTTAATACTACAGATGATGATAGATTCAATACCAAAAAAGTATCTGAAAAGGGATCAGAGATTAAAGAACATGATAATCCCGAAACTCGAGTGGTTTCTACTCACAATATGATTCCCTATGATGAGTTCTGTAGAGACAGGAAGTTTTTGAAACTTGAAGCTGAGGCAAAGGTTGTTCTTGGTGCATTGTTGGCTAAGTTGCATATACAAGTCAAATTGATTACCTCGGAACGTGGTGTTTTGCAGCCGACGGAAGAGATTTTTGTGAAATTAGCAAAGGCATTCCTGGAGAATGGAAAGATGAAGGAATTAGCAGAGTTTCTGTTAAAGGCAGAACATGAAGACTCCCCTGTTTCTAGTGATAACTCGATGCTGGTGAATGTTATCAACGCTTGTATTTCTCTAGGAATGTTAGATCAGGCGCATGATCTACTCGACGAGATGCGTATGGCTGGGGTAAGAACCGGTTCTTCGGTTTATTCTTCGCTCCTCAAAGCTTACTGCAAGACAAACCAAACTAGAGAAGTGACATCACTCCTTAGAGATGCTCAGAAGGCAGGGATTCAATTAGACTCAAGCTGTTATGAAGCTTTAATCCAGTCTCAAGTGATTCAGAATGATACTCATGGAGCTCTCAATGTGTTCAAGGAAATGAAAGAGGCGAAGATACCGAGAGGTGGAAGTCAGCAGTTCGAGAAGCTCTTAAAGGGATGTGAAGGAAACGCAGAGGCGGGACTTATGTCGAAACTCTTGAGAGAAATCAGAGAAGGGCAGAGTTTGGATGCTGGTGTTCATGATTGGAACAATGTGATCCATTTCTTTAGCAAGAAAGGTTTGATGCAAGATGCAGAGAAGGCATTGAAGAGGATGAGAAGTCTTGGGCATTCACCGAATGCTCAAACTTTTCATTCTATGGTCACAGGATATGCAGCTATAGGGAGTAAATACACAGAGGTCACTGAGCTATGGGGAGAAATGAAGTCCATAGCCGCAGCTACTTCATCGATGAGGTTTGATCAAGAGTTGCTCGATGCGGTGCTCTACACGTTTGTTAGAGGCGGATTTTTCTCACGGGCTAATGAAGTTGTGGAGATGATGGAGAAAAAGAATATGTTTGTTGATAAGTACAAGTATCGGATGCTCTTCTTGAAGTATCACAAGACTGCTTATAAAGGCAAAGCTCCAAAAGTTCAAAGTGAGTCTCAGCTCAAGAAGAGAGAAGCTGGTTTAGTATTCAAGAAATGGCTCGGACTATCTTGATTATTAATGTAATCAATAAGATCTATATAGAGGCAGCACAAGCATTGATAAAGCTTTGGATTTATTTATCTTTTGTAAGATTTCTGTTTATATACACAACCAAATGCGTATTAGTTGAGGTTTCAGGTAAGCCAGAGCATGGGTTTGATCAATCGCAAATCGTGTTATTTATCCTGCAAAGATTGTGAAACTGGTGGAGTTGGTTGAATTCTCAAAGGATGATATGAATGTATAAAGGAAAAAAAAAGGCTGGTACTAAATTACCACTAACCTTTGATTCTGAATAGAGCACTGCCATCTGAAACCTGTTGGCCTGCTTTAACTTTGAGGTCCTGTATGCTTCCAGAGGATGGTGCTTTCACAACGTGCTGAACCACCATGGAGAAGGGAGAATAAAACGATAGTTACTTAACTGTTTCTTATGTTTATGGTATATGAAGAGGTTTGTATACTAACCTCCATCTTCATTGCCTCTAGGACTAATACAGGTTGACCTTGATCTACTTTGGCTTCGTTTTCAACAAGGACCTTGACTACCAAACCAGCCATGGGGGCCACAATGGTTCCTGGAGGGTGTGATGATGTTTCGGAGCTGGTTCTGTGTTGGACTCCTTCTTCATCTTCAGAGAATTCGATTCCTACCTTCTGCTTGAACTGATGGTGTTCTGAACCATGCCATATATGGATATGTTTATAACAATCCTGTTACCAAAAACAAATCATAAGTAGCAATTACGAGAGAGGCAGAAAGACCATGAGATAAAGCTGTGAAGAGTTGCTTGAACATGATGCTAATGATTTACCTTCAAGTACGCAGCTAGACTAACATTCATGCTCAATCCAGCCGCTTCAACTCTAAAATTGCACTTTCCTTCTCGAGTTACTCTGACTTCTAAACTTGGAGAATCATTGCCTTCCTGTCTCGTGGAATGTTGTCAAAACATCAGAATTCCAAATTTCCAATTATAAGACTCATAAATGAAGTATGTATATAATGTAGCAATGGTGTTCATTTTTATCCTTTTAAAACGAATCTAAAAGTGAGTTAAAAACCTGAATGAGATAGCTTCCATCTGGTCGAGATATTACACCGAGTGATATAAGGTTAGAGCCAGCTCCCTCGCATTCATTATTCCACTCTATCTCAATGGTTTGTTTGGCTTCATGATGGACCCTAAAAGGAGGATGAGAATACCATATCGATGGAAGTTTCCCTGGATGAGTTTACACATATGAATTAAGGCATACTCGGGAATCATTAACTTGTAAAGAAGAGACTAGACTCATGTGAACTGACCATGACTACTTTCATTCCAAGCAGAATGCTCGATTGTGGAGATACAAGCAGCCACCAATGCTGCACTATGCTTGACTGCCTTGTATGCCACTTCTGTTGCAGCTGGATTGCTTTCATCAGCAAATAGATCACTTTTATGGTGCTCAATAAAATGAGTTTCTACATTGCCCACTGCAAACTCCTTATGACTAGCAAGTTTTTGAAGGAAATTTATGTTTGTAGGTACACCTGCTACCTGTCAACAGATACCATGTAATTACTGAACTATTGTGCTAACTAAGAAGCGATGAGCCGAGAAACCCGAAAAGGTTTCTTAAGAAATTCATAATGGAACCATAAGGCCCTGACGATTTATAGTTATGCTGAGGTATAATTAAAATTGCAGAGAGCTCCAAAACGTTGTTACATGTTCTCAGGGAATCTACCTGAAAGTTAGACAAGCAATCCTTCAGTTTCACTAAAGCTTCGCCGCGATTACCTCCCCAGACAACAAGCTTTGCAATCATAGGATCATAGTGCATGCTAACTGTGTCTCCTTGTTCAACTCCAGTTTCAACCCGAACTATTACAGAAAAATTCCAACATGAAAGAGGTTAA